CCGCTTCTCTGTTGAGCAGTCGCTGGATTGCTTGGATGCCATGATGAAGTCCAACATCCGCCAGAACCTACAAGCTGTTGTGCACATTGCTACGAAGTACTCCGACCTACTTGGGGCTACCAAGTTGATCGATCTCTTCGAGAAGTACAAGACTGCCGAGGGTCTGTTCTACTACCTCGGCAGCATTGTCAACGTCAGCGAGGACCAAGATGTCAACTTCAAGTACATTGAGGCGGCGACGAAGATGCAACAGTTCAGCGAGGTTGAGCGTATTTGCCGTGATAGCAACCACTACAACCCCGAGAAGGTGAAGAACTTCCTGAAGGAGGCGAGATTGACCGAGCAACTTCCTCTCATCATTGTTTGCGATCGTTTCAACTTTATCCACGATCTTGTTCTATACCTATACCAAAACCAGCATTTCAAGTCGATCGAGGTGTACGTTCAGCGTGTTAACCCAGCGAGAACCCCGGCTGTCATTGGTGGCTTACTTGATGTCGATTGCGACGAGAGCATTATCAAGAACCTCTTGCAGACTGTCAACCCAACGTCAATCCCTATCGATGAGCTTGTTCAGGAGGTCGAGACACGCAATCGTCTGAAGATCCTCTTGCCGTTCCTCGAGGCTACTCTTGCGTCTGGCAACGAGCAGCAGGCAGTCTACAATGCGCTGGCCAAGATCTACATCGATAGCAACAACAACCCAGAGAAGTTCCTCAAGGACAACAACCAGTACGACACTCTCGTTGTCGGAAAGTACTGCGAGAAGCGTGACCCCAATCTTGCATTCATTGCATACAGCAAGGGCCAGAATGATTTGGAGCTTGTGAACATCACCAACGAGAACTCCATGTTCAAGGCACAGGCTCGCTACCTTCTTGAGCGTGCTGATGAGGAGCTCTGGAACTTCGTTCTCAGCGGCAACAACAACCACCGCAGATCGCTCGTTGACCAGGTCATCTCAACGGCTGTTCCCGAGTCCAAGGAGCCAGAGAAGGTTTCCGTTGCTGTTTCTTCTTTCTTGAAGAATGATCTCCCTGTGGAGCTCATTGAGTTGCTGGAGAAGATCGTTCTTGAGCCTTCGCCATTCAGCGACAATGGCAGCCTCCAGAACCTCCTTATCTTCACAGCCACCAAGGCTGATAAGAGCAAGGTCATGGATTACATCCACCAGCTCAACGAGTATACCACGACTGAGGTGGCTGATATCTGTATTGAGGTTGGTCTCTACGAGGAGGCCTTTGAAGTCTACAAGAAGATCGACGACCACCCCAAGGCGGTCAACGTTCTCGTTGAGCACATTGTTAGCATCGATCGTGCCCAGGAGTATGGTGAGCGCGTCGAGCTCCCAGAGGTCTGGAGCCGCGTTGCCAAGGCTCAATTGGATGGTCTTAGAATCAGCGATGCCGTGGAGTCCTATATCCGCGCGCAAGACCCCAGCAACTACAAGGAGGTTATCGAATACGCAGTTCCCGCCGGAAAGGATGAGGATCTCATCAAGTACCTCAAGATGTCGCGCAAGACTCTCCGCGAGCCAGAGATCGACACTGCGTTGGCGTTTGCATATGCCCGCACCGACCAGCTCTCTGAGTTGGAGGACTTCCTCAAGGGTACAAACGTTGCAGATATCGAGGAGTCTGGTGACAAGGCTTACGCGGAGGGTTACCACCAAGCCGCCAAGATCTTCTTCAGCAGCATTTCCAACTGGGCCAAGCTCGCTACCACGCTTGTCCACCTCAGCGATTACCAAGCCGCTGTTGAGTGTGCTCGCAAGGCCAACAACATCAAGGTCTGGAAGCAGGTCAACGCTGCCTGTGTGGAGAAGAAGGAGTTCCGTCTTGCTCAGATCTGTGGTCTCAACCTGATTGTTGATGCCGAGGAGCTTCAAGATCTTGTTAAGCAATACGAGCGCAATGGTTACTTTGATGAGCTCATTGCTGTGCTTGAGCAAGGCCTTGGTCTTGAGCGTGCTCACATGGGCATGTTCACTGAGCTTGGCATTGCCTTGTCCAAGTATCACCCTGAGCGTGTGATGGAGCACCTGAAGCTGTTCTGGAGCCGTATCAACATCCCCAAGATGATCCGTGCTTGCGAGGAGGCTAACCTGTGGCCTGAGCTGGTCTTCCTGTACTGCCACTACGACGAGTGGGACAACGCTGCTCTTGCCATGATGGAGCGTGCTGCCGACGCTTGGGAGCACCACTCCTTCAAGGACATTGTTGTCAAGGTTGCCAACTTGGAGATCTACTACCGTGCTTTGAACTTCTACCTTCAGGAGCAGCCGTCTCTCATCACCGATCTTCTCCAGGCATTGACTCCGAGAATCGATGTCAACAGAGTGGTCAAGATGTTTGAGAAGTCGGACAACATCCCACTGATCAAGCCATTCCTGCTTAACGTCCAGACACAGAACAAGAAGGCTGTCAACAACGCCATCAACGACTTGTTGATTGAGGAGGAGGATTACAAGACTCTTCGCGACTCTGTCGAGAACTACGACAACTACGACCCAGTCGAGTTGGCGCAGCGCCTCGAGCGCCACGACCTGGTCTTCTTCCGCCAGATCGCTTCCAACATCTATCGCAAGAACAAGCGTTGGGAGAAGTCTATCGCTCTGTCCAAGCAGGACAAGCTTTACAAGGATGCTATTGAGACGGCGGCGATCTCGGGCAAGTCGGAAGTCGTGGAGGAATTGCTCCGCTATGTAAGTTACCCTTTTAAGGCTGACATTGAGACTCTACTAATTAATTGCAGTTCGTCGACATTGGCAGCAAGGAGTGTTACGTTGGAATGCTCTACTCGTGTTACGGCCTCATCCCACTCCACGTCGTCATGGAGCTCTCATGGCGCCACGGCCTCACCGATTTCACGATGCCTTTCATGATCAACTTCCTGGCCCAACAATCGGCGACAATCGAGACCCTCAAGAAGGACAACGACGAGCGCAACGCGCGCGAGCAGTCACAGGTCAAGGAGGAGAACAACACCCCGATCCTCGGCGGCTCCCGCCTGATGCTCACGCAAGGCCCAGCCGGACAACCAACCTCGCCAGCTCCCTACGGCCAGGCCAACGGCTTCGCGCCGCAACCAACGGGCTTCGGCGGGTTTTAGAAGATGACAACAAATACATGAGATTGCTGATAATTAATGGGAAAAAGTGCGTGGATATGTGAGGTGTTCTCTTTCGATGTATTCCTTCGAGCGAGACGGTCTTTTGGCTGTGGATTATTTTCGCGCCAAGGCCAATCCCATTTCAGGTTCCGTTTTTTTCTTCATGATGATTTGTATTTATATGGAGGGATGGTTTGGGCATTCTGTGCTTCGGTGATGGGGGATGGGAGATGCACAAAGGCAGGCGGATGATGTTGGGTGCGCTTCTTTATGATATGGAGGGTGGCCATACAGATAACTTTTGAGTTGCTGCTTGGCTTTGTAGGTAGCTAGAGAGTGATTCCATGAGATCTACTTTGACAACCAAAAAAACGGCGTTCCCCAGATTAGAGATGCCATGAAGATGTATGCACCTTGACAACCCCAAAAATCCGCGTCCCCCCCCCCCCCAAGATTGATTGAACGGCCCACAAAATGGGAGATATCATGTGAAACCAATGATTCAGCCAAGTATGATAAAACGGCTAGGGCGGTATGTGTCATGGCCGAAATAACCCTTTTTGGCGATTCTACGAAGTAACTTACAATTGTGTCCATCCATCCATCCCACGGAGTTTATCCCACGTCATAGAGTTCATCCCACGAACTTTCTTTCCCTGGAGCCGGAGGACCAGCCAGCCAGCCAGCCTCTCTGATTTTTCCTTAGCCCAACTTGGTTGAAACCCCACATCCCTCCCGTCAACTAGAGACGGCCGCTGTTTCCCATGCTTGATTCTGCCTGTCAGCTGGGCAGGCAGTTTATCTGGCTAGGTGATTTAAACTTTTTTGTTCTTGCGAGGGGGAAGCTAACTCTCGGAGATGTCCCCTACCTTCGTACGTCTCGGACCACCAAAATAGGTATTATCTCGCTCATGCGCGGCCGAACCGGCCGCAGCATATATCACATGGTGGGAAGGGGATTTCGGAGGCTTTTTCCTGTGCCAGCTTTCGCCCTGACACGCAACGACGCAACAATGTCAGTGCGTAGGAATCGTTTGTTGACTTCTCCGTCCCTGATCGGCCTGGACCTTTGTACCTGCGTCCCCCAACTCGGCTATTCTCGCAACCAGGGCCATGTGAAGGCTATGTGACTCGGGCGGGCGCCTTGATTACTGAATATCTTTGTGGAACGACCTCTTCCTTCTCTTCGAGCGAGTTCAATGCTGGCTAGCTCCCGTCTTTCCTACTTTCCCCGGACAGCTCCGGGCAATGATCGTTGGCGAACCCTCCGGGTTATGATCGTTCCATTGGGGATGGCGAGGTCCCTCGGCACAAGAGGTATAAGCGCTCTAGTTACCGTGGGCAGGTGTGGGTTCTTCTCGGGAGAAGTACTCGCGAAGTGGCAGATGGGTATCAAAGTCGAGGTACCGTAGGTGCTGTAGGACCTCCTCCTCTCTCCATCTCCTTCTCCATCTCGAGCAGTTGCTGCTGTAATCGCTGCTGTGAGTCGTGATGTTTTGCCAATATCGTCTTGGCTCTTAGTTTTTTTTTTGTTGAGACTCGCCGGCGGTCCATTCGGCGGCAAGGAAGCAAAGCCGTAGTGTTAGAGTCAGTTGCTGTGGGTGGTACATATGTACTGTACACACATTCTTGGGGGTACTTGTGAACTTGTACACACATTCTTGGGGGTACTTGTGAACTTGTGCACATATGTACAAACAGCACCGTGGACCAGCCGCCCCAGCCTCCTTTTACGCTGTTTTACGTGGGACAGGTACCAACATGCACCGTACCCCGCCTCCTGTTGGCATAGCTAAAAGTACTTTGCTACATTACTATTGCTCATCAACCAAATAAAATACCGCGTAACATTGCTGACCTCGCCATACATACCTATTAACCCTTATCCCCCCTCAACAACTGCCCTTCTACCTTACTTCCCCCTCTTTGAAATATATATCTGGGATTCATCCATCCTTTCATATATATATCCTCTTTTTTACCCCCTCTCCCACCCAAAATAATCCTTTCACGAGGGAAGAATCTTTCCCCAGCGCCGTTATCGCAAACGAAGCTCGGTTGATCCTTGGCGCAAGCCCCCTCCGACTCACCCCACCCATTCACCTCTCCACGCTCGCAGGATACCAGCTCCAAAACAGAGCCATTGACCCAAGGCAATTCGAATCCGCTTCACTATGTCGGCTGGGGATCCCAATGGCGCCGCGAACGAGGTGTTCGAGGAGAGCGGCGATGAGAGGCAGTCCCAGTCCATCCAGCACATCCGCGCCAACTCGAGCATCATGCAGCTGAAGAAGATCCTGGGTAAGCTTTTCTGAGTTGCGGCGCCGACGAGGCGTGCGCTGGTGGAAAATTAGATTTACTGACTTGGATTCTCACTTCTAGTTGCCAACCGTGGAGAAATTCGTAAGTTGCCTGCCCCCGATTCACATGTGCAATGGGACCGATTAGCTGACATTTGATAGCCATTCGTGTATGAATCACTCCACATCCTGCTAAAATCTAATGGTATATATACTTACAAGCGATTCTTTGTACAGATTTTCAGAACTGTGAGTCAGCCCTCCAAAATACGATGTTCCGGCGGTGTGGAAAGGATTTTTGCTGACACTTCCCCGCCCCGCAGGCTCACGAGCTTTCCCTACAAACAGTCGCCGTCTTCAGTTATGAGGACAGACTCAGCATGCACAGGCAGAAGGCCGATGAGGCCTATGTCATCGGCAAGCGTGGCCAGTACACGCCTGTCGGCGCATACCTGGCTGGAGATGAGATTATCAAGATCGCCTTGCAACACGGCGTCAACATGATCCATCCAGGCTACGGTTTCCTTTCCGAGAATGCCGAGTTTGCTCGCAATGTTGAGAAGGCTGGCCTTGTCGTAAGGAGTTCTGTCCTTTTTAGCAGCTCCCCAGTCGCTGACGTGTGAAATTAGTTCGTCGGCCCATCCCCCGAGGTCATCGACGCCCTCGGAGACAAGGTCTCTGCCAGGACCCTTGCCATCAAGGCCGGCGTCCCGGTCGTCCCGGGTACCGAGGGCGCCGTCGAGAAGTTCGAGGACGTCAAGAAGTTCACCGACGAATACGGCTTCCCCATCATCATCAAGGCCGCCTACGGTGGCGGTGGCCGCGGCATGCGTGTCGTCCGCGAGCAGGCGTCGCTGAAGGAGTCCTTTGACCGCGCCACCTCCGAGGCCAAGTCCGCCTTCGGCAACGGCACCGTCTTCGTCGAGCGCTTCCTCGATAGGCCTAAGCACATTGAGGTCCAGCTACTCGGTGACAACCACGGTAACATCGTGCACTTGTACGAGCGCGACTGCTCCGTGCAGCGCAGACATCAGAAGGTCGTCGAGCTGGCCCCCGCCAAGGATCTCCCCCAGAGCGTCCGCGAGGCCCTCCTCAACGACGCCGTCAAGCTCGCCAAGTCGGTCAACTACCGCAACGCCGGTACCGCCGAGTTCTTGGTCGATCAGCAGAACAGATACTACTTCATCGAAATCAACCCCAGAATCCAGGTCGAGCATACCATCACTGAGGAGATTACGGGTATCGATATCATTGCCGCCCAGATCCAGATTGCTGCCGGTGCTACGCTGCCACAGCTTGGTTTGACTCAGGATCGCATCTCGACTAGGGGATTCGCGATTCAGTGCAGAATCACTACCGAGGACCCCTCGAAACAGTTCTCGCCGGATACGGGGAAGATTGAGGTTTACCGTTCAGCTGGTGGTAATGGTGTCCGCCTTGATGGCGGTAATGGCTTCGCCGGCGCGGTTATTACTCGTATGTATTCTATTTTCTTTTCCCTAATCCCTCTTCCCCAGTCTCTCTTGCCCGGTCTCACTTCCCCGGTCTCCCTTCATCGACCCGCTTCCCCAATCTCCCTTCCTCAGTCTCCCTTCCCCAGTCCCCCTACCCCGGTTCCTATGCCTTCCTACACTGCAGTGCAGCATCCTTGGGATACACGGGCTGCACCTTTCTCCTGAGCATTCACTATGGTTACGTTTTTATCACGTGATCTGGATTTTTCTCTCTCGCGGACTCATTCTTTTTCATTCATCTATACTATATACTATATACTAACGTCTTAAACCTCTAGCTTGTATGTATTGTTTTTCTTCTCCCCCGTGACTTCCTTTATGTAATGTTTGTTTCTTCCTATAATGCTCCTTCACTCGAATACCTGGACTGCACCTTCCTCTGAACCTCTGACCGCACCTTCCCCAAGATGTCAGGACACAGCAACGATATGAATCTCTTCCTGTCCTCCATCTTTCTCTCTCTTTCACCATCGACACGTTCTCCAAAAGAGTACGAAATCAGGTAAGTCGACTCTTAATCTGCTTCAATTCAAGTACTGATACCATAGCAAGTGATTCGAGTCTGTCCTTTCGCTTTGCCGTCGTCTCTCTTGTGGTGTTTCTGCTGCTCTCTGCTTCGATTCTTCCGGTGGCTGTCTTCTGCCGCTGCTCTGGTAAGTCAAAAGGTGCCTTTCAATCGACCCTAGTCAATTCTAACGAGTTGATAGATTCGACACAGTTGAATCCCTCCCGTCTGCCGCTAGCTGTTCTGTCTGGTAAGTCTAAAGGTGCCTTGTTCCAACTGTGCCAATGCTAACAACTGGGAATAGGCTCGAGTTATTGAGAGAACATTCTTTGTTACCACGGCAGTCTCCGACTCAATCGCCTCGGGACATTGCAAGCAGCTATCCCTTTTGGACTCCGAGTCGACATTGTCGACTCGTTGGGAGTATCCCTTCGTTATCACGGACATCGGCAGAGCATCCCTTCGTTGCTTAACTTCTCTTTCGGACTCTAAATCGGCGCTGTTGCTGTGTCTGGCAAGTTGACTTTTGTCAGCTTGTCATCCCTTGTGGACTCCAAATCGGCAGTGCCGATTTGTCGAGAGATATACTATTAGGCAGAGGCAGAGGAGGGAAGGAGAGTATTCGTTGTTTCTAAAGGAAGGAGCAGTTATTTTTTACTTTCCGCTACTCTTCTATTGTCTGCGCTCTTCTTATGGATGGTATATTTGCTAACCACGTGATAAAAAAGACTACGATTCTATGCTTGTTAAGTGCACATGCCACGGCTCTACCTACGAGATTGTCCGCCGCAAGATGTTGAGAGCTCTGGTTGAGTTCCGCATTCGCGGCGTCAAGACCAACATCCCCTTCCTCGCCTCGCTCCTCACCCACCCCACCTTCATCGACGGCAACTGCTGGACGACCTTCATCGACGATACCCCCGAGCTCTTCGACCTTGTCGGCTCGCAGAACCGCGCCCAGAAGCTGCTCGCCTACCTCGGCGACATCGCCGTCAACGGCTCCAGCATCAAGGGCCAAGTCGGCGAGCCCAAGTTCAAGGGCGAGATCATCATGCCCGAGCTCTTCGACGACGAGGGCACCAAGATCGACGTCACCGAGCCCAGCACCCAGGGCTGGCGCCAGATCCTCATCGAGCAGGGCCCCGAGGCCTTCGCCAAGTCCGTTCGCGCAAACAAGGGGTGTCTCCTCATGGACACCACCTGGCGTGACGCCCACCAGTCTCTCCTCGCCACCCGTGTCCGCACTGTTGACCTGCTCAACATCGCCAAGGAGACCAGCCACGCATATGCTAACCTGTACTCGCTTGAGTGCTGGGGTGGCGCGACCTTTGATGTCGCTATGCGCTTCCTCTATGAGGATCCTTGGGACAGACTCCGCAAGATGAGGAAGCTCATCCCCAACATCCCCTTCCAGATGTTGCTGCGTGGCGCTAACGGTGTGGCGTACTCGTCGCTGCCGGATAATGCTATTTACCACTTTGTGGAGCAGGCGAAGAAGAATGGTGTTGATATCTTCCGTGTTTTCGATGCGTTGAACGATATTGATCAGCTTGAGCTTGGTATTAAGGCTGTTCACAAGGCGGGAGGTGTTGTTGAGGGAACCGTGTGCTACTCGGGAGACAGTGAGTACCCCTCCTCCAATCCGTATCTATAGCTACTCTTCTCGGGTTGCTGTTTTTGAGTGGCTCTTGTGGAGTCGCTTTTCGGGGCTTCTCTTCTTCGGCATCTCTGTTATAATTACTAAGCTAACTTATTTCAGTGTTAAACCCAAAGAAGAAGTACAACCTCGAGTACTACCTCGACGTTGTGGCGAAGCTCGTCGCCCTAAACATCCACGTCCTTGGTATCAAGGACATGGCTGGTGTCCTCAAGCCCAAGGCTGCCACTCTCCTGATTGGCGCCATCCGCGAGAAGTACCCCGACCTCCCCATCCACGTCCACACCCACGACTCCGCCGGTACTGGTGTCGCCTCCATGGCCGCTTGCGCTGCTGCCGGAGCCGATGTTGTCGACACTGCCACTGACAGCTTGTCGGGAATGACCTCCCAACCAAGTGTTGGCGCCGTGCTCTCGTCTCTGGAGGGCAGCGACTTTGAGACCGGCCTTAACGTCCACCACATCCGTGCCATTGACACGTACTGGGCGCAACTCCGTCTCCTCTACTCGCCATTCGAGGCTCACCTCACTGGCCCAGATCCAGAGGTTTACGAGCACGAGATCCCAGGTGGCCAGCTCACCAACATGATGTTTCAGGCCCAACAGCTTGGCCTTGGAGCCCAGTGGGCACAGACCAAGAAGGCTTACGAGCAGGCCAACGACGTCCTCGGTGACGTGATCAAGGTCACCCCAGTATCCAAGACCGTCGGTGATCTTGCCCAGTTCATGGTCTCCAACAAGCTCACCCCAGAGGCCCTCATCGCGAAGGCATCCGAGCTGGACTTCCCCGGCTCCGTCCTCGACTTCTTCGAGGGACTCATGGGCCAGCCCTACGGCGGCTTCCCCGAGCCGCTGCGCAGTCACGCGCTCCGCGACCGCCGCAAGCTCGACAAGCGCCCCGGCCTCTTCCTCCCCCCTATCGACTTCGCCAAGGTCAAAAAGGAGATCCGCCAGAAGTGGGGCAGCGTGACCGAGTGCGACATTGCCTCCTCCGTCATGTACCCGGCCGTGTTCAACGACTACAAGAAGTTCACGGAGAAGTACGGCGACCTCAGCGTGCTGCCCACCAAGTACTTCCTCTCCAAGCCTGAGATCGGCGAGGAGTTCAGCGTCGAGCTCGAGAAGGGTAAGGTCCTCATACTCAAGCTCCTCGCTATCGGCCCATTGTCCGATATCACCGGTCAGCGTGACGTCTTCTACGAGATGAACGGTGAGGTCCGCTCCATCACCGTCGATGATAAGCTCGCGGCTGTCGAGAACGTCTCGAGGCCCAAGGCCGACCCCGGAGATTCGTCGCAGTGCGGCAGCCCGATGGCTGGTGTGGTTGTCGAGATCAGGGTTAAGGAGGGCTCTGAGGTAAAGAAGGGCGATGTCATTGCTGTCATCAGCGCCATGGTACGTTTTCCCGTCTTTCCCCCTCGCTGTTAACTGTTCATTTTACTAACTTCGGTCACAGAAAATGGAGATGGTTGTTACGGCTGCGCATAACGGTGTTATTGCCCAGCTCGTTGTCAAGGAGGGCGATTCGCTGTCGGGACAGGATCTCATCTGCAGGGTTGTGAAGCCATAGGTTATGTTTGGGTAGTTTTGTGTTTTTGTCAAATCTAAGATTCCTATTTTAAATAGATGTTGCTCTGTGCTGTGTCTGCTGGTGTGGTGAAGCTGGTAACTTGCGGGGCTATGGTGGCACTTCATGGTCTTCGCATGGGGGATGGATCTGTCTGCCATCTTGTGTTCGCGGGAATCACTGATATAAGAATATGTATGCTAAATGAGACAGCTTGATTATGAAATGCTAACTATTTTGTAAGAGACAATAAAATGTCGAAATAAATTCATAAATAAATCCCATCGAGTTATCTAATATATCTCCGCAAATTGGGTTGCCTTCTATTAATATTATTCGTTCCGGAGACCATATTATTTTGAATCGAAGGAGCCAAACTATTATTTAACCCAGCACACTACACATATAACCCTCCATCCTATTAAAACGTTGTGGGATGTCTTTCCGATAAAAGCACAACTAGCGGGAAACTTAATCGAGACATCAACTCTCTGATCACGAGACACTATCCCCAAACTAGCGTAGCAAGGTATCAACTACATATGAGACCTCTCAACCCTTCAAGGACGTCATACAAAAGTATTCATTGCCTCCAGCTCCAATAAACAAAAAGTAAGTAAAGTGTGTAAGTCCATTCGCGCCCAGGTTCCTTTATCTCATCTCAATCCCCGTGGAGATCACAAGATGGCGGGCACGAAGCACGAGCAGTCCCCATGGCTACACCCCATCCAGCAAAGGTTCGGTGAAACGGCGAAGAGATCCCAGATGTAGTGCATCATCGCATCTCAAATCCTAGTGGCCCAAATAGCGGTGCATATATCCATTTCGTTGGTCAGCATCCCGCTTCCCAGGTTCCCCAGACAGAGTGTGATGTAATATCACCACGGTGCGGGGTCAAGGACTCGTAGTACTATAAACGCCACCCATCCATTCACCTCTGGTCCTCCCCTCTCATTCAGAGCTCATAATCCCTCGAGCTATAACTCTTCTTTCATATATACCATCATACCATCATATTTCAAGTTTTAAGACAAGAAGAATCATCTACAGAAATACACCAACTATGCCTTCCCCCCTCGACGACGCAACATTCTCCCACACCCTCCCCAACGTCCCCCGCCGCGAATCTGACGCCAGCGAAGGCGGACGCCGCCGCTCCTCCGCCAGCAGCGGGGGTCGCTTCTCCTCACTAAACTACCAGAAGCGCCAGGGATCCGGGGACCCCGCCGCCATTGCCAGGAGGGAATCATACAACGACCAGCGTCGCGAGAGTGGCTGGTTCGGAGGGCTATGGAATAAGTATGTCATATTTCCCTGACACGATCCCAGAGACGGGAATGTGGATGGGATGTTGGAATAGGGTCAGAGGCGCTAACTGGTGTAGTTGGATGCGTGGCCCGAGCCAGACTGTTGCAGAGCGCCGCCAGTCGGAGAGTGCGCAGCCTGCTGCGGGGGAGGCGAAAGCGGCGGGCATGACGGAGCAGGTGGGGGAGCAGGCAAGGAAGCAGTCTTGGGGGTCGAAGCATATTCATGGGACTGGGGCTGGGGCGGCGGCGTGGCGTGCGCAGTATCCGAGGAGTGGGAGTGGGAGTCATTCTTGAGTAGGTTTGAGTATGTTGACTGGCCGAGTGAGGGATTCAGCTGAAGGATTCCATGGGCCAGTGAATGGACGCCTGAGACGCTTCTGGATTGGAGATTCGTTTTAATATCGTCCTGTTAGTTTAGGTGAATGCAAGTACTTTATGTTAATACAGCAATGCGTCCCTGGTTAAGTAGGAAGACGAGGCTGGTGACCATTAAGGTGACTTAAGGCAAGAGACATGAGGCAATATCTCGCATAGTTGTGATGCCGGGTATAGTTATCATATCACACGACTTGAGGAGACAAACATGATAGAACAAATACGTTATCTGTTTATTCTTGATAAGTTGTATAACAAACGCCGACACCGTCATTATTCCTATAATCCAGGAATTTAATTTTCAAAAGCCCATAGCAAGCATCAATGGTGAATACATAAGCACGAAGAACAATTTCAGATTCAACAATGGTTGAGCCGGCACGAAGCCGGTCGGGCTTAACGCCGCAGCAAGACTCTCTCGAGCACAAGCCGAACAGTCCTATGACTGCCAAATGTATCGCAAAGTACATCCTAACCCCATTTTGCTATCCCATCACACCCATTGTCTCAAAAAAACGCCCATCGATCGTGTAACTGCAGGCAATTTACCTGACAATTCCCTCGAACCTCTGCTTGTACCATTTGACGATCTCGTCCTTGCGGATCTTGTGGGAAGCACCGACGGCGGTGCGGGCACGGCGGCGCTTGGCGACGCGCTCACCACGGCGGCTCATGCAGACGTAGAAGTCCATTCCGTAGATACCGATTCCGGGATCGTACTTGATGCCGAGATCGATGTGCTCGCTGATACCGAAGCCGAAGTTACCGGTCTCGGAGAAGTTGCGCTTGCGGAGCTCGTACTCCTTGACCTTGAGGCCACGTTCGAGGATCTCCTCGGCCTTGGGGCCACGGATGGTGACGTGAACGGAGATCTTCTCGTTACGACGGATACCGAAGGTACGGACGGTGTAGCGGGCCTTGCCTGTTGCGAATTTGTTAGTGAAGTTCAAGAATTGGTGGATTGGATCCCTTGAAATCGGAATTTCAAGGAAAGAGGGTAGAACGTACTGTAAACCGGGGTTTGACCAGAAAGTTGCTCGAGCACCTTTGCGGCACGAGTAAGTCTGTCACCAGACTCTCCCACGGAGATGTTGAGGACGAGCTTCTGGATACGAAGATCCTTCATGGGGTTCTCGGTCTTTTCGGCCTGTCATATTGAATCAGTATGCGATAATTAGACATAGATATATCAATCATACCATCTTGAATATCGTTGGCGGGTGATTCCTGGGTTGTCGTTGGCGTTGAATGAGGAAATTCGAAATTGAGAAGTTCGCGGAGGGTAAATCGCTTCGCAAACCCTAAAGATTTTAGTCCGCGATGACGCTAGTGACTAACGCGGATAGCGTAAAATGGGGATTTGAGCTGGTAGCTAGCAGAGCCGCAGCGGGCCAAGGCGTCTGTCTGTATCAACCATCAAATTCGCGATTAGAGGCTTGTAACAGAGCTCTAGACGTGATATTGAAGTTATTACTACTTCAATACACAATCTTTGAAACAATAAGAGAAGGTGCTTCACGCGCTACTCATACAAAATGGCGAACAAGCAGGGAAAGATGGTGAGTTGCCTCCTACGACGTTCGATTGTGTTATTGACAGGATAGGCTAACTTATATCCCATTATAGGCCGGTCTCGTAAGTAGATACCCATGGACGCGCCTGGAGCATACCGAATATGGGAGATAACAGAAGGAAGAGAAACTGACCCCATATAGATCAACTACCGGATGAGGGTGACCATGAACGACGGTCGCCAGATGATTGGGCAGATGTTGGCTTTCGATAAGGTCCGTTTTCGCAGCTGGGATGAATTAGGAACGGAATACTGACAGCATTGCAGCACATGAACCTCGTCCTTGCCGATACCGAAGAGTTCAGACGTGTCAAGCGCAAGGCAACCAAGCCCAGCGCCGCCCCCGGCGCGGCAGGCTCCTCTGCACCACTCGTCGAGAACGAAGAGAAGCGCACCCTCGGCCTCACGATCGTGAGAGGTGCCCACATCATTTCCCTCTCTGTTGAGTCCCCGCCACCGGCCGACCCCTCGGCAAGACTCGGAACAAGCGCGCCAGGGGGAGCCTCTGCGGCAATGGCTGCTGGCCCCGGTATTGCTAGACCAGCGGGCCGTGGTCTCCCAGTTGGACTCACTGTAAGCTTAATTGATACGCCGTATACGATTGCTGCTAATTACTTTACAGGGTCCGGCTGCTGGTGTTGGAGGAGCGCCTCCTGGACTTGGAGGGTTTGGCGGAGCGCCACCATTTGCTGGAAGAGGTATGCACTGGATTTCACGAGACCAACGATAGTAACTAATCAATTTGTTTTAGGCGCGCCTCCTGGATTCCCAGGCGGATTCCCCCCACCACAAGGCTTCGGAGGGGCACCTCCGGCAGGTTTCCAGCCCCCTCCAGGATTTGCTCCACCAGGAGCACCGCCAGGATTTGGTCGTGGAAGGTAGATACCCAGGGGCAATTAAAGAGAGATTGCATCACGATATCAGGCTTTGTGACTTGGTGTGGAGGGATGATAGTAGTTCAAGTGATATAAGGCGTCAAAAGGGGCGGCGTACCGGCTTCGCATACCAATGGAAAAGTTATAGCATAGAGAGCGACAATTCCATACGTTATATGACCATATTTCCTTCAAGCAGTGATTATAATGACCTATTGTGCTAATCGATTGACTTCTTCGGGGTAAATGTATGTGGCACGTGACCCGGTGTAACCTGGCGGCTCCAACCGATTTCCCAACCTTGTCTGAAATGTCCTGAAAACAGTTGCACATCACTCACCCAACAATCCTCAAGATGGCCGCCTTTGTCAAAGCGATCAACGCCAAAATAAGGGCACACCCCATGCTCAACTATGTGTGTTCGACACGTAAGTGGCCTCAATTCGGTCTCCATGGAGCCCAATCCGCGATTCCGATATGCGTAGGCAGTTGTGATTCACCATGAAAACTGACATGATATCTCCGCTACAGATTTCTGGGGCCCAGTGTCCAACTTCGGTATCCCCATCGCGGCCGTGATGGACACACAGAAGTCGCCCGAGCTGTACGTTTCCCCTTGCACGACCCCGTTTCCTTTCAATCCCCTCTTGACTACTCGCCGACTCTTGTCGTCCCGCCGATCCTAGCCTGACCCCCAACAAGTATCTCGGGCCAGATGACCGCTGCTCTTTGCGTCTACTCTGCGACATTCATGCGCTACTCCCTCGCCGTCTCGCCGGCTAACTACCTCCTCTTCGCGTGCCACTTCATCAACGAGGGGTCGCAGTTAACACAAGGATACCGCTACCTTAACTACCACCACTGGGGCGGGAAGGAGGAGATGGCCAAGAAGGGCGAGCTGCCAAAGACTGATGCCCCGGCTGAGAGCAAGAAGTTGGGCGAGTTGGTCGAGAAGGCCAAGACTGAGTTGAAGAAGTAAAGGGATAGTTGGGTTCGGGTATACTCATATGGTGCACAGAGGATGTCCTGGGGAAGGATAGATCTACCAGGGAGACTCGAGAGGGTTATATAAATCTACGGTGATCAGAGTGAAGTGGCGACTTCGGACTGGAAGGAAGCCTGGAAAGAAGCATGTAAACAACAATAGACTTCAGTGCTTTGTGCTATAATGAATTTAAATATGTTGATTGCTTTCCAAACGGTATAGGGTATACATTATTTAAGCCATAAACTCAGCATCATTGAAATTATAGAGCCTGGTGATTGAAAACTAATTTCATCATTTGCAGTCAACAGACAATACGATGAAATAGATATAAACCGACATTTAGAGCCGATATGCCCATAGATTATATAATGTGGCTGGGTATCTAACACAAACGCCATCATGCATGTAATCCGCCGCCTACTAACCAACCGATCACAACGATGTATGATCCCCCCAAACCCCCGTTATTTCTACAACTAGATTAGCAACTGTGCTAACCGCCCACAGTGTAATCAATCCATATCCAATCTTCCTAGTCATCATCCATTTGTTGAGCGGTACGAGGATCAGTAATGCTACGAGAGTAATGAGCAGCGAGACAGCCGAAATTAGAAGCGTAGGACTGATATCGATCTCGTAGGGCTTGTACTTCATCGGCCGCCCTGGATGCTTTTCATGTTTGTTGTTGGCCTCCGTGAGCGTCATGTAAAGTCCACTGCCACCAACTCCCAATAGAATGTTGAGCATCGGGCCGCCAAAACACGCGGAGAGCGCCATGACGGGATATCCAAGACGCGCAACAGTGATATCTGCAACAAGGTCGCCCAAGGAATTTCCAACGGCGAATATCGTGAGTCCAAGAATGGCATCGGAGATACCAACGATGACGCCGAAGGCTTTCAGCACCCCTACGACTTCGTTGGCTATCGTGGAGATCCAGGCAATGCTGACAATGAATCCAAGAAAGCAGAACAAGTGCCTGTATTTTGGCATCCTATCATGTCTTGTTGTGACAGTGAGGATAGCAAGGGTAACCAGAGACCCTATCAAGCCATATAAGATCATCATGAAAAGGGGTTTCGGTTGCAGATCGTCATGGTACAAGTTCCCCCATATAACAAGGGAGACAAACACAGGCGCGGTGAATATCTGAACCGCAACAAGCCACCTATTCCAGTCGGCGGGTGTTGTTAGAGCTAGAGCTGACTCGGCCCGCGCAGCAAAGTAATCTTGGGCTGGATTGATGTTCTTTGGCTGTAACGGCTCAGAGTGAGGGTTGCCGTGATGGATGTCCTCAGTTGAGATGGCTATGCTAGCTGAGGTTCCGTGTCCGGCAAGTCCACGAACGTGTGGCTCTGCTCCAGGAGTAAGCAGGACAGAATTGCGGATAGAACTGCGGCGATAGTTAGCCCATTCTGGTTCGACTTCATTGTCTGTATAAGGAGCCTCCTCGGCAAGCCCCTGGCTCGTGGCACTTCGAGACCTTGATTGGCGTTCTCGAGCATTCTCCAGTTCAAGCTCTTCATCATCCTCTTTTAGTTCGCTCTCTACGACCGGCAGTGTCACAGCCAGTAAGAAGATACTTGGTGCAGAGACCACGCTCAAAAGCTTATCCCAGATATTCTTACCTTCCCAGTTTTCAAACGTAGGAAACAAAGAAGAGCGAATAGCTTGTGGAGCAGGAAGGTAGCGATATGGCCACCACCTGACAAGTCTTCCGGGGACCTGACCATAGAATGATCGTGCACCAGGCGTCCCAGGAGAACTTAGACCTCCGGATTCGAGCCTTGCTTGTGGGGGAGAAATGGGCTGCGGAGAAGAAAGTGGCCGCGGTGAGTCCGTATACGCAGGGAATGCATATACCGGTGACAACGAGCGTGTCCTGGAGCTATCTCCTGAATCGGGAACACGAATCGTTGGCCGGCTAGTTCGGGGAGAATAAACCGGCGAGGGGTTTACGGTCGATGCTGTTTGAAAGAAGTCGGGTTTCAACTGGTGACCGGCAAAAAAATCTGGTGCGGGTGGTGCTAGGCCATGCTCATAATTTTGTTGCCCCGCCTGAAGCGGTGGGCTGGTGTCTTGGGGCTCTCGAGAAATCGGCGGAGACGATACTGAAATCACCGGCGAGGGCGGGATGGCGTCACCAGTTTTGATTGGAAACTGCTGGCTTCTGCCAGGTTCTGCGGCGGTGTTTATTGGGTCCAGATATCTAGGGTCGCTAGGCACTGCAGGCTCAATGCCGCTATTTGGAACTTCCGCCGCAAAATAATGACCAAGATTACTCGGGTTCTTATTGACATCATCCGCGGAGGATGGTACCATTGGAGAATTAGGTTCGATTAAATCTGTTGAACCTGACGGGTGGTCTGCATTAGTGACAACAGTACCTTGCTCAGATTGATTGGACCGAACAGTTCCTCGGTCGAAAGATGGGTTGGAGGATGGCACCCGCTCATCTGAATACCGCCGGAGTCGTATTTGGTGGTCGGAGCAACCTCTAGCTTTTTGGAGCGAAGACAAGACCGAACGAAACTCCATTGCTCCGATAAGACTGGGTCTGATAGGAGTCATCGTGCTCCTTCTGCTACCTCTCGGACGCAGAACTCGCATGCTGTTGCTCACTTCTGTGGCCAGCATCCTGCCCCTCTCCCCTTCGCCATCGCTATCATCATCAGAGTCTCGTTCGATATTGGGCGTTCGGTCGTGGAAGCTTCTTTCCAAGTCTTCAAAGTCTTCACTTGACCGTCCAAGCCGGCTCCCATCTTCTACACCATCTTCGTCTTCGTGATCTTCCACCAACACTTCTATTTCCGCAAAAGATGGCCCCTGATAATGGCCCCGTGAAAGGGCAATGCGCTCCCTCTTCCTTCGTTGCCGCTGGAGATACCAATGCCATGTCACAACAACCGCCACATAAAATACGTAGAAACCGATCATAGCACAGCATTCCCACAAGTGCAGGATGCCATCGGCTAACATCACCATGCTGAAACTTGCAGCCACAATGAAGAAGCCGACATCGCGAACGAAGCTCTTCTTTCCAACTTTGAACTCTCTGACCAAGGCCATTGACCCCGCAACAACCCCGGAGATGAACCCGGCCGCTCCAATCAGTTCTCCTACCGCCATACTCCCACTGTGAGTGCTCATTGCCGCAAATGTCGAGAACACATCCGGGCTGCCGTTTCCAAAAGCCAAGAAAGTAACACCAGCCATACTTTGGCTCATACCCAAAATCGTGGCAATCGTGCTAAGATTTATACAGAAGAAGTCGCTTGCGGCAATGCCGATTGTCGTGAACAATAGCCCAATCCATAGAACGAGTATTGTGAACGCGACGGGTTGCGCATTTGGAAGAGTGCAGTAGTAGAGGGATAGATAAGACAGGAGGCCTGCTTCTTCGTCCAGACAGTTTGCTTTTATGAAGGCGCATTTATCGTCTGCAAAATGGACGAGCCGGCACTGCGAAGCCCATGTTAGCAATCACCATTGAAGGCTTATCAACATGACTGACCTCTTCATCTCTCTTGAGCAACCTGTTGGCGTCGAGTTCCGCAACGGCGCGTCGCTGGACAATCCCATACTGGTCGCCATTCTTGTATCGGGCAACCTGGGTCGCAACCAGACTAACCAAGGCAAAGGCGCACAGCAATAGAGTCGATATGTAAAACGAGCGGAAAGAGAACTTGGACCTGGCCCTTCGATGTTGCGTCGATGTCGCCATTAACCCGAGACTAAGCATTGTATTCTAGAGCATTGCATTGCTTGCAACTCGATTTATAGCAATGCGACTGTGCAAGTGGCAAATATTGATAAAGTATAACAAATAGCAGTGAGCTATAGAATCAATGTATTGCTATGAGTGTCGCGACTTCAAGATGCACAGCCCAAATGCCCAGAGATTTGGGGATGCAGCTTAGATGACGACGTTAGTGCCTTCAATCGGCCCCCCCGGATGCTGTTCCCTTATGGGGACCTGTACCTCAAAAGTTGGGACCTAACCGATAAAGGGAACAGGACCCGCGAGGGGCAATGCAGCCCAAATAGTCACGTGACATACCAAGCTTCGCGTGTTTATTGTTTACTCAGATTGTAGGGATTGCGGCAGGAGCTACCAGCGACAACGAAATTCGACACAGATACGACATATATTGTGCGCATACTGCGGGCTATAACTCAACATGCCTCGAGTAGCTCAGCAGCCCAGAACTGCTGGTAGCAGAAATGTATCAAGCGGGGCACCAGCAACCCCGTTCAAATCGCAGGTCAAGTAGGGATTACCATACCAATAGATCAAATAAATCGCATGCTAACCTGGCGATTTATTAGAATCCCTCTAAATGATGATGTACAGGAAAAAGCGAAGAGATTGCAGTCGAGACATGCGCTCCATGATATTCAAATGAACCAGATCAAAGCCGCAGCATCACCAATGCGGAAACTTAGCAGCTACGAGCGCGCAAATAGCGCATCGCCCTCTTCGAATCCAAGGACGCCCGCCCGGCGGACAGCGAATCGTGGTAAGGAAAACGATATGGATGAAGATATGATCAATGTTGGTGGAACAGCAGTTACGCCCATGAAGAGGGTGCCTATCCTTGCGAACTTTGAGGAATGGATGAAGATGGCCACAGACAACAAAATCAATGCGACCAACTCCTGGAACTTTGCTCTCATCGATTACTTCCACGATATGACGCTGCTAAAGGAAGGTAATGGGGTAAATTTCCAGAAGGCCAGTTGCACGCTGGATGGCTGCGTCAAGATCTACACAAGCAGAGTCGACAGTGTAGCTACGGAAACGGGAAAGCTATTAAGTGGTCTTGCTGATAGCGGTAATAACAAGAAAAAGCGGGCTGGAGCAGAAGGAGAAGAAGGGGAAGTGAGCGAGGAAGAGGTCGAAGATGAAGATGGGACAGTGAGGAGGAAGCCAAAGAAGAAGGCCCAGAGGTCCTCGGAAGCCACATTAGCTCCGTCGTTTGCTCCACTACAACTGAAGAAGTTCGAGCTCGAGTTTTCTGTCGATCCGCTGTTTAAAAAGGCGTCAGCCGACTTTGATGAGGGAGGTGCCAAAGGGTTACTCCTCAACCACTTGTCTATCGACTCCCAGGGCCGAATTGTTTTTGACAGCAGCGATGACGCAGGTGATGCATCCGCCGAGGGTAGAGGAAGGCAAAGGAAAGGCGACACTATCGAGGAAGAAGAGGAGGAGGAGACACCGGAACCAAGCTCGTTGCTAGAAGACACCGCCAAGCTAGAGGACGACGAGGAAGACGCTGAGATTGACATCGCTTCCTTGGGCGCCAAATTCTTCCCAGACCTTGATCGCCTTGAGGAGCAAGATATTTGCCCCTCTCTGAAGAACTTCGATCTCGGCGACCCTTCTGGATCGATGGACATTCCATTCCTGAAAGCACCTGATGATTGGCGTCAAGATCGTGAAAAGACAGCCCAAGCAGGCGAAATTGGCGATACTTCCGGCGTCTTCCTCGACGATGACAACCCAGCTGGGTTTGATGATGACGATGACGGACTGCTTGGCAACTTTAATATGCCCGATGCAGGTTTCGGTGAAGGTGGCGAGGCATGGGCTAGAGATGCTGCCATAGAACCCCAACTTCGAGTCCATGATAATGGTGAAGGGATGGAAGGGGCAGAGGGCGAAGATGGAGCAGGAACTTTTGATCCGGAAAGTGGAGAATTCATTGTGTCTCTCAACCGCTCGAAAGGCGCCATGGAAGGCGGCCACGAAGACATCCTGAGCTATTTCGACCAGGCACTTCAAAAGAACTGGGCTGGCCCGGAGCATTGGCGTATACGAAAAATCAAGGACTCCACCAAGGCAGTTACTGCCCCCAAGGCTCGCAAGGAGAAGGAGCCATTCGAAATTGACTTTATGTCGACACTCGACCAAAGCCTTGCTGAATCGATATACACACCTGCGAGCTCCAACACCGTCATTTCTATGCCCAAGAAAGATTGGAAATCCAAGACCCGGAATCTCCTCCCTGACGACAAGCACTTCTCCTCAAAGCAACTTTTACGCCTCTTCCTGAAGCCCAAAGCACAAATGGGCTCCCGTCGACCCGGGCTTGGTAACAAGCTCGGCAGCTTTGGACAAGCTATTAAGAAGGAAGAGGAAGTGCCTGAAGGCGAGATGGATGAAGCTTTCTGGGCACAGAAAGAAGACCCTATTATTGCTGGGGCTGACGAGGAGGCTCCCAAGGGCAATTATGACGCGAATTTCTTCCAGGACGATGGAATGCCAATGGGTGGTATGGACGATGACGATGAATTTGCTGATGCAAGAGACCATTTCTCACCAGGCCCAGATGGTAATGGCAACGAGGGAGGAATGGCTGGCATCAATAATCTCCTTGGCGGTGGTATGATGGGTAGCCAAGGCACTGAAGGAGAAGGTGCATTTGGGACCCAGCTTGTAACCCAGAGTCGAAGATTGCGGCCAGAATATGTGCAGTATGCCCGTGTTGCTAAGAAGGTGGATGTCAGGCGGCTGAAGGAGGAGCTGTGGAAGGGTATGGGTGTCAAAGGTCTTCATTCGGTATGTCCAATACCTTCCCCTCGCATTTCAGAAACTAACCAGAAAACAGGAGGAACCACCGGACGCGTCAGGTCGACTGCCTACACCAGTATCCGAGACTGAAGAGAAATCAGATGAGGTTCTGCAGTTCACCAATGTCATGCAAAACCTGCAAACAGTATACCCGAAGCAGGCCATGAGCGACATCTCGACAAGCTACTGTTTCATTTGTCTGCTACATTTGGCGAATGAAAAGGGGCTTGTCATCGAGAAGCAAGAGGGTCTGGCAGAGCTGACGATTCGGAGGGATCATACGGCTGAGATCACGGTTGGTGGGGGTTGAGTAGGCTCAAGGCTGGCGCCACATGCCGTTTATGTTGCAATGAATTTAATATGTAAATGGTTGCTTTGGGTTGGAGTTTGGGGGGGGGTACTATGGTTGTACAAAGGGTTGAGGTCGCAAGGATTGACTGGTAGGAGGGGGGCATTTTGGTTTTAATGAAGCATGAGACATCTGTATTAAGGTTTAACTGATCCAATCACGTTGTGTGTGGTAGACTTGAAATTGTTCTCAGGTGAGAAAATATAAACATAATATCGCCACGTGACAGGCTTATAGAGTTTTTGCAGCCAATGTAATGTAATTGCAAAAGAAATAGACATGTCAAATTATTGATAAAGAGGCCAGTAGGGTAGAAGGAAAGAAAATCTCTCACTTATGACGTTCCCGTCCCAATATTGTGAGGTAACACCAAGAGCTAAGCCACGTGCTTCTTCATCATAGCAGCTTCCCGTAGATCTTCAACATTCGACTCCCCCCCCAAAAATAATGCCCCGACCTCACCCAGTACCCAGTGATCCCTCGCCCAAGTCCGCCAACCTGGACCCAATTGGCGGGCATCCACCGCAAGAAAGAAACAGTCGGATTAAATCGAGTACCTCATTTTTTCATGGGAGCAAACAGAAATAATGACACCTCGGTTCCGCTGAGACCTCTCTTCCCGAATTTGATCAAGCCACTGAGGCAAGGAGGGAAAAAGAGCCACGGACACAAAAGGTACCCCGACAAACGAAATTTAATCGTGTCCTGGGAGGGATTCACTTGGGGGTTTTTAAACTTGTTCATCATCGGGTCTACAGTCATTTATTCATCGTTCAAGGCGGCGGTTCTGTTATCACCTCAATTTCCAGAGACTCGACTTTGATTTACTTTTTCAATGACTTTGTCTCCGCAGAACTAGGACGCCGAAGCTACAACTGCGGGGGCTTTGGTGAATTGGATAGCTCAGCAATACTCTGGCTGAAGGAGGCCAACATTACCAAGTCAACCCCTCGCCTTCACCGCTACATCAACTGTTGTTCTCACATGATCAACCTGCCACCGGCGCCGACATATATACACCAACACCCTCTCACACCTCACCTCCCCAAGCCACCTCTCGCCGCAAGAAAGACAACCAAACGCCAACCCAAACATCACCATTACCACCACCACGAGGCCCATCATCACCGAGCCCACCAAAATGGCAAACTCCCCAGCACCCACCCCAGACCCCCCTTTCTCAACCAACCGCCCACCATGCCTTTTAACCCCGTCAATACCACCCTCCACCCCTGCCTCAACGCGCCGCATCCTAATCTGGCGCCACGAAGTCCTCTCCGCCACCGCTCTGCACCCCACCCCCCCCCGGCCCGCCCAGCAAGGCACATGGCGCCGTCTCGAGAGGCGGATTCGTGGGAAGATCTGGACGGGGAAGGCGAGTGGTGGGGAACTGGGGAATGGGATTGGGAATGGGAATTGGGGGGTGATGGAGGAGGAGAGGGAGGAGACGAGGATGTATGAGTTGACTGAGAAGGAGAGGGGGGTGGGGCGGATGGTGGTGGAGGAGTGCAGTTGGGAGGTTGAGAGGGAGGAGACAGAGGGGAGTGCTGGGAGGGAGAAGAGGAGGGGCGATGAGAAGGAGGAGAGGTTGGAGAGGGCGGCGGAGTTGTTGGGGAGGCAGGGGAAGGTGGGGGTTGAGGTTAGTGACGAGGTGGAGGATGAAGTTGTGGAGGAGAGGAGGGTGGCTGTGTGAGTGTACTCTGAGCATGGGGTGTATTGAGTTGGTATGGTGTTTGCTCTTTTATGGGCGAGGAGTTCGGTCAGGTTAGGGTTGTAATAGCTGGGATTGGATGGATTGGATGGTGGGTTAATAGAGGGGGAGTTCGCTGTACTTTAATACCATAATGAGAACTAGATTGTACTGGCATGAGGAATCAAGTCACACTGCAATCACAATCACGAGCACGAACAAGATGAGCAATGCATGTGGTATATGTTTTGTGTATTTCATTGCCCACCCCACACCCACTCCTCCAGACGGGCTCCGATAAACACAAGGTAAAAGTAACAGTTTGACAGACTACCCGCTATGGCAAACGCAACAAAGGTTGATTCAGGATAGTTCTAACGGGATTGAAGTATCTAAGATACCGTTCCCGCCAGGCACCACCGTTCATCAAAGCAATCCCCTGGGCGGATTATAATTATCCATTTGTGTGAGTTACCGCATCCGAAATCTCATCAGAGGACGCCGAAAGAGTTTCCGGAAGTAGCAATCAGCCGTCGCCTTTTCCATCGACAAAAAACCGCGTTCGTGTGAGAGAAACCGTAAACAGGGCAAAATAAAAAGAGACATTTCGCAAAGGGGCAGGTGGGGCATTTGGGGATTCGGGAGGAAAAAGGAGAAAAACCATGATATCAAGGATCGCAGGATGGTGTATTCGCAAATCGCATGCCCCCGCCTCAGACCCGTGGCATCGAATGCTCTCGCTGACTAGTTAAGACACTGATGACGAATGTGTGCAGGGGAGTTGCGGAACGGGGCCTCGTGAGACGACAAGATTTAAGACTCAGCAGCTGGGGCAGTCTCGGTGGCGACTGGCTCAGCCTCCTTGGGGGCCTCGGCCTCAGGTGCCTTCTCGGCCTCCTTTGCGTCGGCGGCCGGTGCGGCCTCGGCCTCGCCGCTGTCGGATGAGGTCCACAGCGTCAGGTTGTCGCGGAGGAGCTGCATGATCAGGGTGCTGTCGCGGTAGGACTCCTCGGAGAGCGAGTCGAGCTCGGCGATGGCGTCGTCGAAGGCCTGCTTGGCCAGGTGGCACGCGCGGTCGGGCGAGTTCAGGATCTCGTAGTAGAAGACCGAGAAGTTGAGGGCGAGGCCCAGGCGGATGGGGTGGGTGGGGGTGAGCTCGGTCTGGGCAACGTCGGTGGCGTTCTATGGTAATGTTAGTTCCCGATCGTGTCTGTAAGAGTATGGGCATTGTACCTTGTAAGCCTCGTGTGCAGCAGTGGCAGCACCCTTGCGCTTCTCTCCCGAGGCGAACTCGGCCAGGTAGCGGTGGTAATCACCCTTCCTATAGAACAAAACAAGTCAGAATCGTATAATGTGGGGTGTATATAGCAAAATATTGGCGCCAACGTACATCTTGTGGTAGAAGACCTTGGACTCTCCGGACTCGGCCTTGGGGATCAAGGACTCATCGAGGACATCAAGGACATCCTGGCAGACCTTCTCAAGCTCGGTCTCGATCTTCTGGCGGTAATCGCGGATGGTGGAAACGTGCTTCTCGGTTCCCTTGGACTCCTCCTTCTGCTCGATCGAGGAGATGATGCGCCACGAGGCACGTCTGGTACCCACGACGTTCTTGTAGGCAACGGACAGAAGGTTGCGCTCGTCGACGCTGAGCTCTCCACCAAGCTATCGCACAACATGTCAGCCGATGCTCAGATCCAACCCGGGCCAACCCCAAAACACCCGCAGACTGAGCCTCATACCTTGGCGACCTCCTTCATGTATGTAACCATCTCATCGTATCTCTCAGCCTGCTCGCACAGCCTCGCGAGGAATGTCTTGCTAAAGGTCGCACAGAGATGTTAGCGGACTGATCTGTGCACAGTAATACCACGCCCATCCATCCGGTCCGGTGTCGTTATTTGTGTTTGCATGTCCAAACAAGTTCACTTTCGGGCGCATGTTTGGGTGTAGTTTCATTACCTTTCACGCTGGTACGGAAAGCACAGGTCAGCATTCTGATCTAGAGGATGATAACGAGGAGGCAGGAGAGGGGTCGACGCGGTACATGAGGCTGTCTATTGTGCTGAGACACCGGCCTTGACCTGACGTGATGACGTGTAGTGGGTGAGAGGAAGAACTTACTTCGGTGGCCATGGTTGGGAGTGAAGGTGTGTATGTGATGTAAGGTTGGTAGATGTGAAGAGGAAGTATTGGAATTGCGGAATGCGCGTGATTCAGGATGGTAGTAAGTAATGGACGTTTGATGTAGAAGTTGTAAGAAGTTGGCGGGCTGAGATTGAATGAGGTTCTGGGGGCAGCGATGGTGCGAGGTGGTCCTAAGCGAATAAGTGAGAAGAGCCAGATTGCTGGTGATGCGAGAGGGTGTGTGGTGGGAACTTTTGACAGTGGGAAGTGTTGGTGGTTGGGGGAATCATAAACAACGACTCGGCCAGCCTTGATTAGACTATTGAGGACTATTGGAGAGTATTATTGAAGGGGCAGTAGTCTACATTGGGGAGTTAGTGAGTTGGTGAGTTAATGAGGCGAATAAACTGGGCGTGGCGACGCCCTATTAGATGGATGACGAGTGACTTTGTTTTGTTATAGTAGAGTACTCTAGTAGTCTAGTAACTGGTGTATCCACGTCTCTTATGTCATTATAGTGTACCAACTCAGTGAAGCCCACCACAGTTCTCTACGGCCGGTATACATATCTGCAGACTACTTTGTTGTTGTTGTTGTTGTTGTTGTTGTTGTCGTTGTTGTCGTTGTTGTCGTTGTTGTCGTTGTTGTCGTTGTCGTCGTCGTCGTCGTCGTCGTTGTCTGGTGGGCGTCTTATCTAATATATTTAAAGTTACACTGTACTCCGTAGACGGGGACGTGAAAACCACAAGGCAGATAAGAAAAAAGAGTTAAGCAACAGCGAGGATGGCACCAAGGCTTGTTTTACAAACATGCACTTCACATGCATGTTTCCACAGTTACAGATCATGTAATAGGCAGGCGGAGGCTACGAGGCATATATATATATAAAGCGTAAATATCTCACTGTAGACACCCTTCGGCGTCGGCGTCAGTCCCTTGTTCGTTTGTGAGAGACGGCCGCCTGAGATGTGGGATAGTGTGGGATAGTATGGGTAGTTGATGTTGGTTCCCTATCCAGTTATCAAGCCCTTTTCTCAATATTCCATGGGTTTCGGGTGGCCAAAGGTGGCGGGGGCGGCGGCTACCTTGTGATACTCTAGTACGGTAGGGAATCCCCTCACGATGCCAGCCGCACATAAAAATGAGGCGCACGCACTCGAAAGGCCCAACACACATGCTGATTTGTCGCATTTTCTCAAATAGGCTCAGTCCTTGGGCTGAAGATGGATTGGAGTGCATAACTTACACTGCAGAGTACGGAGAAGATGCCTCTTTCGTCATTGAATTGTTCGTGCTGGTTGTCGATGGGAAAAAGGAAGGGCCTTGGGATGGTCCCAGCTGAGGACTAGCCAAGTTGCTGGTGGATCGATCTACTCCATCTACGGAGTACAACTTTATTATACTTTAATAAATTACCATAAGGCTGTCCTCCCTGTTTATATCATACCAAACAGCAACTATGGTTAAAAAACCCCAAGCCTGCATTTCCCAAGTACTACATACCAAACACTACTTAGTCACATGACCAACTTCTCCCCCAAAAATAAAAAAAAGCGAAGCCAAAATAAAACTTGGCCCGTCCAAACCGCCGGCGCTGCTAGTGATCCCGGTTCGCGTGTCGAGGAAGATTGAACTACCGCAGAACCGCAACGTGTTGTTATCGAGAAACATTTTCCTGAGCGAGCCCCGCTATTGTAAGCAGCTCCATCACGTCCCACGTCCCACGTCCCTGTAAATCTGGCCATTCCTTCCCGTTCTTGATTCCTACAGAAATTCCACCGTCAACAACTGTAAAACTCTCATCGACACGTCTACGCTTTCGTACATGATTGCTTTGATTTAATTCAACGTCCCTGACGTTGCTGCTGCTGCTGCTGCTGCTGCTACTGCTGCTGCCCCGGCTCGATAAGAATTTCATCCACCAGACGTTTTGACAACCGCGACCCCCACGCCATGGAGAACGCATTCGCCCAGTCTACGGGACAGGTTCTCAAGCATTTTTCGGTGCAGGAGCATAAGGGACTCGATGATGCACAGGTAATTGCATCCAGAGCGAAATACGGGAGCAATGGTAGGTTTTCCCTGTCCTGGGAATAATGGTCCAGACCAGTTATTGACGTTGCACATAGCTATCCCCCAGGAACCCCCGACCCCGGTTTGGGAGCTTATTCTAGAGCAATTTAAAGACCAGCTCGTCATTATTCTTCTCGGCTCCGCTGCTGTATCATTTATTCTCGCCCTTTTGGAAGATGGAGGTGGCTGGACAGCTTTTGTGGACCCTGCAGTCGTTAGTATATTATTTCAATGGCTGCTTAACAATGCTAACATCTTCGAAGATACTTACTATCCTTATCCTAAACGCCGTCGTCGGTGTCTCCCAAGAGAGCAGCGCTGAAAAAGCCATTGCTGCACTACAGGAATACTCTGCCAACGAAGCCAAGGTTGTCCGAAATGGCCATGTTGCTCGCGTCAAGGCGGACGAGCTTGTCCCGGGAGACATCATCACAATTGCCGTTGGAGATAGGATACCTGCAGACTGCAGAGTCATCGCCATCCAGAGCAACAGCTTTTCCGTCGACCAAGCTATCCTGACTGGAGAAAGTGAGAGCGTGGGCAAGGACGTTACGGTTGTCAAGGTGGATAATGCTGTCAAGCAGGATCAAATCAACATGCTCTTCTCTGGAACAACTGTTGTCACCGGTCACGCTACCGCAGTTGTTGTTTTGACCGGCCTGTCAACCGCCATTGGGGACATCCACGAGAGCATCACCGCACAGATTTCCGCGCCTACACCATTGAAGGAGAAGCTCAATGATTTTGGAGATTCGCTGGCAAAGGTTATCACCGTTATCTGCATCCTTGTCTGGGCCATCAACATCCGCCACTTCAACGACCCCTCGCATGGTGGCTGGACCAAGGGTGCCATCTATTACTTGAAGATTGCCGTCTCTCTGGGAGTTGCAGCAATTCCCGAGGGTCTCGCCGTTGTCATTACCACCTGTTTGGCCCTTGGAACCCGGAAAATGGCTGCCAAGAATGCTGTTGTCCGCAGTCTCCCATCCGTTGAGACGCTCGGTAGCTGCAGCGTCATCTGCTCCGACAAGACCGGTACTCTGACCACCAACCAGATGAGCGTCAACAAATTGGTCTATCTCAATGAATCCGGTAGCGACCTCGAGGAGTTCGACGTTGAAGGCACGACATTCTCTCCAGAGGGTAAAGTCCGTTTCCAGGGAACTCACGTTCCAGACCTTGCTGCCACATCCTACACTGTGGAGCAAATCGCTGAAATATCTGCCTTGTGTAACGATGCCCAACTGGCACTGGATGCAAAGACTGGTGTGTACTCTAGCGTCGGTGAGCCCACCGAGGGCGCCCTTCGTGTTCTGGTCGAGAAGATTGGCACTCCAGAGTCCTCGAAGAAGGCCCAAAACGGAAACTCCGCACTCGCAGACCCCCTCAGCAAGTCCAGCTCCTGGTACGAACGTAGGGCCCCTCGTTTGGCGACCTATGAATTCTCGAGAGATCGCAAGAGTATGTCTGTCCTTGTGGGAGATAAGAACTCTCAGCGTCTGTTGGTTAAGGGAGCCCCTGAGGCTATCATCGAGCGTTGCACCCATGCCACTCTTGGCGCCAATGGCAAGAAGATCAAGTTGACCAAGAAACTGTCTGAGCTACTCCTGAAAGAAGTTGTTGACTACGGTAACCGTGGACTTCGCGTCATTGCTCTCGCAAGCGTTGAATATGTCGAATCGAACCCGCTTCTCAAAAAGGCCAAGACTACCGATGATTATCTCAAGCTCGAGCAAAACCTGACCCTCGTCGGCCTTGTTGGCATGTTGGACCCCCCACGACCAGAGGTTGCTGGCTCGATCAAGAAATGCAAGGAAGCTGGCATCAGAGTCATTGTTATCACTGGTGATAACCGCAACACTGCTGAGACCATCTGCCGTCAAATTGGTGTCTTTGGCCCTCACGAGGACCTGACCGGAAAGAGCTATTCTGGACACGAATTTGAGAGCTTGAGCGGAAGCGAACAACTGGAGGCTGTGAACCGGGCTTCATTGTTCTCTCGCGTTGAGCCAACCCACAAGCTGAAGCTCGTCGAGCTCCTCCAGGCTCATGGCGAGGTTGTAGCAATGACTGGCGATGGTGTCAATGATGCGCCAGCTCTCAAGAAATCTGATATCGGTGTCGCCATGGGATCCGGAACTGACGTCGCCAAATTGGCATCCGACATGGTCTTGGCTGACGATAACTTTGCAACTATCGAGATTGCTATCGAGGAGGGCCGTTCGATCTATAACAACACCCAGCAATTCATCCGCTATCTCATCTCGTCGAACATCGGCGAGGTTGTGTCCATCTTCTTGACGGCTGCTATTGGCATGCCCGAGGCCTTGATTCCAGTTCAGTTACTCTGGGTTAACCTCGTCACCGACGGTCTCCCAGCCACCGCACTATCCTTCAACCCACCCGACCACGACATCATGAAGCGCAAGCCCAGACGCCGCAACGAGCCCCTTATCAGCGGCTGGCTCTTCTTCCGCTACATGGTGATCGGCATCTACGTCGGCCTCGCCACCGTCGCCGGCTACGCGTGGTGGTTCATGTACAACTCCGAGGGCCCACAGATCAGCTTCTACCAACTCACGCACTTCCACCAGTGCTCGGAGAAGTTCGCTGATGTTGGCTGCCAGATGTTCTCAAACGACATGGCCAAGTCCGCCTCGACTGTGTCGCTGTCCATCCTGGTTGTCATTGAGATGCTCAACGCTATGAACGCGCTGTCGTCGAGCGAGTCGCTGCTTACCCTCCCGCTGTGGGAGAATATGATGCTCGTTTATGCCATTGCCTTGTCTATGGCTCTTCATTTTGCTCTGCTGTATACGCCGTTCTTGCAGACGCTGTTCTCAATTCTTCCGTTGAACCTCAATGAGTGGTATGCTGTCTTGGCTATCAGCGCCCCTGTTGTGTGAGTTATAATATCCCTTGACTGAGTAGAGCATTACTGACTTTAATATAGCTTGATTGATGAGGTGTTGAAGTTCGCTGAGAGGCAGATTTACATTGAGACGAGCTACGCCGAGCCCAAGCCGAAGAAGGAGTAAAATAATATATAGAGGACAATGTGTACATTGTATCATCTCATCATCATTTTGAATAGTAGACATAGATTTAAATGCACAATTATCAAGCAAAGTTCATATAGTTCCAATGCACAACGTATCAAGCAAAAGTTCATGTGGCCCCAAGAAAAGCAATTGATGTAAAGTCTCCTTCGTTTCCACCTGACGCCGATCTGCCATGTATTGACCAGAAACGCTGTTATCTATCTAATTGTACACTCAAAATGAGCACTTCCAGAATATCCATGCTCCGTACTTCTTCTTCTCCTGTCCCCCATCCGCATCCAACCCGTCTAATCTTGTCTACCCTTCAGTAACCTCTTCGTCACCTTGTCCTTCTCGATGATGTATACGTGTGCTCCCCATCCAGACAACGCATCTCTATCCACCGCATTCAACAACGCCTGCGAAATCGTCTCGAACAGGTCCTCTGGCTCCTACACCACTCATTAGCACACATCCCTCCCTCCCCCTTCCCGTCTCCGCAAACATACCAAATCCGGCTCCCACAGCCCCTCACAAGTTCCAAACAGCTGATCGCTCGCCGTGCCCGCCACAATAAAATCCTTCGCAAAATCAATACACCCAATACTATCAAATCCGCAGATAAACGGTATCCCCGTCTTGGGATCCAACCCCGCCACCACGGGGCTCACGAAGAAGGGCCCAAAGCGCTTCTCGTACAGCGACGAGCTGACGAGGTTCGCGAACGTCGAGGGCGCGATGTTGCGCTCCTCGCGCAGACGGTACATGTTCACCTTGTACCGGAACAGATCAGACACCGTGGCGACGTCGGTGGCGAGACCGGTGAGCCCGAGGTAGACGTCGCCATAGTTGAAGACTTTGGGGAAGTTGTTGGAGACGGTTAGGGATTGGAGACCCAGGCGCAGGTCGCACGCGATCGCGACGCAGTCTTTGCCGACCATGGCGACGCAGGCTCCGCCATCTGGGGGAGGTTAGAGGAGGGGATGGGAAGGGGTGGTTGATGGGGGAGGACGCACTGATGGAGAATGGGGAGCTCTGGGGATGGGGTTAGTAAGTGGTTGCAAGGTGGTTGGTTGGGGAGGTGGTTTGGTTTGGCTTACCATGACTTTGATGTGTTGGCTTCACAGTGTCTGGGGTGTTTTTATATCGGTGTATGAGATGAGGGTCCTTGGAATCGTTCGTCGTGATGCTTTTTTCTATGTGTGGTGGTTTGGCTGGGCTTATGGACGGATTCGCAAGGTAGACACGGCTACGCGTAGGTGGAGCTGCGGTGGACGCTTGAGCTTGAGACGGCGAGCCTCACCCCAAATACGCTCGGACCAATTAGGTGGATGGTTACGTTTACTGTAGGTGCTGCAATGGCCTAGAGGCAACATTCCTTTGTACAGATCTGAAATTCCCTTTTCTACTTTGGTAAACTACGAGTTCACTTTTGTTACCTTCCCAGTCTCGTTATTTCATTGCCTATTGCGCTCGAATTACCGACGTCAACTACGAGTTCCGTGGTGATTCGCAGTTTGAAGGGTTCATTGAATCACCCCGCGATGATTGCTTGATAATAAGAATATCAGCGAATCCTACGGAAATCACCCACCACAAGACCCCACGAAGCTCCCTCCCCTCTCACGCATTTGTATATATGAAGTCTGCTTGATTCTACAGCATCTACACTTGCGCCAGCCCTTAAAAAGGCCCCAAATAGCCTACCCATTCCATAGGACCTATACTACAAGGTCCGAGAGACAGCTTCGCAGCCATGGTAGCCCATGTTGTGGTGACGGATACTGGGCTTCAACGGTATCAGATCAAGGTGGTCCCTGAGACACCCATGAGCGATGTCCGAAACCAGGCTTGTACAAGGTCCAAGTTCGACCCCAGCAACTACGGGTTGAAGTAAGTTGGACCCCATTTCACATGATGGCTACAGGTTGCTAACTGTATTCAAGGCATAATAACAAGCCAGTTGACCTCTCACGAACATTCCGACAATCAGGCCTCTCCTCCGGTGCAAAACTCGAGCTCGTCGTTGCCTCAAAGTCCCCATCGGCCGTGGCAGTAGCATTACAACTCCCCGATGGGACTCGCCACACGGATCGATTCCCAAGTAACACCACCCTATGGCTTATATTGAGGAAATTCGAGGCGAGCGATACCAAAAACCTCAACTTCACGGCCAGGAGCATAGCCGATACGGCGGCGCGCTCGAGCGGCAAGATCCTCTATGAGATGCCAGTTCTGAATGTTATGAATAGGGAGTTTGGTACCTTTGTGGACTTGCAGAAGACTCTGTCACAGATAGGGATTAGCAGCGGATCGATTTTATTACGTTTAAGCTACCGACAGACGGAGACGCCGTTGGAGGTAGCTACGGCAGAGATAGGCCAGTACTTTAAGGAAGTCGAGGAAGCTGCCCAGAATACTGGGGCGACACCTTCAACGGAAACAGCTACTCCTGCTGAGGATGGTACAATAACCGATCAAATCGCCAAAGTGCAAGAACCTGGCCCGCAAACACCGTCATCGCAGACGTCGAGTTCGGTGTCAGGCGTGGCAAAACCAGCGGAGACCTCAGTGCCTGATGAGGGTGTTGCTGGGCCAGGACAGCGTATGATTTCGGTCTTCTCCGCTCCTACGTCAACCGTCCCCCGAGCAGCTCAACAGGAGTTCAACGACTCCGACTACGAGCCCAGCGTTGCTGATGCCAAGTTGCACCAGTCTCGCCTCTTGAATAGGACACAGAACAAAAGGCTACTATCGGATGCAGAGCAGGAAGCTCTACAACGAGAGAAGGAGGCAAAGAAGTCTTCGGTTGTGGAAACAAGGGTTAAAGTCCGATTCCCTGATCAAACAACTGTCCAGTTCCCCGTCAATGCTACGGAAACGGGGGCAACGATGCTCGAGTTTGTTAGGGGTCTCATCGTGGCAGGGGACCAGCCATTCTCGTTGATATACAAGGACTCGAAAGGCCAGATCCATAGTGTGCCTGATAGCAGCACAGTGCGTCTGATCAAGGACCTGGGGTTTGAGGGGCCGACACTGGTTACATTTACTTGGAAGGATGAGGCGGGCGAGGTTGCGAGGAAGTGGCCGATACTCCAGCAGAAGTATGCTACGCAAGCAAAGCCTGTGCAAGTACCAGAAATCCCGAAGGCACAGGGGGGTGGAGGCGGCGCTGCTCCAAAGCCGAAGGAGAAGAAGGCCGGTAGTGGGAAGTCTACGGAAGAGAAGCTCAAGGGCTTCCTCAAGGGGTTGAGCAAGAAGTAAGCTGTCAGTCTGTCGATGCTGGCATGATACACGGCGCTTTGAGGGAATTGCATTGGTATTAGTCAAGAGGCTCATAGCGAGGCGTTTCAGAGGTATATAATTTTAGTATGAGTTTAAATGTCACAAATTCACTTGAAGCGTCAGGCCATAATAAGTCTTGCAAGTTGGTATCAAGTTGTGATTCATTGCCCGAAACCTCGGTCGAGTTGCCAGCTATATATTGGTCCGGCTTTTTACTCTCGCAGAGATTTTCATCCAGCCATGCATTGGCGCCCATTGTACACCATCACACCCTGTCCCAAACTTCCCAAACGCACCATGATGCATTTAGTGGGCGGCACGGCGGGACTCGGCGATGACACCCTGGAGCTCATCGACCTTGGCCTTAGCACGGCCGAACGTACCGAGACGCTTCTTTGCCAGCTTACGGGCACGCTTGTCCTTGCTGTTGCGGAGGAGTTCGATAACGCGGCGCTCGTATGGGGCGAGGCTAGAAGAAACATGTTAGGAAAACTGCTTCGGATATTCAATGGAACGGCGGCGGTGGTCGCATACCCAGAAACCTCCTTGACGATCTCGCGGACGAAAGCGGTGCGCTTGCTCAAGTGACCCTTGGTCTTAGATGGCTTCGCGCGGACAGCACGACGCTCGGTTTTCTAATTCGCAGAATGATATGTTAGCCAGGTCGGTCCATCGCCTTCCTGTTCAGAAAGGGATCCTCCAAGAGGTGAGACGTACGTGGCCCTTGTTAGGTCCGACGGCAATGCCGCTGCGTGGGGTCTCTCTGGCCATCTTGACGGAAGGTATGTCGAGATGCTGTGTCGATGTTGTCGTGGATGGTCGTGAGGCTTCGCGAAAAGTTCGAGAAAGCGAATTTCGACTGTGTGCGCTCGCTTGGGCAAATGTGGGTCACGTGTTCACTTGGCTGTGGCCTGTGCAATTGGACCAATTAGCGGGCTTTGCTGGTGCAGGAAGCCACGATGGGGCAGAAAAGTTTAAATGTGGCTCACCGCCTACCATGGAGGGGTACCTTGACAGCGACATCAGGGTCTCCGTTTCCTTTTTCGAGGGAAGCATACTCGGAATCTATCTGTTTCTGGTCCACGTCTCAGTCCATTTCCAAGTCGTTGGGTTGGCTTTAATTATTATCCAAATTGTCCGTTTATTGTGTCTCAAAAAGCCACAATGTCTGCACTTCAGGCTATCAAGTACACGCGGGGCAAGTTGGAGGTGCTCGACCAGCTGCGATTGCCACATGAGTCTGTCTATGATGACGTCTCGACATGTGAACAGGCTTTTGATTGTATCAAGTCTATGCGTGTTAGAGGTATATTTGATGAATCTAGAATTGGAAATACTCAAACTGATTGCATTAGGTGCACCAGCAATTGCAATTGTAGCCGCTTTGGCTTTGGCAGTTGAGTTGGAGAACGCCGACCTCAGTAGCTCTCTTAGCTCCGTCTATATTTACATACTTACCTCTTCCAGGTCAATCGTCCGTCGATGGGCAGCTGAAATATGTTCACGACAGGCTGGACTACCTTATGGGTAGTAGGCCAACCGCTGTTGACCTCTCAAACGCCATCAGGCTCTTGAAGATGACGGTCAACGCAGCGGCGATTGCGGAAGCAGATCGCACTTCGAACAAGACTGCACAGCCAGATGCTGCCGTGATCAGGCAAGCATACATCAAAGCCGCGGAGAAGATTCTTGAGGATGACCTTCAAACGAATCTGGCCATCGGCAGGTACGGTGCTGAGTATCTCAGACGCCAGCAGCTGCCCGTTCTATCGCCAGAAAACGACGTCGACGACATTCGCTACTTCACCACCAGCCCCCCCGGAACACAAGGAGCCCCCGACAGAACCTACAGAAAACTCAGCGTCCTAACCCACTGTAACACCGGCTCGCTCGCCACCTCCGGCCACGGCACAGCCCTCGGCATAATCCGCAGCCTCCACAAGATGAACTACCTCGACCACGCCTACTGCACCGAGACCCGGCCCTACAACCAAGGCGCGCGCCTCACCGCCTTCGAGTTCGTCTACGAAAAGATCCCCTCCACCCTCATCACGGACTCCATGGCCGGCGCCCTCTTCGCGCGCCTCAAGGCCGAGAAGAACATCTCCGCCGTCATCGTCGGCGCCGACCGCGTCGCCCGCAATGGCGACACCGCCAACAAGATTGGCACCTACTCGCTTGCCGTCCTCGCCAAGTTCCACGGTATAAAATTCATCGTCGCGGCTCCCACGACCAGCATCGATCTCGAGACCGTCACGGGAGCCGATATTGTCATCGAGAATCGCCCCCAGAAGGAGCTCACCCAGATCAGCGGCGCGGTGGTCGATAAGGAGGGGAATGTGGATGTTAATGACACGCGCCGCGTCGCTGTCGCGCATCAGGGGATTGGTGTCTGGAATCCGTCGTTTGATGTCACACCGCATGCGCTGATCGATGCGATTATCACGGAGAAAGGGGAGGTGGTGAGGTCGGCGAATGGAACGTTTAGCTTTCAGCATATTATGCCGGCGAGGTGGAAGCAGCAGGTTGAGAAGACGGAGCCGGTTGAGGTGGCAGCGTTGTCGGGGAAGGCGTCTATGGCGGACTCGGAAGAGGGGACGCAGTTTAAGTTGGAGCTTGTGTGAGGGGTGGGGTGGCTGGAGAAGGGGGTGGGATCAGCTATGTGGTGTTTTGGGGTTGGGGCGGGAAGTCAGGACTTCAACATTCATGACTGATGAGGTAGAATTAGGATTAAACGGTATGTATATGGTTTAGGTGGTAGACAGATAGACTACTTAATTTCAGAGATATTCCATGTCGTGCGAGGATATAGACAAACAAGTTTATTGATTAATACCCAACAGCAATATCTAGCAAAGCTGAAGAGCTTTCTACCCCCGCGCTCATCCGGGAGCTTTGTACACAAATACTAATTAACACCCCTACTCAAACACGCCCTGAATTACAATCCAACAGTAAAATTCCGAGTATTCCACTCCAACCGGAGGATCCAGACGCCATGCCACGCTATGCAGAAAAAAAAATGCAACACTCAATCACACCACGCCAAACTCTCCCCACTAAGAATGCTCTTCAAGATCACCGCGCCCACCCCCCCCTCAACCGCCCTCTCAATCTCCTGCTCGCCCACACAACTCCCCACCCTCTTCTCATCACCGCTCCCAACCCCGCCACCAAACCCAACCTTCCTCCCCCGCTTCGTCGGGGTATTCGCCATCACGAAACTGCCTGTCCGTCCATCCACTCCACTAACCAGCGAGAGCGTCTCCAAGCTGCCCACCACGTCGCGGAACTCGGTCGAGGTGAGGGGCTGCAGCACCGAGTCCGCGCAGCAGAGGTGGCAGTATGTGTCGTAGAGCTGCTTGATGGTTGGCGCTGCGTTGGCTAGTTTGGAGGGCGTGGCCATGATGTTTGCAGCTGCAGCGCGCTTGCGGCGCTCGAGGGCGACGAGGGCGCAGAGTGCGGCTTTCTGTTGCAGGTTGAGCGTCTTGAGGCGCGTGGAGACGCCGTTGGAGAAGGCGGCTGCGGTGACTTTGTTGAGGTGCGCGATGCTTGCTCGTGGGGCCGTCTCGACGGTCAGCTTGGCGAGGGAGTCGGCTATTAAGCTCGATAGGTGGCGGGGGCTTTTCGCTGGAGAAGGCATGGCGACGAGTGAGGAGAGGTTTGGGTTCTCGGCAAGGATTTTCTTGGATGGTGAGTCGGGGACTGGGGCGAGAGAGGCTTGGTGCTTGGCTTTGGTTTCGGTCTCGATAAGGTCTACGGCGCGGCGGCAGATATCAAATGCTTTTCGGAGGTCGCCGGTTTGGGCGGAGACTTTGCGGGAGCATAGCTCGATAGCTGCTGGGTGTAGGAAAGGGATGAAGTCGGATGTTGCGCTGCCAGCAGGGATGAGGCTCTTTAGGCGTGTGGTAATGATAGATTTGATTTGAGCAGCGGTGTAGGGAAGAAAAGGGAGGAGGTTGGGCTTGAGGTTGCGGGCCTTGAGGCGTGGGAGGAAGCGATCGGTAAGATCCAGCGCGTTGGCAATGCCGACCAGGATGAGGTGGGATGAAGGCTGGAGGGCCCACTCGAAGAGCTTGTACATGCACTCCAGGTCGAGCGTGACGACATGGTCAATCTCGTCGAGCGTGATAAGATACATGGCGTTTGTCGGCTTGCGAGGTGCAAACATGCCTTGGAGAGTTTGCAATTCCTCGCCTTCGATGACTTCGATTGGGCCACACAGTGACTCCAGAAGGACGCAATATAGGTCCTTGGAAGATTTCATCGACATGCAGTTGACGTATGCTTTCTTGAGCACTTCGTTCGCTGGTATCTCGGCAACCACCTCGTTCACCATGGCGCTCTTGCCGGTACCGGGAGGTCCACTGACGTATGTGCAGCCACCGGTTGTTGTGCTGATGGAGGTATTGATGAAGCTGGACAGCTCAAGGCGCTCCTCTTGGCGTCCAATAAGACGGCCAGCATCGCTGCTACGCGTGAAAAGTTGACGTGCGACATTGTAGATAGTCGAGGACGATCCGGATGGAGTAGATGGTGTTCGAGGAGTGCGAGGAGTTGCTGCTGTGCCCGTAACCGTGACACGGTGCCTTGGTGTAGTGGGTACCTGCTTCGAAAGTGCATCCCGATGCCGAGGGGTTTGCGGCGTATTAACCTGGATGACCTTTGTGTTTTCGTCTGCTTCGAAAGACTTGACAGTGTTGAAGTGCTTTTTTATTTGCGTTGGCTGTAGCACGGCTCGCGTTGCTGCTCCATTGTGCTTGCCTGGCGAGGATTTTAAGGATACATCCGAGCTGATACTGCGCGCCTTGGCCCGGGTCTGTCGCGGGGCAAATAGGTCGTCGTTCTCATCAGAGTATATCACGGTTGCTGCTTGCCTTTTCGGACGAGGAAGTGCCGCAGGAAGAGCTATGAAGCCAGGTCAGTATGTTCATTGGGGGTGGTTGACGGCGGGTCGTTCTTACCAGCCTCAACAGAGCTTCTCGTGCGCTTGCCCAATACTGATGAAACCATGACTGTGGATTGACGGCAGGTGAGAGGAAAAAATTATAGAGGTGGCGGATCGGATGTTGAGGAAGTTATGACTGAGGTGTGAAGGAAGTTCGAAGATGAAGGTGGAGGACATAAGCTCCTTCTCTGCATGCACGCGAAATACTGAGGTACTTGGTCCAAGCCGCGACGCGACTTTACGCGCCGGGACGCGTAAAGTGGCGTTTTAGCGCGGAACGGCAGTCGCAGTCACCACACCGCGCACCACAACGGGCGTTCAGATCACGTGATCAACACTCGGTACCATCGCGATGTTTTACTTTACTCTTCTTCTTAGGTCATTCCTCTCCTACATATATTTACAGCTTACAGTATTTTCTGTTTATATATTGCCTGTGCGCATACATACTATGTCTGCCCAGTGCTTTCACTTCTTATCTCTACATTAACGACCCTCGTCGCCTCCACCTCCATGAGTACTCGACCTCCGCCGCCGATAAAGTGACGAGATGCATCATCCTTGCACGCACATCAACTCCGTATCCGATAACCGCCGACACAGCCTCGTCGATGCCCAGGCGATTATGCTCGCAGGTGTTTCGATGTTGTATGCAGGGAGTCAGCCATCGCCACCCCCATGGAGCCAGTTACGCTGCCAGGTTATGGTGGACACTGCGACCCCAGGTCTTGAATTGCCTGGTGAACAATGAACAACCCCTCAGTGTCGTCAGCAGCCAGCGTCGTAAGCCTTTCATACACTTCTCTAACTGATAATACTGAACTCCTCCTTGCGCTCGCACTTGCACCTTGGATGTGCGGCAATTCAACCGCTCACCATCAAGCATTTTGCCATTCTGCACATCTTCATTTAATATCAAGTCACCTAGCATTTATAGCGCTTCGATAGCGGCAAAGCGATTCCAAACTACTTCAAACCTTTTGGCTCAGTATTCCCCATGTGCTCCTATATTTTGCATTTACGCGCTGACTTTCATGGGTGTGGCTATGTAGCTTCAACCCCACTGGCTGTGCTGTAGCCGCCCAACCACATCTCCAATCACCACCAGGAACTGACCCCTCCAGCCCTCAACCCCCAACTCCATGTAATGGCTGTTCGCCCCCAAATCTGAACATATTTGAAAAAAGTCTATTCTGTTTCATCTCGTGCAATCTACAAACAGTGCCCGCCTGTCATCGCTGAGCTTGCTGCCCATCTTACCTTGTCGCGGGCCTCAACTTCGGTCGCAGAACGATTACTATTTCTCCATACTCGGTATTCCCGCATTGCTCAGATACCTCTCTGTCTGTTTTAGAATCGCGCTGCCGCAACCCAGTCTTTGCTTAATCGTGCGCCGTGCGTCTCTAGTGGTGCCGCTGTGAGAGCCGCAGCTCCCCGCCTTTCAGTAACAATGGCCGCTCGTCGGGGACACGGAGATGACGAGCTTTACCTTGAAAGTCCAAATGGTGGCGGAGATAGTCCAACTATTGAGCCATTGAGAATCAGCAAACCGCCATCTACAAGCCCGCCTCGAGCTGGCTCGGCCGGTCCGAGTCACTACAATTACCCACTACCGCAGCCCTCGAAGCACTCTTTTCCCCTACCACCGGGAGCTTCCAGTTCTGCCGCACCTCTACCATATCCGGATGATGAAGGGACGTTTCAATATCCCCGACCAGCGGAACAAAAAGTCTATCGTGCTCCATACCCAGATGACGGCCGACAGAGCCAAGGCTCCCTGCATCAATCAACCACATCCCCGCCACCAAGAACAAATTCCAACGATCTATACGATACAACTCTGAGATTAGGGGCTAGTCCTACAGGCAAGAGAGGGCCTCGTTTGGCAGAGAGGCGAGGGACAGCCCCGAAACCACTCCCAGAGTCGCCGGGCCCCGACGCCCCAGACAAAGAGGGGCTCTTCGCACGAGCACCACAAAGGCCACCCAACACAATGGCAGCACAGGGGCAATCGTACCCACAGAATGAGGGGCTCATTGCACCCCAGCCTACAAAGCTCGATCGCTTCGACTCGACCGCCTCTACATCTACAACGAGAGCTTCAAGAGGGTCTCCTGCCCCGCCAGAGACACCAATTGTAGGCCCAGGAGAGGCCGGTGGGAGTATTGAGGAGCGCTACGCAGCTGCAGGAATTTCTGGCACTGCTACTTTAAGCAGCCTCCAGGCTCAGAACGCCGCCGCGGCACAGCGTCGAAACCAATATGCGCCTCCACCAGTTCCCCAGATGCCCATGTCTCCAGCATTTTCTCCAGCTCCGCAGCAGCCACAGCAGCCTCAGCCACCCATGTCACCAGCGTTCTCTCCGGCTCCGCAGCAAAATCAGGCTCCGGCGCGTCCTTGGACACCGACGGAGTTACCGGCAGACCAATCTCACGGTGCGCCAACGGTTTACCAGGGCGCAAACCAAGTCTCGTCGCTGCCTCATCCAGAGCAAGCTCGACAGGACTCGGGTGGCCGTGCATCTAAACCACCAAATGCGCTGGAGCAAGATTTCCAGCGAATGCATATGTCGGCTTCGCCACCCCCGGCTTACTCCAGTGTCAGTCACGGAGGGCCATCAAATGGTACTACAGCTCAAGGATATCCCAATGAAAAGGCTGGTGCAGCTGGTGCAGCTGGTGCGGGGGCTGTTGCGGGGGCTGTTGCAGTAGCTGCCGCAGCCGCAACGGTGGCAGCAGCAGCACCGAAAAAGACTGACTATGCTCAGCCATTGGCATCTCCTGCTTTGCAGCACCCAGGACACCCGGCATTCGCAAATGACCCGAGGCAAGAACAAAATACTCCAGTTCAGCAATTTGCGAACCCTGCTCCATTCACGGGCACTATAGGCCCAGCCTCACCGCCCCCGATGCCCGAGGGATGGATCGCTCATCTAGACCAGAATTCTGGCCAGTACTACTATATCCACCTCGCAACTCAAGCCACGCAATGGGAGTTCCCCAAGGGACCAACTCCACTGAATCATGATGTTGCACCTCTATCTCCAACAGCCTCAACATATGGAAACCAGCTAATGTCACCGGGGCTCATGTCACCAGGCCTTAGCCAATTTGGAAAACAGCCGTTGGGATCGCCTGGTCTGTTCCCGCCGCAGACACCAGGGTATGCGGAGAGCATAATGAGCAGCATGTCTCAAGCAACGACCGCAGGGGGATTCAGCGGCCCACCTCCAAGTGCTGGTGTTGATATGTATAAGATTGCGCCGACGAATGGTGTATATTTTGGTCCTTACCTGAAATACATCAACATGGATATCGAAAGGGGGATATGGCTCGGATCTATCATGCTTGTTACCGACGGCCCACAACCACCAACCATCCATATTCACCAAAGTACTGATTTGTCTTCCAATCCCAGACAGCTAAAGGCAAATTCGATATATACGCATCAGCGATGGGTCTTTTATCGGTATGATATTGATCTCCAGATGGGTGACGGACCTGGCGACAAATGGACATATGCGATCACGTCCCATCTAGGATGCACACGCTATGAATTCCTGGTCGCTGGCCGCTACGAAACCAACTGGCGTTTCATTGCTCATTCTGGTAACGATTTTACCATGAGCACCAATGCAAACGAGCGAAGTCGCCTTGGAGGAATCGGGTTCATGTGGAAGGATATTTTACAGAAGAATGTCGAAACCGGCGGATTCCATGTACAGCTTGGTCTCGGTGATCAGATATACGGCGACAGAATATGGAAGGAAGTTCCGTTACTGAAGCAGTGGCTTGGTCTGCCTGGAAAGGAGGCTCGCAAGAGCACTCCATGGACAGCAAAGCACGAAGAGGATGTCTCACATTCCTATTTCCATTATTACACTAGCCACTTTGACCAGCCATACCTGCGAGAAGCATTCGCCCAGATCCCGCATGTCCTAAGCATTGATGATCATGACATGTAAGTTTCTAGTCCCTCTTGCTTATTACGCACCTAACATTCCTAGTTTCGATGGCTTTGGCTCCTACCCCGAGTACATGCAGGGCTCGCATATGTTTAGGAACATCGGCCGCATTGGCATTGAGATGTACCTCCTCTTCCAGCACCACACAACCCTCGAGCTCCTACGTAATGTCAATGACGATATTGACCTATTTACCATTACTGGCACCGGTTGGCACTTTGTCAAATACCTTGGCCCAGCCGTCGTCGTCATTGGGCCTGACGGCCGATCAGAGCGTACCCAGCAGCAGGTGATGGCTGGACCAACATACCAAGGGATCTTCCCCAAAGTCGCCACACTTCCTCCATCAGTCCAGCATTGCATCTGGATGGTCCCAGTTCCGATAGTGTACCCACGCCTCGAAACAATGGAATCTCTTGCCAACACAGTCGCAACAGGAAAGAAAGCTGTGAACACCACCTACAACCTGTTGGGTAAGGTGACGAGCAGCGTTGCAGGTGTCGTGGGTGGCAAGGAAATCGTTTCCAGCGGCTTCTCACAAGTCAAGAAGGCCGTAGGAAAGTCCGGCCTTATGGGTGGTGTGCTCAACAGCTTTGGCGATATGGACATCATCGAGGAGCTGCGTGACATGTGGACACACGATTCCAAGGACCTGGAGCGCACCTACCTGATCCGCACGCTACAAGGCATCGCACAACAGAAAGGCATCCGGATGACCTTTCTCTCTGGCGGTATGATATCTCTTCCCCCATCAATAACTCCACACTAACTCACTCAGACGTCAACTGCTGCGGCGCCGGTCTCCTCCACGACCCCAGCCACCCCAACGACCACAAAACAATGTACCAAGTAATCTCCTCCTCCATCGTCGCCGCCCCCCCACCCAACTACGTCCTCAAGATGCTCCACAACACCAAAGCCCTCTACATCCCCGCCAACGGCCGCCGCTCCAACCACGCCGCCAGCGACACCAAGGAGGACATGATGGAGATCTTCCAATCCGAGGTGAGCGGCGCGCCGCGCGAGCTCAAGCGCCTCATGGGCCGGCGCAACTACGTCGCGTTCGTGGCGTATGACCCGCATGATCTGAATATGGGCATGAGTCAGGCGGGTAGTGTGCACTCGGATGGGCAGGGACTGAGTAAGTTGAGCTTGGCGGTGGATTATGTGGTGCAGGGGGATGGGGCGTTTAATGCGCCGACGAAGTATGGGCCGGTTATTATTCCGAGCTTGGAGTTTGGACGCTGAGGGGGTATGGGATAGATGGAGGGGGGAAAGGAGTGGGTTGATGATTGTGATGTGCGGCATTTGCGGTGTTTGTCATTTAGCGTTGATAGCCTTTTCTATATCTCTGGCATATTATTTATACCTATCTATCTACCATTTTTAAGACAACTCTCATGATTCTTTTTGTCCTCACAACTCCTCCTTGAGCTACGCTCATCTCGGGAGTTCTCCAATTATTATTGTCCCGTCCTCGCCCCGTGTTCCTTTTTTCACCCCTCGGGCATATTAAGCTAAAGCATACTCCCCCGCTGCAGTCACAAATCAAACAGCGCCTTGACCTGCTTGAAGCAGTCATCGGGGTCAGTCACGCTGTGGCCGATCGTGCGTGGGTCCTCGTAGATCTCGTAGTCGTTGCCGCCCTTGTACGTCTTGTCGCCAAAGAAGTGGATGGTGGTGTACTCGACGCCATCGGGCTTCTTGGCGTCAGCCTCGAGGTGCCCAAGGCAGTAGGTCTTGTCCCAGCCGGTGGGGAAGACGTCGAAGGAGATTTGGCCACCGATAGAGTAGCTGTTTTGCAGTTGTTAGAGCTAGGTCGTGTGAAAACGCTGGATTGGATGGGGAGTCTTACGTCAAGTCAATATCCGCAAACTTCTCGCGCAGAGCGTTCACAAACGTCTCGCGAATCTTATTCTCCAGATCATACTTCTGATACTCATTCCTCTCCTCCGTACTCGCATTACGCCCAATGGGGCTAACATTGATCATCCCATTCCTGAACTCGACAAACGTGCCCCTCTTAATCGGAATATCCAGATCCGCGATATAATGCAAGATGAACTTGACCAGCTCCTTATACCTGTCCTCGCCAATCCAATTGATGAAGCTCTGGCTCGGCAGCAACGATCCCAGCTTGTACGCCGTCAACCCGTTCTCGGGGAAGCAGAAGTCAAAACGTGTTGTGACGCTCAGAGACGCCGTGCCCAGCTGCTCTTGCTGCTTCACGAAGTCGGAGCCGCCGACGTAGCCGATGGCGACTTTTTGGCGCAGGTCGGCGAGCATTTGGATCATATCGGGGGTGCCGACCTTGGAGGGGGGTTAGTTGGGAGGGGTTGGCGGTGGGGGGGGGGCTTACTGCGCGCGCGGGGGTGAGGGTGTTGTCGACATCGAAGAGGACGATTGTGTTCTTGATGGGGCGCTGGTTGAGCGGGGGGTAGGTGACTGGTTCGGCCATTTTGATGGTTTGGAGGGGGTATGGAAGGTAGGAGGGAAGTAATTGTTTGGGGGGAGGGAATGGGCGATTGGGAGAGTATAAACGTGGAGGTGTTCCCCTTCCAAGAAGGCGGTATAGGTGGGGGGAACTATTTCGGGAGCTAAGTGGTCGTCGCCAGTCTATCCGCCCAGCTTAAGCGAGCGTGGATGAGGGGTAATTTGGGAGACAAATACAACTGCAAACGTCAGGGGCTGGGATTTATTTTCTTGGGGAAGAGGTACGTGTTTCTGGGTTATCCAAATATAAGAATTAAGAAGGTTATCGTGATAATATATGTATTTTTTAGTCTCGTCAAAACGGTGATGTATTATCAATTTTTTTCATTTCTTTAATAACATCATCTAGCCCTGATTGTGGCCAAATCGCAAGGACAAACTCCTCTTTTTATATGCTATGCACGCATATCCATAAATCCCTATGACACCCATAGAAAAATCATGGAAGATCACGTCTTCAGCACCATCACAGTCATCACGTCCGTAATCGTCGTCGTCGTCTAAGAGGATGCGCTTGGCTCAAGAGTTACACCGCTACGTCATTGTCAGTACATGCAGTTATGGTTGGGGAATTATATGACTTACGCAGCAATGGTGGCCCATCCGATCAGACGCCAATGCTTCTCAATACGTCTCGACAGGGCAACCTTCTCTCCGGTGTTTGTGCATGCTGGGCTGGTAAGGACCAACTTTGCGGCATCCTGGCGAACAGCGACAACCTTGGCACCAGTGGCGGTGGATCCAATGTTGACCATGAGAACCTCGTTCTTTGCCAACTTGGCGACCTTGGCCTGCTTGCCATCTGCGGTCTTGACACCGAGGAGACGGCGGAGTAAGTAGTAGTTGACCTCGATCTCGGTGTAAATATCCGGAAGTCTGCCCTTGAGACCCAGCACGAAACCGACCAGACGATCGGCACGGCACAGGGTAGGGTCGATGCGAGTACCGACACCAATAAGTCCACCAGGAACGGCGTACTTGAGCTCGTTGTTTTCGGAGTTCAGGGTGACGATCCTGCTGAAGATAGGAGTGCACTGGATAGCTCCCTTATCATCTCTTGTGACGATTCCAGGACGGATCTCAATCTCGTCACCGAGCTTGATAACACCGTGAAGAATAGATCCACCAGCAACACCACCCTTAAGCTCGTCAATCTCGGCGCCAGGCTTGTTGACATCGAAGGATCGAATGATGATCATTTGAGGATCCTGGGAGAAATCACGAGGTGGGACTGGGATTGTGGAGACAATCGCCTCGTTAATCGCATCGATGTTGAACTTAAGTTGGGCGGAGATGGGGATAATTGGCGAACGGTCAGCCACGGTTCCACGGATGAACTTCAGGATTGACTGGTAATGTTGCAGGGCGCCGTCCTCTCTCATTAAGTCAACCTTATTTTGGAGGATAATAATCTTGTCAAGCTTCATAATCTCGATGGCAGCCAAATGCTCAGACGTTTGTGGTTGAGGGCAGGTTTCGTTTCCTGCGATAAGAAGGAGAGCTGCGTCCATGACAGCGGCTCCTGACAACATAGTGCTCATGAGAATATCGTGACCAGGGCAATCGACGAAACTACATTTGTTAGCTATTTTTTTCCGCCTTAAGAGTATGCGTCGCAAACTTACGAGACGTGTCTGAGCAACCTGTATGTGCCTGGGCATCCTTCCCTCTCGCAAGGGGGATCCACCTCCTTCTCACTCTTGTAACTCCTGAAGCATCCTGGTCTCGGGCAGTCCTCAAAGTCGCACTTGTAGATCTTAGCATTCGCGTAACCGAGCTTGATGGTAATGTTGCGCTCCAGCTCGTTCTTGAAGCGGACAGTCTGGACACCAGAAATAGCCTTCACGACCGTGGACTTTCCGTGAGCGACGTGGCCAATGGTTCCAATATTAATCGTTGCCTGGCGGGCAATAATCTCTGGGGTCAGAGGGGTGAGGGACTTGACATCTAGGTCTTTTGGCTCGGTCTGCGGTGGGAGGGTCGGGCGCACAACTACTGGTGGGTGGTCCTTTACTGTTGTGGGCTTCTTGAGGCTCGACTTTAACGGCATATCGGGGATGTTGTCATTGTCTTCCACATCATTCGTAGCCCCTAGGTTCGGGGAACCCTGCTCGGAGCCCGAGTCGGACTCCATGTCATTTCCAAACTTGTCACCTTGGGTCGCCATGATTGCGCTCCGCTAAAGGTTTCGCGGTTTCTTCGATGAGGTACAGTGACTGGTGTTGGAGACGCGTTTGTAGGTGATCTTATGGTGTATGTTCAATATCCTTCGTCGATATATGAACAAGGTAGTTGGTAGTTGTTTCGTGACGTTAGATGGGGATTCAATTTGGGAATTCAATTTAGCAACGAGCCTCAGAGAATTGTATAAAGTTTCCCACCACGGTGACTCTTCTTGGTGGGGTGAACTAGCCGAATGTATCTCGTAATGGGCACGTGACTGGGTAACGTCGCTGATGGCCCTCCGAAAGCTCAATTCAACGATATACATCCCACCTTCTTTTATTTTCTTTTATTCAAGCTTGATTTAAATATGGCGCAAAAGTCGATTACTGGCGCCCGGGTTCTGCCCCGTTTTCTGCTGCCACAGCTCAGCTGGCAGGGAAGGGCAGCCACAGTACAGCTTCCAGTTCGCAGCACGTCACTCTTTGTGGCATATTCGACAGATTCGTACGGCCAGAACCGCCGTAGCACGCCCATAACTGCGCGAAGATCTATGTTCCAAACGAAAGATGGTGCAGCTATTACTCAGAGGTTGCCAATGCGCCGGGATTTCAGCTCGTCACCAATGCGCCAGAGAGATTACCACTTTGACACCCTCAAGTTCGTCAAGCGTTTGAGGGATGAGGGGTTTACTGAGACGCAATCTGTTGCTATGATGAAAGTCCTAAGTGACGTTATAGAGGAAAGGTAGGAGCCCAGCGCAGCCAGGTGCAAGAGTATCTCTGACATATGACAGCATTCAAAATCTCACGCGAACCATGGTCATCCGCGAAGACCAAGCGAAAGCAACCTACACCCAGAAAGTCGACTTTGCAAAGCTACGGTCAGAGTTGCTGTCTGCGGATTCGACAGAAGAGTCGGCTACGAAAGCAGCGCATGAGCGGCTGACGAACGACCTTGCAAAGTTCAATAACAAATTGCGAGATGAGATAAGCAGGACGCAAGCGTCAGTTCGACTGGATCTGAACTTGGAGAAGGGCAGGATAAGGGAGGAATCAAATGCCCAGGGGCTCAAGATTAAGGAGACGGAGACAAAAATTGAGCAAGAGGTTGCTGGACTGAGAGAAAAGCTTGAGGGCGTCAAGTTCCAGACCCTACAATGGTTGATGGGAGTGGTTACTGGTTTCTCTGCTTTGGTTCTTGGTGTGTGGAGATTGTTGATGTAATATTACGGTTTATAGCCTCAAAAATATACCCGATTCCCAAAAACTTTACGTAACCATGCAAAGTTGCGAGACTAGCCAGTGGCTTTTTCTGGAGAGAGGTGCAGACATATCTGCGAAGACCCGCGAAGGGCGCTCACCGATCTTTATAGCTATCAACTCGACCAACAACTGCCTCTAGAGAAAGGCGACCATGCGAGCATCCCCCGTCCTTCCCGCGCAGTCAAGCGCCTTGCCGTTAACCCCAAATCCGTTTTAGCAGTCACGTCACTCCCATGGCTAATGAGCAGCTTGCTCATCTCGTGTAGATTATATATCGCAGCTCTGTGCAACGGTGCCAACCCACCGTCCGCTCGACCCATGGGATTGCAGCCGTTGCGAAGTAGAAACTCGACCAGCTCCAAAGCATTGCATCGAGCAGCACGTTTTACGCGACCGGATGCGCTGAAGTTGCTGATTGACGCTGGTTACGATGTCAATCTGAAGAGTCTCGATTGCGGATACACGCCGCTATACGAAGGTTAAGCAGGAGGCGCTTAGATGCCATGAAAGTCCCGCTCGACGGAGGTGCGGATGCGAATGCTAAGCTGGACAATGGAACCACCCTACTTCATGCCGTCGCCGCCGCCAAGGAGGTATTTGTTGATATGGTGCGGCTCCTCGTTGAAAAGGGTGCTAATACGGCAGCACGGGATGGCCGTGGCAGGAGTCAGTTGGATGTGGCCATGGCAGCGGGAAATTATGATGTTAAGGAGTTGCTTTCAGGAAAATTGGCCTGTTGGCTTACATGTAAACTCTAAAAATAACAGGCGCCTTAATGAGCACCTAGAAAGGCTGATAGGTGCAGGGAGGGGCTAGAGGCTGGTAAATGAGAATGATCGAAGTGAGCTCTGCACCCATATATATATACCCCGCACCTTTTTTTAAAAAATAACGGAGACTTATTTTGCTTCAGTCCCATCTGTGCGGTTAAAAAGGGGGATGATATGCGATGTATTTTGAGTAGTGAGGGCATAGTTGACTTAAATCGCTTTGACACTATGAGAAAGGACAGGAGAAACGGAAATGCCAAATCCACGCCAAGGCAGAGCATTCAAAAATAGCCCCCCCCCCAACCCGAACACGTCGACGCCCCGGGTCGTCAGAAATTGATAAATGGAGATGAATAACACTAGAGTGCTCCCTGTAGGGTTGCTTTGTTGCTATCTCGACACATCAATCATAATAGTGATGTATATTTGCAAAGGCTGAAGGGGAGGGTTTATACATCGACTAAGTATTCCACATTTACGACGTGTGATTTGAATGGTGAGCGAAGATAATTTAAGCTTAGCGACGAGAATTGAAGGGATTCATAGGTCGTATATCGAACAGCTGGAGGATCGAAGGATCGATCACGGCCCAAATGCAAGCACAGCAATGAAATCCCTTAAATAACGTAGAATATCCCTTCTCATTTCAATCATCACCTCCCCCCGCCCGATTCTTCCCAAAACTCCAACTTCAGACTCCCGTTACGAAAATGGTTAAAATGGCTCCTCTTAGAATATTCCAGTGTTCGGCACGGATCGTGTATGACCTGAGCTGATCCGGATACTGATCCGGATATATCCTATCCGCCATAATTATGATCTATCCGTACGATCTGAGGATATATCCGGATCTTACGGATAATGCCAAGAATAGCCAAGAGTAGCCAAGGCCACATAATAGACGTAGAATTGATTCTGTAATACTGGTTCAAATACCATCGTAATGTGACGATTACAGTAAAAATGAGCGACTTGAAATTATCAGATTTGCCGTCAGATCATGAGAGCTATTCTCAAATAGAAGAGCTATCGTTACCACATCTTCCACCTCAACCTACCCCTATTCAGCCTTCAGTTGAAGCAGTTGACGTATCGATTAATATACCTCAACATCCAAGGGTAGTACTACCACCGACATCGTCGATTCACAAAGGGCTTATATCGTCAGGAATTACTTGATACTCGGCCTCCAACCATAAAAATGATATGCCTACAACCAGGCTGTGGATATTCACTACCGCCACAAGGATTAAAGCAATCGTCGACCGGTAATCTATGGAGGCATTATTCCTTAAAGCATCTAACAGTATCATACACCCTTAAAAATGAGAAGAGACAGCCGTCTAGTGCGTCAAGCAGTACATCATCGTTCTTCAACCCACGCCCATCAGCTCTACTAAAGCAACCTGGTAATCCTTCAAAGTATAAGGAGTTATTACTACAGTTCATTGTGTTGAATAATCTATTGATACGCCTTGTTGAAAGCTATTCATTCTGTGAATTAGTTCAATTCTTAAGCCCAACAACTATGGCAATATCAGCTCGTACGCTACACCGAGAACTACAGCGTCAGTTCTCATATCACCGAGGCCAGCTACAACTTGAGCTCCATTCTCATATTAAGAGAGGAGGCCGGATATCAATAACGACAGATGCATGGTCTGCACAGAATTATACAGACTATGCTGCGATTACTGCATACTGGATTAACGATAAATGGCAACAGAAATCTAAAGTACTTGACGTTGTACATCTTCAAGAGCCTATCCATAGCGGCGAATATCTAGCTCAACAATTAGCAATTGTAACGGGCGATATGGGTATTACAGGAGCTGTCTTTACCTGTACAAGGGATAACGCCTCAGCTAATACTGTTATGCTTGCGGAATATGAAAAAATAGTCAGAGACCAGGAAGTTACAACACAACAACCCTGGACGTTTAGAGTCAAGGAAGGAGATGTACGATGCATAGCCCGATTATTATTATGGCTGTTCAAGATGCTCTTAAGACTTTAAAAGCAACCCCTGCTGAGCAGGTTGAGAGTTATCAGTTGAGCAGGGAGCTGCGCGGATTCCAGTAAGCTTCGATAGTAATATTGAAGTTAAGAATACTCTTGGTAAGCTACGAAGACATATCTATGTATTCAGAAATTGAAGGCAATGGAAAGATGCTCTTCAAAAGCAGACTATAGCAGCTGGTCTTAAGAAGCTACAACTATCACTCGATATGCCAGTCTGGTGGAACTCAACGTATGAAATGGTTTCAACAGCTATTAAGCTACAGACGCCAATGTCATACTGACATTCGTTGCACTCAGTTTGCTATCAAACTCAAGAGCAAACTTAGAAATCTCCTCCTCAAACCTACAAGTCACCATACATATCTTGGCTTATCACACCAACAACAGAAGCAATACTACTCAACAATTGCTGCAAACTCTTCTACTACATCTGTTTATGCTACATACATCACAGCATATCATTTGGACACTCATTGAACAAGTTATTAAGAAAATCTCCTCCTTAAGGGGGTGGGCCAATACTACCACATGGCATATCTCTACCAACTAGAGGCCTAGGAACATGAACGATAGCTCTAGAAGCTTCTACAACCCTCTATGATTCATTACACGTCATCGCTCCTTAGTTACCCACAAGATTGGTTAAGTTATGACATAATTTGTCTATAGGTACTCTGACCTTGGACCTCCTTTTCACTTCCTATAGGCTAGGAACCCAAGAGATGGTTCTATGGGATTCTCTTACGTTCACTACATGATTAGCAAGCTAGTTGTGGGTCGCACTTGATTTCTAATACATTTACCAAGCCTGGTTAGTCATGGAAAGTCATGGAAAATGAGAGAACTACACTCCTTTGGCATAAATAGGATTGCCCTTTCCTTAAGAAAGGGCAAGCAGACAATACAGAAAATCGACTAGCACATACTTCTACGTCTTTTCCAAGCTTCCAAGCATTGATCTTGTTATTCTCTGTTTTTGAAAAGTCAGTGAGGTGCTAACCTCTGACTTACCCCTGAGTTCTCAGACTCAACATTTGTTGCAACTTGTCTAAACCACTTCACCACATCATACACCTGATTGCTGCGTTGTGGAATAGTCTAAGCTACAACCCTTTGGCTCTGTTTCCTAAGACAGTGTGTTGTCTTAGTAAATTCATCCCTTCCTTGGGTGGCTAGATTCTCATATCTGGTGCACCCACCATTACAAAACCGAAGTGATACACAGAGCTGAAACCTCAGCTCAGTACTCTGAACGACTGGGGAACTAGACAGTCCCATGGAGAAAAGTGCCATTTTGGGCGCAAAAGACTACCGTATTCCCATGGGATTGTCCGTTTCCCCCAACACCGTTGGGGGACCGCACCAATATTTCCAGACCAGACCGCGGTCCGGTCTGGAAATGTTCCGAACCGACGGTTCCGAACCGACGGTCCCCCGTGGCGCACACTAGCCATCAGTCTTTCAGACGTTCTAAACTATGTTTCGAACTACGCCTGTCCTCGCCTTTCCACTCAAGGCCATTAGGTGGTTCGCAGAGAATCTACAAAAAGAATCCTGAGGCACGGCTAGAAGCTGAGAGAGCTATCAAGGTCTTCTACGATGAAAACAAGGACAACCTTGAGCGTCATGGCGTCACTGATGCTTTGGTCAAGTAAGCCAATAAATCTTATTCACTGATCTTTACAGGAGGCTTACATAGTGACAGGGCCGCCAAGCACAATGATCCTCGCAACCCCGATCCGAAAGGAGATCACTGGACGGTGGAGCTATCAAAAGAGACTGGAGAGTTCGTTACAAAGAGACATGTCTACCCTGTGAAATAAGGGCTTTATTTACGGTCTCATCTGCCACTCTAGTTCAAAGGGCAGTTGGCTCTGGGGGTTAAAAGTAAGGAGATCAGAAGTTCCATGGAATTTAGAAAGGCATTCACAGTTTGTGATCATTGCGTAATAAAACCCATACAGTTAACAAATTATTGTATTCGTCTCTGTTCTTTAACTCGTTGCAATATGTACTTGAAGCGATCCAATGCTCCTGCCTCCATGGGAAAGCACTGTTAAAAGCGAGATTTATCTCTTTCCACGGCAAGCCTTTGTTCTTGAGGCATATGAGCTTATTGTCTTCTTGCTCCGTATATCCGAGGCGCCCACGCTTTCTCTGCTTCTGGAGAGCTGGCCGTGACCTCTTTGCATGAGATGCGCAAAGCCGTGGATGAGCTGATCTGCCAACTGATGCCCCGCTAGTCGTGGGATTTGAGAAGTCCAGGAGCCGGGTTGATCTATGAACGCTAGAAGAAATCAGTATTCTACTGGGCAACATGAGACATGACCTTACCAATTTTCCAGAAGGTTTACAAAATGGTCCTGTACTAAGCGCAAATCCAATATCCTCAGGTTGTTGGATCTCCTCTTTGAATTGGCCATCATCCATCAACCTCAACAGCCCTTGGGCAAAGGCAGGATGCACATTCCTCGGCCAGATATGCACCTGAGTATGCCCAATCTATAAGCCAAACGTTCCCCCGACCGTCGAAAATCATGTTCTGGGCATGCAGATCGAAGTGGCAAATAACAAGCTCTTGGAATTGACTCATTTTTGTTGGAGAGTAGGCCGTGGGCGCTGGGATACGGTGGTATTTGGCCCTATAATCCACTACGGCATCCCAGGATCTCCGACCGGTGCTGGAAACCACCACAGTCTCAACTGGGGTTTCAGCTCTGAAGCCACCAGAATAGGGGGCTTTTGGGGGGTCGAAGCAGAACCTCCGAAAGGCCTACAAATAGCCACGTAGGCCCATTAGATAGTGTAGTTAATCAATCGATCTTATTTTGCTATAGTAAGCTATATACTGTGTGAGAACTCCTGCCCCGTTGCGCCCGTGCGAAGTCCCGACCACTGGAGAAACCACACGATTTGTGTGTGATCCCGTACCACGGTACTTCCCGTTCCAACAATTTTCATCACCTGTTTTAATCACATGATATAATTTGAGTTGGACTGTAATTTTTGCCTTAAGAATTAGGCCACTACGTCCTGAAACTGATGTTGTCACGGGGTAGGTTCGTATGTAAAAGGCAGTAGCCCCATAGAATTCAACAAGTTGGTTCGCGCTCAGGAAATCACAGGATTCGTGCCAAACACTCATTCATCAACCTGTTTTGATCACATGATATATAATTGTCCTGCCGAGGTCATGGAGGTTGGGTTTCCTCAACGACACCAGAAATAACTACTCACTCGGACAGTGCCTACAACTGGCCATTTGCATTTCAGACTCCGAGATCACATTTTCTGTCCGCAATTGTCAATTGAGGAGACATCCACCAGTCTCGTTCATTATACTGCGAGTATGGGAGACCAACGATCTAGATACTGTCCCCCTCGACCTCCAATTCACCAGCTCCGTATTGGTCGAGCGTTTAATGGCCTGTCACAACAGGAGAAGCTCTATGCGCATCACATGTCGCGGTATATAATTTCGTCGTTACTTCTTCCCCTATTTGTTGGCGAGAGGCTGCTCCCCAGGTTTAGTGACAGGAAACTAGCTAATCCGCCTGATTTCCACCAGGGCCGCATGGCACGGGACGAAAATAATACTCCGACAGGTATCTCCAGAATCAATTGCGATATTTGATTTTATAATGGAGTTGTATGCATCCTGTGGTGGGGACTGGAAGAGCCTCGTTGGTGAAGGCGGCATTACTTCGCAAGATTGTGCCGCATTTCTTAGATACGCAGCGACGTTTTTGTCGAACATCGGAAACTATTATGTACGTACTCTTAAGTTATTAACTGCAGTGTCCGTAATTTTGCTAAATAATGTCAGGGCTCAGGAGATCAGAAGTTTATACCAGATTTCAGTAGTCCAGAACCTTTAAAAACGCTTGCTTCGAGATCTCCAAGGCTTCAGGAACTGTACGACGAATTTGTCTATGATATACTCTCTACGCCCCCTTTCAGTCTAGGTTATCCCAGCGGCACGGCACAAAGCGCTTACTATCCTGGGCCTTGTGATATTACTCATGAAGAGGTTGAAGCTGTATCACGCGTTCTGCAAGAACGCTCGATATTCCCGGAGAATACACGCATTAGGAAGAGCATATCGGGGCGGGTTCCCATTTTCGACATACTTCAGGCTTCCACTACGGAAGGCATGTTGAGTCAGGAATTATTTTCAATGGGTATTGCTCAACTCATATCAGGTGACTACAGCGACGAGCTTAGACAAATTTGTGCCTCACTTGCTGAAGCATCGAAGTATGCAGCGAATGACACCCAAAAGCTATACATATCCCAGTATATCGAGAGCTTCAAGACCGGCAGTTTACATAAATACCGTGATTCGCAGCGCACTTGGATCAAAGATAAAGGGCCAGTCATTGAAAACATGATCGGCTTCATAGAGCCTTACCGCGACCCACATGGTACCAGAGCGGAATTTGAAGGCTTGGTTGCTATTTCAGACTCTGAGGAGACAAAGCTTCTTAAAAATCTTGTGGATAATTCTGCCAAGTTCATTCGGCGACTCCCATGGTCCGATTCTCATTCTTTAGAGAATGATGGTAAGGGGCCCTTTGAAAAGGAGCTTTTTGAATCACCAGATTTTGCTAGTATTCACGGTATGTTTGTGCAAGGTGGATCATGAAAGTTACTAATGGGAATACAAGCACTGGCATATTGCTCTACCATCATTTTTCCTGGCATTAATCTTCCAAACGTAGGTTTTCGCCAGTCATCGGCCCAATGGAAATCTGCTAATTGGAGCATAGTACAACGATATTCGCCAGGAGTGCGGTTTTAAGAACGTAATAGTTGCTAACCGAATGACCGCGGAGAGCAATAAATCAGAGCCCTGCCCATATATCAGGGAGTCAGAGGCCGAGACCTTCCAGAAACATAAGTTCTCTGCCTACTACTTGTGGGTTGTCCTTCACGAACTCTTAGGTCATGGCACTGGCAAGATGATGGTGCAAGAAAGCGAAGATACGTACAATTTCGACCAAATTAATAAGCCTATTGACCCTCTCACTGGAAACCCTATCACCTCTTGGTACAAACCGGGGCAAACTTGGACAAGCCAATTCGGAGAATTGGCAACCACTGTTGATGAATGCAGGGCCGAGCTCGTTGGCGCATATCTAATGGACGATCCCGAATTACTCTCCCTGTTTGGTTTCACGAAGGATTCTAAAATTACAAACGAAGACCGTGAGTCCTTCAGTCTAATATATGCTATACTATTCTAATATGCAAGCAGTCACATACAATCTGTATCTCCAACTCGGTGTTGATGGGCTTAGAGGACTACGGAATTTCAACACGGACAACAGTGTAAAGTCTCCTTGTACACTTTGTTTTCGAAACTGGTTGCTAATGTTGCGTGAATATAGAAATGGGGACAAGCACATAGCAGGGTATGCCCTCTCCATTTATTAACCAACTAACGGAAACTAAACTACTATTACAGGCCCATTTCGCGATGTTGAAATGTCTTTTAACTGATGGGGGCGGGTTCATGGCCATTGAATGTGATCCAGCGCAGCAAAGGCTCATTGTCCAAGTCGACCGTTCTAAAATCCTTACTCATGGCAAACGAGCCCTTGGAAGAATGCTCTTGAGGCTTCATATGTATCGTTGTACAGCTGACGTCCAGACATGCCTTTCTTATTATGAGAATCTTTCAGAGGTTGACGGCGAATACCTCGAATGGCGGGATATAGTCATTGCGAAGAAAGAACCGAACTGGGTGTTCGTACAGGCGAACACATTCCTTAACGGAGATCAGGTGAGTATCAAGGAGTACGATGCGACGGAGGAAGGCGTCATACAAAGCTGGGTGGAGCGGAAGGTATAATGTACCGCGATAGGACTTTCGTGAAGTCTCAATGTTGAGTAACTTGAACGATTTGCAATATCGTCTGAAGTAGTGCCAAAATAAGGCCCAATCCACCAATGACAGCTACAGCCCAAAAAGTGAGCCATGAAGCAGAGTCGCGCTTGTCTTCCCATAATTCCTTCCATGTTCGTGGTTTCTTAGTCGATAGATGGCACAAAAGTGCCACTAACCTACTCCGGAGGATGGGGAAGTCTCGGGGAAGATCGTAAGACTCTCGCTCAAGGCCATTTGAATCCGTTGGGTAGCATTTCTTACCACAGAGTTGTTTGAGGAATAAATCTCTTCCACCCTCTGGAATATTCTCAAACGGCTTGAGATTTTGAAACAGTTGGCGGCTTGCCTTATTCTGTCCAAACAGTAGACGATATGATAGGATTGTTTCTTGTAGCATTTGGGTAACGTCGCCTGTTGTTGCCCACTGCCCAGTGCTCTCCCAAGAAGCAGCGCAGGAATATATGGCACTTTTTGGAGAGTGTTTAGACTCAGAAGGAATATTTGCCAGACAAAATGAAGGATAGCGAAAGAGAAAGAGTTTGTTCAAGTATGAGTCGAACTCCATATGACATGATAGACTGTCTACCCACTCGATAGTCACATCTCCAATAGAAGACAAGATATAAGCATTAAAAGAAGCTGGTGCCACAGACTTATACTCTGCGAATGCTTTCTTCTCCTCCGGCGACCCTAGGCCATCAAAGTTTTGAGGGGGGAGCAGTAATCCATATCCGAGTAGAAATTCGTGCAATTTTCTCCCGCAAGCTGAGTGACTCTGCTTTAAGCACATATGGGCCTGACCAGTATGAGCACCCATTTCGTTTTGAATTGCGAGCTGATCTGGGGGACATGAGTGCATGTCTGCTTGGTACAACATCGTCTGCCATCCTATGACAGCGAAGATGAGATTTTTAGCAGCGATAAGGGCATTTGGGTCGCTTTCTAGTCCCAGGATATCGGATTCTTGGAGATGGGCCACGACGTCGTCGATTTTGACCGAAGTAGCAGCTATCATGTATTGAGATATCTCTTGCCACATGAATAAGAATGAGTCCATCCAGCCATCGTCTTTTTTTGAGTCGTAACCTTGCAAGGTTGAGAATAGCTGTCGTGGCTGCCTTTGAATCTGATCGTGAATCCACCAGTGGTACCACTGTACTTTATCATGAGAACAAGGGAAGATGGAAACAAGTTTGTGAAGTGTAGGACTATTTGCCGTAGCTTAACAGGTATTAGCTTGCAGTCTACTTTTAATAATGACTTTAATTAATTCAAGGGCAAGATTACTTACTTGAAGTAGTAATGGTCACCCTTTTGTTCGGCATTGCTAGGGGATGCTATAAATCTCAGGTGAGGTCTTGTGATGTTGCAAACACGATTTCTATCGAAGGTAATATAAGGTGGAGCATGGCGAGCGTCTTATAGATAATTTAATCATGCCATGTTACTAAAAATACCACCATACGCATTTGTCTATTCTTCATAATTTTGGCTCAAATTCAACGGCGCGTACAGAAACATGTTGGTGTTTTATCTGTACCTTATTGCTGGCCCCCAGGTACAGCCTGATTGGCTAACGAAGGCGGCTTGAAAAATAGTTCGGGCACTCAACTCGCATTTAGTGTGGGCCAAGTGCCCGGGCTATTTTTAAAACCGCCTTCGTAAGCACCCCAACGCGCCAAAATATACTCATGTGCTATACTATACAGGTAAACAAGCACGACCGAAAGGAAGATAGCTAGTCATATCACGTATATTTTAATCGAAGTAATCCTTAAATATTCTCCGCTCAATAAAATACAAAAGTTACACATAAGATTCCATAGGCGTAGACTCTTCAGATTGAACTGAACGCTAACCCTCCTCTGAGAGGTACTTTACATCAGAAAGCGGGGTAAGACCTTGGGTTGAGTGCCCGACTAATTGTTTACGTTTTCACGTGAAAGTCCCGTGACATTCATGCACGCGGAAAATCAGGAACGTTGCGAATAACGATCCCGTAGGTCTGCGCTTCAGCACCGAGAACTGAGGGGTTAAACTGCCTATCTTCATTAACACTGCTTTCAAGACAAGTTCCTATTCTCGATAATCGAGACTACCAAGATGACTAAGGGTCGCGCAAGGTAGGCGGATTTCTTAGCCATGAGTATCGCGAAAACACGTTGTTTTAATTATCGTGCTATGCTAATTACTGTGCTGGGGATAAAGCACGGAGGAGAGCCTTCTATGGCACAAAGCTGTTGAGCGCTATCGAGAGGAACTTGAGGAGAATGATGAGTACGAGAATATAATAGGAGTCGGGTCACTTGAAGACCTACTTAGTGATACTAAGTATATTGAGTCACTTTTGCCAAAGGAACGAACTTCTCTCTCCTCGCTCAAACGCCTCGGGCCCAAACTGAAATTTGTAGACGATTTCTCAGCCGTCATAGCACTCTATTTTGGTGCCAATGCAACACTCACAGCCCTTGTATGGGGCAGCATTCGGCTTATGCTAACCCACGCATCCTCGGCGACAGAGTCGCTCCAAGATGTCTTGGATATGCTCGAGGAGCTCAGCCTTACGCTTCCAAGACTCAAGGCCTACGAGAAGACTCTTCCGATGGATAGAGCTCTTGAAACTGCTTTACTAGATGTCTACACTGAAGTAATTTGCTTCTATGCTCGGTCGATACACTTCTTTCGGACGCATCCGCACGCCTTGCTGCGGCGCGGTGCTTGGGAGAAATTTCAGTTGGATTTTGGTAGGACAATTCGACGCATAAAAACGATGTCCTCTACAGTCGAGAGCGAAGCTGATATAGCGCGAATGAGACTTGAAGACGTCAAATATAAAGAAGTCCTAGAGCTGATGGACGACTTGAAGAAGAGCAAAATCCACGATGAGGATGCCATTCGATGCCATCATTTACCTTCCGAGCTTAACCCAAGATTCTGGGGTCGTGAATCAGCTTTACAGGCCATTGAGGCCGCCTTGAATCCTGATAATGGAACGAAATCCCTCCAGTCATTCGCTCTCTATGGAATGGGTGGTGTTGGCAAAACTCAAATTGCACTACAGTACGCAAATAGAAATCGTGAACGGTTCAACGTGATCTTGTGGGTTGCTGCAGATAGCACTATTAGTATTGGGCAGAGTTTCCTTGATATTGCAAGGCACTTAGGACTCGTCACGACTGATGAAGATATACCAGATTCTGTCACTGCGATCCTAAAGGTTAAAAGCTGGCTGGCCAAATCTCGTAAGTCGATGTTCTATATATTAGTCTTGCATTTCAGTATCTATTTCCTCCATAGACAACTACAGTTACTGGGCACGGAAAGATGCTGATACTTGTAGATCTTCCCTGGCTTGTTATATTTGACAATACTGACGATCTTGAAACTTTACGTCGAGCATGGCCCGGAAATATCCATGGCTCTGTTCTGCTCACGTCTCGCGATTTCAATTCTGCTCATAGTCTCGCTGAAACAGGATTCCACGTTCAGCCATTTGACGACATTACTGGTTCCAATGTACTCCTCCGCTTAGTTGGACTCGATTCCAACCTATCTTCAAATCAAGAAAAGGCCAGAGAAATTACGCAAGCTTTAGGTGGTCTACCTTTAGCACTTAATCAAATTGGGGGGTTTATAACTCAACGGAAATGTCCATTACAAGAGTTCCTTGCTCTTTACGAGCGCAATGCGGCAAAGATTGATTCTAGAAAAACAGGATTTAACGAGTATGAACACACGTTGAGTACAGTCTGGGAGATGTCGTTCAGCAAGCTGTCAGGTGACTCCTGTACGCTGCTCAATGTGTTGGCGTTCCTGGAACCAGATGCAATCGATGAAGCGATACTTGTTGAAGGGTCAAAGCTTCCAAATTGGGACGAGGAATTTGATTTTCTTTCGGATGAAATGGAGTGAGAATTTTACTTCCCAAGAAAACCGTACTTTGCAGCGAGCTAATAGAAGTAGTCTTGGTGATGCGGAAGCAGCACTTTTGCAAGCCGCCCTGATTGATAAGAGCACTGATGATGCGGTCCTGTCAATTCATCGATTGGTGCAAGCTGCTGTTACTCGAAGGCTCACTAAAGGCGACCAGAGTAAGTATTTTGACGCTGCTGTTCGCATTGTTACGTGCGGATTCCCGAACACCTGGCGTGAAGACGTTGGCCATCAATTCAAAACTTGGGCAAAATGCGAGAAATACCTCCCACATGTCAATCAGTTGGTAAATCAAGCAAAAAGATACAATATATATTCTTTAACTGCACAACTCTATGGAGAGCTGCTTCTACAATGTAGCTGGTAAGTTTACTTCGCATTCCCACCATGACCCAGTCCTCGATTGCTTACCGTGATAGGTATCTCTACGAACGAGAATGGTACAATGTGGCCCGAGACTTTATTAGTACAGCACTTGAAACTTTTGAGGATAAGACAACTCTGGCCTTTGCGAGTGCGGTTGACTTGTCTGGACTGATTGACCTCGACATGAACAACCCATCCAGCGCCCTTATCCCATTCAACACTGCACTCGAGATTCGACAGAAGCTAGTAGGATCTGAAGACCCGCTCATTGCATCTAGTTTGAACAATATTGCAATTTCATACACAGAGATGGGTGACCTAGAAAAAGCATATTCTACACATGAAAAGGCCCTAACAATTCGTCTCCGCGCGGATACCAGAATTGACAACACCTATAGCAATATGTCAAGTTTGCTTCTACGAATGGGGAAGCCTGATGAGGCTGAGGATATCATGAGAAAGTGCCCAGCCCTAAAGGATTTTACAGATGAGAGTTTTATAAATACTGGAAATCCTCGTTATGTTGGCAACATGGTCTTGCTTTCTCGCATACGCCTAGCTCAGGGCTCGCTCGACGACGCAATGCGGCTTGCCTCGAAAGCTCTTACGTTCCGACAGAAACTACACGGAAATAGACTGAAGACTTGTGATTCGTTGTATGATGTAGCAGATATGCTTGTCCGTCAGGGGTGTGTATCTTCTGCAATGTAAGTTTTTAGATTTCTCCCAGCTTCTTGGTATATGCAGGCTTACACTAAATAGCGAGCTTCTCAAGCAACTAGTAGCCATATCTGAAACCTTAACTGAGGCCGAAGGACAGCTCGCAAGAGCTAGTTACAAGCTGAGTGTTCTATATGACGAGAACGACAGGCCAACAGATAGTCAAGCTTGTAAATCTCGCGCGATTGCTCTGAAGGATAAATTGAGACCCGAATTGAAGGACGGCCTATTTGAAGAAAGCGAGTTCATGAAACTATGTCCCTTTATGTTGTGGTGAAGAGGAAATAAATACTTTCATATTATATAGACTGTTAGCGCCCTTGATAACAACGAAGTGTGCTTGGAGCTGTGGTGTCCTGTACTGCTGACAGAATTCCACGCGCTTTTGTGCTGTGACAGAGACTCTGGCTCTAGGAAGCTAGTAGGGTCTCCTAAGCTCGCTCATCTGCCATTGGGCTTTTTACGCAACAAGAGAGAGTTGGTAGCAGTTGACAGAAACCCAAGTCTGTTGCTCTGGTGAGAGTCCCTAAAGTGAGAGGTGGACGTTTCAACCTCCGAAGCGATCTGTTGGAATGCGTAAATAGATCACTCGATATGGGAATTTCACCAGAAGCAGGATGTTGTGAGTTACGGGGATCAGATAGAACAATATTAAAAACGGAAAATGTCTGAAGTGTGCGTGGTGCCGAAGTAGCTGGATGTGAGGACGAGGATCTCGAAGACGAGGTATTCTAGCCTCCTCGAAGGGTGGACCTTCAACTCCATACTCCCCACCATCCAAAGCTGGAACAAGTATCGCCACATTCTCCTGCTTCCCACTATTCTTTGCTTTTCACATTCCACTCCTACGATCGGAACATGCGCGGTTGAAAGCCTCGTGTATCTTTTCCCACCACAAGCGCTCCCTCTCGAGGCCGATCAGCAAATTGTCTTCTTCCATATAATGGCACTTTCTCCTGCAAAGCTGGTCTGTGACCTCTCACATGAGACGCATCAGAACTGGTTCCAGGTTAGGCGTCTTTGGGTGGCAGCTCCTCCACCTCTCCTGATACTACTACATTTTTGAGTTTCGTCGAATAGTGCACCTGGATTGCCCCTTCAGTCCTGCCGGGGAGTTCGGCATAGCTGTCACGAACGATGCCTTCCACCAATTCGAAATGCAACGAGCCTGAACGCAGCTTGTCGGCAACATATGCTGGAGGAGCTGGGGAATGTCCGAGATACTTTCGGATCCTGCAATGCCGTACAATCAACCAACATTCCATTCCTACTTGTTATCAGATTTGGAGTCTCTGTTCTTTAACTTCGTGCAGTAGCGCACTTGCAGCGCTTCAATGCTCCTCTCCCCCCTCGGGAAAGTAAGGCCGAAAGCGCGATGTATCCCTTTCCACGGCAAACCCTCCTTCTTGAGGCACATTAGCTTATTGTCTTCTTGCTCCGTATATTCGAGGCGCCCACGCTTTCTCGCGAGCTCCGAAATGCCCTCTTTCCAATCAGGGACGGGGCAATCTTTACAGGAACATTCCGCGACAACGATATAATGTACGACGGGATGATCAAGGCGTTCAACAGTGCAATTAGGTCTCTAGGAGAGGAGGAACATGCAAATGCATAGGAGAGGGCGAGAATATGGGCATTAGCATTTTGAGGCGTATTGTTTCCTGCGTGGCACTTGAGAAAGCTGTATGGTACCGTGATAGTATGAAATGTGAAGAGTTCCGATTTCAACCTCTCCATTTCCTTTCCTGAAACCCATGCCTGTTCGATGTGCTTCTCCATCTACTACCTGGAGAATTTCCCAGGGTTACAAGCGTGATGGGAGCGATACATCCCCCGTTTCCAGGAAGCCGCTGTCGTGATCGAATACACAGGATGCAGCCTTTTGAGAGGCCCGAGGCAGATATTAGACCGTCTCGCGTTTCCACGAAGTTGCGGTCGTGATTGCAGATACTAGGATGCGGCCTTTCAAGAGGCCCGAGGCGGATTTCGGAAATCGACCAACCGTTTCGCGTTTCCACAAAGCCGCGGTCGTAATCGCAGACACAGGATGCAGCCTTTCGAGAGGCCCCAGGCAGATTTCGGAATCGACCAACCGTTTCGCGTTTTTAAGCGCTCTTAGGTCCTTTAAATGGTCGCCACAAGTGGAGAAGTGTGGGCCTTGAGGCAGCGGAGGTAAAAGCAGCGATGGCCTAAGACCGGGAACAGGTGTCACGAACCGAATCACGTGCGGGCAATACTCACGTGCCCTTCAGTGCCAAGACGGAGGCATGTCGGTCCGGACAGGACACGTAGAACTATATAGTAGGAACGCGGACCTTCGGAGGAAGGTCAGCGTTCAGTCTTCGTATCAATAGACCAGGATTCTACGTATATTCCTTCCCGTGACTTCCCACTGCCCTACTCGCCAAGAAGTCCTTTACAACAGGGAAGCGGAAGGCTGACAACGGGGGACGGTTTTGGTGGTGGTCTTGGCGCGGGAGCGATGGCAGCTCAAGGAGAACTGGGCATCCCGTCCGCTCTGCCATACATAACCTTGAGATCGGTGGATTAGTAGTTGGGTGGGTGACCACCAGCGAATACCCACTGTTGTATGTTTTTTTGGCCTTTTTATACAATGGATTTTTAACTTCTCCTTGGTGGCGTGGCAGATTGATCTAGTGTGTAAGATAATATACGGCCCGTATACTGCTAAGGAATGCACATGCTAGAATAAAGCACGTATGTGATAGTTGCTCTACTAACATGATAATAACCTTAGTAACACAATGTTTATTTATCTCAAAATTTCCTATTTAGGACCTGCTTAGACTCTATGATGTCAGGAAAAGTGCTTGGTAGTATACGGGTTCATAGCATGAGGAGGAGTAAGAGGCGCCGCTTGTAGACTACATTAAAATGTCATATTAGATTAGACTTACGCTTGGCAAAATCTTAAGTTGAGAAACGTATATACTTAGAGCTGTGACTAAAGGACGTCGCCATTCATATCAAATAGATTGTGCAGTGGCTTCAGTAGGTGAGCGACTAGGTAATAGCTCTAGTAGTTGAGAGACTGTGAAGTGGCTTTGGTAGTTGAGCGACTGCATAATAACTTTGGTAGTTGAGAGACTGCCACAACCTTTCTTTGCCAAATGCACGATCCTTGCACGTGGGAATATTGGTCGAGCAATCTGGAAATACTGAGAAAATGTATGATAAATGACCCCTGCCAACGCCAACACGCCCCCAGCTAACACAGCACCATCTAGAATGTAATATGTCTCTTTCTCCCCGTATACTTGCTGGACGCCTTGACGACCTTGCCCTTCCGCTCCATTTGCTCCTTTTTGTTGAGAATCCATGCTTTTGAGCCCTTCTTTGCCTCTTTCCTCTTATGTGCCTGGTGCTGCCTTCGTGCGTCCACAACGTCAACACCTTCCATTCCCTTGACCACACCAGTAATATCGCCGCCAGCACCCTCTGTCGCAGCACCACCAACGGTAAGAACAAGATATAACTTGGCATTCTTGGTTCCGGGGTCATCTTCAAGGATACCCGCGCCAAACCCAGCCTTGATCGCGGCTCCGCTGATCATGGTTCGCTGCTGATCGTTCTTGGGGTAAAACTGGCACACCGCTCTCCCTCCTCGTTTTAAGCTAGCATATAACCCGTTGAAAAACCTCGATAGTCGGCCCGTTGGTGAAACGTCGCTACTTTCGGCATTACAGAGCCACTGGATAGCGGAAATCGATATCGCCGCATCGAACGTTCCAGCGCGGAATGGGACGCCCTGGCCAATATCCGCGAGCATCAGGTCGCCTTCGACATCGCGCTGGAGGGCGACATCCAGCATAGAAGCCGAGATGTCCATGCCAACCCATATGTGTTGGCCGCCATACTCCTCCTCCACTGAGCTGACAATCTCGCCGGAGAGTCCAGAGCCGCAGCCGATATCGAGGATCATGGCGGGGGTGTCGAGGTCGAGGAGTTCCAGGGCGCGGTTGGTCATGGAGGCCTGGATGTTCTGGATACGGGAGGAGGTGGTGTATTTGCGTGCCTCCACATCGTTGTAGTGGAGGTCGGGGGGGCTGGGGGAGTTTGGTCAGTCACAGTCGGAGGGGGGAGTGGCGGGTCGGCGTCTTACAGGATATCTTCCGGGCGAGACATGGTGGCGGACAGAACTCTGCCACGGCAGGAATGCGTTTAAGATCTACCACATACGCTACCCGTCAGGCTGCAGGGAATTTTATTTTTTGTTGTCGTTCTGAATCTGTAGTCCCAAAATTTGTAGTACAGATAGGGCGTCATAAATCTCGAAATAAATATATTTTGACTTATCAGTGCGCCAACGGCGATTGCCGAAATCTGGGGTAAACGACACGGCGACATCTTTAGATGACCAGCCTCCCGACATGAAGCTTCTCTTGTAGTCAAGTAGCAGTGCCAGGTTTCTTCAAGAAATGGCGCACTTCTGGATTCTACCGCTTGTCGGATACTTGGGCATGGCCCTGGGCTTTGGCTTCCTTACTTTAGCCATTGGTAGGTGATCCCGTCATCCGCCCCTCGGACCTCCGCTAATAAATTCACAGCTTCGGGACTGTACTATCTGTCTGAGCTCGTCGAAGAACACACAGTCATAGCAAAGCGACTATTGACGCGCATTATATACGCCGTTATCGCCATCCAAACCCTCCTTGTCCTCGTCGATGGCTTCCCAAAGTTCCTCTCCCTCATCGGCATCGTGTCGCACGTCGTCTACCTTGGGAATATGCGACGCTTCCCAGTCGTGAAGCTGTCTGATCCATTATTCCTCTCATCTTGTGGTATGTTATCCAGTCACGGTATGACGGGACAGGCCTAACCATTCATAGTTCTTGTCCTCATCAACCACTATTACTGCTTCGCCCACTTCTCCAGCCTTCCAAGAGCCCCCACACACTCCATTTACGATGCGCCCACGGTACCCACCTTCACAGAGATTGCATCCTACTTCGGGATATGCGTGTGGCTCGTTCCATTTGCCTTGTTCGTAAGCTTATCGGCGAGCGACAACGTGCTTCCAACGATGGGAAGCGAGGCACCCAGCGGGAGTGTGGGACCTGGTGACCGTCAAAAGAGACAGGGGCTGGTGAAGGTTGTGGTTGATGGATTCATCGAGTGGGTGGGCAATGCAGGAAACGTCTTGGGCTGGTGGAAAACAGACCGACGATCGAGTATTTTATGAGCTGGGAAGGTGCGTGTATGATAAATGATGTTCTGTAATTGCTGGGCAGCCACGCATATAAGGGAGTTTGAGCAGTCGCAAAAGATTAACGATTAAATTAGATGTCTGTACTTTAAAAGTTGAAATGAAACCCCATTCGATACGAGCCAGATGTGATTCAGTTCGCAGCGGCATAACAAGAATCGCAGTAAATTTGCAATATACAAAAGCTAGTACAAATGCTGCTGGGTATGACAATGCTATATATCAAAAAATAAACTTCCCCATGTGTCGCTCCCGTCCATTCCTCATGGGCTTAAACTCTTTGTCTTGTAAAACTCTTTCCGCCTCCCATCCTCTTCAACAAGCACTCTCTCTCGGTCCTCCAGTCTACCCGCCGACATTCTCGGATTAGCACCATACGTAATACTCCGTGCGCGTGGCCTTACGTCTTCAACATTCATCGTATCTCTCGAAGCCTCCAGCCCACGCTGCACCTTATCCACCTCCAAAGGCGACAGCGGCGTGGTGAGGTTGCTCCTCCGCTCCCGACTCGGCTCTCTGCTCGGATCCCTCGACTCCCCCCCCACACTAACATGTCTCACCGCGTAGCTATCCGCCCTCCCCCTTGTCTCAACGGCAGGGCTGCGACTGCGCTCGCGCACGGGCGGGTTGACGATGAATATCTCCCCGCTATTATTCCGGCTGTGTCGCCGACCATCCTGTCGCGAGCGCTGGCTCCTCTGGCTCCTCAGGCTCCCCTGCCGCACGCTCTGTCGGCTCGTCACGCTCGTGCGGCTGTTGCGCGGGCTGCCTTCATACACCACAACGTGTGTATGGCTTGTGCGCGGGCTGTTCCTCGGACTGCGATTGGGCGTCGGCGCCTGCACTATCATTGGGAAGTTTCCCGGGTCCGGGTTGGGGCCCGGGTACCCTTCGACGTATTCTACAGGGCGTGGCGCACGCTCGACTGAGGTAATGCGCGTGATCGACTGGCGGGATGTGGTGGTTGGCTGGATGATGACCTGAGAGGTGCGCCTCGAATGGGAGACCGATTCGCGACGACGGACGTATATCCGGGGTGGCTCAACGGGGTCGTCCTCCTTGTAAACTAGAGTTGAGGATGTTAGCTGGCGCTGCTTTGCTGTCTGTCTCTGGTGGATCGAAGCGGGGAGTGGAGTGGCTGCGGGGTTGAGGTACGAACCTCTGACGAGACACATTGCTGGCAGCCTCTAGGGCACTGGACGTCTCAGAGGCGCTTTTGGGATATGCGCTAGAAAGTTGACAAAGAATGTAGTGAAGCCTTGTCTGAGCGCAATGCGCAACTGGAGATCTTGGCGATAGATAAGATGGTTGGAGTGCGCAAAGTAGTCCGAAATGCGCTTGGTTATATGCAATACTTTCTCAGATGTCTCGGCATGAAGGGGAATGGGGTAGGTATATATATACTCCCGGGTGCCACGCGTGCGCAGGACTGAGAAGGGAAGAGCTGGTGGTCCCCTCACCTGATAGTGTCTGCTTCCTCCGATGTCTATTAACAGCCCGATCACGACGACAAAAGCAGGCCCTCCCTCCAATTATAGAACGTGGCTCGTGAGGCCCTCGTCCGTGTGGCTGGTGACACTAAGATGCGGGACAGGGTCGAGCCGGTGTGGTCCAGCCAAATTTAGGGGAGCCAAGGAAGGTTAAGGCCGAGAATAGTAAGATGTTTATAAACATTTAAGCGCCACTAAGCGCCGGCCACTATGGGGTGCACCGAGTGTGTTGAGTATGCTAGGTAGGCGGATGATGGCATTAAATATTAATATTAAATAAAAAACAGTTATAAAGCCAGGGTTAGCACAAATACTCATGAGTATGATTGCATAATTATACTCACAAGTATGAGTACTAGGTCATGTGTAAACCACGTGACTTTTAATTTAAAGAGCTTTAACATTATAAAAGGCCAAGACCGATTGATTGGCTATCATTTGTCGAAATTCAGGATTGGTGTAATGGTGGGTGCACCAGATGTGAGAATCTAGCCACCTAAGGAAGGGATGATTTTACTAAGACAACACACTGTCTTAGCCAAAGGGTCGTAGCTTAGACTATTCCACAATGCAGCAATCAGGTGTATGATGTAGTGGAGTGGTTTAGACAAGTTGTAACAAATGTTGAGTCTGAGAACTCAGGGATAAGTCAGAGGTTAGCACCTCACTGACTTTTCAGAAACAAGGAGTAACAAGATCAATGCTTGGAAGCTGTAAGGACACAGGGCACCCAGCTCACGGTAATAGCATATGAGAGTGCGAGTCAGAGGCTAAACGGATGCTATCCTATAGGTCTACTATGAAGGATACAAAAAAGATGAAGAGAGAAACCCCCGTTGGGTCAATCTCCTTAAGTACCCGAAACGGGTCTGACTCGGCTAACCTGCCCTAACTCTCCCCACATGACCGTAACCTGCCTGACTCCGATGCTTTCCATCACTGAGGGCGGAGGCATCCTTACACTACCCCCCCTCTTAAGAGAGTGTTTTGTCCGCGAAACACGCTGTGAGAATCATTTCCGCAACATCTCTGAATGGTATCCATGAGAAGAGCGTTCTATGTTGGCAGGAATTCTGTTTGTAATTGCATCTGTAACAACCCTGTTTATGTGCTGTGTCGGGAAGGTGCGTTGTATGTCATGCTAGAGCTGTGCCGTATCGACTCCGTTTCGTGTGCGAAACCAGAGTTTGCTTTGTTCGCTCTGGGGTACATTCGTGGTGGTCCGAGTGGACTCCGAATCGCATCCGCGAAGCATCCGGGTTAGACTTTGCTTTGTTCGCTCTGGGGTGCATTCCTGGTGGTCCGAGTGGACTCTGAATCGCATCTCGAAGCGTTCAGGTTAGACTGTCCTATGTATGAAAGGAGAAGTGTTCGCGCTAACCCGATTCGGAGTTTATTGTTGTAAGCCAGACTATGAGTGCGCAGCTGCGTCCACTTCTTCTTTTTGTCTCCAACAACAATGCCAGCGACCACCCCTCCGAGAACTGTAAGTGACCCCTTCCTGTGGATTGTCTGACGGTGCACTAATAAATTGGATAGGATATTTCCAATCCACAAGAACGAGTAGGTGATGGGAGCGCGTTGGCGCAGGGTGTCATACTGACATTCGTTGCACTCAGTTTGCTATCAAACTCAAGAGCAAACTTGGAAATCTCCTCCTCAAACCTACAAGTCACTATACATATTTTGGCTTATCACACCAACAACAAGAGCAATACTACTCAACGATTGCTACAACCATCTATGATTCATTACATGTCATCGCTCCTTAGTTACTGGGCCGATATTACCACATAGCATATCTCTACAACCCTCTATGATTCATTACATGACATCAGTCATACTACCACATGACATATCTCTACCAACTAGAGGCCTAGGAGCATGAACGATAACTCTAAAAGCTCCTACGAACCTCTATGATTCATTACACGTCATCGCTCTTTAGTTACCCACAAGATTGGTTAAGTTATGACATAATTTGTCTATGACATAATTTGTCTATAGGGGTACTCTGACCTTGGACCTCCTTTTACTTCCTATAGGCTACGAACCTAAGAGATGGTTCTATGGGATTCTCTTACAATATGCTAACTTGACGCCAAAGTGGCTGAACAGCGCATCTGAGTCATTCCGTACATCAAAGAAAGAGCAAGCAGACAATACAGTAAATCGACTATCACATACTTCCATGTCTTTTCCAAGCTTCCAAGCATTGATCTTGTTACTCCTTATTTCTGAAAAGTCAGTGAGGTGTTAACCTCTGACTTACCCCTGAGTTCCCAGACTCAACATTTGTTGCAACTTGTCTGAACCACTTCACTACATCACACACCTGATTGCTGCGTTGTGGAATAGTCTAAGCTACAACCCTTTGGCTCTGTTTCCTAAGACAGTGTGTTGTCTTAGTAAATTCATCCCTTCCTTGGGTGGCTAGATTCTCACATCTGGTGCACCCACCATTACACAGGGGTGATAATGTGTGCTGGGCTGATGGGATTCTGCGCAGAATTCCAACTTTTTGCGATGCCGATTCTGACTCCCGCGGGAGCTTTGTCGGGTGCGTTCCATGTCCTCTGCCTGCGCTGCCTTCGGGCCAAAGCTCGTGGCATCAAGGACCACGATTGTGTCTGGTCCCCCGCCTCCTCCAAGTGCGAGTACTGCACGGCGCAGCACTCCACCTGCGTTCTGGTGAGTTCCCTTGTGCTGTTCTGTCTCTGTTGGCTTTTGCTAACAATTTGCATAGCTTCCCTGGTTCCTCGATGAGGAATACCGTGTCCTTGCTGCTGCTGAAGCAGCACATCCTTGGGACCCTGTCGCTGTTGAAGCTGCTGCTGCAGAGGCAAACCGGGTGGCCCTTGTGGCTGCCCAAAGTGTCCCGAAATTCCGCTCGGCCGCCGAGCGCGACTCCCGCAACGTGCGCTGCCCTCGAGGCGGGTCTGGCTGTGAGTATCCCCCTGTCCTGTGTGGTTTCGGTGCTGATTCAGGGCACCCAGCTCACAGTAATAGCATATGAGAGTGCGAGTCGGAGGCTAAACGGATGCTATCCTATAGGTCTACTACGAAGGATACAAAAAAGATGAAGGGGGAACCCCGTTGAGTCTGTTTCCTTAAGTACCCGAAACGGGCCTGACTCAGTTATTCCAACCCTAGCCCTGAACCTTCCACCGTAACAGGTCTGCATTGACCCTGAACCCTACACCCTTACCGTCCCCCACTATAGTGTAACTCGCTATGTGCTCCTCTGCTGGTTCGAAACCACACCGAGTCAGATTTCATGCTTGTAGTGACCGTAATGTAATGGTGGGTGCACCAGATGTGAGAATCTAGCCACCCAAGGAAGGGATGAATTTACTAAGACAACACACTGTCTTAGAAAACAGAGCCAAAGGGTCGTAGCTTAGACTATTCCACAACGCAGCAATCAGGTGTGTGATGTAGTGAAGTGGTTCAGACAAGTTGCAACAAATGTTGAGTCTGGGAACTCAGGGGTAAGTCAGAGGTTAACACCTCACTGACTTTTCAGAAACAAGGAGTAACAAGATGAATGCTTGGAAGCTTGGAAAAGACGTGGAAGTATGTGATAGTCAATTTACTGTATTGTCTGCTTGCCCTTTCTTAAGGAAAGGGCAATCCTATTTATGCTAAAGGAGTGTAGTTCTCTCATTTTCCAAGACTTTCCATGATTACCAGGCTTGGTAACTGTAGTCGACGTAAGAGAATCCCATAGAACCATCTCTTAGGTTCATAGCCTATAGGAAGTAAAAGGAGGTCCAAGGTCAGAGTACCCCTATAGACAAATTATGTCATAGACAAATTATGTCATAGACAAATTATGTCATAGACAAATTATGTCATAGACAAATTATGTCATAACTTAACCAATCTTGTGGGTAACTAAAGAGCGATGACATGTAATGAATCATAGAGGGTTGTAGAGATATGCTATGTGGTAATATCGGCCCAGTAACTAAGGAGCGATGACGTGTAATGAATCATAGATGGTTGTAGCAATCGTTGAGTAGTATTGCTCTTGTTGTTGGTGTGATAAGCCAAAATATGTATAGTGACTTGTAGGTTTGAGGAGGAGATTTCCAAGTTTGCTCTTGAGTTTGATAGCAAACTGAGTGCAACGAATGTCAGTATGACATGATACCCCTCTTAAGGACGTTTGTTAGCTGTGTGCTTGCCCTTTAGCCAGGTGGCTTTCTTAGAAAAAAATTCTAGAATCAGCTTGGATGCATTTTTTAGATTTCTCTTAGGTTCCCAAGTGTTGTCACTTGTAGGATAGCCTTTCCACTTAACGAGGAAGTAGTCCTGACCTCTAAGTGTCTTTTTGTCAAGGATAGACTCTACTTCATATTCTGGTTGATCCAAAATCAGAACAGGAGGAGGAGGAGACTGAAGTGGTCTTAAGGAACTTTCTTGTGCCTTAGACAAGAGAGATGCATGGAAGACATTATGGATAGTCCAAGTAGGTGGTAATGCAAGCTCGAAAGCATTCTTGCCAATAGTCCTTGTGATCTTAAAGGGTCCAAGTCTTTTAGTATCAAGTTTGTCTGATGGTCTAGTAGTTGTGATATGTCTTCTAGACAAAAAGTCTTGATCACCAACTTTGAATTGTGGTGCAACCACCCCCCTGTTAAAGGCCTGAGCCTGCTCGTCTTGTGCACGCTGTATTTGGACCTTGAGATAGTCCTGGAGGCCCTTAAGGTAGATGATTCCTTCAGTAGCAGAAGGGTTTTTGAGATTTTCAGGACAATTAAGTTCTGCCACTTCAAACCTAGGGTGATAACCATAGTTTGCATAGAAAGGTGTCTCTTTTGTGGTGTTAGAGACCGTGTTGTTGTAAGCAAATTCTGCAAGATGGAGAAGATCTGCCCAGTTGTCTTGAGCATAGTTTGTATAAATTCTTAGATATTGTTCAAGTACAGAGTTGACTCTCTCTGTCTGGCCATCTGTTTGAGGGTGATAAGCTGTAGAAAAGCGTTGTTCCATGTTTAAGAGTTTAGAGAACTCCTTAAAAAAGTTTGAAGTGAAAACTGCTCCCCTATCTGAGATCCAGTGTCCAGGAATTCCATGATATTTAAAGACCACCTTGAGGAATAGCCACGCAAGTTCAGAAGCTGTGATAGTCTCATTGCAAGGCTCAAAGTGTGCCATTTTTGTGAGCCTTTCTACCACCACAAGGATAGAGTCATAAGGGGTAGCACCCCCTTTTGGGATAGAAGGAGGCAACTTGACTATAAAGTCAATGGATATGGAGTCCCATGGGCGTTCTGGTATAGGTAGAGGCTGCAAGAGGCCATAGGGCTTTTGCCGTGTAGGTTTGTTCAAGTTGCAAGTTGTGCAAGAAGATATATAGTCTTGAAGAGTAGTCCTTAGACTAGGCCAGTAGAACTTTCTTGTTAGAAGTTCATAAGTTTTTGCAAAGCCAAAGTGCCCTGCAGCTGGAGCATCATGGAACTGCTGTAGGAGGTGTAGCTGTAATCGTTTATCCCTTGGGACATAGATATAGCTCTTGAATAAGAGAAGTCCTTGCTGATTTTTTGAGAAATTTTGTAGTCCAACTTTCTCAAGAGAGGAGCCTTTCTTCTGGAGGTATTCCAAAGTTCTTTTGGCAAAGGGATCGTGGTTGTAAGCATCTTTGAATGCTTTAAGAAGTGTTGCTGAGGGTGTATAGTCTTTAAAGGTCTCTGGTTTCTGAGAAGAGGTAATGGGGGCAACTTGGTTTTGAGGGGATAAGTTTCCCTCTAAGTCCTCTGTAGTGCGAGGGTTGCTTAAAGATGCTGCTATAAGCTTTGTAGAGTCTAGCAGGGCCTTTGTATTGCTTGTTTTAGCAGAATCTTGGTAGTCATGTCTTCTTGAGAGGAGATCTGCTCTTTGATTCTTGGCCCCTGAGACATGTTTTATAACAAAGTCAAAACCTCCTAGTTGTTCAGACCACCTTGCTTGTCGTCGATTGAGCTGTTTAGTGGTTGTAAAGGTCAAGAGATTTGAATGGTCACTGTAAATAGTGATAGGATAGTTTGCCCCTTCAAGGTAGCATCTCCAATGCTTTAGAGAACATACTATGGCAAGCAGTTCCTTGTCTGTAATGGGATAGTTTTGTTCGGCTGCTGATAGCTTTCTTGAGTAAAATGCCACAGGCTGTAGCTCTTCTTGTTTGTCTTTTGGAGCTTGGTATAAGATTCCAGAAATGGCAAAATCTGAGGCATCTGTCTCAAGAGTGGCAGGTTTCAAGGGGTTAAAGTGTAGTAACATTTTCCCTTCTTTGAATTCTCCTTTAAGAGCATCGAAAGCATCTTGCTGTGTCTTATCCCAGTGATACAAAGTGTCCTTGTGAAGTAATTGAGTAAGGGGTAAAGCCAAGGATGTATATCTTGGTATAAACCTCCTGTAATAGTTGGCAAACCCAAGGAAAGACTGAACCTCTTTAATGCTGGAAGGAATAGGCCACGTTTGTACTGCTTTTGTCTTTTCAGGATCCATCTGAATGCCTTCTGTTGAAATTCTATGTCCCAAGAAATCAACTTGAGACATATGGAAAAGACATTTCTCAAGTTTGCAAAAGAGTTGTGCTTGAGATAGCTTCTCTAAGACTTGTCTAACATGTAGAACATGCTCTTGAGTGTCTAAAGAGTATATAAGAATGTCGTCTAAGTAGACAACAACAAAGATATCCAAGTAAGGTCTTAGAATATCATTCATGAGAGCTTGGAAAGAAGCAGGTGCATTGGCAAGCCCAAAAGGCATTACCTGGTATTCAAAATGACCATAGCGTGTTCTGAATGCTGTCTTCCACTCATCATCTTCCTTGATGCGTATCAGGTTATAAGCTCCCCTGAGATCTAACTTGGTAAAGATCTTTGCTGAAGAGAGCCTATCCATGAGCTCAGGGATAAGGGGTAAAGCATATCTGTTTTTAACAGTGACTGCATTAAGGCCCCTATAATCAACACAGAGACGCAAGGAGCCATCTTTCTTCTTGACAAAGAGAATAGGAGCTCCTGCTGGTGAGGAAGAAGGTCTGATAAAGCCAGAACTAAGGTTCTCATCTAGGTATTCTCTGAGAGTTTTCAGCTCTAATTCAGATAGAGAGTAGATAGGGCCGTAGGGAGGCATTGAGCCTTCTGCGAGTGGTATCTCATGGTCATAAGGCTGGTGCTTTGGCAGAATTGATGCCTTTGCCTTGTCAAAAAGATGTTGGTAGTCTTGGTATGCTAAAGGCAAAATGACCTCCTGAGATGATTTCTCCAAATCTGAAGTAGCTGCTATCTCCAGGACAGGTTGGAAAGGTTTAACCCATATCAGAGATGATATATCGTCCATAGTTTGGTCAAAATCCTTGATCTGGGACAAGTCTGAGTCTTGGACCTGAATAGGGGTAACTGAGGCTTGAAGGGTTTTTTCAGTATTGAGCTCCGGATTTGAGCTAAACCCAAGCGATAAATGCTTCCAATTGATAGTTGGATCATGCCTTTGAAGCCATGGAAGACCTAGGATGACTGAGTACTTCATTGGTATAACATCTAAAGAGATGGTGTCTGAAAATGTTGATTTTCCTAGGGGAATCTCAAGTTTGAGTACTGGGGTGTTGCAGGTAATGGAACCTGAACTGATAGGAGTTCCATCAATGACTCGGAGCAACTCTGGAGTGCGTTTGGGAATTGTAGGTAACTGGTGTGTCAAGATGAGGTCTTGAGATATAAAGTTGCCTGTTGCCCCTGAGTCTATCATAGCCCTTGTAGATAACACCTGTTGTTTGAAATGGAGTTGAATAGGGATTAACAGGTGTGTGAAACTCTGAGAAAGCACCATCGACACATCTTTGTTGTCTAGGGGAGAAGTTGTAGTCTCAGTTGAAGTTGTGCCTGGTGGGGATTTTTCAAGTTTTTCAGGAATAGCAGCTGTGACTGTGTCTGAGGCTGCTATATGTTTTGATTCAGCACTCCCCCGTGCTGAATAGCACTCCTGAATTCTGTGCCCCCCTTTGCCACAGTATAAACAAAGGTTGTTGTCCATTCTGTGTTTTCTTTCTTGAGGAGTAAGTTTACCCCTTTTCAGTTTTTGAGGGCTTCTTGTAGGCTGAGGTGCTGGATTTGCTGTAGATCTCTTTATAGAGGCGTCTAAGTCCATAGGTTCAGGTGCTGAGTCCTTAGCAGTTGGTGTAGAGGTGTAATTGTTGAAATTTCTTGTTGGATGCCAGTCTTGGTTCTTCTCCTTTCTTCTTTCAAAAAGCCTATCATCAAGTCTGACAGCTTTCTCTATAAGCGTTTGAAGTGTTGTAGGGCGTTCTTCTTTGCTGAGTTCATCCTTAATAGAGCTCTTGAGCCCTTGGTAGTAAGTGAAGACTAAGGCTTCTTCATTCCAAGTCAAGTGAGAAGTGATTCTCCTAAATTCTGTTGTATACTGAGCAGCAGAGGTCTTTTGACATAGCTTCTGTAGCTCTCTTTCTGCTGTAGCAGTTTCGTTGATGTCTCCAAAGGTCCTGGTAAGTTCCTCTTGAAACTGGTCATAAGAGGTAATCAAAGGTGTAGTGGTATTTTGGTTGTTGCCACTAAGTCTTCTAAGATATGGCTCAAAGAAGTTGAATGCAGATCCACGGAGGTAGCTGGCAGCGAAATACATATTCTGAATATCTGAGGTGAACTGATGAGGCCTGAGGGTGAAGTAGATGTCCAGTTGCATAAGAAATCCCTTCAACTTCCTCCTGTCTCCATGGTATAAATCTGGTGTTTGCACTTTAGGAAGTGCACCTGGGGTACCCGACATAGCCAGAGGAGCTGTGGGAAGCTCTGTATGATGTGTCTGAGTTGAGGATTGTGTTGCTGAAGTGTTGGCTTGAAAGGTGTTTTCCAAATTCTCAAGTTTGTTTGCTATATTTTGTATAAAGGCAAACAGTTGTTGCATCTGCTGTTCAGCAGTAGTTGTAGGAGCTTGGTCGTCCTCCATTGTAGTATCGAAGTGCTGCTATAGAAATAGTTGAAGCTTGAAGCAGACAAGGTGTAATGGTGGGTGCACCAGATGTGAGAATCTAGCCACCCAAGGAAGGGATGAATTTACTAAGACAACACACTGTCTTAGAAAACAGAGCCAAAGGGTCGTAGCTTAGACTATTCCACAACGCAGCAATCAGGTGTGTGATGTAGTGAAGTGGTTCAGACAAGTTGCAACAAATGTTGAGTCTGGGAACTCAGGGGTAAGTCAGAGGTTAACACCTCACTGACTTTTCAGAAACAAGGAGTAACAAGATGAATGCTTGGAAGCTTGGAAAAGACGTGGAAGTATGTGATAGTCAATTTACTGTATTGTCTGCTTGCCCTTTCTTAAGGAAAGGGCAATCCTATTTATGCTAAAGGAGTGTAGTTCTCTCATTTTCCAAGACTTTCCATGATTACCAGGCTTGGTAACTGTAGTCGACGTAAGAGAATCCCATAGAACCATCTCTTAGGTTCGTAGCCTATAGGAAGTAAAAGGAGGTCCAAGGTCAGAGTACCCCTATAGACAAATTATGTCATAGACAAATTATGTCATAGACAAATTATGTCATAGACAAATTATGTCATAACTTAACCAATCTTGTGGGTAACTAAAGAGCGATGACATGTAATGAATCATAGAGGGTTGTAGAGATATGCTATGTGGTAATATCGGCCCAGTAACTAAGGAGCGATGACGTGTAATGAATCATAGATGGTTGTAGCAATCGTTGAGTAGTATTGCTCTTGTTGTTGGTGTGATAAGCCAAAATATGTATAGTGACTTGTAGGTTTGAGGAGGAGATTTCCAAGTTTGCTCTTGAGTTTGATAGCAAACTGAGTGCAACGAATGTCAGTATGACACGTAACAGCTCTGAGGCAGGTTCTTCGAGTATCTAGGTAAGGAGGCATCCTTACAAAAGGGGTAGCCAGAACGTGATGCTGCCTACCCTTCAGAATACCCTCCGCAAGGCCATGAAGGCTGTAGGAAGCCCGCAGGTAAGTGGGGTGACAACGAGCCCACAGGGTCCGTGTCATACTGACATTCGTTGCACTCAGTTTGCTATCAAACTCAAGAGCAAACTTAGAAATCTGATCCTCAAACCTACAAGTCACCATACATATCTTGGCTTATCACACCAACAACAAGAGCAATACTACTCAGCGATTGCTGCAAACTCTTCTACTACATCTGTGTCATACTGACATTCGTTGCACTCAGTTTGCTATCAAACTCAAGAGCAAACTTAGAAATCTCCTCCTCAAACCTACAAGTCACCATACATATCTTGGCTTATCACACCAACAACAGAAGCAATACTACTCAAAGATTGCTGCAAACTCTTCTACTACATCTGTTTATGCTACATACATCACGGCATATCATTTGGACACTCATTGAACAAGTTATTAAGAAAATCTCCTCCTTAAGGGGGTGGGCCAATACTACCACATGGCATATCTCTACCAACTAGAGGCCTAGGAACATGAACAATAGCTCTAGAAGCTTCTACAACCCTCTATGATTCATTACACGTCATCGCTCCTTAGTTACCCACAAGATTGGTTAAGTTATGACATAATTTGTCTATAGGTACTCTGACCTTGTACCTCCTTTTCACTTCCTATAGGCTAGGAACCCAAGAGATGGTTCTATGGGATTCTCTTACGTTCACTACATGATTAGCAAGCTAGTTGTGGGTCGCACTTGATTTCTAATACATTTACCAAGCCTGGTTAGTCATGGAAAGTCATGGAAAATGAGAGAACTACACTCCTTTGGCATAAATAGGATTGCCCTTTCCTTAAGAAAGGGCAAGCAGGTAATACAGTAAATCGACTAGCACATACTTCTACGTCTTTTCCAAGCTTCCAAGCATTCATCTTGTTACTCCTTGTTTCTGAAAAGTCAGTGAGGTGTTAACCTCTGACTTACCCCTGAGTTCCCAGACTCAACATTTGTTGCAACTTGTCTGAACCACTTCACTACATCACACACCTGATTGCTGCGTTGTGGAATAGTCTAAGCTACAACCCTTTGGCTCTGTTTCCTAAGACAGTGTGTTGTCTTAGTAAAATCTTCCCCTCCCCTGGGTGGCTAGATTCTCACATCTGGTGCACCCACCATTACAGTCCTCAAGAAGAGGATATCGACCCACAGAGTATGGGCGAAAGCGCCAGCGGTATGAGTACGAGGATTTACTGTACTCAATGAGTATGAGTACGTGCTAATACTCATGAGTATACTCGGGTTTCTAACCTTATAATAAAGCTCCCTCTACTATATATTATATACATTTTATTACGTGCTTACTAAGCTAACTTTGACATAAAAGCATAATCTACCCTCTTCTCTTGCTTTTCTCCTTTAACCCCCATTTTTCTATAGCTCAAAGGCACTTCACATATTGTTGCACCCGACAAGACAAACTTCACGTGCAGTTCGTGCGAAATTCTTTGAGGGTCCGTGCTGAACCACGTTACTTTAGTCGCGTCTCCCATAACTCCAATTCACAACATTCACATTGACCACATTAGAGTGGTTTCTAGCTGGCTGATACCTGCGGCTAAGTCTGCCTGGGTATGGGTCGACAGGTAGATCCGCGCCAATGACCACAGCCTCCTTCTGGATTGAAATAATCCCCAAACCCATCTATGTCAGCGGCACTGGCCCTCCAATGGCGCCAATCACCCTGCTGCCGGAGCACGACGAGGAGAGCTGGGTCATCGCAGAGGTAATTGAGTACAAGAAGGTGCCTCACTATGTCGTTCACCCGAAGGGCAAGCCGGTGGTGCGCAAGATCATCGCGAAAAATGAGGCTCTCGACTGGGTTTCACCATTGGTTTACGAAGAGTTTGAGATGGCGGAGGGATTGAGACGGGATGCTCGAGAGGAGGAATTGAAGCAGGAAAAAGAGCGGAGTAAACTCACCAAGAATGGGAAGAAAAGAGGCCGCCAATTCAGGAACGCTCAAACGGAAGCATCCGCGTCTCTTGTTGATTCCATCGAGACGGAGACCGACACACCAGACGACGGTGCTCACCTATCCAGCTCATACCTTCCACAACCTTCCAACCTACAACCCTCCCTCTCCAAACCCTCACTATCACAATCAAACATCAGAATGGACTCAGCCTTCGACACCGAAAACACCGAAGACGAGGGAGTGATATCAAGAACCATGGACCCCCCCCCGAGCAAACGCTCCCGCACATCCACGAGCGAGGGACTCTCCAGTAAGACCCCAAGAAACCTTTCAGAACCCCTCTTAAGCCCTCAGACGGTGCAGAAGAATAATCCCGCACCCACCTCCAAAACACACCCACGGTCGAAATCTATGGCTGAGCCTTCAACTCCACGCCACACGCCATCGCCTTCAAAGATACGCACTTCGGAGACGCACTCGCTGAGAGATCGGTCCGCGCAGCCGTTTTACGGACGCCAGCGCCAGAGGTCACAAAAGGTTTTCCCCCATCAAAGCGCATCACCAGCCAAGTCACGGAGATCGACAACTGCGCCGAGACAACCCACACGATCCAGCTCGCGCTCGAGAAACGCGACTCCCAGCGGAGGGGTACAGAAAGGCTGGAAATCCGCCCCCCCCAAACCAAACACCTCAACCCCCCAAAAGCGATCCAAGAGCACCACCTCTACCCCCTCGAAGCCCAAACCTGCCCCGCCCACTGCGGAATCCGCCGATGACGCCAACGGGAACAAGAATGACACGACAGAAAGCAAGCAGTGGAAGGTAACCCGCCTCCTGGACGATAAATGGGAAATGAAAACGCGGCGCCGATGCCATTACTACCTCACGCAGTGGGCGGGCGGCTATGAACCCACCTGGGAGCGGTCCACGAATATCACGAGTGATTTGAAGGCCGAGTATGAGACCTGGATGAAGACTCCTGAGGGGAAGGCGCATAAGGAGAGAAAGGAGGCTGTTGAGAAGAGCGCCAGGGCTGAGATTGACAGGGACGTCGTGATGGCACCGGGAATCCAGGACCAGAGTCAGAACTCAAGCAGAATCACCTCGGTGGATGATCAGGTACAAGTTTCTAAGAGACTAGGCGCCCATACCGGCGACATCTTTGCCCCAGACGACAATACCAACGGCGTCGACTCCCCTGACCCCCTCGCAGCCGGTATGCCCACTACAGTGAAGCGCGAGCAGTCCGAAGAAAGCATGGACGAGCTGCGACCTGCGCGAAGCCCCTTCTCACCCCCCCTTTCCCAAGCCGCTGCTAATGCTGTGGAGTCGGATGCGGAGTAAACCTGCGTCGTCGGGGCCGGAAATGCGGGTTGTCCATTCACTGGGTCTGCCGATGTCGTGGGCGCGGGGAGATCGGGATCATGATGCTTTTTTGCTGGAGTTTCCTTACTGGGACGAATGGAGTTTTGGGGGGGGCGGAGGGATGGTGTATGTTGCTCGGTATGGTTTTGCTTGGGTTTCGTTGGGGGGGGGGAGGCGTCATAGACGGCTTTTCCTGGAGCTTTGCACGCATGGTATGGGATGGACTGTATTTGGAAGGGGAGGGATATTTCAAGATGAGGTATTTGGTCGGAGGCTTATTTCTACTATTACGAACGAAAAGCACGGATGCGGCTCTGGAGGGATTTACATCAGATGATGAACAATACCAAGCAAGCAGTCTACTCTACATAGCAGAGCTGCACATCACGCACAACAAAATCTGAATGATGGATTTCGATAACATTATCTTAAAACTACCACTCCTCCTATTCGTGACATAACAATACCCCCCCTCCCTTCCCCCAGCCCAATTTTACCTATCCCATCCCACCCTACCGCCTACTCGGCTCCAAAACCCCCCACCCCTCCATCTCCTTCCCCCCCCCCCCCAATAAATCAACCCCCCCGGCCCCCGGCCCAGGTCTAGGCGGCATCCTCGGTTTCTCATCCGCCTCACTCCCATCCATACCCCCCACCGCGACACCTCTCCTTGGTGGTGGAGGTAGGGGCGATCTCCCCTGACTCTCCAACCCCGTCGCCCGCCGTGGCGGTGCCTCAAACTCCGTCTTCACACCCCCCATCGACTGCGTCCGGCTTAGCGGCGGACTACGAGTGCTCCCTGGGCTCCCTAAAGCGAGATGAGCGGGTTTCTTAGCGACAGGCGGCGCGGCGCGGCGCGAGGAGGCGCTACTCCCCCGTCTCTGCACCAGTGTCTCGGCCTGTGGACGCGCGGGCGTAGGCGGCGGTCGAGTTTCAGTCGCGGGGTACGGTGGCGGAAGGGGTTTCCTCAGGGTAGCTTGTGAGCGGACAGAGGGTGCTCGTGTAGACGGCGCAGGCTGGCGCTCAACATATACCCACTCCTCCTCCTCACTCTGCTGCCAGGGATTACTCGGTCTAGCGGGGTTAGGTAGCATCCCCCTCTCCGGCGGTTCAAGGGCACTGCGAGCAGGGTGTCCGGAGTCGATCCACCATTTCCTGCGATCCGAGCTCGCGGCGGGTAGGCCTGGTTCGACTGGGTCGTAGGGCGGGTCTTCGTCTGAACTCTCGTTTTCCATGCGCGCGCCGCCGACGACGGAAAGAGGGCGAGGTGTCGAATCAGCAGCGCGACGACGCGCGAAAGTCTGGCGCGATAGGGCGGCGCGGCGGGATTCGTCGATGATGGTTACTGTACATTCGAATGTCGCGAACACAGGGCGATGATCCGAATACCTCAGATCCGCAGAATGATACGCCGTCTGCCTGATATTCCCGCCCTTACGCAGTATGCGATCCGTCCAAGCCGGAATACGCGCCTTCTCACTAGTATCGTAGACATTAGTTCCGACGTCGAATTTGTAGGTTGGCATGAAGGTGATCATGGACTCTGAGTAGTGGGGAAAGGCCAGCCCGGCGATCATCTGGATGTTGAGCTGGTCATTGTCGTAGAGGGAGGAGAGGTCTTGGGATTTGATGAGGGTGGTGACGCGGTCGTGCGACATGCCGATGCGGTAGTTGAAGTCGCCCAGCCAGATGACGGTGTCGTGGTCGTCGATGACGCGGTTGCGTTGGAATTTGAGGCCTTGGTGGATGGTCTGGGTTTGTTAGCTTGGATGAGGGGTAGTGTGGAAGGGAAGCTGCTTGCGTGGAAGTCCTTGTTCCTTTCGTCATAATTGGCAAACCCAGCTGCTAAATGCGCAGTGACGAAGCATATTGAGGTATTGGCGTATTCCATCCGAATAGCCACCGCCCCTTTATTGCCCGCCATCCCTGACAACCCTGTCTTCTTCGTTGACCCCTCAACGTGCTTCACGAGATGTAGCACGGAAGATTTCACGTATATGCACAGCGCAGCACCAACCAACTGGCCACTCCTGAGTCGAACATATCTATCCTCGATGCCAGCAGCATCCATATGATCGTTCAAGTGCTTCTTCACAGCCGCTTCCCACCCCTTCTTTCTAGTCGGATCGCTATTCATGATCTGCTGGGGGCTCAACTCGACAATTTCTTGGAAACCAACAACGACCATCTCCGGTTGCTGTCCAGGGTTGCCGTCAGGGAATAACCAAGCGCTCAGGTCTTCATTGATGCCATCGCTCCGGCCGTTGGCGTTGTACGTTCCAACCCAGATATTGACAATCTGAGTAGAGGAATACTCTGGGAGCCGTCTGGCCAATTCCGAGTTCACATATTCGTTAATGGGGTCATATAAGTATACTGGTCGCTGTCCCACCAGCCTCCCTAGGAGCACATCGATAGTGTTCTGGCGGCCTTTATCCGCAAAATTGTTGATATAAAGACGAGTGGCACTCTTCCGAGCATCGGCAATGGCTCCCGCCAGGGACATCTTTCCGTGTCTCGTAAAGGAAGTTTTCAGGGCTCCTGTCCCTGCATAAATCTTCGACAAGGCATCTCCGTTATCAGCCCACAGACTCGAATGGCGCATCCAAAAGTCCGACGTAGCTCGTTCTCTGCGCTGGCCGAGGAAAGATTCTACCGCCATCTTGCTGATGATGGTTTGGATAAGATTCGTTCTATCGAGGCAGTCGAGGCAATTTGTGCGGAAGACGCCCTCTTGTTGCAGCACCACAATCGATCGCCGTTGCGGCTTCTCTCCGCTTGGATCGGAGTCGAGAGCATCCTCGAGGTCCTCTGATAAGTAGTACGCGAAAGCATCGGCGTCTTTCTTAATTAGGTGACTGATGATGCTCGCTGCCTCAAAGCCACCTGGGCCTTTGGTTTCCGCATGAAAGTCAAATTCAGTCTCTTTGAGCAACTGGTGACATGCCGCCCGGTTGTTGACCGAGCAGTGCCGGACACCATATTTATATCGTTGTGTCAGGTCAGCCTCTCCTGGTTTGCTTTCGCTGAGGAGATTTATAACATGAACAGAGCTATACGAATTCTCCAAACCTTCAAAATGCCTGTCGAACGCTGGCTGGGTGCCTTCCTTGCTGCGGGTGAGTGTGATGTTCTGCTTCCCTGGAAGCAGACCTGGCTGTTGCTCCCAGAAGATCGGGACCGAGCCTCTGATTTGAGCATACGAGAAGCATACTCCGGCTGGGCTCCAGTATATCGTCTCTGTCTCTACAAAGTTGGCCACGTTCCCGTCATCGTCGATGCCACGACTATTGAACCTGGTTCCAGCTCTTTTGCACGACAGCCGAGAGATTAATGTCAGCAATGAAGGAAGCCCGCTATTTGGTGTTCTAATCGGCGCCGAAGAATTTGGTAGGGTCACTGTAAGCACGAATCCTCGGATGGCAGAAGTTAGAATCCGTGAAGCATCCAGCTCCGCTCTTTCATGTTCCAGCAGCTCCGAGCGGAATTTGACCAACGGCCCAATCATGTATGAATTCCACAAGAACGATTCGTCGAGGTTGTCAATATCGAATGCGGTAGACTCGGCGGAGCTGGACATGAATTAGCATCCATAACTCTCAAAACTGTTACACCCATGCATACCGATCTTGAAGCCTATTCGTCAGGTCAAAATCCGTACTGTAGTAAAAGCTCCCATTGCTGAGCATCTTGGTCAAATCAACGCATGGGTGCTCGATAGGTGTATCCCGTTGGCTCAGGTTATGCCCGTACGAATAATCGTCTTCCTCATGCCGGTCATAGCCGTTGAGCTTTGTGCCATCGCTGACCACATCGTCGTATTTGGTGCTGCTCAAGCAGTAGAACTGGACTGCATATATCCTCTCGACAGTCTCATTCGGCCTCACATTAGCCACCTTGGCGGCGCCCGTGACTATGCATATGAACACATCGTTCTCGACTGTTATAAGTCCCAGGGTGCCATAGACAGGTCGTGGGCTCAATGTTCGATAATCGGCAAGGTCGACTAGGCCTAGACGTGAGAATTCGGCCATGCATCGCGGCGCACTCTGGGTGTCAACCGATGGTCTCGAGCCAAGGGAGGTATGGCTGCCATTGTTGACGGCGTCAGTTGTGCTGGTGGTATAGCGGAAAATGAGGGCGTGGGATTCGGTGACGAGAGCGATGGCTCTGTTGGGATAGTCGCGGACGAGGACACGGATGGACATGTTCTAACCATGGGAGGCAGTCTATTCTACACAAGAATCGGATATAGGAATTCGCATGTTGCTGAGAGGACGGTCGCATAGGGTGGGGGGGGTGAGCAGGATGGGATTCAGTAGTGGGACGTTGGAAGGCGCGTCAGCCTTGTGATAGCGCTCCAGTGCCATATACTTGTAACCCACAGCCACAGCCAGCTCACGCAGCGTCATGGGGAAGCCTGGCAGAATTGGGCGGTGAGGCCCAGAGCGGACAGGCGAGGACCAAGGAACGAGCGTCACGTGGATGGGTCATGGTGGAGGGTATTATTATAATCGTTTGACGTGATCTTTTATATGATGGAGCATTCTGGAGCAATAAATGACACCTCTGGGGTAGTCGACGTCGACAGATGATAGTAGTCATGTGACCGGATAACTGCTGTATTACTGGGACTGCTGTATTACTGGACTGCTGTATTACTGGACTGCTGTATTACTGGGACTGCTGTATTACTGGACTGCTGTATTACTGGACTGCTGTATTACTGGACTGCTGTATTACTGGACTGCTGTATTACTGGACTGCTGTATTACTGGACTGCTGTATTACTGGACTGCTGTATTACTGGACTGCTGTATTACTGGACTGCTGTATTACTGGACTGCTGTATTACTGGACTGGAGCATATACATACATTAAGTATGGCGCAAACAGGGTTTTGCGACTATCGGACCGGGAGATACCTATCCAGGTAGAGTGAGCAAGTACAAGTCGTATGTAGGTGTTCGGTGTGTGCTGACAACTCAGGTATAGTTACAAGGTGGATAGCAAGTGTATAGCACGATAGAGCACTATATATCACTATATATCACACTAATTTAACTAGCTACAAGTACTCATACATCTGTGAAGAAACACACACACTTTGTTGTTTGCACTAGGAAAATGGGAGATCAAAAGCTTGGCTTGTCAGGTCTAGACCCGTTGATCCATGCTAATATAGGGTTAAGGCAGGGCTGCAACAGGGGTGTGACAGGGGTGCGACAGGGGTTACGACGGGGTTACGGACAAGGATATAGCAGAGCTATAATGGCTTTAGTGGCGGCTCTAGTACAAATTAACACATTTTACAATACACTAGTACCGAATAGTACTAACCATTACACACTATTCCCAAAGTACTCTTCCTCTTGCTCGAGCTTGACGCGCATATAACCTCACTGGCTCACTGGCTCACAGGCTAAACTAACGGCTAACTAACTAAACTAAAATCTGCTCGAGTACACACACAAAATACCCTACTACGCTACGGCTACTACACCTACTACGGCTACTACAGTACACCTACTACGGCTACTACTGTACACCTACTACGGCTACTACTGTACACCCACTACGGCTACTACGGTTACTACACCTACTACGGCTACTACGGTTACTACGGAGTACACCTACTACGCCTACCACACCTACTACACCTACTACGTACGCCTACTACACCTACTGCACCTACTACGTCTACTACACCTACTGCTCTACACCTACTACGTCTACTGCGCCTACTACCTACGTCTACTACCTACTACACCTACTACACCTACTACACCTACTACACCTACTACACCTACTACACCTACTACACCACCTACTACACCTACTACTACTACGTCTACTACACCTACGCCTACTACACCTACTGCACCTACTACACCTACTACCTACTACACCTACTACACCTACTGCACCTACTACGTCTACTACGCCTACTACTCTACACCTACTACTCTACGCCTACTACCTACTACACCTACTACCTACTACACCTACTACCTACTACACCTACTACCTACTACACCTACTACGTCTACTACACCTACTGCGTCTACTACACCTACTACACCTACTACTGTACTCTGCTGTGCTGATCTGTAGATCAATCACATCAACCTCCGACGTCCTGATCCTCTAATACTCCACCCACGGAGAACTTCCCCCTCACATGCCTGGTAATATGAGCCACAAAGCCTCCACACAAACAACACATCCACGCACTATTGAAATCTGCAACTTGCTGTCGCCAGCCGTGCCATCCGATACTTGGATGGACCTTCCCATCTGAAGCCAACCCGCCCTGTATCCGACTGCAAGAAATCTTTGACCGACATACATCTGCTATCCCATAGACTTCACACCTCTCGGCCTCGTGATTACCATTTGCGCCGTCGACCATCCGAACCACGCTTGATGCATACGATACGCCACAGGAGCCTGCTCGACAGCCCTGGGCAGCCCTGGGGAACAGAGGCCGTCCTCGGCCCGACAATCACCCGCCTGCCAACTCTAAATACAATAACCCTATGCCAAGGTCGCTCTATTCGCGCCTGTCGATGGTGGTGGGTAACGAAGGCGAGGCCGGAGACGCCATGGCGGGGGAGCCCATCGAGCGCGCCAGTCTGTGCCTGCCCGATATAACACGAGGGGTCGTGAGCCACCAGGGAGAACATGGGTTTGGCGGCATTCTCAAGCAGTATTATAATACCCCCGAAAACGATGCGCTGGAGAGGCTCGTCCTGCTCAAGAAAAGACTGAGAGACGCCAACAACCATGATTTCTGGACGGCGCTGTTGAGGGAGGTGTGCGATATTGGACATGCACAGTGTGGCTTCGTTGCAAAGCCCGCCGACCCGGACCCTCCGAACGCAGCTGTGGCAATACCGCTTCTGGGCGACCCGGGGTCGGATATCCTAGGGGTGGGGTTCTACCTCAATAGCGGGGGTGACGTGGACCAGATGCACCACAACTACCGATACCACGTACAGGGCACGTCGTGTATCCATATGCAAAACGACAAGGTGTTCCTCATCCCAGAACGACTCACCGACTTCGTCAAGGATGGCTGGGACAAGATGCCATGGGAGAACTCGGAGGCTTATCTGGGCCTACCTATTTCTCATGGAGGGAACCCGGTCGCCCACTTTGCTATGGTATGGACGGCCGAAGGCGCGACAAAACGGAAATTGAGCTGGGCTTTTCTCGAAATGTTCATGCACGGACTCGAAGACATGATTCTCGAGCGCCTGCTCGAGGACAAAGGGGCTGTAGAAGAGGCAAAGCGCAAATTACAAGTCTCTACCCGTATTGTGCCTATCGATGCCATTACCGCTTCGCAGACCCTGAAACCGTATGCTCGTAGTCTCTCGCATGAGCTGAGAAGCCCGATGCAAGGCGTAGTGGGGATGTTGGATATGATGTACTCTACAGTGGTAGATGCCATTGCGAGCCAGATGTATCCAAAGGCCGCGTCTGTATTTGAGGAGTTGAAGGCTAATATGGAGACTGCCCAAGGTAAGACCTTCCCGCTATGCCCCATGACCATAAAGCGATATCATGGAGCTAATAATGCCACAGATAGCTCCAAACGCGCAGTTGAAGCTGTTGACAATGTAGTTCACGCATACGATCTCAACATGCAAATGCCAGAGACTCCACTGGAAAACAATGACTCGGCTGAACTCGCCAACGCTCCAATATTAGCCCCTCTGGCTGACCCTTTTCGACCTGATATAGTTATTGAGGGTTCTGGGATACCACTAGCTACAAATAAACGACAGAGAGACGATGAAGTGGGCTTCCACCCTGGCCCTCCGATGAAGAGATTACCATCTATAACGGAAGGAGGTCTGCGAAAAGTATACGACGACTGTAGCTCGCCGACAACGTCTGTTGTCGCAGAAGCCGACGAAACATCAACAATAGATTTAGACACCACGGAGAGGCACCACTTCTCTCAATCACCATCACCCAGCTTTCCACTCGCTAGCCCTGACGGGGTAATGCGTACTCCACCACCCCTCTTCAACAAGAATCTAAGCTCCGACCGCCGTCAAATTTCCACTCGACCGTTCATACGGAACCTGGTTGATCAGGCCGTCAGGTGCATCCGTCCAGTAGACAAAGTCCGTGTTCCACATAACCTGGGCGAGCTGATTTACGTCAAGACCGAAGGACCTCGAGGCGATATCGACGAGTTGACAATTAATGTCGTAGTCAGCCCCGAAATGCCAGATCGCATCATAACAAAGGAGCTACACCTCACATTCGCCGTGATGAAGGTAGTAGACAACGCCATTAAATTCACCCCAAACGGCGAAATCACAATCAGGATGAAACTATCGGGAAACCGCCAACTGGTCGAAATAAGCGTCCTCGACACCGGCTGCGGCATCTCCGAAGAATCCAAAGAACACCTCTTCAAGCCGCACTTCCAAGAAGACGCCACCATAAGCCGCTCCCGCGACGGCCTCGGCCTAAGCCTCTTCAACGCCAAAGCACACGTCCGCCGCAGCCTCAGCGGCGAAATGACACTCGAGCGCTCCTCCATCTCCGGACCCAGCAAGGGCTCTGAATTCCTGATCCGCTTCCCCCTCGAAGTCTACCGCGACCGCGCCTCCTCCCTCCCCCCCAAACCCCCCGCCCAACTCATCGCCAGCCCCTCCATCTCCCCCCGCGCCTCCCCACTACTCCAATCCCACTCCACGAATGGGTACGCCAGCTACCCCTCCCCCGGTCTGCCCGCGCGGCCCTTCGCACCGATCCCACTACCGGCGCTGATTAGCCGGCCGGCGACCAAGAAATCGAGCTTCGATCGCGACCTCGCGAGTTGCATCCCGCTCACCTTCCTCGTGGCGGAGGATAACGCTGTGAATCGCGGTATCCTGGTCGGATACCTCAAGAAGCTGGGGTACGCTGCTACGTCCATCTCGATTGCGTTCGATGGCGCCGAGGCGGTGGAGCAGTATACGGCGTCTCTTGAGGTGGGGGGGACGCCGATCGATGCGGTGTTGATGGATTTGTGGATGCCGAATGTGGATGGGTATGAAGCGACGGAGCGGATTCTGGAGATGGCTGCTGTGGCGAGGGGGGAGGAGGGCGAGGGCGAAGAGGGGCCGGTGGTGTTTGCGGTCTCGGCGGATATTACGAGTGATAGTTTGGCGAGGGCGAAGGGGGCGGGGATGAGGGGGTTCGTGAGTAAGCCGTATCGGCTGATGGATATTCAGAAGTTGATCGTGGAGCATTTTGGTGATCGGGAGGGGCAGTGAGCCGGGGGGTTGGTGTTTTTTGCTTAGGGTCAAATTGTTATTTGGGCGTATATGGGTCTTTGGAGTTTGGGAGGGAGGGATTGGGAGGGGGGGGGAAGGGGGTATATGATGGGGGGGGATTCAAGGGTAATAGATGAGACGGTCCTGCATTGATGTGGCGTTATGAGACGAAGCATGAGGAGTGATGACGGCAGAACGGGAGTTTTTCTCTAGCGACCGGGCAGCGAATCTCATCAAACCATTTTTTGGAAGCTCTACGATGGGCTTACCACTGCATTTTCGCTCAGGGGGAGCTAGCTTACTTGCTATAGAATCAAGAACGTCTATTTATTCAATCCCCAACTTACTTACTTACTATATACTCTACTGTATAATGTACATACATACTGTTTAATATACACCGACCCCGCATCCCCAACCCATAGTCCCCAACCCTCCCCCCTTCTCGGCCACAACACGCCTCCTTACTACCCCTCCCACCCCGCACCCCACCTCTTTCTTCCCCAGCTTCCCGCCCCACGGCCGCGCTAAGATACACGATAAGCCCGTGCGTCACGGTGCAATACGATTAACAACACCTTCGCCACCTACAACTCCTCACCTCACTCTACCTCTACACTTAATAGAAACTCACCATGTAACCCCTCACTACCACCGCCAAAATGCACATCCCGACAGCAGCAGCACTCCCCCTCCTTCTTCTGCTCTCCACCACCTGCGCAACCGTCGCAGGAGGTGAAGGTGATAGGACGGTATCTGAAGCGCTCTTCGCGGATCTAGAGGAGGCGGCACGGTTAGCTGATATAGCGTACTGCGTCGGCATATCGGGGATCTGGAAGCCCTTCGGATGTCTGAGCCGGTGTAGCGATTTTGAGGACTTTGAATTGGTTGATGTATGTCACTCCCCCCAACCCCCTTCCCTCTCCCCAGCCCACGACCCAACCCAACACGATCGAGAGAGACGACGCGCCATGAATAGAAAATAGGCTAACCAACGGTACCTGCACGTAGACATGGAACACCGGACCCCTGCGCTCAGACTCATGCGGTTACATCGCCCTCGACCACGCGAAAAAACGGATTGTGGTTGCGTTTCGGGGGACGTATAGTCTTGCGAGTGTGCTGGCTGATTTGGCCACTACGCCACAAGTCTACGTCCCATACCCCGAACCCCCCCCTCCCCCTCCTCCTCCTCCTCCTTCGAAATCCAAGCCGCGACGGAGAGGGGGGTGGTTTGGATGGATCCCCAGGTTCGGCGAGCGCACACAACAGGACATCCTAGCGACTGCCGTGGGGGATGGAGATGGAGATAAACACGGAGATGAGAGGCCGGTCTGCACAAACTGTACCGTCCACGCCGGCTTCCTCAAATCCTGGTCACACACCCGTCCCTTCCTCCTTTCCCACCTAACGCGTCTCGCGCGCGTCGTCCCGGACTACGAAATCCACCTCATAGGCCACAGTCTCGGCGGCGCGCTTGCGGCGCTGGCGGGGTTAGAGTTGAGGGCGGGGGGGGTGGAGGTGGTGGTTACCACGTTTGGGGAGCCGAGGATTGGGAATAAGGGGTTGGTGGGGTATTTGGATTCGGTTTTTGAGCTTGCTGGGGAGGATGGAGAAGGGGGGGAGGGGGGTATGGAGGGAGGAAGGTTCAGAAGGGTTACGCATGTAGGTGACCCCGTCCCGCTCCTGCCGCCAGAGGAATGGGGGTATGCGATGCATGGGGGGGAGATTTATATTTTGCGCCCTGGATTACCGGTTGGGCTGGGGGATGTGGAGAGGTGTGTTGGGGATGCGGATGGGAGGTGTATCGCTGGCTCTGACGGCGGTGTCCTGGATGGGGAAGCTGTGGCTGTGGCTGTGGCTGGAGCGGCGGCGGAGGAGGGGGAGGGGGAAGGGGAGGACGCGACGGTGGTGCTGGTGGATGAGACGGTTGTGGATGGGAAGGGATGGGGAGTGCCGGCGAGGTTTCGCGTGGGACAGATTCTGTTTGCGCATCGGGATTATTTCTGGAGGGTTGGGGTTTGTGTTCCGGGTGGGGATCCGGCGGGGTGGGGGAGGGGGTGGTATAGGGGTGATGGGGGTGATGGTGGTGGTATGAGTGGGAAGGCGGCTGGCGATGAGTTGTAGGGGGATGGTTGGCGGGTTGCTTATCATACTAGTCTTCTGTGTATAGATGGGACTATACCTGGGGCGTTGTTGGGATTGGGCAACGCAGCTGACGACGACTCATACTGGCTGGGCGTGGAGGGGGGGGGACAGGGCTGGGTGTTTTGGATGGAGAGGGACGGAGATACTAATACAATACCACTTACTCGACAGTACGACGATTTGACATACAGTGAGTGGCATTCCACACCGGATCCGCGTATATTCTTTATATACGCGTTGTGTGTATATATATATACATAAAACCCGCATATGCACACCCTCCCGTCGCCGGTCTGCTCCTTCCGGTCCCATGATGGCCCACGATTAGACATACCTCGACCAAAGCTGACACTCACCGGCTTTTTCTTTGTGGTCACCGTCTCTACTCATTCGTACTATACTCCTACAGTACGTGGGGATCTTTTCCAACTTCTCTTGACCCTATTTACTGTATTACTATACACATATACATATTCGTCCAAGAGAGCGGGGTTGATCAGGCAGCGACAGCCGCACCCGTGCATCTCTTGCCATACAAGGACAGACAGATAAACAACATTCTCCCAACTGCATACAAAGTCACAACAGCCCTCTCACGGCTTCCTTTTTATTTTTGCCCCCCCTCCCATATATAATAATATAATTCACACCGCTTTGCTCGAGAGCTTCAAAAATCATTTATCTAGCAGAGTATGACCTCTTCTTCTCCTTCTTCTTCCTCTTGAACTTTCAGGCTTGCATCATCCCCGCCCGACACCCACTCTCTTTTCTGGCGCTTTCCATGGCCCGTGACCCCATGAGAGCTGACGATCAAACCATGATTACTAGCTCGTCTGCAGTCAAGGGATAGAACAAAATTCCTTCACAGGAGGAGGCACTGCTCCACAAACAAACAAACCCCTCCTCGAGTATACCCACGAGCGAGCGACCGACCAGGAAGCTGCATCGCCTTTTGTGCGATCTACAATCCACGACGACCCTTTGTCCCCACCCCTCACCACCCAAAGTCCTGCCCAACCTGCAGCCCTACGAGACACCCCAAACACCCGCACGACCCCAACCCACGCACCGCCGCCGCCGGCGCTGCATAAAGCCATGAGCGACCGCCGCCTGCCGCGGCCTCACTCGCCCGCCATGTACAACCCAGCGCGGGCCTCCGCCCCCAGCATTAATTACGGCAAATACAACGACTTACACGACCTCTCCGCGCCGATGCCACGTCCCGCCGACCGCGGCGCCCCGCCGCCCGTCGTCACGCACTACAAGGCCGTGCCGCCTGAGATCCCACGGTCCGATCCGCGCGAGGGCGGCCACAGTCGCCGCGCCACCCTAGACTCGAATCCGCGCCCCATCATCGTCACGGCCGACGCGCTATACCCGGCAGCTCAGGGCGGCGGCGGACCCGCGAGTCCGGTGCGCGATAACTACCGCTCGAGCCAGGAGAACGACGTGTATACGATTCCGTCGTCATCGACGAGGCGGGGGGACTACCGACGAGGGCAGTACAACGTGTCGGTGGACAATGCGGATATAAGCGACAGCCTGGACAGGGAGAGTGGAAAGGAACGACTCATGCGTGTTGGCAGCGGGAGGGAGGGAGCGATATACCCCCGCTCCCGCCCGATTCACTCAGACACCTTGGTGCGCGTCCCGAACAACGTGGCGGATTACGGCGACAACGGTTACGGCTACACGAACCCCAGAGATCTGGTCCAGTACGACCTGGACCTCGACCGAGCCCCGCGGCGCCGCCCACGCCGCGAAAGCTACGAGGCTTCGCGCTCGAGTCGCCCCTCTAGCATCTCGAGCTACGGTGATATCACACGCTCCTACGAGCCCCGAGAGCGCGAGCGCGGTCCCCCGCCCTCCACGCGCGGCTTCGATAAGATTCCCCCACCTCGCGGCCCCATCTACGATGCCGGGGGGGTGCACATGCCGATGCCTCACGAGCACCTCTCGTCCTTCGGCGCCCCCTACGCGTCTGACTCCCAGGAGCGACGGGGCTCGACTCGCCGCCCTGTTTCTGTGCACAACGAGGAGCCGGAGAGGAGGAAGTACGCCGCGGACGCGTATGAGATGTCTGAAGGTGAGATGAGGGATCGGCGCCCGAGACGCACGGATGAGGGGATTGAGATGAGGGGGTTTGGGATTCGGGCTGAGGTGCCGCCTGTGCCGCCGGCGCCGGCGCCGGTGCCGGAGCAGGTGGAACGGAGTGAGAAACATGAGTATGAGAAGGGCGAGAGAAGGGGACGACGGGAGAAGGATGAGGAGCCGGTCGATTTGGGCGGCCGTGATCATGGCGAGCGCAGGAGGGAGAGGGATAGTGACGAGGAGCGCCGACGACGCCGCGAGAAGGAGGATGAGCCGGTAGACTTACCCAGCCGTGACCATGGGGATCGTAGAAGAGAGAGGGACAGTGACGAGGAGCGCCGACGTCGCCGCGAGGTGAAGGAGGAGGACCCCGTCGTCGACCTAACTGGCCGCGACCCCGTCGAGCGACTACCTCCCCGACCCGAAAAGGTCCCTCGCGACGACTCTGACGTAGAGTCTCGCAGGCGTCGAGAGAAGGAGAAACCTCACCGCGAGGATACCGATAAAGACTACCGCCGCCGCGACGAAAAAGAGTCCACCTCCGACGACCAACCCCCCCCAATCGTCGATATCAACGGCCGCAACCCCGTCGAAAAGCCCGTCTACAAAGAAGACCTTACTCACCGCGAACCCGTCATCGAAGTCCCCGAGCGACGCAAACTCCACCACCACTCCCCCTCCCCCCCCAGCTCGCGCCACGACTCCCGCGCCTCACCCCCTTCCATCGACACCTTCACGCCGCGCTCCCGCAAGGACAGGATCCGCACTGACGACTCCAATGTCTCCTCCCCTACAACTTTCAACGCTAAAGACGCGATGGATCTGCGGGCGTTGCGCGAGGCTCTGAATAGCAAAGACCAAGACCCCTCCCCACCACCCATCCCGCCCAAAGAACCCCTTCGCGACAACGACCGCGAGCGTGACCGCCCATCCCGCGAATCCACCGACCCCCCCCCCCGCGACAGCGCCCGGACCAGAGACAGCGCCACCTCGTCCCGTGAATCCACCGATCTGCCCCCCCGCGACCCTCCCCGCCCCCAAACAAGCGAACGCTTCGACCCCCGCGACCCCCGCGACCTGGCCAGCATCCGGGCAGAACTAAGCCACGCCCCCGCCCCCTCCGCACTGCGCGAACGCCGCACCAGCTCCTCGCACAGCACGGAGCGCCGCACCCCCCCCCGCCTCGTGTCACCCCCGCGCGCATCATCTGGGAAAGCCGAGGACGCGCGGCCGGTGAAAGGGATTCTCAAGCCCGGGCGGCCGAAGTGGCCTGAGGACCCGACGCCGATACGGGAGGGCGTCGCGCCGCTGAAGGATGCGAAGCGCGATGCGGGGGTGCCGGCGGATGCGAGGTGGACGAAGATTAGTCGGAAGCTTGTGAATCCGGAGGCGTTGGAGAGGGGGAGGGAGAGGTATGAGGCGAGGGAGGAGTTTGTGATTGTGCTGAGGGTGTTGAGTAAGGAGGAGGTGCAGAGATATGCGACGGAGACGCAGAGTATTAGGGGTTAGTACTTCCCCTCCCCCGGCTCACCACATCAACTCTGTCGTGCGCATATACTGATGTGGAACAGCTGCCCGCGAAGCCGAAGACGAAGATCGCAATGCGCGCCGTCGGCGCAGGAAAGAGCGCCATGAACGGCATAGACGCGAACGCTATCACCGCGAGGACCGCGATAAGGGGGAAGACTATGATTATGAGCGCCGTAGACATAGGAGGGAGAGGGAGAGGGAGCATGAGAGTCATTCGGAGAGCGATACTAGTGAGGATGAGAGGGTTAGTAGGAGGAGGGATTGAGGGGGGGGATACGTTATGCGTTGTGATTCGTGACGCGTGATATGTTCTGATTGATTTGTTTATTTGGGTGGGTTTTGTTACGTTGGGGGTGGCGGGCAGTTTGCTTGTTTGCGTGGATGAAAGCGAAACTGGAGCGATGAATGCGATAGAAGGGGGTGGGGGTTGAAAGCATGTTTGGAGCTGGATATAGGATATAGGAATAGGATACAGGATATACGTTACACCACACCTGCTCTCTGTGTGCATATATTCCTCGTGCCATCGACTTCAATCTTTGAGACTTTACACATCCAGCATTGATACTCATGCTGCGCGAGCGTTTACAGTTTAACAGGGTAATCCGCATTCCATTCATATAAATTGATAGTTACGCCGCCACCGCTGAGCAAAAAACAAAGACTTAAGCCCGTTCCCCGTTCCCTTCCCCCCCTGCCTCCCTTTCACCCCCCACACCACACACACCCATCTAACCGCACACCAATCCTGCAGATGGTTCAAAGCTATATTAAACGAAAATACACCTTCCCACCTCTCTCCTCGCTCACCCCTTCACCCGTCACCTCGCTCGCTCGCTTCGGCCCCCGACACCAACATGTCGCGAGGAATGGGGGAGCGATTGAATGAATTAATACCCCTCCACCCTAATCGCGCAGCAGCCGCCTACAGAGTGCAGGCGGCTTATTATACAGTCACCACCACCACCATCTGACAAGTAATTAATCGTCCTAGTCTCGCATCTCATCTCGTCCCGTCTCCGCGCAGCGAGAACCAGTATACTCCTCGTCCGCCGGGAAACTGCGTAGCCGCGACCCTGGCCGCCGGCGTCACCCCTCGCGCACCACAAGAGGCCCCTACTGCCTAACATGCGAGTGCCGCGACGACCCCCCCTCAATCTGCAGCGCGGGTAGTTGCGGGGCCGTGGACGGCGCGGGCGGCATGATGGACATGCGTGCGTCGGGTCGCTGGCCGGCGGGCCAGAAGTCAATGGATGCGACGATGTCTTCGCCGCGCTCGTCTTCGAAGGCGTAGAGGATCTGCGGGGGGGGTGTTAGTAAGTGCTTTGACCACGCGACATTTTGGTGGGGATAGAAAGGGGGGGGGGTTGTACCTCGCGCGTGCTTGTATGAAGCATGCGTGTATTCTTCGCCGGGATGATATGAACCGCCTGCGTCTCAATATTCCTAATCTCCACGAAATTCGGCTCGAACGCCAAGATCCAGGGATACGACAAGGCGAAACTCTGCGGCAGGCCCTCCCACTCGATGCGCCAGTCCGGACGCGCGCGCCAGCCGTTGCGGTTAACGAAGAACGAGAACTCGCTGTAGTTGAGCAGGAACTCGCCGTTGAGGCGCTCGATGTGGATCGGGCGGACATTCTCCTTGCGCGCGACGAAGTCGAGCGAGGTGTCGGCCTGGTCGAGGAGGGATTGCGTCTCGAGCGTCTCGAGGGAGACGACCTCGAAGCCGCGGGCGCAGGCGACGCAGAGCTTGGACTTGAGGAAGTGGATGGAGGAGGATTCGGTGGGGATGTAGAATTCTTTGAAGGCTTTTAGCTCGTCTTGGCCGCTGTTGAACATCTTGAAGCCCTTTTGCTTCTTGCCCTTGGACATGGCGTCGTTGGGCTCGAAGACCTTGATGGTGGTGGAGAGGGCGGATGACTTGACGCAGCAGACTAGGTGGCGGCCGAGACAGATGCCGGTCTTGAAGAAATTACAATGGCTTTGTATCTTCTTGGATCGCTTGCCGAGGGTGGGCTCGTTCGGATCGAGAGCTGAAAGCGGGAACGACAATAGCGATCTCGCTGATAGTACGAGGAGGAGCTGATACTCCTCCAGGACATCAACTTGGGTGACGTTTTGTACGTCTATTACACGTTTCGGCTTGGCCCCTGCCTCCTTTGATCTTCGATCTGACACGTATATGCCAGTATCAGTACCATAAATAAGTTTTCGTCCGCCATCTGCTAGTGTTAGCTTCTGTCAACCAGCCTCAGTATAAGCGACTTACCAAACGGTGCGGCGCAATTAACACGGTTCATCGCCGTGAAGAAGCCGGCAGATAGCGTGGTCTTGTTATAGAAGTCTCCGCGTGCACGTAGCTTCTCCTGCTGTTCATCAATATACTCGAGCCACTTCTTCCGGGACCCGACAGTGGACGCGAAAAGAGTTAACTCGTAGCCCCCCTTTCGTCCCAGGTGGCGGAAACTGACTGGGAAACCCTTCGTAGTATCCGCGGTGTTGCTCTTGTTCCCGGGCAGTAAACTTGAGGTGGGCCTCTTGACGACGCCCAATCTAGGCACTACATCGTCCATTTCTTTTATTGCCAGCAGTTCTAACGGTATTGGCTAGAGTAGTATTAGTATAAAAATCTTATCCAAAATAGAACCTGGGAACCTACCCGTCGATAAACCTTCACTTCTTCCTTCTTGCCCACCATCTTCACACGCACCAAAAGCATGGCATGGTCAAAGAGGTAAGCCTGAATCTCACTTGGGTCTGTTGGAGACTTCTTCAAAGCTCCTTTGTAGATCAACTCTCGGCCCTCATCCGTAAGCTTCAAGTCAACCCGTTCATTCGGTCTAAATCGGAGCTGTTCGTGGAGTTGCCTCAAATTAAAGCGGTTCTCAGCCTTCCCAGACTCTGCGTTAACACGAGTCAGGAGGTCTCGAATCAATTTAATAGCCTTAGGGATATCCGTGATATCTTGGCTTGCCGGATCCGTATATTTGAGCACATTGTCCAACAGCAGTGGATAACGAGCCAATCTCGTCGTAGGCTTAGTGAGATAACCGTTGAGTTCCAGCTTCCTAGACTCCTTCCGGCGCTCCGTCTCATCCACGAACTTGGAGAAGAACGGATTCAGGGACCTCTCCTTTTCAAATTCGAACTTGGCATTCAGCTGGTTTGATCCGTAGGTGATAAATGGCTCGAACTGGGGCACGAATTCTAAGAAAATATCGCCAACGGCCGAAACGACTGGGTGTTTCCTTTGCCGTTCTGTGAGGGCCTCTGCGAACTTGGAACTGACGCCGTGGATACTCGGGGGGTCGACAATATTAGAGAAAATGGTCCGGACGATCCGCTCTCGTCTTGATTCCGGGATAGGAGGGGGTACATCCCTGACAAGTCCTCGCAAGGGAAAGATCCAGAAGTCTCTCAAATACTCAAGATCCTTGACGAAATCTCTCTCAGTGTACATGATCTCGGAGATGACCTCCTGCCTCTTCTTCTCGCGGTCTCCGACGCTATCAGCAATCTCCTTGGATACAGTGTTGATCCACAATTTCTGTTCATCGGGCTCGTTGTCATGGAGATTAGCCTGCGAGTCCTCACGTCTCAGACCTGGTTGAGGCTTGAGATTGAGTCGCGACTGCTGTTCCAATCTCCTTGGACACGCGATAGAGTAACACAGGTGGTCAGGGGTACAAGTAGGAGAATAGCACTCCGTCAGCAGAACAAATACACCGTTGACCTCCGGGGTGTCGGAAGGATCATCCATCATAGTCTCTCGGAATTGATACATCTCAGTCGGCGCATCTCGTAATCGGTGATCGTAGGTAACATCGTGAAAGAACTTTTGGGCGTCCAGAGCTCTACCCAGGAGCAGAGCAAGATTTCTATCGGTAGTCTTGATGATATAGCTGATGACATCCACCGCTTCCGCACCGCTAAATGCGTGCTTATATGCGAGGTCGTTCTTCGTCCGGTCCCCCGTTTGAATCCTATCCCTGAAGCATTCTCCGACACGAGACAGCAGAGCTGGATATACGAGGGGAGCCTTGGTAGCCACCCTCCGTCCTGTCCCGCTGCCATTCGACTTAACAGATGTCCTATTATTGACACTTTCCGGGGGGACCACCGTCGATGCCATAGACATAGACCGGCCCGAGCCTTCAGTGGCCTGTGTTGACGCCATGCTGGTCGTACGGGTCATAGATCCGGCAGCACCTGGGGTCTCAATCTGATATCCATTTGTCCTCTCCTGCGGCTCTTCCGCGCGTCTAGTGGGTATAACACGACCACTCATTGTCTGGTGGTCTCGCCCTTGCGGATAACTCGCCATGGACATCGTGCGCTCATCGTGCGTTCTTTCGGGAACCGGGCGGCCCTGCGCCGTGATCTTAGACGACATCTGTTGGTTGTTCTGATATGGTGCGTGTCGGAACGCATTTGCGGGTGCTTGCTGAAAGTTGCTCGGTGGGGCCTGGTAGATCTGCGGCCGTGAAATCGATGCCATTGACTGTGAGCGATACGGATCAGAGTTCATGGCCGGTGCTGGACCGCCGTATGCTCGCTGCGGGGGCTGTCGTTGCTGTTGCGCAAATTGCTGCTGCTGGGAAATATTAGGTTGTTGTCTCAGGTCCACCCTCTGGGGTCCTGGATATGGCCTTCTCTGGTCTAGCCGAGGAGGAGGGGGAGGTAGCTGCTGATCGCGAACTTGAGGGCCGCTGTTGGAAGCTAGCCTCTGTGGGCCTTGGTAGTAACCATTGGGGCCGGCTTGGCCGTTGGGTGCGTATGAGGGGGATTGTGGAGGATATCCCCCTGGCTGCCGCGGCGGAGGCTGTCGGGGAGGAGGCATCCGCGGCGGAGACTCGCGGCCCATGGGAGACCGTCCATCATACTGCGAGCCCATTGTCTGTGTTCTTCCAGGCCGTGGCATCATGTTGGGAGACGGGTTGGACGAGGTCATGGTCTGGGAGCGACCTGGTGGCGGCGCAGCACCAAAGATGTTGGAGAAGGCGGCATCCCGCTGATTGTTTGATGACGGCGGCTGGCCATAGTCGCTCTGCCTGCCTCCGTTTGGCCTAGGTCCTTGATAATTTGCCATGGCGGAATCGATCTGTGGAGACCAGAGGCAATCCTTATTATGGCCGGGTCCGTCGGGGGAATAAGGATGTGCTAGGAGGCAGCGCACAGTCTCAAGCCTTGAGAGGGGGGCAAGGCGTATGACATTGAAGTTGTTGTGGTCACAGCCAGTTCGTGGGAAGGTATGAAATATGCAGGTGGTGTTCAGTGGTTTGTGGTGTGGAGTTGGGTTTTGGCGTCGTCGACTGTTGGCTGACGAGGCCGTTTGGTTGTTCTTGGACGGGAAAAGGTACGGGATAACGCACAGAGTATAGTATGGGTAGTGGAGTACCAGACCAGACAGAGGACGAGTGGGCTAGAGTGGGCTAAAGTGTGCTAAAGTGTGCTAAAGAGCGCTAATGGCGAGGCACGTACAGGGCATTTACGGGGAAGTTACGGGGAAGTTACAGCGTGCACGACAGGCAAGTCCAGCAAGTTTTAGTTGGGGTTGGCCTGGGTTGGCCTGATATATTGATGTGATGGATTATGAGATTTGTGTGAATATTCTAGTATATGTGCTATATATTGTTATATATCCGGGATGGGGAGTATGCAGACGGTGTTTCAGCAGCGGTCAGTCCATCGCAGTACAGCTATTGTGAGAGTATCCATGAACAGCACTCCCGACTGGAGTTCTCTTCCACGGACACGCCGACTCCCTCATCGTCATTCTCCCATTCTCCCCTATATCCATCGACTCCATCGTGGCTAGTGAGAGGCACAGTGCATTCCCTTGCCGGCTCCATAACTTACTACAGTATGATAAGGGGCTGTGGCTGTGGTGTCCTAGAAGCGGGTCAACTGAGGCTGTGTCTACTCTATTTCACTGAATCCTGGGCATCGTCATTGGAGATCCCAAGAAACAATTCACACGGCCTCTCTCCCACCATCAAGTCATGCCATATCGAGGCATACAAAAAGAAACACAGACTGATTCATTCTCACGATCCCCTCGTCGTATGCCATCTAATCATGTCCCACTCACCCATGACTACGCGATTCATTCCCTGCGATTTATTCCCTGCGATTCATTCGTTTTCTCAACAAAGTCACGTGACACGAACCTCCATACGCGCTAGCGCCATTCGCGGATAGCTTCGACCTCTGGCTGACTCGCGGTACAGCATCGACGACCCTCCAACGCATCTGCTTCCATCGCAGCAGCACCAGCCCACCAGCACATCAACACTCTGCGCCTGCCTTCACAATGGCAGACTCGGAATCCGCCCCCAAGTTTGCGCCGTTCATTGGAATGGTATGGCACCCCCCGCCCACCCCCTTACGACGGGATTGAGTACCGTGGAGAGAGAGGGAGCTGACAGCTTTGACAGGCCGGAATTGCGTTTGCGATGATCTTTGGCAGTAGGTCTCCTATACGATGGACGGGAGAGACTGTGAGAGGGGATGGCTAACAAGGTATAGCTATTGGCGCCGCATACGGCACGGCGAAATCGGGCATTGGAATCTCGGGCGTGGGAACGTTTAGACCAGACCTCATCATGAAGGTAATAATACCTCCCCCCCTCCCTCCCCCCACACCCCAAACCCCCATCCACAACCCGCGCTAACCGCCCCTCCCCCATCTAGTCCCTCATCCCCGTCGTCATGTCCGGCATCATCGCCGTCTACTCCCTCGTCATCGCCGTCCTAATCGCCGGCGACATGGCCCCACCCCCGGGGCAGCACTACGCGCTCTTCACGGGCTTCCTGCACCTCGCCGCGGGCCTGTCTGTCGGGCTCACGGGCCTAGCGGCGGGGTATGCGATTGGGATTGTGGGGGATATGGGGGTGAGGAGTTATATGCAGCAGTCTAGGATTTTTGTGGGGATGGTGCTGATTCTGATTTTTGGGGAGGTGTTGGGGTTGTATGGGTTGATTGTGGCGTTGATTTTGAATACGAAGAGTAGGGGATGAGTGAGGGGGGGTAGGGTATTGAAGGGGATGTTGGTGGTGAAGGGGGGGAGGGGGGGTGTAGGTCTAGATAGACCACTGGTTGCTGAGGGCCAGTGCTGCATTACGTGGAGTTTGGTGTTTACTGTTCACATGTTCAATTTAAGCATGCGTCGTCAATATTATCAGTGCAGTACAATATAACATCTGTCTTGCTCTATAAGTATTGCATACGATCGTCTACCACACCAAACACCAATACACCTTACCAACAAAAACAATACCCACCCCTTACGTCCGGAAATGCTGCACAATCCCATGCAAGCGATCAATAACCACCGGAAAGATCGCCCCCACACTATCCTCAATAATGCGTTCAAACCCCCTAATCGCCTCCTCCTCACTCATCTCCAACATAAACCGCTCCATCACCTTCTCCACCACCCTCTCCGGCTCCGCGCGGATATCCGGAATATTCGCATCCACCATCAGCCCAAACAGATTCAGCACCAGCCCGCTCTGCTTCCTCAGCGCCGCATACGCCGTGAACGCGTACTCCTTGAAGCGTGCCCAATTCTCGTCCTGCTGCCCTCCCATCCCATCCGCCATCTCCGAGCCTAGCTTCATCAGCGGCGCGAACGGCTTCGGGTCGCGGCCGAGGATGTACCCGAAGTCGGCGTGGAAGAAGTGCCCTGAGGGCGCGAGGAGGAGGTTGTCGAGGTGCCGGTCGCCGACGCCGAGTAGGTAGGTGATGACGCAGTATCCCGCGCACGACTTGACGTAGGTGTCCATTGCTTCCTTGCGGACGCCCAGGGGCGCGGTGGCGTCGGGGTTGTGGGTGCGCAGGTAGGTGAGGATGGGGGGTTGGCCGCTGCTGCGGTGTTTAGTGGAGATGGCGGCGAGGGAGGAGGAGGGGACAAATTGGACGGCGCCGGCGGTGACGCCGGTGGCGAGGATCTTGTAGGGGGAGAGCTTGAGGTCGAGGTTCTCTTTGCGGAGGAGCTGGTCCATTAGGGTGATGATTTGGATGACGAGTTGGTCTTGGCGGAGGTCGTCGCCTGTTTTGAAGATGATGGGGTAGCGGCGGCCGGATGAGGTGCGGAAGGTCATTTTTAATGGGGAGAGAGAGGATTTGAAGACCGATGTCTCTTCGGGGTAGACGCCGCTTATTAGGACGGATGGATCGAGCGGTAGAGGTAGAGGTGGGTCAATATTGATCAACTCGTTCTTCGAATCCACGAGAAATTGTTTGGCCCGCTCCGCCTTTTTGGCTATGGTTGGACCTCCTTTGGCGCTTGTCTCGAGCGAGATCTTGGATATGACGGCGACGAACTCGGCTTGCCGGAGGAGTAACTTTCGAGTTTCCTTGCCGGTAGGTGTCTTCTCTAGTTCTATCATAAAGTCATACTCGACCTTTGCAAAGAGCTTGCGGTATTGTGGCGGCTGTCCGGCGCTCTTATCATCGCATTCGACCATAAGATACCAATGGAAGTAGTTGCCGAGCATGAAGCTCTTCGCAGCTCGTGCAATGAGGAACTGGGCCAGGGAAGAGTCTGCTTTGGGCTCATCTGACGAATTTGGTGTTTTGTGTTCAAATTTAAGGGCCTGGACTAGTTGGAGCAGATAGAGCAATAGTTCATCGTCGTCGGATTTCCGTAAACGGTCAACTGCGTATGCCCTGACATCTGAATTATCGAAGCTTGGTCCCAAGAGCTCAAGTGCATCGTCGACGTCGATTTCAGTCCATTTTGAGAGGAGCTGAACGGCTTGCCTAGCCTCGCTATTGTCTTGCCAGTTGACTGATTTAACAAACTTGGTCAATGCCCTCTTATCTTTCGTAAGATGATGCCTGAACTTCCAAATTAAATCCTTCTCATCTGGCGACAGCGCATGGGTCGGAGGTGATCCAACGATCTGGTTCAACTCATCACGGAATCTTGCGTTCGGTCTTAGGTCGCGGTCCATTGCCCCTGTTCTATGGCCACGTACAAGTCGACGATGCTTGGTTTCTGCGGGGTTGTCTCGGGAGCCTACCTCAGGGTCGTATATACGGACAAGGCGTCCTCCAAACGACCCACCATCACCTTCCCCATCAACGCCTGGTCCAAAGTAAACCACTGGTGGTGGCTTAAGAATGTTGTTTTGCGACGAGGACAAGTGCTGCATCGAAGATATCGGTGGAGGCGGGTACTCGTGGTCAGAAAAGACTACTGGGAAATCGAAACGTGGTAGCTCAATATGCAGCGTGAACACCTCGTTCTCGATATCTGCTTCAACTTCTCCGTCGAGCGTGGTAATATCGCCGTCGGGTTTCGAACGTCTGTTCTGTAGCGACTTGGCCGACGGACTTGACGAGAGGATGTTTTGTTTTTCGATGTTACGGAAAACCAGTTGATCAAGCCATTCCACCCGAGGAATTTCTCCCATCTCATGCTTCTTCAGCAACTTCTCTAGTCTCTCAGCCTCTTCCTGCTCCTTATCCACCAGTCCGTTCTCCGACTCTCCATTCTTTTCGCTCCTTCGCGTCGGCAATGACGCTGGAGTTGATGTTCCCGCTAACCCGTCCGCGGCTTTGTGTCGGTGCAAGTGGCATAGCTGTCGACCTTTCTGCAACGTATTTTCCTTATCGAAAAGAGGAAATGTGGTTCCGCCGAAGGGTATCGAGTGTCCTTGAGCTCCATCCCCGCCGGCGGGAGAAACGTCCCAGACAGTAATCGCGAGTTGCGCCGTCAAGGGAAGCGTATTAAACGTAACAGGCAGTGTCAACCAGTTCCCCCATTTCCTCTCATTCTTAAACGGCTTGTATGGAGTTCGCACTGGGACTGTAAGAGGCTTCGAGTCAGCCCATAGCTGCACAGTCAAGTAGAGATCCGAGTGAGGGCTATGGATGGAGCTGTTAGCATGGCACTTGATTGGAACGGGGTTGCCTGTCACTACCTGATATTTGACCCGATATGTCGCAGGTCGGGCCTCTTTATTAGAGTCGAAAATGGGATCTGGGTCTGTTCTCCTTCGAGGCGCACACTGCTCAATGTTAGGAAGCCCTCAAGGTAACAGACTGGGTGGACGTGGGGAAAGACTTGCATCTTCACATTAAGAGGTAGCTCCAAGGCCTCAGAGCATGCAAAAGAAAAAGGATCCATGATACATTCTCCTCAGGAATATATCAAAAGAATATTGAAGTATTATACAAGCATTAACAGCGTCTGTTGCTGCGGATAACGATAACCTTCAAGGCGTCTGGTCGCACCACCAGACTAAGTTACTCGAGTTACTGGCGAGGCTCTAATTGCGACACAGGTACGGAGTACTCCGTAACCACTTAAAACAAAATGGTCCGTGCCAGCCAGCCTAACAGCACTAGCCACAGATCGGATGTCGACAAACGAAAGATGCCTCAATGAGGGCGCGTTTCCAACTTTCACTTGAACAAATCCACTTATCATCAAACGACTACTTCGATTCCTTCGATTCTACACTCTGTTTGTGGTGTCTCCCAATACTGCGATCGCCAATAATAACCTATATTTCTATTCTACGACATCGGAAACTGACGCGCAAACTTGTTTGTTTGGAGTTTGGCGCTAGCTAAAGTGAAGCAAGGGAGGGAATCGCGCATTTCTTCCCCAACACTCCCGAAAGTTCCACATCAGACGATTATACATGTCACGACTCATGCCATCAAAATCCCGAACTCCGACATACAGTGAGGATGTATGGGACGCCTCACCGAAGCCTACCCTGCGTCGATCACTGAACAGCGCGCCCCGAGACACCTCGCCATCATCATCCCCACATTCCGCCGCGTCACATTCGTCGGACAAAGAGAATAAGGCAGCACGCTCTCGTGTCGACAAGGGAAAGGGACCCGAAGGCATGGCCGCGCCGCCGGTGAGCCGTGGACTAGCGGAAATCAGCAATGGACGGAGTGTCAAGCGCAAGGCTGTGGAGGTTCGCGACGCTGGTGACGGTGACAGGAGCCGATCCGTCAGACGCAGGACCAGGGAACCCGAGAACGGGTCGCCGGTTAGCCAAAACGGAGACGAGGAAGGCAGCGATAACTACGACCCCGATCAGGACCTGCAAGAGCGCAGGGAACTCCGCGCGCGGTTCCGCAATCTCGAGAAGGATCTCAATAACAACCGCGCCGAATTTCTCCACGCCGACAATGAAGGACTCAAACAAACCCTGCTCGAAGCGGATGATATCCTCAACGGCGTCAAGCAGACAGGCGACGCGACAGTCGACTCCCGGCTCATCGCCAACGCAGCCGACCTCTCCCTGAAGAAAATCGAGAAGCTCACGCTCGGCGACACAGACCGCCGCGTCGACATCGACCACTTCGTCGCCAAATGCATGACCTTCATGCGTAACGGACAAGGCTCCGCCCCCAGCCCCTCCTCCCGCGCGCCCGCCTCCACACAAACCCGCCGCCGGTCCATCCAGAACGGCGACAACCCCGACGACGACGACCCCGAAGCGGGCGACATGCTCGACTGGTCCCACCTCGGCGCCTTCGCCTGCCAACAGCACAACACCCGCCCTCCCATCCCCGGCTTCCTGCTTGGCCCCCTCTCACTTGAGAAGCGCGCCCGCCGGGCCATCCAACGACGCGCCCCGAACGCGAACCGCGATCTCGTGGAGACGCAGCCTGAGATCCTGCGCCCGGAGGACATTGAGCGCAGCGAGAACTCGAGCTTGACGTTCTTGTGTGCGCGGATCATGGAGAGGCTGCGGTACGCTTCGGCGGCGGGGATGGATGCTTGTGAGGCGGAGGCGTGGGAGGGTATTACGGATGAGGAGGTCAAGGTGCTGATGCGTAGACATGGGCTTAATGCTGACGGTGGGATGGACTTGTTTCGATTCGTGATTAACCCGCGCTCGTTCGGGCAGACGGTCGAGAATATGTTCTATGTCAGCTTCTTGATTCGCGATGGCAAGGCGGCTATCACGGTTGATGAGGACGGGTTGCCGTTTCTTGGTAAGTTGCACTTGTGCCTGATTCCCTTTGAGGATACGTGGAGAATGACAAGCTAACGTGCGCGATTAGGTGAGGCTGAACCGCCCAGGCGCGTAGAGGCCGTCAAGAAGGACGTCTCGAAGCACCAGGCCATCTTCGCGATCGACATGGCTACGTGGGAGGAGCTGATCGAGGTGTTCGAGATCCGCGAGCCGATTATCGAGCATAGGGAAGAGGTGGTGCAGCGGGCCGTCGGCGCGAGGGGGTGGTACAGCTAGACGTGTCTCCCGAGCCACTCGACTCCGTCTTGAATTCACATCCGCCCCGGAACTACCTTTCGCAGTGGAAGAGCTTGGGTATACAGGGAGCCTATCGCACATGGGGAGAAGAAGGAGTTTGATTTTTACTAATTTTTATTCACGAATGATGCCGAGTTTGCTGGCGCGGTCACCATCATCAAGACTACACGAGACATACACCATACACATACACAGATTTTGCTCAGAGAGAAAAGCTTGGGAGACGGGCGTTAGGCGGTGGAGCGGGGGTTGGCGTTTGTTTTTGCGGCATATTGATACCACTAGGTGGTTGCTTGACAAGTCTTTTATGGCGTTTGGCTGGATACGATGAGGGGGATTTGACTCTAGCTAATGATGGAGGAGGATAGGACGAGACGGATTTGCTTTGAAAAGTTGCTCGATTTGACGCACGGCCTGGAGGCTAGAGGCGGTAGACTCATCATCAGACAATTTCACAGGTGCTCTGGCGGTCTTTGTGTCTCTGTACTCATTTGCACGTCCCGTGGCTGGAACTCTGTACAGTACCATGCCCGCTGTAGAATCATTGTATTCCGTAACCTCTTCCCAGTAGCCATCGACCATGACGGGCCCCCCTGCCTCTCCCAGCGGCGTAATGGGGCGGTAGCTGTGCTGTCATTATCCACCGCCCTCCATCAACTACCCTCACACGATGTGACGAGCACACGAGTCAAGATCGGAAGTACGGAGATATCCATCCATAGTACGTAACACCGCCCGTCTCCCGCTCCCACTCCCACTCCCACTCCCACTCCCCCGCATTCTCCTCCCTACCCGTTGTTTAGTAAGGATAGACGGCACACGTGGTTCGCCAGCCGGGAGGGAGGACGGGGTGGCAATACGTCTGGGCTGGAGCTTGAGCTCGACTCCTCCCAGCCAGGGCGATCCGTGGTTGTCGTGGTTGTCGTGGTTGTCCTGGTTGTCCTGGTTGTCCTGGTTGTCCTGGTTGTCCTGGTTGTGGTTCACAGTGACATTCTCGTACGGTACACGGCCACAGCACCACGGCGACGGCGACGAGAAACAAGATAAGTGCTACCACGTCACGCATCACAAGACTGCGAACCAAACGATGCGGAGAGCTCGGGGTACATGGCGGGGGATGAGTAGGAGTACACGGTGTGTACTGTCATCCGCGTGCGTTTGCTTGATATCGCGACGACGAGTACTGTTCCGCGAGTGTCCTGGTAGCTGGTACACAGCTCCGTGTCTGTTTGCGAGCTGTATACTCACCTCGCACGCCGTTAATAGCAGACACGCGTTAAAGCGGCATGAGGTATACAGAGATACTATATTGCACTGTATCGATCGTGCTGTAGAGTGCTATATCGACAGTACTATACCGTATCTGTACAGTACAATGCGGGCAGGGATGTAACTGGCCAAGTGCCGGGTGGAGGGCGTTGTCTGCTGGATTGGAAGCGGGCGCTGATTGGAGCTGATTGGCGCTGATTGGCGCTGATTGGCGACGAGGAAACTTTTTTTGGATGTCGTTGACGTGGATGGCGGGTGGGAGTCAACAGAGAAGAGGAAAGAAAGAAAATCACACTACACCACCAGTACATAATGATACTGAACGGTGAGTACGATGCGGGATCATGGGGGTACTCTGCGGTAAGACGACGGAGGAGAGAGACAAACATGGGCGAGGAGATCTTCAGTGGGATATCAGGTGAGATATGTGATATTTGGCCGTAGAATTACTGTACTCCGTACTTGGGAAAGGAAGGAACAGTCAGTGTCCCCGTCACCTACCTGCTCTGCGACACTCGAGTCTCCCCGCCATACTACGCCGGAAGTGGCAGACCACGTCGTTCATTCTATGACGCCGGATACCTTGGTGATGCACCACGGGTCGATGAGGGATTACTTACCACTACCACTCTAGTTCCCACTCTCCTTGCCCGCGAGCGTTGATGTCTTGCCTACTCCTTGTTACCCAGACCTCAAAACAAGTCCCCGCGGATTCACGTCGTGCACCCCATCCAATAATGCTCGCACAACCAACCCCCCTTGACCCTGCTTACCCCTCCCTGGTCCCTTCCTACCCTCCGCTTCCATGCCCCTCCCCCCCGCGACTTTCCTATGTGGTGCTCTGCTGCTTGTATAAATAGTGATTTCCCCGCCCGCCCCCCAGCTAAGCAATGGGCTCTGTCATACATCCTGCGTATTCTCTCAGTTGACTTCTCACTTCTTCCCAATTGCAACTATAAATCCTCCTGTTCTGGAAAATACAGTAAATCGCCATGGGTCTCGCTCTGAAGAAGCCGAAAGACGTGCCCGGCCGCTCCTGGCCGGCCATTGTCATTGGTTTCTTCGTTGCCTTTGGTGGTATTCTCTTCGGGTGAGTGACCTCAATAATCTAAGCCCAGCGAGAGAGAGAGAGAGAGAGAGAGAGAGAGAGAGAGTGTGTGTGTGTGTGTGTGTGTGTGAGAGAGAGAGAGAGAGAGAGAGAAGAGAGGAGGAGGAGATGTGCCAGTCCTAACATCCTCCAGATATGATACCGGCACAATTTCCGGCATCATTGCCATGGACTACTGGAAGGCGCTCTTCACCGACGGTACGCGCGATGCGAATGGCGGACCCGACATCTCCGCCTCGAACACCGCAGCTATCGTCTCCATCCTGTCTGCCGGTACCTTCTTTGGCTCGCTCTCCGCAGCACCCTTCGCCGACTTCCTCGGTCGTCGATTCGCGCTCGTAGGCTCTGCTATAGTTTTCTCTTTTGGAGTTATCCTGCAGACTGCCGCGACGGCGATTCCACTCTTCTTGGCCGGACGCTTCTTTGCTGGTTTTGGTGTTGGGCTGGTTTCTGCTTTGAGTATGATGGCCATGAGCCTGGTTGGGGGTTTAGCTGACGCGCTGCAGTTCCATTATATCAGTCTGAGACGGCGCCGAAATGGATTCGTGGTGTTATTGTGGGAGCATATCAACTGGCCATCACCATTGGGCTTCTCCTAGCTGCCGTCGTGGACAATGCCACGTCGAAGCGCAATGACACGGGCTCATACAGGTCAGTCCACTCTTATCGCTGCCTAGCACATTACTAACCCGCACCAGAATCCCCATCGCCGTTCAGTTCGCCTATGCAATCATCCTCGGGGGCGGCATGATCTTCCTCCCCGAATCCCCGCGTTACCTCGTCAAACGCACCCGGCATGACAAGGCTGCGCGTTCCCTCGCCCGCCTCAGACGCCTCGGAGTTGACCACCCAGCCATCATTCAGGAGCTAAACGAGATCGAGGCAAACCACAACTACGAGCTACATTTGGGAAAGGCGAGCTACCTCGACTGCTTCCGCGGCAACATCGGGAAGCGGCTTTTGACTGGCTGCTTGCTTCAAGCGCTACAGCAGCTTACTGGTGTCAATTTCATTTTCTAGTAAGTTACACGCAGATGTTATCACTGGCATATAGTTGCGAGGCATAATCTGCCTTCCCTGACCGTCATGCCGCTCTCGGGATATCTCCACTAACCTCTCCTAGTTACGGAACTCAATACTTTAAAAACTCGGGAATCACCAACCCCTTCGTCATCCAAATGATCACCAGCGCCGTCAACGTCGCCTCCACCTTCCCCGGTCTCTACGCCATCGACAAGATCGGCCGCCGCCCGCTCCTGCTCTGGGGCGCCGTCGGCATGGCCGTCAGCCAGCTCCTCGTCGCCGTCCTAGGTACAACCACCACCTCCCAAGATGTCGCGGGCAATATTATTGTTCATAATGTCGCAGCGCAGAAGGCGGGGATTGCATTCGTCTGTATTTTCATATTCTTCTTTGCAGCTACCTGGGGTCCAATTGCATGGGTGGTTACAGGAGAGATTTTCCCGCTCAAGGTCCGCGCAAAGTGTCTGAGTATGACTACGGCTACGAATTGTACGTGTCCTCCTTTCCCTCTCTAGTCTCAATCGACTACTTCCCCGCCTGTAACAGGTTAACCTCCCATAGGGCTCTTCAACTGGGCTATCGCCTACTCAACCCCTTACCTCGTGAAATGGGGACCCGGCAACGCAAACCTCCAGTCCAAAATCTTCTTCATCTGGTTCGGCTGCTGCTTCCTCTGCATCGCCTTCGTGTACTTCTTCATCTACGAAACTAAGGGTCTCACGCTCGAGCAAATCGACGAGCTGTATGATGAGGTTAGTGTTGCGAGAAACTCGGTGGGATGGGTGCCGACTAAACGTTTCGCGGATAAATCGCGGAAGGTGGGGGCTGAGGAGGTGGAAGGGGGGGTGTTGGGGACGGGGGATGCGGTTAGTGGGGATGCGGGGATGGTGGGGAAGAAGTCGTAGGGGGGAGGGATGGGGGGGAGGTGTACTGTACTGTTTTGTACTGTACATGAAATCTGTGGTTTAGTGCTGGAAATTAATTAATATTTATAGTTCTTCTATTTCTATTTCAGTCTATATCCAGCTCTCAAACGCTGCTAGCCCAATGAGATCATCTCCATATCCATCTCCAGATTGCTGCTCAACTTTTCCGCACAACCCTTCCAGCAGCCCTTTCTCCTGCGCACTTACTTGTCCCTCGGCGCATAAGTTAAGTTATACAACATATATTAGTATTACGTAATCTACCTCACTGCGAGTTGTAATATGCATGTCAGTTACTGTGTAGAAGATACTATTTTATAGACGCTTAAGAGAGAGAAATCTGTGTGAGAGCAACTCTCCAAGATACCTCTATGGATAGTACCCAGCCGCAAAATTATTTCCGGTAGACCCCATCGATTTAGAATCCAAGCAGAGATTCTGGCAACGAACACGACCACAAAGACGATATACTTTGCGCGATAAAAGTTGAGAGGTTGGTATGTCTGGAGTCGCACGGCCGTGCTCGCATTTAGATCCAACAAACGACACATAGATTGGTTATTTTACGACTATACACGAATGGATTCTAGTTGCTATTGGCCTGTCAAGTTTTGAGACGGTAGTAGATGGTAGGTTTACCTCTTGTTCATTTATCTGTATGTATAGACGACGACGACGACGTACCCATTGACTACCCCAGATGAAGTGATAAAGACCCGTCCACTGATGGTGGGCTGGGTTCAACTTGAGGGTATACAAGTACGGCCCAGTATTTAGAGATTGGATTACCCTGTAATGGCCCACTATTATGGGGGATAAGCCGCGAGTCTAAGACATTATGACATGCTTCCTTACTGTATTGTTTGCTTCTCATGGCAGCCAACCCCAGGCGCCGTGGCTGCAAGCTCCGGCTAATGTGACAATATTAGTGGTTAACCATGGCTCGGAGGGGGTGGCCGGCTTGGACGTAGCCACGCTTGAACCTGTGCATTTTCAATGCATATGTCGCAAGGTTATCTCTTTTCTCCTCGCGGAATAATTTGCCAGAGATGCTTGCACCATTCTCTCCGCCCCTGACGGTAGTAGGCACAGAGCGCTGGCCACCAGGGATGCCGCATGCTCTGTGACACCATTCGGTGTCAGTCAGCGGCGAGAATGACAGGCGCGTAGTACGGGAGATGTCTGATTGAGGAAGGTTGGTAACTACACCGGTGTAGAGGTTAGCAGTGCTGCTTCGGGGTAATATCCTAGTTTTGTATGGCCTGTAGTGTATGTGACTACTGTAGATCCCCCAACCTGGCGCTTCACTGCAGGACGACGTACATATACAAAACACCAGAGGATCCAGCCCCCGGTACGTCGGAAATAACCAACATAGAAGCCTTTCCTTCTTATGTCTGTTGTTCTGCTGTCTTCTTATTCAGTTGTTGGCACACCTACATGTATTCGCGACCAGCTCACCCATAAATCTTCAGCCAATCTTAAGGAATGACTCGAGGCTACAGCCCCTCACCGCTCTTCTGTTTTCTGAATTGTGGTCGAATAAGAGTACACCTTTGACCCCCGGGACCACCAGCCCCCCGCAGCCTTGTTAAACACACGGGGCGAGCGAGTTTGCCCAACGTAGCAATACTTGCTAGAGCTAGAGACGTGAATCAAAAGCCGCAATGAAAGAGCCGCAATGAAAGAGCCGCAAGAAAGAGCCGCAATGAAAGAGCCGCATCCACTGGGTGCCAGACAAGATGCTATCGCAGTATCGAGAATAGTACCTGAGTCTTGGCCTAGCCCCTGACAAATATTTCGCTCACTGAGCCTGTGCTTGATTCTCTGCATTCAGCAACAGCAGGGTTATTGCCGGCCCAATAGCTGGGGCCCAAGGTCATGACATCTCCAGGCAGTCATTAACCCCAGTCGCGTATGACTGGATGCCGACCATCGGATGGAGGCTCCAAGATTTAACAGGCCACGCACGAAATTAAGAGCCTCCTGCAAAACCAGGATCGTCCATCACCAGCCTAGTGGTCATGCGCCGCTGCTCGATAGACCGAATGCTTCCGCAGAGCCTCCTCTCCCATGGAATGCATTTGGGGATTCCCAGAAACAAGGTTGATTTAGGGCCGCTCGGCAATACCGAGAAGCGCCAATGGGGACATCAGGATGACCTAATAATCGCAGTCGCTATTGCTGAGGGAAACTTGGGATGCTCTGTCTCAGACTGGTTGCTGCCTGCGAGAATCGCGACGATGTCTAACCATAACGACGACTTTCTGGAGCCGTAAATTGTTGGTCAGCCCATGACGCGCCCCTGAAATGAGCGTCCAAACAAGCTGCGATCATATATTAAGGGGAGGGTGACGATATCCAGTCGTTGAAAGGACATGGCCAGTCAGTGTCAGTAGCAGGGTACTGGTCAGAGCCTGTTCAAATCGCTAACGTCTCATATAAGAGCTTGTGACCTGCCACAATAGCAACAGCGGATTTCGTTTGGTGGATCGTTTTTTTAACTGGCAGCATGAAAGGGACAATATTGCGAACTCTTGCAATTTTAAGTCGCGTCGTTGCCTCACAGGAATTCCAGACGTTAACAGGTAGCAGACTGAGTGGTCGGTGCCATTGTATTACCGACCAGCGAACGAGACTTAACGCTTCCAGAACAAACGCCAATGACGTCCGGGCCCCTGAAAGAGTTCTTTATCACACCGCTTCTCGGGAGCCCCTGAACCGTCGTCAGCTTTTATCTTCCAGTAAGATCAGGATGTTATCCATGAGAGATTTGTGTATGTCTTGGCTTGGCGCGCCCCTTTAACTCGAGACTCAAACACATAAGAGTCGTATCAAGACACCTCAGCAAGACTCAACGATGCACAACATTTAACTTTGGCATATCGTCTTTCTGGGTCAATTATCCCTTCGAGTGATCCAACTTGTAAGTTTGGCCCCTTCAGTCTTGGTCGAGCCCCTTATGCGTTCAGTAACTGATAAAGGGGCAAACTAGAAGACACATCTCGCACTCACTAGGAGATATATCTAGATTGACAAAGAGGATTCCCATATATCAGCGCATCAATCCCCGACACGGATAAAACCAGTGTCCTTAATCGACAACCCACTCTCAATATCCCGTCGCCCTCTACCAACACCTACACTGACGCCTGCCCACTGACGCCTGCCAAGGATGGACGCGGCAAACGCAAACCCTGTGCTGCTATCAACGATGTACAAATGCTGCTGTGGCAGTCATGTTGTCAAAAGCGGACCGCCTGATATATGTATCTGTGGCCACAAGAAGTGCGGGTCTTGTCAAGACCCGCATCCACGACCAGAGATAAACGAACCCTTGGTCAAGACCTACGGATGAAGCCATCAATGAAAGTCGTTTTGTGGAGACCGCAAGACTGGAAACATCATTGAGAAATCACGATATTATGGCGATGTGTGGCTAAAAATTCGCACACTATCCTCGAGATCGATGGCGTCCCTGGAAGTGGAAAGCGTTCCAGTGTTTTGATAGGGGTGTTACCCTTCTGTAACGTCGCCATACACAATGATATTTGCACTGTTCTATGGCTGGGCTTCGGGTTATTTGTGTTGATATTGGGGTTTGACTTGGATGTTTGTTGTGCTGTCAAGTGGAATTTGCTTCATCTCAGCTGAGATTTGCTATCCAGCCATGCCAAAGGCACCCTTGTAGGGCTTTCAAAATACTGTGCAGAGTTTTTGAGATCTTGATGACGGTTTAAAACAGCGGTGTCGGTTGTTCCTATGCTGTCGTTATTCCCTGACCGCTTCATTTTTTTTTCTGCCACACCGTTACATGGTATCATTTGTCAAGGGTAGTTACTCTGTTCAAGGAAAAGAGGTTGCTGGTCGACCTCTAGCTTTCGGAATCCATCAATCATTGTGCTCATATCCTTGGCCACTTCATTTCGTGAGCAGTGCTTTATCTGGCGATCGACCCACGTGACACACTGACTGGCCTGAGGGATCCAGGCTTTCCGTTCCATTGCTCAGAAGTTTTATTAGCCTTGCGTCTGACCAGACGTCCAGCGTCATTTCTCCGTGTTTTATATAGATTTGGGGTGGTGCAATGTCAGGTCATTGGGCGGCCGTCATCCAGAGTTCAACCACTCGGCGGCGTCGCTTGCCAGAGAGGGGGTTCTCGACGCCCTGCTTCTGCCCATGGAGATATCGGTAGGCCTAGGAGCTTTCGGACTCTGTCTCGCCAATCGGGTGTTATTGAGAAAGTGGGTGCTTACTTGAGGTGTGGGGTTTGCAGGTAGTTTTTGTATGAAGACTTGGCTTGGTTCATTAACGCGAGATTGACTCCAGAAGCTCATGGCGCTTTCTGACCCTTCAACGGTTCGGCATAATGCGGACATAAAGAAGGCAGCCGCATCCCATGCGCTCTTTGCAACATATATCCTCAACCCTCAAAGTGTCGAAAAGCCTAGATTTTCCTATCTTAGGCCAAAGTACATTTATCACATTGCAGCGCAAGTCAAGTCGAGTCGCAACTTCCACCCTCTGTGATAACATTATGATGATAATATATATAACAATTTAATCCCTCACTCTACGACATACAGTTTTGTACGCGCCTGGTGCGTCAGCACTCGCGTCACATGCCTACTTTCTTACAACACACAAGTTCCACACTCGCATAACCTATCATAACGCATAAACATTTGGAGCAAGCCGTCACTCAATAACTACTATTATTGAAAATGGTAAACCAGTGTTATGTCAGGCAGCCAATGCTCTATTCAGTCAGGTATTTATCTTTGGTAGGGACGGTGTTGTGTTGCTATGAGCGAGCCAATCGCAAGATGCAGAAACGCAACCTATGAATTCGGAGCCGAAACTCAAACAAGTAAAACAGAGCTGTGACGGCCAAACACAAAACGCCCTTGAAAGCAATGCACGTTAATGTGACCATTCACATATAGCATGTTGTCATCAAATACTTATGGGCTCTTCTCGCGTTCAGTCCATTCTATAGGGTGGTGCTCACGGTCCTTGGGACAATGCCGATATCCACAACAGCATTGCCCCAATGCAATCCCCTGCCAAACTCCATGCTTAACAACCCCCACCAAAGACGCCAGACTAAGTAACCTATTAATCGTAATGCAAAAAGTCCTCCTCCATTAATGTGTGTTTCTCGGTATGCACTCAGCCGTCATCGCCGGCGTCACCCCACTCTTCTCCATAATATCCGGTTTCGGGCCCTTCAACTTCCTCCCCCTGAACGGGAGTGGTTTCCGCATGTCCTGTTCTGACATGAAGCCCACCTCGACGAGCAGCTCTTCCACCCAACGACCAGTTTCGAACTGGGATTCGTGGCTCTCGTGATTGCGACATGGAGACTGCTTAATTGGTAGCACCCAGTCCAGGAAATTGTTCCCCATTACCGATTTCCAGTTCCCAGCTGCTCCAAGGTCCCATGGGTTTCGCCCAACGGCGAGCTGGAGAATGGCGAACGTTCTAGTTGCCCTTGCGTCTCGTTCTAATAAAGTCTCAGGCTCGCTTATGGCCCCGTTGTGTGGTGGAGAAGCTGGTGATGATGGCGTCGAAGGTGATGATTTCTCACTCGCCGGGAGAGGCAGTGGGTAGGTAATATGCGGATAATTACCCTGTTGGGGAAAAGTGAATGTTGGCGGGATCAGTACAGCAAGTAGCCATGCGCGACTTTTTTTGCTCAGGTTTTCGATTGTCGTGAGGTTTGCGAAAACGAACTGTAGTGAACTGCATGTCATCCCAAATGTGAAAAGGCCAAAGAATCCGGAGCTGGTAGACAGTTAGAGTGAGTTTTTGGTTAAGGCGGGCTAACCTACACAGCGACAAGAGCCACAAAGTGGCCGTTCAACTCCGACTGGAGAAAGGTCAGCAAAAGCACTGAAGTAAAATATGAGTGTCGGAGGTGGTATTGTAAACGCACCGTATTTGACAAATCCTCACTGAGATATATTGCCGTGACAACCACCACGAAGAGGCAGTAGAAGAAAGCATACGTCACAAATTGGACGAAAAATTTAAAGCTATTCTCTCCGACAACCCCACCAACCCTGTTACAAGTTAGTTTTGGGGCAACAGGACGAGTCGGCGAGACTGCTATGTAACTTGCCATGGGCAGTAATGATCCATTTTGTAAACACATCTTCCAACATCGCTGCAATGATGCGTTCGATCTGGCTTCCAGTTGGCGCATTCACTACACCACTTGGGGCGTCCATCTTGGGAACAGACAAAGACATCCTTCGTATAGAACAGCTCCAGCCCAGGAGAGTCTGCATCATCGTCTCTGGTTATTGCAGTTTCTGAAGACGGATATGCAGGCCCCAAGGCGTCGTTAGCTCTGCCGGTCACCCCGTTATCCTGTTGCGAAAGGTTCTTGTCGGCCTTGCTATATCTCTTTGCCGCGGGCCCCAACGGCAGATACCCTGGATCAACAGTGGCGATATAAACGAGCCTCCCATAGGTGATTGTCATGAAAAGAAATAAAACGAAGTATATCGCGAGTAGGGCAGCGGATATGCCAGGGCGCGGCCTATGGCCTCTGAGAAGGAAGTTAACTTGTCTCGTTAGCATGCTTCGTTCAATTGCTCTTCAACAAATTCAAACCCACCACAGAGTTGCGCAACAAATACATATGTTGCATATGTTACTGTGCCAGCAAGAAAAGTTGGGACAATGCGCCCAGCCCATTCGTTGACGGCCTGGGGGTTAATGGGCGCCATATCGGTTTCCAGTAGGTCAACTTGTTGTTTGGTATGAATGATAGGTATAGATGCTAAAGCTCCATGTGACCCCAAACTTTGGAGGGTTCGCTTTTAAATGCGACCTCATCTCATCAACAACAATAGTGTCGCGGACGTTGGCGGTTCAGAAACATATTCGTATCCGTCGCCGCTTCCACAAACCTTGGACAGGCCTGGCCACTAACCAAGAACATACCGGAACCGGATAAACCTCTATCCGTGACTCACCTTGGTATCGACGCGTCGTCGCTTCGACTTCTCAACAACCTCATCTCATCTCATCTCATCTCTTGAGATGAATGAAGAGCATCATCTGCACAACTCACTTATGTGCCCAGTAGATGAACAGGGGAGACTCTTCACTTGGCACAGGCGAAATATGAAAGCTATGCCAATGAATATATCAAAATATCAACATGGCTCCGGCCAAGGCTGACAAGGATATATCCCCTCCTCCCGATGTAGTTTCTCACCGAGACGTTATGCTGAGAGGAGTCTCTTACTGAGACATTCTGTGGAGCAGTTCACTCATGGCAGCATAGCAACATATTTCAACAAAGCCTTGTGTTTGCTAGAAGAGATTTATACTGAGCACGACAAGGCTGAGATGTCGACTACCTCGACTACCTACCAATTGAACAACGGCGGTATGTTTTCGCACAAAGGCTCCTCAAACCCTCTTTATTTGATTGAAAAATATATACTCTTAAGATAAGTCTTCGTTTCATACGTACACACTGTGCAAATATCATCGGCGCAATGCGACTCCAACATGTGACCGCATTGCGACCCAAGAGCGTTCTATCTACAGTACAGGGCGTACTACGGCTACTCAGCCATCCCGCGAGCGGGAATGTTCCGGGAAGCTTTTTCTGCTCCCATCTATCTCCATTGTTTCGTTAGGGCTAAGAATTGCCCTGAAACCGTATGAGCAGAAGGAGCAAATGTGGAATCCAAGGCTGGGGTCTTACCGGCTCGCTCGCTCGACTCATACATAGCCGTGCGCTGCCACATATCGGTGAATTAGTTCCAAACTCCCCGGAACAGAGTTTAAAGCCTCAGCAGCCGTGTTATTCTATGCCACAAAAGTGAGGCCATGGCGCTTGAGGTGCCTAGTAGGCCCATGTCACGCGTTTGCCAGCACTGCCATCGCAGTTAATGAGCCTACTACGCCCGATCACCACTACCATCGAAGCCCACGATTGTTCCTCGATGGATGACTTGTCATGTTTGCGGTCATAGCTCCGATGATTCCGCACTGGCGCCCTGAACCATGACACTGCCCATTTACCTTGAACTGGTGAATCGGACCTTCCGAGCCGAAATCCAGAGGTGCTCATTTCATTCCATTGGACCTCAGTGTGTCCTGCTCGGTGTACTAGTGCATCACATTTCTTGTCACCGCTTCCACTTCATTATTGCCATTTTCAGACCGCTACTTGTCGGTGCTTCCGGCCTCGATCGATTGGAAAAGACATATGGTCACTTCGCCCTGTTTTCAAATACGTGTTCTCTTGTCCATGTAAACCCCGTAACGCCCTCAGGTGCCAGGGCACTCATTGGGCTATCTAGGAGAACGGTGGGTTTGGTTGCTTCTGACTATGGGTCTCTGGTTTGTGGTGATGGGCTCGGTGTCACGCCTCACTTCCCATACGAAAGGGGTCGAGAGCAGTCACTCTCAAGATATATAGCTATGTACTCACTGAGGGAAAAGGCATTATATTCTCCACCACACACAATCCTCTCAAGAAACACATTCTCATTCCCACAGCGAATTCAATCCAAAACATCTTTGTTCCACTGCACCAATAAAATCTGGCTTACTCTGTCCATCTCGAATCAGAATGGCTTGGAGATGCAAAGGCTGCAGTACCGTCAACGGGTCTACTGTCAATAAATGCGCCGGGTGTAGATACCACAAAACCCAGAGATGGGTCAAGATGATCTTCTGTGGCCATTGCGGGGATGGACCATATCTGGCTGACAACCAAGTTGGCTGCATGAACGATAGGTGTTACAAGTTGTTCGATGGGAACTCTCCGACCGAGTGGCAACCCAAAAATTAGGCTTATGGCGGAGGGATGGCGGAGGGATGACGGGAGGGGGAGGGGTTGGGTGTGGGTTGGGGCGTGGAAGGGCGAGGTCTGTGTATTGAGGTATATTAGATGATGATGGGTTTTTAAAAATGGGCTGGCGTTGGAATGGCACACTGGTTTGTTGCTCTCTGTCTTTGGTTCGCCCTTGCATACTAATTACCTCACAGGCCAGTGACGGCACACTACAGAACTGTCTCGAGACAACACAATACAGTACAGGGGGATACAACAAGTCATGGAAGGTGATGGGCGTATGGGCGTTTCTGGGGCTTAGAATTGGTAGGGAGGTTGAATTAAAGAGTGACTGAGGCAAGGGCGTTTGAGTGGCGAAATAGTTTATCGATCGTTTTGTTAAAGAATTGAAATTAAGTCCAGCTTAACATGTCCACATCTCATATCCAACCATTCACACAGCCTGTCTCTCAATGCTCCCTGGTCCAAAACATAAATTTAAGGCCAGACAATTCCCGTCGCATCGGTAATGGGGAAACAGGCACACCTATTGCGGCACAGCTTGACCAAGGGGTGCAGGATTCGGAGCTTTTTCGATCGTCAAAACCGCATTTCAACGCTCCACAGCCATGGATGCCTTTGTTGCACTGCCCCAGCCTATTGCCCTCTATTGTCATACAAAAAGGCCGATATATTCCTCACGTGATATCCGATTTCGAGAGACGGGATCCATCCGCCAGGCACCAGCAGAGTGAAAAAAAAAGGCACTGTTCCCGTTCCGCTCAGCGTTTGAGCCTTACACTAAAAGATAACATGCGCCTCTTTATAATGGGCGGACGTCGCCGTCGTCCCATCGCAACCCAGTTCGCAATCGTATTAGTTGGTGGTAAGGCTCAAAGGGTTGATCTGGGATCTGGACTTAAAGAGAGCCCACGCTCTGCCTTGTAGTACGACACGGGCACGAGTGGTAAACAGAGACGACACGTTCATTCTGCATGACTTTGCTGCGCGCCTCACAAGGGATGGTACTGATCTGTAGCACCACAATACTAATTCTGGTATTCTTGGTTGCCGCCGTCTCACACCGCTTTTAGAAGGAGAAGACGAGGCTGAGGCTGAGCGGCCGAGGCTGTATATTACGTATCCCGCCCTGAACTCGACACTTTGATTTGTTTTAGCAACGCCCAATCATACCTGGATGACTGGGTGATCAGTTAGAGGAGCCTCAACCCGAACACAGCATAATCCCTCACGAGTTGAGTGACAATGGTCGGCGGTCAACTACTCTGGCTATTGTTGCAACTGATCCAAACAAGGGAAAGGGAATATAATGAATAACCCGACCGAAATTTACACTCTACGTGTCCCGTGGAGGTCCGATAACCTGTCACCTGCTCCCACTGGGTCTTTACTCACCGAGGCCGCCCTTCTCCATTCGGGATGCACGCTTAACCCGTTATTGTGAGGCTTTTTTTCGGCGCAGTACCGTGGGAGCTGTAGTCTGCCTGGTTATAGTGTAGGAACAGGCCTATCGATGGACTCTTTCAGTAGTAATCACTTGGCTTGGCCAAAGTTACCTTCTTTCCGGGCACCGCAACAGTGGCATATATGGTTAGATGCCGCCCGTTGTACCCCCCCGTGGGCCCCATACAATCCCAAGGGCCGCCTCGACTGGTTCAAGAGCTATTTGTTCGGGCGCCGTAGGTGAGATGGCAGGCTTATTTCGGTGAGTAGATCGGATTTTCTTCTCATATAACGGTTCCTGATGGCATCCCATTGCTATATATACGATCATGGAAGCCGACGAGAATCAAAAGACCAGACCAAACACTCTCATCGCTATTGACATTGACTCTCACATCCTATTTCTATCTATCAATCGTGCCACCAATATATGTCCCCGAGCAATACCACACCTACACCAGCACCAACCAGCTTACTCCCTACCGGACGCCAAAGCTACAGCTCTGATACATCTATGAACAGTGTGGCTCAAACCTCAAGATCCATTTCAATTGCAAATATGGCAGCTCCTCAACTCGCACATGGACTTTCCCTCGCCAACTCGAGCAATTCTATGACAGCCTGCGGCGCTGGTCATACACATTCGTTGAGCGATTGTATAAAGCATTGTTCCGATAGTTCCACCAACGACGCGGCCTTTGGAATGGGCTCGGACTCAGGGATCCAGTCCCGCGGCGCCATACAGCTTTGTTGCGAATGTAACGGAGCAGGGCAGACGGTTCGCATACAGGCTTGTTCCTGTTGTAGCCACTATCGATGCGAATACTGCAATGTCTTTGTACCACACAAATAACGCCTCTGCACCACCACCATCACTTACGACAACAACTGGTGGCTATTCTTTTGGCTTTACGAAGGAACTGGGGTGCATTTTTCAGCTATTATGGACTGAGTGTTTGGCATCATTTGGAATCAGCATGGAACGTTGCAAGGCGCTACGGGAATGTTTCAACTTCATGGCAGAGCGGGATAGAGAGACGAAGGGGGCAGGTTTTTGACATTTTGGCATTTTGATATTTCGATATTATTTCCTTTGTCTTCGTATTTCTTTTTGGGGGGGATTCAGAATTGGCGCAACAGCATCCGTGTTTGGCATTTGGTGTTTTCTGCATTGGTTGGGCTGGGTTTCGTGTACGAACAGCTTACTAGAACAGATCGAACAGACTTGGATAACGGAACGAACGCATTTAGATTTAGACTCATCTCGCACACGGCCTCTGCTTTTTTTGTTTGATCTTGTTATTATTTAATACAGTCTTGCTTAAGTTGTTGACTTGTTCGTTGCTGATATTGAAATCAATACCCAGAGTGAAACATGAGCAATCCCAGGCCCCATAAAAACCACAAGAAGTTATCCCATTTACAAACAAGGAAACAATTCGAGTCAAACAGTCTCTACTTGTTCTCTCCAACAGGTCCTCTAACAACTACTCCAACTCAGCATCTCACCTCATTTTGGGCTCCACATCATGATACCACCCTCGCTTTCGTCGTTCTCATCAATCTTCATAATAAACCTGTCCAGCAGGTCAAACCCAATACTGCGATAGAGACGCTCCCCCATCATGCTCGCCTCCAGTGAAACTACCACGCCCTCTTTCTGCGCCTGTTCCAGTACCCACGCCATCAGCTTCTTCCCCACGCCCCTTCCTCGCCATTGCTCCGCCACAACAACACTCTGCACATACCACCGGTTCTTCCTATCCTCTCTGTCCTTCCAGTGCTTCTCGTTCTCCAACACCCCGGTCTTAATAAATTCCGCCATCCCTTCAGCGCTCTCACTCCGATCCGGAAACGCCCATGCCGCACACTTCATATAAATGCCATATCCCCACTCCACTAACCCCGACCACCACTTCTTCTTCTCCTTCGCCACCTGCAACGCCCCCTCATCATCCCCGAGCCGAACACATTGCATATACCCGACTGTCTCGCCATCTCCTACGGCAACAAACCCCCTATTCCGGGGGCTCACCATGCGGTTCTTGATCCGTCTTTCAAACCACAGCGCATTATCCGCTGGGTATGGCACTCGGTGCGGCGTAATCAAATCTGAAAGCGGCGCGTCCCAATACGCGACTTGCGCGAGCTCTGCCGTACGCTTCGCATCTGACCATATCATGGGGCGGATTTCCACAGAAGACGACGGACTTGCAGGCGGGGGCACCGGGCGGGTTGGGGGCAGTGGAAGAGGCATTTTAGGGAGGTTTTGATGCCGTGGACGTGCTGGTTTTTTTATTTGCTAGAGAAGTTGACTGGAGTTTGACGAGTTGGAAAGAGAGCGGGAGGGGTTTGCTATTGTTATAAATTATTTTTCTATTGTGATAAGTTGAAATTGTCACGTGAGCGGGGTTTTTCATTTTGCCATGAGAGTCAGGCGGGGAATTTGGCCCGTTCTGGGTGGGTTTGTTAAGTCGGACCTGCCACTTTAGGAACTCCATAAAACGCCTTTGGTGCTCAGGGCGCACAATTATGCGGTGTAGGTGGGCGATTTTACCTGCATCGGCACTTATATGGCCTAGACTGCGTTGTAATGGAATGTGTGGCTTACTTGGTGCGTAACGTAAGGTGATATGCTTACGATACGAGCGACTTTACGTGATCTGGAGATATAATAACCCTGAGGTTCCCTGGTGTATTTGTGGATAGGTTTTCAGATCCGGTCTAACATTCTTAAAAGTTGCGGTTGTTATGAATTAGCGCTATTTTTGGAATTCAGTGACCTTTTTGCTAATTTGCGCGAGAGAAAACGAGACAAGTAATAATATTATACCCCATAGCTATTACTTATTTGGGTATTCTAGCACAGCCAAGATATTTGGTTGCAAGGGAGCAAACGCCGTGGCTTAGGCGAGGGTCGCGGATTTGTCTCACAAGAAGAGTTTCAGTGTGCCGATATGCCAGCTGTCAGGCGAGTAATATAACCGTTTCATGATTGCGTGGCCATCCCTCCGTTTCCTATCATCTAAGCCTTAAACCCACCTGGTGGATCATCACGCACAGCTTCAATCACTGCCTCTCGCATAGTTCTCCTTGGAGCGCGTCGACCGGTCATAAGCTCGAACTGGGCAATACCCTGCTCGGGCAGGACGTCCAAGAAGTCGACAATAACCCATGCTTGCCCAGTACGGACGCGAAGGTCGCGGATTTGTCTCACAAGAAGAGTTTCAGTGTGCCGATATGCCAGCTGTCAGGCGAGTAATGTCAGCCAGTAACTTACAATGCCCAAAGAGAGCTAGGTGGGGTATTGGGGGGGGAGACGGTTTACATACCTCCATGATAACACCGCCTGTTGGACTCTGTAACCACTGTTCGGGCATCTCAAAGGAAGGGACGGGTTGGTTTTCGACGCTGTGCACGGGGAGGCACGATACGATAAGAGTAGGTGGACGTAGACCTGCGGGCCATGGCTCATCCCTTGATCGCAGCACGCTGACGACTGGAAGGTCGAACCTGAGTTGTCCAGCCCAGGTATTGAAGTGGTCAGCAACTGCGATAGCATTGGCGACCGTGCGATTGAAAATGAAGATTTTACGGCAGCCAAGGCGAATAAGTGCATAGATGGCGGAACGGGCCATGCCTCCTGCGCCAATGATGAGACCAGTAGTCTTAGATGGCTGGACGGCATTCCGTGGCGACCCATTGCGGCGAATTGATGTCATAATGCCGATCCAATCTGTATTGTCACCGTAAAGGGCGACACAAGGACCGGAACGCTTGGGTTCCGTGGCTTGTTGGGCGAGAGACTGTCCCGAAGATGAGGGCAGTGTGCGCAGCGGGACGACGGTGTTAACAGACCCAATGGCGTGGGCATGGTAGCTGACAGCGGAGAGGTGGGGTACTATGTCCATGCGGAGTGGTTGGATGGTTGCAGAACCACCGAAATTGGGTTCGTTCGCAAGGCGAAGGAAGGCCTCGACAGAAGAGGTCTGGTTAATCGTATAATCGTGCGGCATACCGCAAACTTTATAAGCAGCACCGTGCATTGCGGGGGAGAGACTGTAGGAGACCATAGCTCCACTGATGTAGAAGTGGAGGTGCTGAAAAATGGACTTGTCGAATAGCTTTCGAAGCGCCTCTTCCGATGTGAGGCGACTGGTGGTTGATGTCCTAGTTCGGGTGAGGACAGAATGAGTGACGGGCGAGAAAATCTTGTTCAGCGCCAGAGTTTCAATTCCGATGCTCCCTGAATTATATGCTATAAGGGGTAGGTGCGGTGCAGGGAATGCTGCTGTTTTCTCCCAGAATATCTTGATGTCGTCATTATCTTTCAAAGTCTTCGCTGTTTGGACAAGCCTGACCATATCAAAACTGAAAAACTGGGCTCGACTATAAAGCGCGAGTCGATCTGGTTGCAGCCATCCAGAAGTAGGAGGCCTGCCATCATAGTAATGGGCAATGACCTTTGTCATGCCCTTCTCACTGAGAGGTCGCCTGATGTTGCGATCTTCAAAATTTAAATCCATAGCGATGTAGTCGACACCAAGGCGCAGGCCTTGCTCAAGTAAAATGACAGCGATTTCCTGAGTGAATGGAATGCGAGCCTCTTGACCTACACCTGGCTGGTCTGGTTTTGTATGGTTCTCAACATCCACCACACTGAGTATGATGGGAACACCTATTTGCCTGCGAATCACGGCAACCAGCCTTGATATCACAGATAGCATACTTGCTGTCCACGTATCGATTTTCAGCTCCACGACATCACCGCCACCTGATTCTAACTCAGACAAGTCGATCTTTGAAGCGATTAAGTCTGAAAGGGATAAGGACAAGGCAAAGGTGTATTGCCTTTTCTCAGGCGGCACAGCTCCAATCGAGAGTGGGTTTTCGAGTGCGGCTAACCCATGTCCATTGTTAGTGATGAAATCAAGAAACCCCGAAAAGTCCTTTCTGGCATCTTTTAATCCAAAAGAATAATTTGGATTTGCTCGGTCCAGAGGGCTGTCGGTGCCATTGGCCTCGCAGCTTGGGTCATGTAAATTATAGTACTCGAAATTTGAACAAGATCGATGCACCGAGTAAGCGTGCTCAAGCCGGCGCGCTTCATCCTCAGATAGGTTGAGAAGGTAACGAATGCGGTTGAAGTTCCGAACAATGTGGACCACGGGATGTGATAGAGAGTATCCCTTCAGCGTTTTCTGGGCTTCCCTGGCCAAGCTTCCCATTCCACATTCAATAATGCAATTGGAGGTGTTCTCCTTTAATATTTTCTGGAGGGCATATATGTTCTTCCTCTTAAACTCTTGCTGCCCATGCTCGGACAAAAATGACTTCCTAGATAGTCCCGTAACTTCTTCGAAATATTGATCTTCTGTAATGAGCCGGCGACCAAGGTGGATAGCTCCGATGAAACCTAGCGACCGTTTGCCCGATCCACGGCACCCAACGAGGACAATAGTAGCATTAGGGGCGAATTCTCGCGGGCTTTGAGGGGATTTCACGCGATAAAGCTCGCCGATTTCAGCCAAAACTGCGTTCCTATCCTGAAGCGCCTCCATATCAGAAGTGGGAGAAGCCGCCATGATCGGAGGATTCATTTTCTCGTGAGTCTAACAATGCAAGACTTTCCAGGGCGGTGGTCTTGAACAAACTTTCGCCCCAACATATCTAGACGCATAATAGGGCCTCATAAACTTATAGATGTTTTATTTCTCCAGAATTGTTGTTTTGCAAATTATGTCGTGCGACGTCAACTCCGATCCTTTGGTTAGTCAGCAACGCACAACCGGGTAAAGTATCTTCCTGTGGTATCCCGATCTAAGATCCCCAGATTGATCGGCCATGAGTGCCGGCACAGTAAGGGTTACATCACAACAATATATAATCTTACCTTAATCACCAATTATCTCTGACTTGAGTCACGGTAGAGGCCGTGGCATATGAAGCTCCAGTTTAAAGGCTTATAAGGTTAATATCAGACACCGGATCTTGTCCACCCAACGCCGCAATTCCTATTCGCTGGGAACTGCTCTATATATGGCCCAAGTCTTCCTTGGAGCATTCAATTTGGAGGACGAATCTATCCTTGGCGACCAGAATTCTGGGACGATTAAGAATGGGCCGCTCGAGAATAAGTTTGACAGAGAGAGCATACCCTCTTGGGCACAACACCAATGGTGACGGTTTCGAAAAGGGCATTCTGTTGTAGAAGGTGCTGCCCGCGCACCTCGCAAACTAGACGATGAGTCCGCCCGCAGTGCAGCGTAAACGCGTGGCTCAGGCCTGCGACCGATGCCGGAGCAGGAAAGATAAATGTGACGGCGCGAAGCCCGCCTGTTCAGCCTGTGCAGTACGAGGGCATCCGTGCTCTTATGACCCAGCCGTAAAGAAAAGAGGGCTTCCCGAAGGGTATGTACGAGGACTGGAGAACCTTTGGGGCTTTACAATACGGGAGGCACCAGAAATCGAAACAAATGTGATTTCCTTGATGGAGCGGAGGCACGGAACAGACACTCTACCACGAGGCTGGAACAGCAAAGATGGCGAGGCATTGTCGGATACATGGAGGAAAAGCCGTTTATCTCGAGAATTAGACTCGCTCCTTCCGCTTCTTGATATAACTGATGACAGGCCGGCGAAGAGGAGACGCCAAGATAGCTCCTTTACCCCACCGACCGAGGCTTCCGCATTCGATCTCGCATTTGTACCTCCTCGCGAAACATATCCGGTGAAAGGGGGGCAGCAAAGCTCATCTGCCACATTTCCTGTGCCGATTTTCAATAGCGGCGCGTCTTCAGAGACAATGAAGCTCACAGATTCCCAACAAGTTCAACTTCCCCACAATGCTTGGGAGCTTCTTGATGTATATTTCTCTTATACTCATTGCTGGTTACCAATTGTTGAGAAACATAACTCTCTGCGGGCATCTTATCTATATCCTACAACAATCTCCCCGTCAATGACAGGTTCTGGAGACCATGCAGCTTTATGGGCGATATTGGCCTACGCAGAATGTCATCAGGCTATTATACGGAGAAGTATGGCACATGTTCTTCAGCAAAAAGACCCTTGGATAGCAAGCGATACGTATAAAACTGCCAGAAGCCTTATTCCAGATGAAGACGGCGTGTTTGAGCTTGGACATATTCAAAGTCTACTTATTCTCACCCTTCTAAGTATGGGCATGAATCGATGGAAGCAAGCATGGTCACTCATTGGTCAGGCAGTTCGCATGGCACTTGAGCTTGGTCTTCAAAAGAGTCCAGATGGTGCCAAGTCCAGGAATAGACATGCGTTCTGTGGTTGCTTTGTATTGGAAACTCTTGTGGCAGCTCGATTAAACAGAAGCCCTCATCTCCGAGCGCAAGATGCGTTGAACTGCGGCCTGTTGCTTGAGGATGGCTCGGATGAGTGGAGCCCATGGGTAGACAGCATCGGGATTCGTCGAAACAGTGAAAGCTCTTCTCGGGGTCCCGGTTCGACCCTGAGTACATTTAATCGGTTGGTTCAAATATCTGCAGTGTTAAATGCCATTGTCTGCGGATATTATATTGGCGCCGAGGACTATGGGAAGTTTGACCTACTGCTCCATAAATTCGGCTGGGACTCAAAAGCTCAGGACAGACCTGGCCTCGCACTTCTTCCTCATCATTACCATCTCAGCTGCCTTTATAGCGCCACGCGCGCTACACTGCATGCAAACCAACGCGGACAGGCAAGCCGGACAGAGGAGTCCCTTCCCGACCTACTTGATGGCCTTCGGAAAAATTATGGACTCGCCGCTATTCCTCCTACCTTTGATTGTCTAGCCCATGTTTATATCCGGCAGTATGCTTCCCATGGAAGAACTGTGGCTTCTGAGGGGGCTTTAAATAGCCTGGAGGAGCTTTTAACTGAAATGGCGCAGACATGGCCTTCGTTCCAAGACACCCTCTTGGAGCTGGGTAAGTTTCGGTCTTCAATGTCTGGGGCGAATATTCCGCTCTCACGATTCAGTAACCTCCCGAATACCAACCCAACCACTAAAGTTGTGAAGGATATTAATTTAAGGGAAAGTCGACCCCAGAGACATCCGTCACTTGATGAGCCTATGAACACACCGAGTTCATCAGAATACACTTCGTCTGGACAAGCAATTCTTGAAGCTGCGATACAGTTCGACCTCTCGTTGCTATTGATGGACGATGAAATAAAGCCAATAAGCACTCCTTGGACCTTGCCAGTTGCAAATCTTACCTTAGCAGCCAACCCTCCCAATATACCTCAGCCTGGCAGAGTCCCGGCGCCGCTACCATACTACCCGATATTTGACTCCCAGACCGATGATGACGCTCTCTTTAACGAGTTTGCAACCTTGGATGCCATGAAATGGCAAGTTCTCACATTTTACCTTCCACTTTCAACCCGCTAACTAACAACGCAGGACCAACAACTGGGACCAGAGCCTCCAGAACCTCGGTTTCACAGATCTGGATAATATGAAGCAGGACTTTCACTCTTTCTTCCAAGAGCCAAATCTTCGGCCCTCCAATGAGCATGATATGGGCGATCATTTGATGTCTGGCTTCGCGGCCCTAACGGAGTACCCAAGCCCGCATATGGAAGCGAGTCAGATTCTGCAGGCACTGTCTGCGTCCGAGATTCCAGTGCTGCCAAATCGTCAAGATGGTGACTGACTCGTAAGTCGATGCGATGGCATCTCAACAATTTATACTTGGTAGAGGGCTTTATTATGGCCCTGTACTCCACCGTGCGCCATAATCGACTATCTGGTTGCTGTTGGGCAGCAAGGAGGCCGTGCTGTGGTTTGCGCGGGATCACATAGCGTGAGGATGGCAACGGTGCATTCTCGGTGTGCTGTAGAGCATAGACTAACGTCGAAACATTACCTGTTTTCCCCACATGGGACAAAGGAGAAAGGGACGTCGTGGAGCTCAAGGGGCGGCTGGAGGAGGTTTAACTTCGTTAGGCACTCGTGGCGTAATAACGTCTAAACCTCGAAGCCTAGGAGATGTAGGATAGAGATGAGGAGGGACTAAGTATGGTATTATATGTGTTGTGACACTATATATCTCACCATATTGAGGAACTCTGGAGGTTCTGGGTATTGAGCCCGCACGACGTGGTTGAGTGAACTCGACTAGCGAGCACCTCCACACGTAGAGATTCCGTAGAGCAGCTCTCTTGCCTCAATCAATTAATCAACATCACATACATCAATGCACTGTCACATATATAGCGACCTGCTAGTTGTATAATAGTTGAGTAGCTGGAATGTGATAAAGTTGTATAGAGGATCCTCTCCTGAAGAGGTATTTATCGTCGGAGCTTCGCAAATAAAATTGAAACTGAAGCCTAAAAGAATAGATTAGGAGTAGTCTCCCTCCAGTATTCTTAAATTTGTTGTCTTCAATTTGCAATCTCACTTCGCGGACGTTGGCGTGGCGAGCGAGCCTCAATCAACACCTCTACCAATAAGTTTGTCGAGCTACCACAACCTTCTCGAGGCCAAGGCCAAACCTTAATATTGACTGAACCACATAACTCTGGGCCAGCCAACATCACATCATCGCATTGATACCCTCAGACACCGCGCAATCCGACGCAATAACCTCAATCATTACCTCTGTGCGCCAATCCAGTACAAACCACCACCCCCTACGCGCGTCCAACCACACCCCCGCAATCCCGCACCCTCCACGCAACAATGCCCTCGTCCTGCAAAGACATCCGTACGTCCCCCCACCCCTTCCCTCCTCTCACCCACACTAACCCAGCCCAGGCGAAGCCCTCGCGCAATGCCTCCAGCAATCCGACTGCATAATGATCCAACGGAACACCCCAGCCGACTGTCTCCGCCCGCCGCTCATCGACACCCTGCCGACGCAGTGCCAGCAGCTTAAGAGGGGATACGGCGAGTGCAAGCGCGGGATGGTCGATATGCGCAAGCGCTTCCGCGGAAACCAGCCTATTGCGATGGGGAAGCTGGGAGAACCGGCTGAGAAGAAGGGTGGGCAGCTTTATGCTGGGAAGGCGGCGTTTGGGGGAGTCAAGGAGACGAGTGGCGATGAGCCGGAGCCGAGGGATTGGAGGGAGGTGGAGAATGAGAAGTTTAGGGAGGGGAAGGCATAGGCTTTGACTTGGGGCTTGGAAGATGGGTGTGCGAAAGAGGGGGATAGGGTATGGCATGGGCGGCGTTCTGAAGGAAAATATCACCTACAGGCCGCTTTGCATTGCTGGCGTTCATACATCTTGGATATACTGTACTATACATACTCACAACCGTGTACAATCAACAAGCGCGCAAGGCAATACGAGCGATTTATTCGGAATCAGACATGCCATGTGTTCCTGCCTACTATATCATCTATACACGATTTTGGTATTCATACAGTCCCGTTTACGTCTCAAATGCAACATCTAGCTCTTCTCATCGCGACTTCTTTCCCTTCACTGTCGGTGGGGCACTGTACAACCACAATCCCACGAATATAATCCATCCAACAACAGTGACCGCAACGCCAGAGATCCATGGCCACGCGGCGCTGATGACCCAACTGCGTGGCCATTCATCGTGTGCAAAGTGGCGTACGGTGACCGTTTTCTTGTCCTCGATGTTCGAGAGGAAGGGGCGGCGGAACTCGACCAGGAAGTTGAAGATTCCATGCTGATCTGGAAGCTTGAATGTGGTGCTGAAGACGCTAGATGAAGGATTCGTCTGAGTGCGCTCCAGATTCAGTCGGTGGAAGGGCGAGAGCATAGAGAACTCAAGCTGCACATCATCACCGGTGGCGGGTACGAAGGGTACATACTCCTTCCACGACCATTCAGATAGCTCAATCGAGTAAGTCTAGACATAGTTAGCATATGATTCTCACATTTGGCACAGAAAATCCACTTACAACAGTGTTCTTGACACGGTAGATCTTGGGGTTCGTCAATGAAGCATTGGGTGTTTTCAACCCCTCTTCGTTGAGGAAATGCGTAACAGACTTCACCTTCAGGACTCCAGCCTCATTGAAAGTCCATCCGGAGATCTCCTTCGCAAACGCCTCATTCGCAGCCGCAGCAACCTTGCCGCCAGCAACTTGGACCTTCCCCTTGAACCACTTATCCTCAAGCATTTCCGCTGCGCCCAAGACAGTGAACCTCGCTGAGTTGCGAGCCTGCATGGCGGTCACGAGGGACAGTTGCTGGCCAACCGCGAACGGGTCCTCCACAGCCTCGGCCTCCTCCTTGGGGTTGTATGAGTACGCCGTGCCGGGGGCGCGAAGGACCGGTGTCAAGTACGGGCTATCGTTGCCTAGAGTCTGGCCCACGCCGTGGGGGAACGCGATAACCTCGTTCTTGAGGATGCCGCCGAAGAAGTTGCGAACACCGGGGCGCACAGCGCTTGGGCGGGGAACAAGAACGACATCGTGGGATTCGGGGGCCGAGAGGCTGTCGTAGTTGAAGTGGTCGACCACTATCGAGTTGCGGTCGGTGGGGAGATGGATGTCAAGCTCAAGCAGAACTGATACGAGAGCTGATGGTATCGGGTTGGATGAAGATAGGGTGAGCAGGATGTTGCCCTCGGTATTGATGAACTTCAATAAGGTTTGGGGCGTGAGGTTTGGTCCCAGGCCTATTATATTAGCACACGACAGTCCAATGTCGTTCAATGGATGCTGACCTTTCGACTTAGATGGGAGGATGAGAAGGTGATCATAAGCTCTCTCGCCAAGCTCGAACAGCGCCAAACTATCACTCTTTGGAGATTCAAATGTGATATCAAAGCCCCGACCTACAATCCTCAAAAAGTTAGCTAGAATCCCGTTGTCCCTGCCAGTTCTATCTCCCAGCCGTGCGCTTGCCTTTCAGATCCCCAAAGAACTTGGAGTACTTGTCCTTCTCCGCAAGCTCCTCCAGTACCACCAGTAATCTGTTTCCACTGGTGCTGAGGGCACTGGCAATGCCTAGCAGCCCTATAATGAGAAAAGACAGTAGCACCCTCATTGTCGTCGTTGTCTGGTTGCGCAATCAGAGCACCGTCAATCAGTGAGCTTGGGGAAACGTATGCGACTCCCCATGCCAAGGCCCAGTACCAACAGGGGTGGCAGAGCTAAAATTATCATCACGTGATATCACCAAGTGCCCGAGCTTGGACATTCTTGCGGCTCCGTCCAACGTCGTTCGAATAGTCAGGTTGTATCACGACGGCGTTCCTCTCCATTGATCCTCTCCAATTAGTCTGCGAACCTCTCAATCCAGGTATGTATTTTCCAGCTATATCTGCACCTCCTTTTCTGCGTCTCAATTGCTGACCAGACTCGACGCAGACACGATGTCGACGCCGCGCTTCTTTTCGCAGCCCCTCAAGTACCTGCACTGGGCTGCCATTCAGAAACCCGCCATCTTCTACTCCATCATCGTTGGCGGCATAGGTCCCGTTCTTGTGCTCACGGTGCCGAAGATCAGACATCGCTTGGGCGATGGGCCGAGACCCCCGATTCCCTCTACATATCCTAGTACGTTCTTTCACCCTTCAATACGCGCACACGTGTGACAATGAACGCCGAGCGATTGGTGGTTGCAGCCTTGTTGAAATTGGAAGAATTGTGTGCTAATTGACTTGCTACAGTTCCCGCGGGTCCAAGGAAACAACTGAGCGGCTACGATGATTAGAGGCTTGGGGTTGTAGATATGGTGTTGGGGAATCCAAAGAATGGTTGACACGGGAGCTGTTGTTTTGTACATAAGGTTGGGAAAGCATACTTGGTGTGGAATTGAACTATTTCAGTTACGTTATACTCCTTCAGAATTGTCGTTGTCGAAATGGCGTCTAATGTTTTTGGGGTGAAGTGACAGGGCGCTCCACGGAACAGTCCACTCGTGGCTATTTCAACAATCACAATGGCTACAAATCAGCTATGGCCACTCCCCCTGTAACTCAATATGAAGTCACGGAGCTATTTGTTCGATTGTTCATATCGACCTTAGTATTTCTATCCACTCTTAAAATGTCAAGTATATGACTAAACAGGCACGTATCTCTTAACTCTTCTCTCAATATTTCAGGGTATCATTGGTATGGTGTGTGTGCTAGTAGCTATATGGCCCCTATCTATATAACTTCCACTCGCCCCGCTATCTGGCCGCCTCAATTGCGCACACTCGCTCGGGTAGGATATATGGAGCCTGAGCTATCAATGTGTGTCAAAGGCTCTGTATGTGGATTGTCGAAACCAATGACCCATCAGTTGAAGCCATTGGCGGCACCCCAAGCTCGCGTTTCTCGCTCGAGGTAGCCATATACCTCAAGGCGCCACATCCGGGGCCATCATGAACCCATTCTTCACCACAAGCGCGTATTTGCCAGAAAATCCTCACTGCTGACGATTTTTGACGGTGAGAAGCTTATTTCTAGGCGGTTCCATGCCTCTGTGGCCAATTCACAGGCCCAATAATTTAGATCTTATGCAGTCTCAGGGCCATTCAATCCAACGCTAAGTTTTTGCTACAGTACCAGATGGTATCCGAGAAATCGTCTTTGGACTGGGGCAAAGGAAAGAGGCTCTTAAGGCTTTCATAACAAGTCAGAATATCCGGAAATCCCTCCCTGAAATCGCTATTCAGTGTGTTAGTGGCGGCAGATACGAATGTTTTCTCGGGAACTTACATCGGTCCATCAGTTAGGCGTGTCAGGTCGTTCCCAATAAGAACAGCTGGCGGGCCCTTCTTTCCAACTTGGTCATAGACGATCGGATAGCAGTGGATGGCGTAAACCAACGAGCCTGTGTTGACAAGGTCGAATCCTTCTGGACTCTCGAGCACTTCGAAGCCAAGTGACTGTAAGAATTCTTTGTCGACAGGAGAAAAGGCTGGATCCTGTGCTATCACGGGAATGTCCCATATCGCTGTCATCCGTCAGTATTATTCTCCTTCACCACTATCACGAAGAACCCACCTAAGGTTTTCCTAATAGTAGCTAACGCAGCCAGCTGCGTAAAAGTAGTCTGGGAGAAGTCCCCCATCTGCGTTTGAAACGACCCCAGTCCCATAACCACCACATTGTTGACCTGGCTCTTCCCCTCATATGGCTGAACGAGCTTTATAAGCTCCTTGCAGGCGTCGCTCTCTTCCCATTTATCCTTTAAGCTCTCATATTTTGCCGTTACTTCTTCGAGGGTATAAGTCACGACATCAAAGCCCCATTTCTTGATTTTTGCCTTGCTCGCGTCGGGCTTGATCGTTCGGCCGCCAACGACATGGGCCCAGCCGTCTTCGTCTTCGATTATCGCTCGTTTCGTCCTGACGGCCCTGTTGGCGCGCTTGTTTTTCTTCGTCTTTGTATTCGTCATCTTGTTATGCGTATATTTGGTGAAGGAGAAGATGGCCTAGGGGATGTAGTAGACTTCTCACTCCGTCCTCAGAACACTTATTAAAATATTGATTCTCAGTCTACCGTCGTAGCCGCCAAGGGTAATTTTTTGGCTGGCAGAAATGGGGGGGTCACCGCTCCACCGCCTTCAAATCCCACGTGATAAATTGCCAATCGCGGGGGGATGTATTCCCAGGTTCAATATTGACGTTACAGTGTCTGAGCAGCTTCATGATAGAGATGGATTCTTTACTTTGTGTCAAATTGATCAAGTAGGTCAGCCTTGTATACAAGGCTTAAGAGGCTGCTCCCACGAGCCCCCCGACGCACCCCTGCACGTGCCCTGGTGCCTTTTGCTCTGGCTATCGTGGCTTAGTCATCTCCTGTATCTAGACCGCCGGCTGGCAACATCACAAGGCTGAGAGAGGATGTCAAACTGCCCGCCTTCTAGTCCCCACTGATCACAAGGTGCATGTTCCAAGCTTCGCCACCGCACTCTCCTAGCTCGAGAGATAAATGTCCTTGGACCCTGCCATGATATCGAAACAGTCCCTTCTTTGCTTATATACTTATACCCAGCTCCCTCCGCCCGCTCGTCTTCGTCACCGCCCAAAACGGTTGCCCCGCGATGTCTCAACGAGCGCTAGACCTGTTCGTCCTCACCTACAACTGCGCCCATAATGCCATCGATGTGCCCAGCTTGTCATCCAACCTCTTTAATGCCGTCGACCATGTGCCCGACCTCCTCATCATCTCCCTCCAGGAGATGAGCCCGCTCTCACACGGCCTAATCGGCGGCTCGCTGCTCTCCCCGTTCTTCAGTCTCATATCCGAAGCCGTCGAGATCGCAGCGCGCAAGCTCTCCGGCGACTCCCCTGCTGCAGGCAACAGCGCCAACTCGGAGCCCCGCATCTTTACGAATGTCGCGATCCGAAACATTGGGATGACGGGGATCATGGCGTTCTCCCGCGACGCGACCGCGATACAAAATCTCCAGACGGGGGAGGTGGGGTTGGGCATCAGCTCTATTGGGAATAAAGGTGGTGTCGGGCTTCGCTTTACATATGCGGATGCGAAGAGTGGGGGCGAGACGGAGCTTACGTTTGTTGCGGCGCATTTGGCAGCTATGGAGTGGGATTGGGAGCGGAGGAACGGGGATTGGAAGAATATCGTTAGACGGCTAGTCTTCACCCCAGCGGATGGGGATGAGGGGGGTAAAGCGGCAAAGGCAAGAGTAGGTAGTGAAGAGGCGCCGCTGCTTGTGGAGAGCGAGAGCGCCAATGGGATATATAAGCCAACGAGCCACTTGTTCGTCGCGGGAGATCTGAATTATCGCACAAGCGACACGAAGCCCGGACCTGACGACTACGAAGTTTCGTTTCCGCAACCGCATGACTCCGTGGAGAGCCCGCGGCACTACTCCTACCTGTTCAAGCATGACCAGCTCACTCGGGAGCGACTGGCTGGAAGGACTTTCCACGGTCTTAGCGAGGCGCCTGTCACCTTTCCTCCAACGTACAAGTTTGACGAAGGCCCATACTTGACGGCAGACGAGGATACGAAAGCGTGGGCGTGGGCATCGCACCGTTGGCCCAGCTGGACAGATCGAGTTCTCTTCCTCGAGGCGCCGAAATGGATGGAGCGGAAAGATGGCAATGCAAAGATCGAAGTGAATAAATACGAGCCGCTGCCACTGTTTAAAACTAGCGACCATCGCGCTGTGCTTCTGAGCGTCAAGGTGCCATTGGTGGGTATTCCGGAGCCGGATGAGGATGAAGACGCAGCTAGCTCGGATCCGCGCATCAACCCGCCGTTTGAGATCGATCCGGACTGGAGCACGGCTCGGGCGATTGCAAGGAAGGAGGAACTTGTTGTAGGCATCACCGGCTACCTTACTGGAACGTGGGAGGGCCGGTGTATCATTGGCGGGACGATTGCTGCATTGGTGGGGGGTTATTTCTTACTTCTTGCTGCGTTTGGAAATTAATCATCTTATAACGTAGACGTGAAGATTCACGAGGAGGATGCCAAGAAGATTGTTAACGGTGGTCGCTGGCATATTCTAGAAGGGGTATACCACTCAGTTTTTTGCCAATGGCGAAAGTACATATAGGGGCTCAGTGGCATTGGCCATTGCAGTCCGTTGATATTATACAGTACCTATTATATTACGAGAATACGAATGTTGTTGATACAGCCTTTCGAACCTTTCTAGTGACTGATATCGATAACGTCCGTCCCCACGTAGGGAGAAGCCCGCTGTGCCGAGAAAAATGACAGGTACTTTGACTTTAAGCATCGCAAAACCTATGCACGCATTAATATCTCCCATATCTTAGCATAAGTCGTGTTCCGTAGCCACTCCTAAACACTCTGAGCGCCTCTCACTAGAAAATTAGGTTCGCCTCATCTCCCTCATGCCTGATTTGCAGAGAGTCTCCTTTTACAGCGCAACAAGTTCCTCCATCATAGCTCTACCGTCGACCTGTTACTATCCCTTATATATATAAAGGTGTCTTAGCTGAGCTCTCAGGGCCTTACCATCTGTGGGAGATCGTCATTAGCCTTGTGGCTGCTCTGGTTCGTAAATTCATGCGTGGTCACCACGAAAATCAGTAATCTTACCTTGAATCAAAGCAACTAACAGATTTTGAGTTGGCGTATAATGGACCCCACCTACGTCCTACAGAGGTAACATTATGCTGCAAGGCGAGACTTGCGAAAAACTTGCGCGCACATCCCCGTCACCCTTTGAGAAGAAGAAGCTGGCTCCGAGACGCTTCTGCTCATTATATCTGCGGGCGACGGTGCGGGAGATTGTTGACTTTCCCGTTCCAGCCAGGCCGTTCAGCCAGAAGATGCATCGCTCATCTTTTCCATCAGCCCAGTCATATATCTCTTGTAGAAGGTCGACGTGTGTTGCAAACGGGAGGAGGCGGAGGGGATCTTCTAGAGTGGGGGGGCGCGCCCGTCAGCTTGGACCCCTCTGCAACTCACCCGGAGCGACATGGTGATGAAAATCAGTATGGACCGAACCGTTGATGATCCCGGCCTGCAAGCCGGAGTTGGCGTCACCAAATGATATCGGGGATTCTATCACATTAGAGAGGTGTTGCGACGAAGTATTGGCAACAGTTGGGATCTGGTTTTGGACACGATTAAGGCCCAACCGTAAGGTTAGAATCATGGATAGGTAGTTTTCAATACTCCTGTGAAGGTTCACAGGAGTATTGATTTGCGTTCCAGAATTGCGCGCCAGACCAGCCATAGGGCTTGTGACGATCTCCCGCATGGTACTGTAGCATGACTTGGGGCTTGGATAAAACCTCCATCTACAGTACAAAAGTGTCAGGGTTAAAAAAAGCTTTGTGGAGCTGTAGTGGAGAAACTCTGTCGCGCTATAAGAGCACACACTCTCTGCACATCAAGTGTGAAAGCGACAATGTAGGCGCAATTTTCTAGTTGGAGGGGTTCAGGGTGTTCAGGAGTAGCCACAGAACACGACTGATGCAAAACTATAGAAGATATCGTTGTGTGTACAGATTTTGACATGCTTAAAGCCAGAGTACCTATCATTTTTCTCAGCACACGATATCGCCCCTGATTTTGCGGCTTTACAACGCCCAAGACAAACTCACGACGCATCGTTGCTGCATGCTCATTCGTAAATACCCTCTATTTATTTTTAACCGTGTCTTATACCACGTTATTCTTACAATTCTCCCCCACCCTATGAACTCAGCCACCTCAAATCAATCTGCTTCCTCCTCACCATCGGCGCCACAAACCCCACCCCAACCGCCAACCCCACAACCGTACTCACAAGCGCCACCTTATTAAACCCCGCCCCCAACACATCAAACGACAAACTCGGCATAATCCTCGTCCCAAACACATCAACCCCATACGCAAACACAACGCTCGTACTCTCCAACAACGCCGGCGCAACAATCACACCCCGCACCCCAACCACCTCGCGCTGATGCGTCAGCACGCCGCGCGGATCAAAGTCAAGCTGCGGAATATACACCATCAGGCCCTCTTCGGCTGCGGCGGCCGCGGCGGCCTTGCTGCTAACATCGAGGGGGCGGCGCGCGTCGAGAAGGTTGCGGGGGAGCCCGATGATGGAGTTGGAGCGCGGAAGCGTGGCCAGGATCTGGCGCGACGTGATGCCCTGGCGCGTCTGGGTGACGGTCATATGCGTGATAGGCTCCGGGATGATGTACGCCTGGGAGATGACGTGGGGGAGGGTGAATCCCTCTGGCGACTCGGCGGGGTGCAGGCTGGAGAAGTTGGCGGCGGAGCCGAGAGGGCCGCGGTCATTGGCGAGTTCCGATTCGTACAGCTCGGCGATGAGGAGCTGGTAGCCTTGTGCTTCGGGGAGGGCGGACTCGGCGGTGGGTGCGCTTGGGGAGGCGAAGAAGGAGTAGGCGAACCAGTTCTCGCTCAGGGTGGCGGTGATGGGCTGTGCGGTGTCCACGTTGGAGTGTGTGGTGGAGTAGAGGAGCGCGCCGGATATCGAGTCGAGGAGGTAGAATGATGCGGTCGATTTCGCCTCTGCCACGGTGCTGATCAGGATGATGTTTGGGTTCAAGTACTTGTACAGCACGCTGCGGTCTGCGAGAGCACGCCCGATGGAGGCGACAGGATCGTGCGCGGGCCTGGCATTGACAGAGATGATTTTTTCGCCCGCGACAGGCTTGAAGGTCCAAGTCACGGTCGAGATTGCGTTGTCTCCTTTGAGGGTGAATCGAACTCCATTGACCTCACCATTTGCGCCGCGGACAACAAGAGAGTCCTTTGGTGCATAATCCTTGGGAATTGGTGGAGAGCGGCCCCCAGGTCCAATTGGAAGAAGCCACTTGCCCGAGGGGCTGTCTACCACAGCGGTGCTTTGGATGTGTGATTGCTCGATAGGCGGCAATATCTCAACGGTAGCTCCGCTGGTGGTTTTGATAATGATATACTCGCCCCTGCTTCCCATAATCTTTGCAACGCCCTTCTGGTTATCAACATAGATGCCCTTCACATCCCATTTCTCTCCAGCGGGTATCTCAAACGCCTGGTGCGACCAGGCGATGGCTCCCTTGGCCGCAGTATCAAGGGAATACACGCGTCCGCGCTCAGTTGCGACAATGACCAGTTTGCGGAATCCGAAGCCGTCTCTCGCCAACAAGCTTGTGGATACAGGGTTAGCATCTCCCGGAAGGAGACTGGTGAGTACTCGCTTCGGCAGCTGTTGCAAATGTCCAGGAAGATACTGAAGCTCGGTGACATGGCGAGCGAGTCTGTGGCAATAGGCCTGGAGCGGATTGCTATGCGCCTCAACATCCAACGCCTCGGCCAAGCTTTCCTCCTCTGGAATCTCCGCAAAGGCAGCGGCGACAGATCCGGAAAGCCCTTCAGCGCGCGCCCAGTCCGGCACTCCGTTGCGGATCATAATCCAGTTTTGGTTGGTGGTCAGGACGGCCGAGCGGACAGCGTAAGTATCGGCAGTCTTGCTGACAACCTCAGCGACACCGTAGGAAGCTCTGCCAGCGCCTGGCTCGGATGCCAGCGGGAACTTTTGGAGCACTCCATGGGAGTTCGAGGACAAGATGGTAACCTCGTCATCAGTGATCCGAGTGAAGAAGACATTCGCGTCTCTGGAGCTTGTAGCAAACGAACCAGGTCCAGCAAGCTTGGGAAGATGGTACCCCTCGTTCACAGTTGCAGCCGCGATGTCCACATGGTACACATCAGCCCAATGGCTCGTCGCCGTCTGGCTGTGAACCAAGAAATGGGGCTTAGACTGGATCAAATGCGGCGCGTGAACGATGACCTTTGTCAGCTCCTCCGGAGTTTTGCTCAACGAGAGACTGTGCACCGCCTGCGTGCCAAGGATGTTGACCTTGAGGGTCTTCAGGCCACGATCAGCCCATGCCACAATCGGCGCTGCAACGTTCCCACCCACAAAGAGCACATCCTCCCGCGTATGCACATCCACCTTGCTCGCCAAAGTATGCTCCTTAACCTTCTTTCCCGTAACCGGATCCAAGCTGGTGACCTTGATGTTGTACCCACCCCAAGCACCATGCAGACTGACCACAAACACACTCTTCGTATCCGTGCTAACCTGCACAGGCACCGCCCCCTTCTCCCCCTCAACCTCCCACTTCACCGCCCCCGTATCCCCATCCAGCCGTCTCACCACACTTCCCTTCTCCCCCTCAAACAGCACAAGCGCATCCTTCTCCTCTCCCTCCGTGCCCAGGACCTCAACATCCCTCGCCTCGCCCTCAAACTCATTACCCCACACCTCCCTCCCCGTAACCGCATCCCAGGAATTCACATTCCCCCCCAGCGCACTAAGCACCCTCTTCTCGCCCTCCACGCCGCGGAGGTATCCCTCAACACTCCCACCCGCCTCGGACTCAATCGTACGGTTCGCCTGCGCAGCGAGGAACTGGCGCCACACCAGCGCGCCGGTGCCGGGGTTGACGGCGCCCAGCACGCCTAGGTCGCTGAGGGTGTAGAGAAGGGACGCGGCCTTGGGATCGGCGTGCGGGCGGTGGAAGAAGGTCGTGCTGGGGAGGGGGAGGCCCAGGAGTGCATATTGGAAGTCGGTGGTGTAGGCTTCGTCGGCGAAGACGGCGGTGGTTGGGGGGAGGAGGGAGAGCGCGAGGGACAGGAGTCCCACTGGTAATGAGGCGCGCATTTGGGTGCTGCCTCTGCTTGGTTAAGGAGCTTGGGGAGCTTGGGGAGCTTTGGAGTTAGCAGGTGATGTCGTGTGGGTACGGTGGCCGGGAAGGGACGATGGTGCTGTGACAGGGGTGACGTACGTTTATAGGAGAGTAAAAAGTAAAAAGTAAGTAAGGAGATTAGGAGAAGTGGCTGCAACAACGTGTAAATAAATAAATACTATTTAAATGGTAGATTTATGCTATGTCGTGGTAGACAAGCCTATCTTAATCGTCTTCAATTTTTAGGGAAATAAGAAATTGAATTGGGTTCATAATTTCTATTGTATCTGCCACACAATATATTATAAATTTAGAAATAATCTCCAACCATAACCATGTAAATAAAAGACTTATATGAAGAATAATCCATCATCCACTTCCTATCTAATCACCAGATATTAAGTCGCCTCCCCCCTCATCTGCATCAGTAAGGTAACCAAAAGCCTCTATAGTCAAAAAATTACCTGCCTCCCCACCCAATCAGTAAAAACATGAACTAAAACGCCGTGGTATCTACATATACGAATTCCTCATGACATGATATCTGCATAGAACGCGTCCCTTTCTCATCATCGCATGCTGCCCCGCATCGCGACTATTTGTTGCATCCCTCATCCTCTTGATATTTCGAAGACGACACGCATTACTCCCTCTGCCCATCATTAAGCACCAGCTCCACAACCAGCTGGCAGTTCGCCATCTCCGGATGCGCCATCGCCACCTTCAGCGACCTCTTCGCCATCGTGCCCGCGCCCTGCACCCCGTAATCCAGACACCTGACATCCTTGCCCGCGATGATCTGTCTCTGGCGGCCGTTCTCCGCGTTCCGCACCTCGATGAAGTCGGTGTCGAAGAGGATCAGGTACGCGCCGTACATGGCGGCCGACTTGGCCTTGCCGACGAACTCGAGGACCACGCTGCGCGACACCTCGCCGTGCTTGTCGATGTAGACGCCACAGTCCTGGTAGCAGAGGAGGAACTCGGCGTCGGAGAGACGGAACATGCCCAGTGGCTTCTGGTCTTTGAGTCGGTCGGATATGGACGCGATGTTGGGCTGATTGGGATCGGGGATGCTCATCGTAATCTTCTTGTCTAGCGTGAGGAGCTCGAACCCCTTGATTGTGCAGACAGCGATGTAGGAGTGGAAGAGATTAATGCCGAAGCATTCCACGGGGATATAGAACTCGTCGAACTCGCGGAAGAACTCAGTTGTGCCGCCACCCGTCTTGGACCGCCCGAAGAGTTTCGATTTCTTCTCAGAAGATTTCTGAAAGACAGGCTCCAGCACCTTGAACGTGGATGAGGACGAGGTTGCGATGTTTCCGCGCCCTTTGTAGAAGACGAGTGTGCGATCTTTCATCCGCGCTGTGGCGAAGAAGGAGACTTCGCGGGAGCCCGAGATCTTTTGCGGAGCGCGTCGCGCCGAGTCGTGCTGCGGTGCTGGGAAGTTGGAGACGGGGACGACGGAATCGAGGTGATAGGCAATGAGAGATTTATCGGATAAGACGAGGCAGATAGAGAAATCCTCGAGGACTGCTATTTGAGTAATACGGCTCGACTGTATGGACTGTGGAAGTAATTAGTATGCTATTCCGACCGCATATGGCTGGGGATCAACTTACTCTTGTCCACCCTCGGGGGTTGTTGAGCTCTGATATGTAGACTCCGTTATCCGTACCAATAGCAACCATTGATTTGCCGCACATGACAAATGCTGTTGCGCAATTGACTTGTGTTCGGCAAACCGGGGACTGTCTTGCATGGCCATATTCCCGCTCGATATCTTTAATTGCCCTGTCCAACGGTGTTCCAACGACTGGAATTCCAGCAAGGCCCCTTCCACCAGCCTGTATTGGATCGATCACGAATGCAGTGTCGGCCAGAACCTTTAACCGGAAAGGCTCCGCATTTTGAGAAAAGAGCGATGCCGCATGGCGTTCCTTGGCCCACATAATCTTCTCACACCATTCCTGCCGATTCTGGGCGCTGGGTGCATACAATGTATGAACTTCCTGAGACCCGAGATGCTTGATTCGGAATGGAAACATGGATCGTGCATCACCTTCAGCAGTTGTGTTAGAAGAAACTTTCGACATCGAACTCAATGAGTTGCTAGTCGAGGCGTGGTCTAACGCAGGGCGATCCGATGCCGTAGATGCCCGGGTCATCCTTGAGTCTGACGTTGAAGGAGCCGATCTCGTAACCGTCGTAACACTACCCAAGCCCTTAGACTTCACGACCGCTTCATCGTTTGTGCTTTCTAGCACGAGAAGTTGCATCGGAATAGGCTACTAGAGTGTTAGAATTGAATAATGTGAGGGAGGGATGATGGTTTTCTTACCTGTTTCGAAATATCGAAGACCTCTTTGTTTTTCAGGCCAGCACTGTCGCGTTGAACAACAGCCTTGGCTAGCACGAGGTAATGATCAAACAGAATGGCACGGGTTTCCAGCCAGTTGAAGCGACTACTACCAGGCCGTTGCAGGTCTCCTTGTAGGATGAGTTGCCGGCCAAGATGATCCAAGTGAAGATCAACACGCCTAAACCCGGGGCGCATGAATAGCTTTGTCTGCAACTCTTGCATCTCGATCTTCTTATTCTCTTCATTGACCTTTTCATCACAGTCTTTGGTCATTTCATCTACTTCCTTGATGGCGATCATGAGGTTGGTTTTCTCCTCGCTGTCAACATATGTATGCTTGAGAACTTCTTTTAGCAGTAAAGTATACTGCTGCAGTCGCTTCAATGGCGCGAAGAGATAGGTATCCCACCCCAGACGGTCAGATACTTTGTTGCTCTGTGCTTGGTCGAGGAACTGGCGGAAAAGCACATTCTTTTCCATCTCCCTCCGGACTAAATAAGTGGCATTTGGATAGCTCGCAGCATAATCCAAATATACCTGGCTCGCTCGTCGTTTCCACTCACGGAAGATACTACTAAAGCCTGTAACCCATGGGCCTTCTTCTTGCTGGCGGTACTTGAGCTGTGCTAGCAAATGGTTCATGTTGACATTCTTGACAGCCTCTGCCCTACCAAAGACCTGTTGGATGAACCGAGGAAGTTTGGCTTGGCCAATAATTGGTGGTTGCCAGGCTTGAAGTTCATCTCTGTAAATCGTCCGCAAGACATCCAATTGCACCATGAATTTATCCTCGGACATGATAATCTCATGGAGATTGTTCTGCCTGAGCACCTCCTTGCTATCTGCCGCGTCAATTTGCGCCTTGGTGAGCTTAAAGAACTCATGCCAGGGTTCGGCTCGTTTCGCAGGGGCCATTTTTTGCGCATGCAGGTTTATCTTCTTCAAAGTCCGATGGCAATGGTGAGAGTAGCAGCGGCCGTGAATCTCATTCTCGTGAACCTTTGGAGAGTAACAGCCAGAGCCGCTCATCTGCCAGAGAACTCCGGATATTTCCCCAGGGCCAAACTTGACCCATTCCTCGTCTTCTACCAACACGCTGCCCTGCAGCATGTCGTTCACGACGACGGCGCTTATCACTTCTGCATCTGCAGTATTCATCGTAGGTACTTTGTGCGTGAATAGGGCAACGAGCAAGTCTTGAATGGACTTCACACGCAGGTCAGCTTCTCCGTCCCCTGACTCTCCGTAATACATTTCCCGAATCCAATCGGCAATGCTGCTCAACGCCCAAGGCTCTCTGCACTTTTTGTAATCGGATGACCTGAGATTTCCGGGCGTGGCCTTCTTTCGTCGACCCGGTGGGAGTGCTGGTAGGTCAAGGGGTACGGTCGATTGCGGCGTTCCGGCATCGAATCCATCGACGCCGTGGCCTCTCAGAGGGCGCTGCCTGGCTTGGCGCTCCTCGGCATCTGTCCTTGAGCGAATAGGAGGGACCACGAGAGGGGTGCTACTATGGCTTGTCAACGATGCTGATCTGGGTACGAACTGTCCTCCTGGGTTGAGAAGATCCTGGGTTGCATACGATTCGGGGCCATCCGGAAGGTACATCTGTGATGTCCTCTGTGGGTCCTGTTGTTGATGCGGTGGGTTACGGTATGATCCAGCAGGAAGCAATTGCGGCGTCCTGTTTTCACTTAAAGAAGGAACTGCTTGCAAGGGTCGATTGTGGGCAGATGCTGCTGAAATACCGGGATGGTAGGGGATATCCGGAAACTCCTCCCTCGACGAACTGTCGCTTCCTGACCTTCCACTGAGACGTGACTCGGTCGTCAGACGGGACCCAAGCGATGATCTCTCATCACCCTCGTCAAAACTACGCCGGTGCTGTTGTAGGTTTGGATTTTCTGCCCCTGGGTCGTGAGTAGGGGGGAATGGATGGTGTATGTCATCGCTAGGTATATGATGGTAAGTCAAGCCTCCAAGCACAGATGCTGTCGCAGGGGCGTACGATTCCCGTCCGCGCATGTCTGGCAAAGGGCGGCTTTCGTCTTGCATCTCATCCCGAACTGCAACATCATTTCCGTACGACATCGGTACATTAAGACCCCCACCAAGCATGGTGAGATCCATCCCCACCGCATAATTATCGCTGTCGCTACTGGCATCCTGAGATGTCTCCTGAGGCAGTTGTTGGGAATAAAGCCCAAAAGATCCTATGCTACCTCTGTTGGCCTGATTGGCCTCTTCCTCTTCGGCTAACTTTAATGCCAAAACCCCGGAAGCAGCTTCCGCCTCATCACTGTCTTCGAATTCGTACATCTGCTCGGAATTCTGGCCAGCTGTTGGTGTTCGCGCTTCAGAACCTAAACCATTGGGGTGGTCTCCGAATTCATTATCGAGTAGGTCTCCACTCATTGGAGCGTGTGGCTGGCTTATTTGAAGCCTGTTAACAGTATTTGCCCCAATAGCAGCCTCAATCTCTTGGAATATCAGCTCTTGTGCCCTGGCTTCGGTAGATAGTCTATCCTGATCGTCATCAAATGGGTCTGTGTCCTCGATGGCAGGGGCAGTTGGGAGTGCGCGACCAGTTGGATGGCGTCGAAACTGACTTATGTGTTGCACGTCATTCTCCACTGGGACTGGTTGGGGCGGGTTGCTGTTGCTTGAGGGGCGGCTGGGCCTGCCTCCATACGCATCGGAACCGAAGTCGTCATATGCAGCAGAGTATGATGGGCCCATAGATATGTGCGTAACTGCTGGGTATGGGGATGGGTTGCTCTGCGCTCTATAATCATTAGTAGACCCGTATGTAGTCCCATTGGCAGGGTACCTCGGCGCCGCGGGCGGAGCTGAGTACTGGGCCGGTTTGGGAGGGAGAGGTGCAGGTAGCGACGGGGTATATGAAGGCTCATAGGAGGGTTCATAGGAGGGCTCATATGCGGGTTGAGTAGGTACTTGGTTGGGGAATTGTGGCGCAGCTCCATAAGACTGAGGAATCTGAGGGGACCAATATGGACTGGCTTGAAGAGGCGGGCTGTTGAATGTTTGGCTCTGTTGTGGCATAGGAGACGTTCCATAACTCGGTCCTTGTAGCATATAAGGGGATTGCGCAGGTGGCCGCAGCGGCACCGGGGGTTGTTGTGTCTGGTACGCGGCTGGGACATAAGGGTGGTGGTGCGAGGAAACGCTTTGGCTGCTGTATAATTGAGGATTATAATTAGGCATCTGAACATGCGCTTGACTCTGCGACTGCGGCCGTGGAAAGTGCTGTGGATTGTATGCTGACGGTGTACTCGGGGTTTGCGGCACTCCACCGCCCTGGCCCGCGTACATCTGGTTTGTATACTGAGAAGGCTGTGGACTATATTGTTGTCGCTCTGGGGATCGATGGCCCCTGCCGGATCCGTCTAGATATAGTCCATCTTGTCCTCCTCCATGTGATCTCAGGCTTCCATAATGGTTTTGTTGCGCATACGCATTTGGCTGCGTCGGCGGCCGTGTGCCATTCGTGTTGTCGAAGAACTGGACATCATCGCCGTTGTCGAAACTTGACTGTCGCTGCAAGCCAAGGCCTACATTCTGAGCTGGCTGCTGGCCTCCATATTGTTGCGGAGGGACGTGGCCATATCTATGCTGTCCGTTTTGGCGGAAAGACATCTTTGTAGGGCTTAGTTTCGAGGTATGCGGGGTTTCGTGACCATCGACGCTGCCGGTCTCTCCATCGGCTTGCTGCACAATGAGCAGTTACTTCAAACAATTGCCGTGAAAGCGTCCATTAATGTTCTAGTAGTCGTTGGGATATCCGCGGGCGCACGATGGCGACAAAGGGTCTATTCCGAGGTGTCGCGCGACGTCGTTGAGCCTCAGCTATGCGACAGCGGGAGCACTCGCACTGAAAGCACGACAACGAACAAGGTGCTGAGTTTCTCGCAAATGTGCAAATGGCCTGCTGCAAACGAGAGAACAATTCAAGCCACCGTGTATTGCTCCAACAAGCCTGGAGCACCTTTGAAGAGACGTTGTGATTCTCCAACGACTCCCTTCACACAATTGAACTTGATCTGCGAAGCTGATGTTCCAGGTGACTGGGGGTGATAACGTGGCCAATGGCCTCCAACCACGAAAAGATGTGTGGCGGTGCGCGAGGCTTCCGTCCCCCACTATTCCTTCCTAGAAGTGCTACGGAGTAAACACAACCACAAATGTCGAACACGGCAACAATGAAGTACAGAATGTACCTCAAGTCAATACGTTTTTGTCTTCTGTCTCTGGAAATTAATAAGGGGCAAAAGAACGTGGAAATATTAACTCGTCGACATCTTGGCATCCTTTGGCCGTTTGATGCTCGCGCATGGCACCTCAAGAGCTTATTCTTGTACAGTATTGACATCGTTCAAACGCCAACATCACCACAGGTTATTCCAGACTTCCAGTCCTCGCATTGAACATCTCATTCCCCATAAACGCCAGTTCCAAACACTTTCCACAGTCTCAAGGATCGCAGAAGTAGGTAACCTCGTCGTCACTAGTAACCACCTGCGCCTGGCTACTCGCCGAAGAGCCGAAGCTCGTCACCGTCGCCTTATCCTGCGCCGATATGCAGGTTTCTCGCTGTTTATCGCAGTCACTCACTGCCAGGCCGTTACTATTGCCCCCTCGTTGGCGATCTTTGCACATGCGTTTTTCTGGTTATCGCAGGTGCGGCTGGCAGCTGACTTGAAGTCGGTCTGTAGTCGTTGTTAGGAGAAGTGAGGACCGGATGGATTGGTTGGGATTCATACTAATGTATCACCGCCAACTTCAAAGGGCCGGTTTTGGTCATTAGTGCTCGTTATGGGTTCGGCAGCAGCGCCTCCCAGTGCACTGTTGGCCCGACTGCTTTTCTCAGCCCTATCTGCGATGGGCCCCTCCATTATAGTGACAATAGTAGAGATGCATACCTGTAAGTTTGTAGTCTGCCGCGACATCAACACATGCCCAAATTCATGTCTTAAATCCATGTCCACATGGCTCCAGGCCGTTGCTTCCACAGCAAGGACAAATAGGGCGATATACTGCACGTGTTGGGGACGCAACAAAATAGAGATTTGAGCGAATGGAAAGCAAGACGCAAAGACGTCAAAGAATGGATTATCTCAAGATACTCAACTTACAATAAGACCACTGCCTTGGTGGCGGCGTGGAATCGAGTTGATGGAATGCAGCGTCTGAAACTTGAATGACACGCCAAGACATGACCTCGAAGACTCATCGACGCTGTGGCGCTTCCCTTGAAGACATCGTCATTGGACTCTGGCTATGTTCTGGAACCATCTTATGCCACAATGAGAGAGGCGGCTGGCGAATCAGCAGGACGAGGCTACACCAGGACGGCGAGGGAGGTAGCAGTCAGGTGAGTGTTGTACAATTATCACTTTCGAAGAGCTGGCGGTAAGCGTCACGTGGTGGCTTATTAATCACAACAGGGTAAGTTACGTATAATTTTCATTTAGAGTACCGCCGATATTTTTATTTTTATTAGTGATTGGTCCCGAGAAGCCTTTCCCGCCCGCCGCTTTCCCGAAAACGGCATAAATTCTGCCGGATCTTTTCACCCAAGACCCCTTGGCCCAATTTTGCCAATTTTGCCAATTTTGCCCTGATTAAGAAATAATCCGTGCCTGTGGGTGCCTGAGAGTGACTGTGAGTGCCTAACACATCAGGCTGCTAAAGGTTTGCTTTCTCGGTCTCCACTCACGACCCATGCTGTTTGGAATACGAAGTCAATTCACTCAGCCTCCCGAATCTTTCACGTCCCCTAAGTTAACGTACTGTAAGCCCTGAACGTTGTAGCATCAACAAAACACCTTCACTTGTCAACTATTTTCTTCTTTTCTTTCATTATCTACAGGCTTCACTAGCCATTAAAGTGACTTCGAATCTTTATTTCCTCCTTCTTTTCAACCGCGGACGAGAAATTCGACCTATCCACACAAACTTCAGTGGCTCGGGATATTCATTCGTTGCCTTCTGTGCACTCGACCCCCCTCAACGACGGAGATAGAACTCCAGCCATCGACACAGCCGCACACAAGAATTCCCTTCACATAGAACATCATGTTCTCCTCTCTACAGCCCGCGAGGTTATCGCTCCTCACCCTGTTGGTCGCATCTTTCGTTTTGTCAGGCGACGGACATCGCATCTCTTCGGTCCAAAAGGCTGGGGGACCAGAGGTAGCCGCCAGGAACAATGTGGTGGATGTATTACATATACGACAAGCTTCCTCGGGCATCCTGGACGGCCTGATCCCAACTTCAGGAACTACCGACCCCGGCCCAACTTCACCCGATTCTACCCCGACATCTTCAAGCGATTCCCAGTCAAAGTCATCGACGAACCCTCCAGCCACAACCACATTGGACGAACCGACGACTACTCCCTCTGATACAGGGGCGTTGACGACCCCTTCAAAAACCTCTGATTCTCCATCGCCGAAGACGACATCTTACTCCACCGAGTTAACCGACTCGTCCGACACTACTACATCGGGGCTCACCACCACCGCCCCTCCCCGCAGCACTATCACGTCGAAGCGCACGACTGTGGCTGAAGTGACAAGCAATGGCAAAACCTACCAGACCACCTACGTCACTACGTCCCTAATCCCAACCAGCACAGCCTCACCAGTCGACGACACCCCAGAGACAGAGTCTGGCATGAGCACAAAGACACGCAACACAGTCATTGGTGTCGTGGTCGGCGTCGGCGGTGCCATCTTCCTGGGCCTCATCTTCATGGTTTTCTGGAAGTTTTGGGGCCGCAGACGATCCTCGCGCAGGGCCCAGGAGGACGACGCTCTGATGATGACATCTCCAGGCGAGAAGCCGGATACTGCCTCGACCTCGAACCCCTTCCAGAGCACGCTCGAGAGCTACCACGCGCCGCAGCGCCCTGTCAATGCTTCATCGAACTTTTAGACGCGCGGCGGAGAGATCGGAGGGATGTTTGCATGGCGCTGGTGTTTTAGATGGGATTGATTACTTTCCTTTTGATTGGACTTCATTTTGTTTTCTTTACAACTCATGGCAGCTTTGCACGAAAAGCGGGGATTGGACACGGGCTACAACAGTCAATGGCGGTTTGTACAACCAGGCAAGCGAGGATATATGGCGCGTCGGGGACGATTTCTGCGTCTGAGAGAGAGCGAGATAGAGGGATATAGGTAGTCGCTGCTTGCTCGGATTCTCTGCGGGCTTGCTAGTTAGTAATATCAGAGACATGGCTACTTTATTTTACCATTTTCCGCTTGTATGTTGTATAGTTGAATTTGGGATCCCGTCCCGTATTACTCCGTATGGTCTGGAAGCCTCCAACATGCTGCACCTGTGGATCATCGACCCGCCTGCCAGTGAATCTCAATCTCTTCATGCCTCCCAAATCTCCACCATTGCAATTTAACAGTCACGTGTTTCTATGTGCGAAAGAGTATAACCCTGGCAACTCTGACAACGGGGGGGCTAGTAGCAACCCCCCCATCCGTTTCGGGACTAGCTGCGGTACTTGTTTGTGACTCTCCTTATCGTCTGAGTCCCTACTAAAAGGTAGAGACATTGAACATTGAAACTGTACTCCGTAGGTCACGATATTTTCAAAATCGCCTTCAGCAGTTTACTCGGATAGGTACAACAACAATCCCTATAAAGTTAACTCAACCAATCTCTATAATCATATATTAAATAATAATCGTCCAGAAACCCGCGAATAAGAAGAAATACTTGGGACACTCCTGAGCCGCTTTAACATGGGCTGATCGCTAAGAAAAAGCTCGCCATTCCACAGAAATTTCGCCAATTTCTCTGTACATTCGCAATGTAGAAAAGTACTGTAACGTTAATGTGGCACATGTGGTACATGTGCAGTAGTACATCGTCGTTGTACTAGTTCTAATCGCAACCTCCGAACAAGATTATCCCAAAAATAAGCATAACTAGCATAACTATGTACTGTAGTTGTGGCCACCCACACCCACCATCACCTCGATCAATCTTTCTTCACCTCGTTCCCTTACCTCTGCTACTATATCGTATCGTCGTCACGGATCCCGATTCGGAAGTTATTCTTCACTTTTGTTCCAAACGCCTGCTTTCTCTCGCAGAAGGCATCCCACACTCGTTTGACCCGAGCCGCCAGAGATCAGTCAACAATACTGTGCGCCCTGCTCTCTCCTGATAGATCCCCTATGTCGCCGTGATACGCCACAACTAGACTGTGACACCGCCTCCCGAACCACCGATTGCACTTGATGGCGATGGCTTCTAGGCGCTTTGGACTCTTCACTGGGCTCGTCGCGCTCCTTACCATCTGGGTGCTAGTCGTTGGACTCCGAGCTACCGTATGCTCTTCCCCACCGCCTCCCCTTGCGTCTCCGGTCGTCCCTGAAGACTTTACTTCATCCCCAGCGATCCGGGACCGTGCGACGACGGTAATTTGAGCGCTACTAACTCCTCTCCCAGGGCCATTTCCCAAATGTCGTCTCGCAATGGAACCACGATGACCACTACCCACCCCCCACAACAGCCTCGGCCAGTGCAGCCGACGACCTAGCCTCGCAGCTCGCCGCCGTGGCCGCCGAAAAAGATGCGCTCAAGGCGCGGGAAACCAAGCTCGCCGAGCAGGAAAAGAAACTCAAGAAGGAGCAGAACGCATTGATGGAGGACAAGGCCAAGCTCCGCGCCGACCGACCAAAGTCCCTCATCTCATACGTCTACACCGAGTCGCCGACCAACCGCCGCAACCTCGAGTTCTTCATCAAGCACGGACTGTACGCCGGCGCCGACTTCGTCTTCAGCTTCAACGGCGATACGGACGCCGAGACCATCCTCCCCGTCTACGAGACCTCGCCGTGGTACGATCCCAAGATCACGAACATCGAGGTCCTGAAGCGCGATAACAAGTGCTTCGATATGGGCGCGCATGGTGAGGCGCTGCTGCGTGAGTGGAACGATTTGGGCACCAAGCTTAGCCCCATGGGTGGGCGTGACCGCGGTGGACGCAAGTTCTGGGAGGGATATGAGAGGTTCATGCTCATGAATGCGAGTGTTCGTGGTCCGTTCATGCCGATCTGGAGTAAAGACTGCTGGAGCGAGGCGTTCTGGGGCATGCTCACGAATAAGAAGAAGGTATGTGTCACACCCCATGGACTTTAACCACTCCGCTATAGTCATGATATGGTTGCTAACACGATACAGTTGGCGGGAATGAGCTACAACTGCCACGGCGGCAAGGGCCACGTCCAATCCATGGTCTGGGCACTTGACCGCGTCGGCATCGAGATCCTGATGAAGCCCGAAGCCGAAGGCGGCATCGGGTACTGGTGCCCCTACGACATGGTCAACGCAATCGGGGGCGAGATCCGCTCCACGCCCTCGATCATCAATGCCGGCTACGAGGTCGAGGCGCTGAACCTGGTGTACCACTCGCACGACGGCGAGGACCACAACAAGGACGGCAAGAAGGATAACAGCCCCAAGGGCTACATTGAGGGCTGCACCGATGACGACTTCTTCCATGATAACTACTACTACGGGTTCAATATCCATCCTTACGAGACGATCTTCATGAAGGCCGCGAGGAATATGCAGGATGTCCTCATTGGCAATTTCACCGAGTGGACTGACGGCAGCGGATACAGCTCCTACGAGGCCTGCGCTCTGTAATTAAAAAAAGAACAGAAATTTTTACGCAGTGTGAAGGGGAACTGGGAGAATGAACGAATGACCAAGATATTTGAAAAGAAGAAGAATGTTAAAAGAATAACAAGAATCTGCTACCGGCGGGCTGGGGACGGCGGGATATGTGGGAGTTGTTCTAATATGTTTCCATGCTTACATGCCGCATCAAGGACGTTTACAAGGCGTTGAACCATAAAGGGAAGGGGGAAATTTTGGAAAGCTGTTTTTTATCTTCTTCTTTCCCAGTAGTTTTGATAGCGAAGCGGAAGGAAGGGCGGGAGGGGAGAGGGGGGAGAGGGGGAGATCTAGGCAGCCCAATGCCAGATACTTGTGCTATTTTGTTCTATGCGTTTTTGGTTGGATCGCTGTATTTATATTACGCCGATTTTCCAGTTGGTTGTGGAGGGGTAGACAATATACGAAAAGACTTATTAATCCACTCAACCATGTGTGTGCGGGGTTCTGGCTCGTGTTACTGTAGAACTTGCTCTGGGAACGCGTTGGGAGTATACGACAACTCGTGACGACGGATGATGATGATCAGAGACTGGGATCGATGGAAGGGGCAAGTGCGGTTTCTTCGGCTGCGGGATAGTTTAGTTTCGTGGATCGAGATGGGCGTGGTGAGAGTACGGAAGTGTCCTCCCCCGCTGTTCGCCACCGTTGGGGGAGCAAATAGAAATAGAGCAACGATCGATTGAGCGAGGGATATCTCATACTACCCTCGCTCCCATGCAGTCACTGAGGAGGTAGCTGGGATTCAGGGTCAAGCTTCAGGGTCAAGCTTCGATCAATCTTCAACTCCGTGCGAGTTTGTCTCACTTTTTGGGGGGTTGTTTCGATTGTACTTTGTTTCGGACGTGGGTTGGCTGTTGTGCTGCTTAGAGAAGGCTGTTGTGCCGTTCTTAATGCTGCGTGCTATTTATTTCAAGTTATCATTCCCTGTAGGTTTCGCACAGCCTTGTTGGACATATGCGTTCTGTCTGCTTTGGTAGAAGAAAAGCTTCTGTTTTGCTTTCTCATAATTTATGTATTTGATCTGCACCTTTCTATCTGAATGAGCTCCCAATGCCGTTTACTCATTGGTACTGTCACCTCTCACGAACTTGAAACGAATCAACTCGTTTCTGTCCTCGATGGGGCATGAGTTTCGTCCCTGATTCAGCGTGGCAGTTCCAACGTCACAAACTTATCGATGTGTCTTTGTAACATCTCATATTAGCCTCGTGGCCACCGCCAACCGGTGAATACAGCTTAAGACTCAATCATTATACCTACCATCGGTGCGCCGGCAAAGCGCTTTTGGCCTTATTACTCGGAGAGCCGCATCTACAACTCTCTTGCCGGTACGGCACCGCCAAATCATGGGGCGATGAAACTGCCTCATCCCCAGCTTGGCTGTGTCACGACGATTGCTTCAGAATGGCTGAGTGTGGTGCTTCGGATCGTTGGACGTGCTTCCGTGGCAGGAATCAGGAAATGTGTTCCCCACGACAAATCACGTACGACGTTGAGGGGTATGAACTGGAACGAATGTGGTATTGCTCGAAGTACTAATGCGGAAACACAAAACGCTTTGAGAACCACCTAAGGGTTGCATAGGTTCATAAGGCCATTCCTCCACGGCTGCTAATAATATGGCTGATGAAAAGGGGCAGTATCCCAAAACGTCAATCTCTTGTCATCAACCATGAGCTTGCCACGCCCATATATTCAAGGCTCACTATTATGTTGTGAAACAGACCCTATACCATGTGTCATTGCTGGCCTCGCCTGGGGCTTCTGCACAACTGACCTGTTGCTTAGCCGCATTCTGTGCCACAGTTTCCGCAGACCTTGCCGCGGATAACCCAAACTTCAACTCCATTTGCAAAACAGGTAGGACATTTTACGCCGGAGATCTTTGGGTTGTCAGTTTGGCTTTGGCTCGTATCTCATCATGGAGCTACCTACGGGCATCTGTATGATGCCAGGCACTGGGGCCTGAGAGAACTGTGCATCTTGGGAGGTCACATGATCCTCTTGATGGAGGACATTGATTGATATGTGAGGAAGCATGGTGCTTGAAGCGCTTTGCTGTGGGGACTTGCAAAGGGTTTGATAAAGTTGCGTTGAAATTTAATATCCAGGTCTGTGTGTTGCTGTTGATATCTCGATTTCAAGGGGAATTCGCCTGGCTTTATAAATTGGAACGGGAAGTGAGAAAAGGGCTTCTCAGAGAAACGACTGTCCCTTGGGGGCCTGCAACTGGTTGACTAGGAGAGGAGATTCCCAGCGAAAAGATTGTCCCGTTAGGGTCTGCAGATGCTCGACTGAGGCTTTTCGATTCAACCGGCGGTGCCTAACTAGGGATTGCCATCTCTACGCCTTCGGCTCAACATCTCCTTGAAGTCTCGGAGCTACGATGGGCCTGACGCGGGCTGAGGCCCCCATAATACCGCTCAGCCGTCCGTATAGACGAGTCTGATGTAGCTACTGGACTATCGCGGAGGAGGCTTCCGATCTTGCATGCCAACAATCCCATTAGTGCACCATCTTGCGCATGCACATTGGCTTTTGACACCCTCCCCCCCCCCACTTCCTGCATTTGTGAGAAGACTCCGCCCCGAACCGCTCCCTTGTGCTACCTGACGCATTGTAAGACATCCCACGGAGCATCGCATCGGAATACTACTGTATGATAGAATACATCGCTCCTCCTCCCGCTGCCGATCCATCACATATATGACAAGTCAGAACGATGGGATGAGTGTCGGCGGTTAGCTTCACACACCCTCCTGTTTTCCCTTGTCTGTACTTCATGTCGCCAGAGATTGGCACCCTCCTCGGTTAGCCGTCTACAGTAACTCGGGCCTGGCATTAAGTTCTAGGGGCTTCGAGTGGAATGGCTTGATGGAGCCACAACCCTTCGGTAGGCACCCTGTCATCATGGATGGCAATGCTACGCTGTAGAAGTCAGCGACATGCACTGGAGATCTGCAGCTGCTGGTTCGCTGAAACGCGCACTTAGTGCGAGAACGGGGTCGTATGAAGGGCTCTGCCGCAGAGAGGGCTTCGCACTTGTGCGTTGTAATAAAATCGGTCGAAATTTGACGGAAAGGTATGGTACCCAGATTATGCTACATCACTATGGCGGTACGCCCTTCAGATCCATTCGCCAGCTCTTCCTTGTGTCCGAAGCCCCTTTCCTCCTGGCCTTTATCCTCAGCGCTCCACCTTCTCCACGCCAATAAACAGGAGTCCATCCGTCGCCGCCCCCTTCGCATCCCGCAGCTTCAAAAACCGGTACCCATTCTGGAGTCGATCAAGCCGCACACAAGCCCACGCTGCCAGCGTATCCGTGAAGCCGTCATCCTCAATACGGAACCTGCATCACCATTAGCATCCTGCTGCAACCCCACAAGTCTCCACCCCCACCAACAAAAAGTGGTGATGCCCAAAGACACACACCCAAGGAAAAGATCCACCCCCGGAAGTGCCCACTAACCTGACAAAACTCAGCTCCTCCACCACTCCCGGCCCCGCCCCGAGGAAATCAAGCTGCTCCCCCTCCCAATCCACGCTCGCGCCCCGCTTCGTCTCCGTATGCCTCTTCCACTCCTCGCCCGCCTTCTCCCCCGCCTTCTCCCCCGCCCTCTCCGCATGTACCTCGACCTTGACGCGCGCGCGCAGCTCCTCCTCCCCCAGGATCCGCTGCGCCGCAAAAACCCGGATCCGCAGGTCCATGAGCTTCCCCTCCACCGCATCGAGCTCTGCGACCTCGGCGCCCTCCCGCATCCCAGGCGGCTTCAGCACCCACCCGTCCGAGTCGGCGAACATGGCTTCGTTGAGCATGGTGCCATGGTCCCAGACTTGCCAGTTTAAGGCGGCCATCTGGATGCCTTTGCGCCAGAAGACGGAGGGGTCGGGGTTGGAGGAGTCGATGCGGTGGCCGGCGGGGTAGGCGCGCATCATGTAGCGCCGGTTATGGGCTAGGAGGGCGTTGGGCGAGGCGGCGAAGAGCTCGAGGATGTCACCTTCGGAGAGAGAGTAGATGTGTGATGGGATCGAGGCGGAGGAGGCGGTGAGGGATGAGAAGTGAGAGCTGTGTGTGTAGATTCCCAGCGCGGAGAGGGAGGGGTGGATCCGCGCCTTGTTCTTTGGGGCGGGGGAGCGGGAAGGAGAGCGGGAGAGGGATGGGGAGCGGGAACGTGAGGATACCGATAGGGCGTCGAGCGCGTCATGGGAGGTCGTCGGTGTTAGGGGTGTAGAGATAGTGGCGGTGGGGGTGAGTGTCGAGGGGCGCGAAGAGAGCGTCGTGCTTGCAGTCGTGCTTGTTGTCAAAGGCGTGATGGGGTTGCTGCTAGCAGTCATGCTAACATCGGAGCTCGGAGGCTCGGCTGGTGGGACCTCGGCGCTTCTCTTGACCTTGATGAGGATCTTATTCAGTAGTTCGTCAAGATGCGGCAGGCGTTCCTCTGGGTGACAGGTCGGGTGCGCGGCGTCGACAAGAACGCCCGCCCACTCCTCTTTCATGATCTGCACCATAACCTCCTGCTGATCCACATCGCAACCTACTTGCAAGCTGACAATGAGTGGCAGGTTCGTTGTCTGAAACGCACTCTCGCGCACGGCGCGGCACACTTCGCGGAAGCCGACGGCGCGCGTTAACGTCCAGGCATGCAGCACGACCGGCTCCCCCTTTAAGACCGAACTCGAGCGACCTCTCGCGCCCTTCTCTCCAGACCCATCTTCCAAATCGTCGTCGCTACTGCTGCTGCTGCTGTCGGAGTCGCTCGTCTTCTCGCGACTGATACTCGGCACATTGTTCGCCGTCTGCTTGTGGCCAAACATATGTTCCGATCCCAACTTCTCATCCGCGGCCGCGTGCTCTTTTTTGTCGTCACTCCGACCCCAGGGAATCTTGCCCTTCAAGGAACCGAGCTTCGCTTTGTACTCAGCTTTATACATGCGCTTATACTTTCTCTTCGCCTGTATGGCAGACACAGCAAGATCAGACGGGGTGGTGCCGGTGATATGAGGAAGGCGGGAGGAAACGGACACAGGCTCGCCGTTATGCACATCGATTTCAATGCATCGGCAGCCGCGGATGAGGACCTATATATCCATTAGCACAAATATACTTTACCCCCCTTCCCATCCCACCAAGTCCTCGAGCCGATCGGGGACTCACATTCTTATAAGCGTCCGTCGTACTCTTGCTCATAAGCTGGTTCCCGCTCAGATACGTATTATGGCTGCTGCTGATATAATAACTGCTGATCGGCTTCCCCAAGTCCGTATTCCGCGCCAGCGCGCCCACGCTCTCAAACCCACCCCTCATCCACAACAGCGCCAGCCAGTCCGCAAACGTATACTCCGCGACATCCTCACTCAGCGGAATATCCTGACTCTGCACATCCTTCAGGAAAGCCGCGAGCGCCTCGCGCGAAACGAACTGCGACCCCCCGCACAGCGAGGTGTAGATCTTCCTCAAGTGCGCTTGCACGGGGTGCGAGAGGTAAGGGAGAGTAGGCGGCGAGGGCGCCGTGTGGTGGTGCGTCGGAGCCATGAGGGTTGTCATTGAGACGAGGGAGTGGAAGGAGAGGTGGTGTTTGTGCGCGACGCCGTGGGGTTGGGGGAGGGGTGCCATGTGTTTGCTGGGTGCGGGTCAGATTTAGGCGATGGGGATGCGGGCGGGATGGTGCTTACGGTGAGACGACGTGGCGATGGCTACATGAGCTCTCTCGCTGTTACCAGGGCGAGCGGAGGGGAGATACTGGCGGCGAGGGGGGGTTGTTTTCGAGGTTGATGTCGTTTATCGTTTGTATGTGTTGTCTCCACTGTGTCTCCACCGTGGTTCCTGGATTAGGCCTTGGTGAGCCCTGTCAGAAGTTATCGCAGTTGTCGCAGCAATATCGTCAATCTCTCACAAAAGTACACTAGATGAACAGAGAATATTCGGAGAAAACTCGTATCATATATATAGTCTGTACAGCCCAAAATTGCAGCCTACCCGAGGAGATAAATCCCTGCGGACAACTCAGCCTCAGTCTCTCAGCCTCGAGCTGAAAGAATTGCGGGGATGGTCTCGACCCTTTCTACGTCATTGATAGGTACAGGGGCCCGCAAATGAGAGCCAGCCAGCCTTGTGTCTGCCGAGCGGCACAGAGTAAAGGGCTGACTTACCATCGCCACTATTGTCGAGGCGGAGATGTTTCAGAGAGGCCAGCTGGAATGATGGGGTGAGACGGCGTCGTAAGCTTTGCTGTGTCTCTTATCGCTGTGCTGCGCCAATGTAGGCGGCCGAGTGGTCGGCCAAGAGGCGGCGCCTAGGGACGGCCCGCCCTAAGGTCACAACATCGTCCTCGGCGTGGAAATGGATTGGTGCTGATTGATTTATGTAGGAATTGAGTTTAAGCATTGCAGAGTGGCTAACGGTAAGGCATTTCAACTCCACCGTTGCGACTTTCGTCTTCAGGAAGGTCTCGCTGCATTTACTCATCGCCGAATGACACATCCATCAACCATCAACACCACCACTTTAAAAAAAACCACAGCCGTGTATTCCATTCCAAAAAAACCCAATCTACTCTCTCCTCGCCATCAAAAACAATGTCTCCCACGCTCCCATCCTCCTCTGTCCTCAAGGACTTCTCCCTCATCACCGCCCCCACCCCCCTTGCCGGCGGCCAAGGACAATCCTTCCTCTGCGGCACCACAGTCCTCAAACACATCCCCCCCACCCCCACCGAAGAAGCAGAATGGACATCCCACACCCTCTCCCTCCTTCCCCCTTCCGCTTACTTTACCATCCCCACTCCCATCCTTGCCTCAACCGGCTCTTACGTCTATGAGAACTGGACCGCGACACAGTTCTGTCCCGGCACAGACCACCCTGTCGGACATTGGGAAGTGCTGTTTTCAGCAGCGCGGCACTTCCATGCCTCTCTCGCGGGGATCCCAGAGCCTGAGTTTCTTAAACGCACGCATCCCTGGGCAAGGGCTGATCGTATCGCATGGGGCGAGGAGTCCGTCGCTGTGGTCCCTGCTCTGGCGCCGTTGTATGAGCAACTCTTGTCTTTACGCAAGGAAGTGGGCGTAGTGATAGCGCAGCTCGTGCATGGGGATTTAAGTGGGAATATACTGCTTTCGGATTCCCAGCCACCCGTGATTATTGATTTCTCCCCCTTCTTCCGCTGCGTGGATTACGCCGTCGCGATCGCTGTTGTGGACGGGATTGCGGATTTTGGCGAGGGAGATGAGGTGCTGAGGGCCTCTGGACTGGTCTGGTATGGGGATAGATTGGGAAGACATGCGGTCCAAATGTTGGTTAGGGCCTTGCTGTTTAGGGTCGTGGCAGGAGTGAGCTTGTGGGTGCTATGTGAGAGATGGTGCAGGTGGAGAGGCGGCGAGCCCAGGAGGGGATGGCGGAGTTGAGGGCGGGGATGTCGGCGGTGGAGCCGATGCCGAGGGGGATCACGAGTCCGACCTGGGGTTGTGTTTATTTGGGGAAGGGGAGGGGGGAATTCGTTGCGGTGGTGGAATTGGGAGGGGGCTCTCGCCATGATCTTCATATTCGATTGCTCGCGCGCATCAGCTGCACCATCTTAGTGTAGGAGGCCATGATGACAGTACTTGATTTCCCCTGAGAAACATCGTTGGTGCCGAGCATGAACATAACCACATCCGGCTTCGCGGATGCGAGCCAGCCTTGGAGATTGGTGTTGGCGATGTTGATGGCGAGGTAGCCGGAGTGACCCTCATGGATGGTGCATGTCCCAGCCCGAATTGCCCTCGCAGTTCTGCGCGTTGTTGGTCATGGAGCCGACGAACTCGAAGGAGTTGGTCACACCGTCGGCTTGCAGGTCGTCCCAGAGACAGGTGCGCCAGCAGGTGATTTCTGTGATGCTGTCTCCGAGGGGCACTGTCGGTTGTGTTAGGGTGTCTCTCTCTGTATCATCACCTGGGGGATGGCTTACCGATCTTGATTTTGGACTTAGCCGCTGCCAAACCGACCAGGGCGGCGGCGGCGAGTAACGGGCAGATACTAGAGGCGTTCATTCTGAAGATTCCAAATGGTATGAGACGGAGAAGGTTGAACCCAAGAAAGTGAGAGACTGCCGCTGGGGAACCCCGCCATTTAAACAAACCCCACCACGTCAAACCCTCGCAACGATTTGGCTATTCAGATAAGCTTATATTACATCCCAACCTTCATCCCACCCGCCGCTGTTTTTCACCACTCGCCATCGGCGTCGGCTGATACCACATCACCCAAGTTCCGCGTCGAGACACCGAAAACCTCAAATCTCGATACCAAACACCGAAGCATCCCCATCCCATCTCATCTCCACGCAGCCGCCACCCCCATTTACAGATCTGGCATTTGCGAGGTTGGCTCTGAGAGCGGATAATGTTACTATAAAAGAGATATGCAAGGGCTAGGTGGGTTGGGATATATGAGGATGTAGATGCCTATGGGAGGTGGGAGGTGGTGAGGGAGGTGGTGGTGGGTACTTTATATGGCTCTAAACCGTCCAGAGTGCTTCCCTGTGAGGTTGAGAAGAGAGGATAGAGCAATTGCTGTATGTTTGATACAAGGTAAAAACCCTCCTTCCACCAGCGCGGTAAAAGTCTATTTCGTTTCTAACCAAGCAACCTTGCTGAAGCCAGTTGCGTTGTAACACCTCTAAACCAGTTATCATATCCACCTCCCTCCAAGCATCATGCAACACAACAGCAAATCCAGCACTCCCTCTAGCACAGCCCTACAACAACAACCCCTCTCGCCACCACCAGCACCGCCAACAATCCATCCTCATCAGCGGCCTCCCACCAACCTCTACGATCGGGGTGTGCACCAAGAAACATCTCCACCCTGCCTATTGAACCAGCGGCGCAGGAACAGGTCTCGCATATGAGATGAAGATATGATAACTATGGTGTGTTGAGTTTTCAAGAGAGGGAAGGGAGTTCTCATATCCTCTCTTCGGTCCTGCTGGTGTGTACTGTGATGTCGTGTAGATTGGGGTTAGCATCTAAAGGGGTGTAATGGAGATGCTGTAAAATAACTACGACCGTCGACCTACCTTAATTCAGCAGAGGTGCCCAGGTCGATCACAGCTGCTCTACTCCACAATCTCTAAGAACAATTCCCTAACTCGACGAAACAGCCCACAGCCCTCTCCAACATCACCTCTCCTCTCCCACCCAACCTCACCACCACAACCACACCAACGAAACCGGCCGCATACTCAACCTCGTCTCTCATCCAGCGATACTCCCCCCTCCTCTCCTCACCCAGCCCCTCCCCTCCTCACCTCCTCACCTCACTCTCTTAACCTTCTCACACCCAGCCCCTCCCCTCCTCACCTGTTCCCATTCCGGCAGCAGCGGCCGCGAGGTCCTCGCACACCCCATCCCACCTCACCCAACCCCAGCCCAGCTCATCACAGCAGAGTACAGCAGAGTGCAGTGGGTGAGACACCAACGGCGTCGCACCCCGTTCCGTCGTCCTACCGCACCAGGACAGCCAGCACTAAATCGTCTCCATCCCGGTTGCAGTAAGCTTTTATACTTCCCGGGACGGACATACTCTAAGGTAGCTGCTGTGCTGTGCTGTATGCTGTGTGGTGTGGTGTAGCGCAGAGGCGGGGTATCTCGAGACAACGAGGCGGAGGAGTAGAGAGATGCTTGCTAAACCGGGTGATGGGTGGTTAGGTTACTGTGAACCTCCTGCTGTGTCTGGTGAAGGCGGGGTAGCAGTGAGACAACAACGGTGAGGCGGCGGCAGGATACAGGGCGGGAACGGTGGGTGAGTGGTTCCCGTTGCTGCTAACATACGCTGTGGGGATGTCTTGCTGCCGTGCCTACATACGAACACTGGTGTCCGAATACTAAGCGAACGACATCGAGGACACCCCTGATTTGTAAGCGGTTACGTAAGCAAACCCCAGCAAACCGCTCTAGCAACCCCACAATCATGAAACGGGCCAAATTGATAAAGTGATTCATAGTAGAGTAAGATTCATAATAGTAGAAATGAATCACTTAATAAGAAGTGATTCATAGTAAGAATACCCCTATTTCTACTTGCCTTATTCCTCTTCATGCCTTTCCTTTCTTCTTATAATATCAACTTCTTCAACTCTTACTTTAACTATTACTAATTACAATGTCTTCCTACCTTACTCTAACTGCCCCTCTCCCTAAAGTCAGCCTGGTCTTGGCTGAGTTTAACATCCCTAGATGTCATGTCCACCCCTAGGTAGTTGAATTCAATGACAAGGCAGATGAGACCAAGAAGATGGCTACCTGTTACGATGGTCATGGAGGTCAAGAAGCCAGTCCGGAAGCTAGATTGAATCTAAAGAGAGAAGAAGTAGAAAGGAAGGAAGTAAGGCTATCCCTCATTATATACAGCTGTACGCTTAGCAGTTTCCTGTAACCTTAGTGGCTACTATGGGTACTTGTTGCCCTAATCGCTAGCAGTCGTAAGTAGCGATCGTAACACCATCAGCTTGAGTAGCTTCAGCTAATATTGTATCACTACCTACACTAACAAAATGAAGGCAGCTAACTATGACCAACAGACCATTCAAATGTTAGTAACATGACCAACAGACCATTCAAATGTTAGTAACTAACTAACATTTGAATGGTCTGTTGGTCATAGTTAGCTGCCTTCATTTTGTTAGTGTAGGTAGTGTTAAAGGAGTGAAGGGGATAAGGCAGAAGGGTGCTGTTGTTTTATTAAGTGGTAATTAGGAGAGGAATGTTAGGAACTTGGCTTCTCCTAATGAGAAGAGGCTCTATGTCCAGCTTCTCTTCTTAAAAGAGAGAAAAGTAAATCATTTATCTTAGCTTCTTTATAATACTAATATAAAATAGGTTTACATCTACGGCCATAATTAGGAAGTCTCACTACTAAGAGAAATCACTAAGGATATAAAGAAGAAGATAGAGGCAGAGAACTAGAAAACCTTAGATCCCCATCCCTACTTAACAGAACTTGGCAGTGGGGCAAGGATTAGACTGTTTGTGGATGGCCTAAGGAAGAATGGGTTCTAGATCTAGGAGTACTAGACTAGTGGTGGTGGAAATGATGGTTTCTAGTACTTGGCTATGTGCTAACAACTTCTCTAGCACATTGAAAAGGGGGGGAACAGACTTAGCTTAGGCTGAAGAAGAGTTGAGACTTTAGATGCATTACTATTAATCCTTGCTTCTAATATCATTGATGGTTTACTCTCTTACTTATCTTAAACCTCTTGTATATGAGATATAATCCTAACTTTTAAGTCTATTATAAGAATTCTAACTAATTAAGCTTAGTGCACCTTAGACCCTTTACTTTCTAGAAATGGAAACAGATAGGATTAATTTACTATAAAAGTACTCGTAAAATCAGTTTTGGTTGTAAGAATTAGACTACGTCCTAGAGCTCTAATGTAGTTCACAAGCGACCTGTCATATTTTTCTTGGCATTGTACAAAATTATAAAATATTTAGACAAGTTCATACGTTATGACTAGTTTGTCTACAACATCTACAACAATGTTTTTGCAGCTTAGTTTGCTTTGTACAACCCCTACTTTTTCGCAAATCAGCTTGTAATTGTATATGAGCCTCTCTTTAAGCCTCTAAGTCTTAGACAGCTTTGACAGTAATTGCTCCTCCTTCTTGTAATTGATGTTTCTTTGTATAACGACATCGACTAAGCAAGTCATTTGCTTTGCGACGTGTAGCATTTTCTTCTTGCAATAACGTCAATTTGTGTATTGCACTTGCTACACCTTTTGCAACCTAATTAATGCTTTGTAAAAGTGAAGTTGGCGAACTATTCTAATGTTGTACAATCCGGTCCTTAAGGTATGTTGATTAAGATTGTGTCTTAAGTACATTATGTAGAGTTTTAGGTTCCTAGATCATAGGTAGAGTTGGCATAGGCGTTAGCATACAAAGTCGAACGTCAAGCTTTGAAATCACATAGTTCGGATCGTACAGAACAAGCCCTATAGTGCAAAATCCTACTTGAATGTTTGATTTAATCATTATCGTACAAACCGCTATATAAAAGGTAGGGAAGAAATCTTCTTTTAAGATGTGTGTAATATATGCGCACATTAACTTCTCAATATTAATTCTGTAAAAACGCTTTAATGATTAAAAACAACTAACGTCAAGTAGCTAAAGGTTATGAGACGAATATAGTAGCATATAAAGGATAACGAATGCTAAATGAAAGAGCAGACCTCGTACGACACAGCAAGGTAATAGGGAATGGATTATAGTAATTCAAGGCATTAGATCATATAGATATGCGCTACTGTCATTTATTATTGTTATAGGGAAAAACCACCTTTCGTCTTGGTACAAAAACACTTCTTTGCTACTAGATTGGATTATTGCTGTTATGTTAAATGGCTAGACAACAAATGAGCAAGGGTTAGATTAGATTAAACTTTTCGATCAACATATAAAGAGTCGTACAAAAGGTGTATATCGACTTTTGATTCTTAACAGGCACGAAAGCCATCATTTAGCTGATTTTATTATTTATTACAAGGATCAAAATTATCGAGTTGAAACCATACATTATACATGTTAGGATCTTCGCATTACTCTTGCTAATAGTTGATCTTTTGATTAAAACGTGTATAGAGTTGTAATTGTGGGCTAATAGTTGATACTTTGATTAAAACACATATAGAGTTGTAATTGTGGATTTGTTTAAAGCACTTAAGGTGCAAGAATCATATTTCTTTCTTCGTACCAATGTGTCATGTTTAAAAAAGTTATTTAGATATAAAGTCAAATGTACGATACTAAGAAAAATATAATGAGTCACTTAGGATGACAGGTCACTTATGAACTACGTTACTGCTGTTTGATGCTACTTCCTATCTAATAGGATGTATAGAGGTTTACGTAAGGTTGACTTGACAGAGGAGGCAGGGGATTAAACACAAAAACTATATTCAGTTGAGCACAAAGCTCCTATCTAAGGGAATACCATCTACTTATATAGTAGTGTCATGCCTTATAGATATTTGGGATAGTAGGGAGAGTTAGGATAGTTTGGATAGTTAGGCTTTTTCCAACTATCCAACTATCCACTAGCTAAGTCACGCTACAGCCTAGCCCTGCTAGCATTGTATATTAGAATAAAGTAGATGGGAGGAAATGACAACAATTCTTAATAGCTATTATGCAAAACGGGTTTACCTGTAAAACTAACAACATAATCATGTTGTAAGAGTCTAATACTTATTACAGGTAAAATTTGGTGGTCATTGAGCTCGCTTGAGAGACCTATTATAGTGCTGCATTATGGACTTCTTTAGCGACCTATTCTGCTGTCCACATCGGCCCCATAAAACATTTGCTCGGCACCCTATGGGGGTCTGGGAGGGTGATCGATGGGGAGAAGGGGAGATTTGGGAGATTTGGGAGGGTGATCGATGGGGAGATGGGGAGATATGGGAGATTTGGGGGGTTTGGGGGTGATCGATGGGGAGATTTGGGAGATTTGGGGGGTTTGGGAGGGTGATCGATGGGGAGATGGGGAGATAAGGAGATGGGGAGATTTGGGAGATTTGGGAGGGTGTTGCTCTGGTGAGTCTGGTGAGTCTGGTGAGTCTGGTGAGTCTGGTGAGTATGAGGAAACAGACGTGTGGTGAGTCTGGTGAGGGATATGAGGTATGCTGAAGGATATGAGGTATGCTGAAGGATATGCTGAGGGATGCAGAAACACAGCTGGGATGCAATGACGGTTACTTACGTACGAATACTGAAACCTTTTGTTTGTCGCCCTGTTTGCGTCGTCGACGGCAGTGAAACATTGATTCATTGGAATCTCCACACTCACCTGGCCCAGTGCTGGCTGGGAGACGGAACGACAACGACAACAACCCCACAACCCCATAACCCCACAACTGTGCATCACAGCTGTGCATGCTGTGCATACGGAGTTGTAGAGGGGTCTCTTCTCTCTCCGTACCTAGAGAGAAGACACCGTCGATCCGTCAGCGGTTACCTAACCGCTGACGGATCGACGCCGACGAAACGACGCCGACGACGACGCGTCCAGATGGGCATTGATCTGCATCGATCAAGGGTCCTTCCAGCCACCAGCGACGGAACTGGTCGCTATCGATGTCGATGCCATCGACACTGACATCGACATCGACAGCGACAGCGACAGCGACCTGCTTCCTTCCTTTACGCTTCCAAGAGTATAAAGGATAACGCAAGGTACGATACCCTCCATCCCGCCATACTTCATCCCGCCATACTTCATCCCGCCATCCTTCATCCCGCCATCCTTCATCCCGCCGCCATCCTTCATCCGCCACCCCGCCATCCTTCATCCGCCATCCCGCCATCCCGCCATCCCGCCACCCCTCCAAATTATCGTCGTTTCAGAACCTCGCCCATCATCCCCTTGTCCAATCCCCAGTCACCTCTCACCTTTTCTTCTCACTTCCACCCCACAAACATTCCCTGCTGGTTTCCGCTTCTCCACTGGCAAACGCCCGCATACACCCAAACTCCCAATCTCCCCAATCTCCCAATCTCCCTCCCGTGCGTCACGCACCCCCCCAAAACACCCACCTACCACCACCGCACACCACAAAAACAACCACTCTTCCTCTTAACTTCCTCTTCTCCTCGCCTCTTCCCTCTTTCACCACCATCTCTTGACTCGTTGGGTTACTCAACGTCCACTCCTTGTTCTACAACTTCCTGCTTCGGTCAAGAAGATTCACTCTCCTTTTCTATAACACTCCTTTGCATTACCCGCGTCGCCGGACTTTCTCAGATCTCCACGATCAATCACCCGCTCGGATCGACTCCAGCAGCACCACAACACTCAAAAAATTCTCGATCGCGACTCTTCCCCCCCACGACAAGATAACAATCACTTGCACTGCCAGTTCAGTCAACCGGAAAATCGCAAGTCGATCGAAAATTCACAAAAACTGCTCGCTCAATAGCTTATCACCAACAAGAACACATTGCTTTCATAGCTTTAGCAAGCGCTGATCTGGGATCAAGCACACACGTCAACACTTTACGCATACCCACGATACTTCACCAAGAATCAACATGCGCTCTTCAGCTATCGTCCTCGCCGGGTTGTCCGCCCTCGCCCTTGCCGCTCCCGTCCAGAAGCGCGCATGTGTCACCGACGTCGTTATCGACTACGTGACCGTCTTCGTTACTGAAGGCCTCGCTACCGTAAGTGCTCCTTCACATCCCCCATCTCAATATTTGGCATTCGGGGGTGATCAGTTGTGCCTTTGACTCGCGATTTGGCCGCCAATCGGCGATCCTCATCTTGAACGATCGGCACGCTTACACCCCGATTAGACCAAGACCAGATCCAGCGTCGTCCCACCCGCAACCTCGACCCCGCCTATTGTGACCCCAACTATCGCCGCCCACGTCGCACCGGTGGTCACCCATGGCGTGTTCGTCGAGAGCACCACCCCGGAGCCAATCCCAATCCCAGCCCCGACTCCCCAGCCAATCTTCGAGACCCCGACTCCAGAGCCAATCGTCGAGACACCGACTCCAGAGCCAATCGTCGAGACACCGACTCCAGAGCCAATCGTCGAGACACCGACTCCCCAGCCAGCCGCCGTCGTTGACACGACCCCCGCCGTGACCACCCCAGCCCAGGCGGCACCCCCCGCCGGCAGCGACTACAAGAGCGCCGTCCTCTTCCACCACAACGTCCACCGCACCAACCACTCCGCCCCCGCCCTGACCTACGACGACACCCTCGCTGGCTACGCCGCCGATGTCGCCAGGACGTGCGTCTTCAAGCACGACATCCGCAAGGGCGGCGGCGGCTACGGGCAGAATATCGCCAAGTCCGGCAGCACGGGCAACGAGAAGGCCCGCGACCCCGCCGCCATCTCGGGTGTCGCCATCTCCAACCAGTGGTACAACAGCGAGCTCCCGCTCTTCGACCCCTCCATGTACGGCCGGAACGTCCCGGACATGTCCAACTTCTCCGGCTGGGGCCACTTCAGCCAGATCATCTGGAAGAGCACCGCGAGCGTCGGGTGCGCGACGCAGTTCTGCGAGAAGGGCAGCGCGATGTTCTCCCCGGCGTTCTCGGGATGGTACACCGTCTGCAACTATGGCAGCCCTGGTACGTCCCCCTTTTTTAACCCTCCCTAACAAGTGAACCACTTTACTAACTACCCTCAAGGAAACGTCGATGGCCAGTACGCAGCCAACGTCCTCAAGCCCCTCGGCCAATCCGCGGTCGTCGCCAACTAAACGCCCCCTTTTGCGCACACTTCCCCTTCTTTTCCCCGAGAGACGCAGTACGCACAGAGTCTCGTCGGATATAAACACATTTTTACACCCCCCTTTTTCGCTCTTCGCTGCTTCAGCATGCCCCGCGAGCGTGCTACGCAACTTGATTCTTCATTGTTTTCACCGGGTCGGCAGTGCGCCGGGGGTTGATCGGGTATCGATCCCAGCTTCATTGCCGCGCCCCAGCATTTGGAAAGAAATCTTGCATAGGTGTGGCTTGGTGGTTTGGAGTGACAACGCCCAGGGCGGCGCGTCTTAAAGCCTTTTTTTTGAGACTTTTTGTATCTTCAATTCTGGACCATTCTTTTCGGCCATTGACGGCCTGTACCACCCATGACAAATTCTGGTACAGGGACGGCCTGAGCGCCTGGCATAGAAACCCTTTTTATCATTCGCTTCTTGTACAGTAACTTGTTTTTTTACTGCGTGTTTGTCCGACGATGGCTTTGGGTGAGGGCTGTGGTCCTGGGCTTAAGTTTTTCCATCTATAATCGACTCTTGTTCTTTTGGGACTGGGGGTCGATGATGAGATGGGGATGGGTTAGGGATGAGGGAATGAATATGTAAAAGTCTGCTTGCTACCTTTTTTGACTGTGGGTTTCTGGGGTGTTGTGATTGATGGTGATTGAACATATTCTATGACACTAGAGAAGCTGTAGCATGGTGGTGTGAGGTTGTCTTGATCCGGAACGCAGGCCTTTCTCCACGATCCATCGCGGTTGCTAACAAAACGCGAGGCCGATGCTGATGCTAGTATTCTTTAACCAATCATCGCAATCGCTAGCGTGAATGAGACTCTATTGTGAGCATCAATTATCTTCACCATTAGCTAACCACGATGACTACTAACTAAGTAGACTTATTTAGCATTGGCGTTGATTTCTCGATTGCCCTTACACTTCCAATGTGATGACTTCCACGATTCCCATTACATAATCACCGCGCCGCACCTGCGTAATGACGCCATGCCAAATCGAGTCCGCAACCCCTCCTCCGCCCGCACGGACGGCGGGGAACGACGAGCGAGCGAGCGAAGGTGGCGCTGCGACCGAAGAGCTACCCCGGTTCGATCCATTAAAGCGCGGACACGCATAGAAAAACCACCGCCCGCCCTTCCCGCAGTACATAAAAACAAGACCGCTGCGGTACCCTCAACGACGAACTACTACCCTTATCGCTCTGGACCAGAGCTTGCTACGTGTTAGAGAAGCGAAGAGACGTCTAGCCTCCAGTTGTCGTTGTCGTCATGGTCGGCGCGGAGGGGAAGTCGATGCTAGGGGAGGCAGCGGAGAAGCTGGGGTTCAAGGCCAGGGAGGAGAGGGGCGTGGGAGCGCAGCAGGCTGCTGATGCTGGGGCGGCGAAGGAGGAGGATGTCCCGGCTGTTGCGGCGCTGAGGAATAGGGCCGCGGAGAGTAGGAGTCCTTATGTGAGTTGTGCTGTGGAGGTGGAGGATGGGGGCGGGACTGCTGCTGACTGACTGGTGGATAGGTGCGTGGGCATATGAATAATCCCGTCGCGTGGCAGCTTTTTGGGGATGAGGCGATTAAGTTGGCGAAGAGGGAGAATAAATTGCTGTTTATTAGTATTGGGTATAGCGCTTGCCATTGTACGTTCCCTGACCCCCCCCCCCTTTTCAACCCCAGCCTCTCCATCCCCCGTCGCCATCCGACAGAGACCCAGCTAACACAACCCAGGGTGCCACGTAATGGAGAAAGAATCCTTCGAGAACGACGAGGTCGCCGCCATCCTCAACAAGGACTTCATCCCCATCAAGATCGACCGCGAGGAGCGCCCGGACATCGACCGCATCTACATGAACTTTGTGCAGGCCACCACCGGGTCCGGCGGCTGGCCGCTCAACGTCTTCGTGACGCCGACTCTCGAGCCGGTGTTTGGAGGCACGTACTGGCACGGCCCGCACTCCAACACCCCGCAGCTCGAGCTCGAGGACCACGTTGATTTCCTCCGTATCCTCGGCAAGCTGTCCCAGGCGTGGCGCGAGCAGGAGTCGAGATGCCGTCTTGATTCCGCGCAGATCCTGCAGCAGCTCAAAGTCTTCGCCGCAGAAGGCACGCTCGGCGGCGCTCCCAAAACGGGTGCCGAGCCACCAGCGGGGGGATTAGATCTCGATATCATCGACGAGGCCTACCAGCACCTCGTCTCAACCTTCGACACCACCAACTCCGGCTTCAGCGCCGCCCCCAAGTTTCCCACCCCCAGCAAACTCGCCTTCCTCCTCCGCCTCCCCCACTTCCCGCAACCGGTCCTCGATGTCGTGGGCGCCGAGGAAGTCAAATCCGCACAATTCATGGCCCTCTCCACCCTGCGCGCCATGGCGCGGGGCGGGATCCACGACCACATCGGCCACGGCTTCTCGCGCTACAGCGTCACAGCCGACTGGTCGCTTCCGCACTTTGAGAAGATGCTCTACGACAACGCGCAGCTCCTCAGCCTGTACCTCGACGCCTTTCTCGGGCTACCGAAACCAGATCCGGAGCTGCTGGGCGTCGTATACGACCTCGCGGCCTACCTCCTTTCCCCCCCCATCGCGGCACCGGGGGGTGGTTTCTACTCCTCCCAGGACGCGGATTCGTTTTATCGCAAGGGTGACAAGGAGACGCGCGAGGGGGCGTACTACGTCTGGACCGCGCGGGAGCTGGAAACCCTCCTCCCCGCCGGCGCATACGACATCGTCGCGGCCTTCTTCGGCGTCAACCCCGACGGCAACGTCGCGCCGTCCCACGACGTCCACGACGAGTTCATCAACCAGAACGTCCTCCGCATCGCCTCTACCCCCTCCCAACTCGCGTCGCAATTCGGGATCGCCGAGTCCGAGGTCGTCGAGACTATCAAATCCGCTAAACGCACCCTCCTCGCCCACCGCGAAGCCGAGCGCGTCGTCCCGAACCTCGATGATAAGATTGTCTGCGCCTGGAACGGGATAGCGATTGGAGCGCTGGCGCGCACGGGTGCGTCGCTGAGGGAGGTGGATGCGCAGATGTCGGAGAGGTGTCTGGATGCTGCGATTAGGGCGGCCAGGTTCATGAGGAGGGAGATGTATGATGAGGACGCCAAGACACTGAGGAGGGTGTGGCGTGGGGGCCCGGGGGAGACGGCGGGGTTTGCGGATGATTATGCGTTTTTGGTGGAGGGGCTGCTGGAGCTCTACGAGGCGACGTTTGCGGATGAGTGGGTGAGGTGGGCTGATGAGCTGCAGGGTGGGTGATATTTCTTCTTTTTCCCTTTTTGTCTCTTTTCTCGCTTTCTCCCCCCCATTCTGCCCATTCTCCCCATTCTCCCCATTCTCCCCCTTCTCGTCGCCGTTTGAACCCAAGCTAACTCCCCCCCCCAGCAACCCAAAACTCACACTTCCTCGACCCCACCGCCTCGGGCTTCTTCGCCACCGCCGCTGCGGCTCCACACACCATCCTCCGCCTCAAAGACGGCATGGACGCCTCCGAGCCCTCCACCAACGGTGTCTCAGCCTCCAACCTGTTCCGGCTCGCCAGCCTGCTGGGGGACGATAAGTACGAGGCCCTCGCTAAGGAGACGGTGGGGGCCTTCGAGGCGGAGATCATGCAGTATCCGTGGTTGTTTGGCAGTTTTATGCCTAGTGTTGTGGCGGGGCTGACGGGGGTTAGGGGGGTTGTGAGGGTGGGTGCTAAGGAGCCGCTTGTGGAGGGTGTGAGGGTACCGGGTGATGGTGCTGCTGCTGCTGCGACTGCGGACGAGGCGGCTGTGACTGCGGTGGATGGTACGGGGGTTGATGTTCCTGCGGTTGGTACCGGGGTTCCTGTTCCTGAGGCGGTTGGTGCTGAGACAGCTACTATTCCCGCTGCCGTCGTCGCTGGTGCGGATGCTTCCACGACCGGTGTCACGACCGGTGTCACGACCGCTGTAGCGGATGCTGTGATGGACGCCTCCACGAACGCTTCCGCGACCACAGCTCCCACAGCCTCTCCCCTCCGCACGACCATCCCACCAACAGACAAACAACCCTTCCACCCCATCGCCCTCGACACCACCCCTAGCGGCGGCCTCGTCGAAGCCGGCGAGACGCCACACCCGTCCTCTAAAACTGGGACGAAACTGCCGCCGTGGCCGCGGCCAAGGGCGAAGGGCGGGATTGAAACGGTGAGCTTTGTTGGGGGGGGTATGGGGGGTGGATTGGGGTGAGGAATGGGGGGGTTGGGGAGTTGGCCACGGGGGCGGGGGAGAGGGTGTTGGTTTGTGAGGAGGGGGGTGTAGGGAGGTCGAGGTTGATGGGGTTAAGGGGGTGTGGTGATGGGATGGTAATGGGATAATGAGGGGGATAGATTTAGGGGGTTAAGGGGGTGTGGTAATGGGATGGTAATGGGATAATGAGGGGGATAGATTTAGGGGGTGTAGATTTATGGGGGTAGATTTTGGGGGGGAGATTTAGGGGGGGAGATTTAGGGGGGTAGAATAAGGGTTTAGGTGTAATTTTGGACTTTTGGGGTTTATATATGACGTTTTTATTTATTCGCATCTGTTTGTCGGTGAATGTGTGGATATGTGGTGCCTGACCTCGACCCTAACAATTTAAACTCCCTACATAGAGAGAGAAAACCGGCATAGCAGTACCTAATACCCATTTCTTTCTCATCGCCGAATCTCCCTCCTCCACTCATACCATGCCCTCCGCATTCTCCCTCCGTATCTGCCACAGAGACGCCGACTCAACTACTCGACATGGTAGGTCTAGGTAATGTATAGCATCCCCATGCGACCCGATCTCCTCGTGGACCTGCTGTTTCTCTACCCGCAGTTGCACCGAGTGCAGTTCCGATGCCACAGACCGCCATGCCTCTATCACCTCAGGGCTAATCTCCAAACTCCATGTCCCGCGCCATGTAATACTCGCACAGTCTCTACGGAGGCGGTAGATGAATGCAGCGGCGAATTCGGCGTTGAAATCTTCAAACACGGATAGGCTCTTGGGAGGGTTGTGGGCTTTAGAGAGGAGTAGTTGGGCTAAGAAGAGGGTGTCTATAACCGATTGTGTTAGTGGCTCGAACGAATGAGAGATAGGATGGGAATCATTGGGGTCGGAAATTACGATATAGGCACTCACCGTCGTCGGATACAGCTTGCCTGCTTTTCCATGGTGATCGCAATGGCTCATATACCAGGCGTTCTAATCGCCAAAGGCTGCTCAATATAAGCCACACGTCTAGGGGGTGAAGCCAACGACGAAATTGTCGAGGTATGATAAGGCATGTGACTGCGTTAACTTCAGGAAGTGTTTCTTGGAAGCCTAAGGGCCTCGTTTGAAAGAGCCGGAATATGGTCAGCCATGGAGGGCTCTTAACCCGCCGGCCATTAACCCAGCCGAGCTAGTCTCGCCACCATAGCCATCTTGCCTTGAACTTGCGGCTCCGGCGCCATCGTCATTAGGGGCGAAACCATGGTTTTTGAACCAGTGTTTAGAGTCGCTAGGAGAATGTGCTTTAAGCTCCAACGTCAGGTCACTCGCTGGATCCCAAGTGCCTAGAATCGAGAACAGCGTCCGGATTGCATCTCTGATGATGGAGCATTTGCGAGATTCCCATAAATGCGTCTCCGCCTTCTCACAGCTTTGGTATGAGTACTCTGGCAGCTTGATATCAAGCTGGATATGGTGAACTAGATCTCTCTGGCGAATGACCATGCGGTTGAATTCATCAAGGCAGGACCCTTGTAGCTTCAGCCGATGAAAGTTTCTTTTCTCTATAAAGAACTGCCATTCCTTGCAAACGGCTGCACAGGAAGCCCATCCAGGACTCTTTTGACGTGTGAAAATGTCTAAAATCATAAGCCGAACCTCCGCCGGCAGAGACAACCAGTATACGCGTTCTGCTTTTGTCGAACGAGGAATCATTTTATGGCGCCTGCGATCGCTGCGCCTGTCCGCCATGGTGAGAAATTGTTGGTTTTTGGTAGTAAAGGAGGTTTTGAGATGGTGGGAAAATATAGGCAAACGCTGCAGCGGGGTGGTAAAAAACACCCCTTTGATGACGGGGGTTGCCCTGTCTGAAATAGATATCATGAGAGACTAAGTCATTAGCCTTCGTGAATATTACTCATAGTTATAGTATTTATAGTTTATCTTAGTGTCTACCGAAAGTTAAAAGGGGGGCTATGTGCAATAGCTAGTGTTTATAGAAATTGTAACTAAAATAGTGGCGCTCAATTACCCAAAGGTTTTAGTTATCATATTAACTATCCACACACCATAAACTCGTTTAGGCAAACTCGGCTTTTCAGGTCACTGACACTTTAAAATCTTTGATAGTTAGTATATAAATAATACACAAGAGCAGGGTTAGAAAATCAATTATATCATGATTATTTAGTCGTAATCATAATCATGATTATTTATAAAGCGTATAAGTTAATATCGAAGTCAAGTCACGTGGTATCAGTCACGTGAAGCGTAGCGAGATCGTAGCGTAGATCCTAGATATAGAGATTCGAGAGAACGCCCTTATGGCTTCTCTCATCAACAAGATCATCGATCATCAGAATATCAAGGATTACGATTACTCCCTACAGCCCATCGTAGTACTAAGCTTCCTACACCTCCACAGGTTATGAGCCCGGAGCAACTACCACATCAACTGTAAGATTGTTCTCATCGTTCGTTCCAATCCTCGGAGATCTCAGAGTTGAGTCTCGCGAGCCCCATCAGTGCCTTCGACGCGTCGCTCTAGTCGAGCAGTTCGAAGAGTTCACTATTCTCAAGGTCCCTGATATCGAAGCTTCAAAGTTGAGCTCGATAGCTCACCTATGTGGTCACGAAATCCATACGCAGACTTCAGATCAATCCTCAGATCGACTCTCTCAGACCCAGCCCGAACCAAGGGTACTGCAAGGCAGTTCAAGGTCATCATCGTCATCAGCTTCGCTGCCCCAGTGAGCGCGAACATCATTATCATGGCCGACTCAACTAGTCTTCAATCAGGCCGAATTCCAAAAGACAAGCACCTGAAGGGTGCAGAGAACTATACCGCTTGGAAGATAGCCGTCTATAGTCTTCTCTTCTCCAAAGCACTCGATGAGAAGGCCAACGATCCAGATTTTCTACGCCGACTGCTCCATTGTCCTGCGTGTACTTCTGCATTAATTCCATCGTGATGATTCCGAGCGCTCTGACATCCCGAGGCTCCCGATTTCTCTGTGTTTTCTCTCAGCATTGTTGGTTTGCTATGAGTTCGCATTAGCAGAGAACCCCCTCCGATTATCCACAACTAACCAATTTTAACATCGCCCTTGGTGCTGAGGAGGATGTTCCGGCAATTGATAGATCCATGTTCGAGCCCCTCGATTTCGAGATAGATTAAGCCGTCGAGGACCTTCCATGCTCCTTGTCAGCGTGTGACCGACGCGGCTGGTGGATGTGACATACCTGCCTGAGGATAGCTGCTAGTTCCGATTCCGTAGGATATTTAGCACTCTCTACGATCTGGTAGAGGGAGATGGGCATGTACTCGAGGACAATGTAGAACGATGTCTCGGTAGTGAATGCTTCAAGAGCCTCGACAATGTTGGAATGTCGTACCTGACCATGCATATAAAGCGCCTTCTCGGCACCTGCAACCGTAAATGTCCTCACGGCTACGAGTCCCGCCTTCCCTTGTGCCACAGTAACAGGGCCGTTAAGGTCGAGATCGAAATGTTTCTTGTAGATTACCCACGGTGATTCGTTTCTTGCGTTCGTAAATGAGCTGGGTTTAGATTCACTTATGCTTGGCAGCTTAGATATCTTGACCCTGCTCGTATGATCTGTATCGTCCATCGGAGAGCGAGGTCTTTTCGAGATCAGTTTTTTACTGGCGCTCTCAGGCGTGTCCCACTAGGGAACTTGAAGTGCAGGTAGAACAGCGGAAGCTTCAGATTCTGAGTTAGATATTGATTACAATATAACCTCTTCTTCCGCGATTTATCAGAGATTCGCAAGAACACATTTAAAAAGGGAACCATTATAGGAGCCTTTCGCGACTCTGGAATGTGGCCAATCAACTCCCAAGAAGCTTTGAAGAAAATGAGGGTATATGCTCCTCTTGAGCATCAAGAAGACTGTCAAGAAATTCCAAGAACACCAACGAAATTTATACATTCAGAGCTAAAACTTCAACACTGGCAAGCTAGAATACCAGATCTACTGTCTAGTCCATCAGCTCTAGCGTGGAATTCCTGGGCACGCGGTACTGAAAACATGCTTGCATACGGAGAGCTTGCAGTCCTACAGCATGATTTACTATCTATAAAGGTTGCAAATCAACAGAAGGCTAAGATCCGAAGTCGCTCTGTTCTTCAGACAACTAGTGGTCCGTTAACAGCAAGAGACGCACAGAAAAAGAAAGAAGACAAGGCTAAAAAACATAAGGAATCACAGGAGCGGACTGCAAATTATAGGTTACGGATTGCACTGAGCAAAGTCAAGAAGGCACTCCACAAGCGTGGAGTAGAAGCACGCAAAGCTGAGCAGGCAAGAAAGCGTCAAGTTAGTATTCTGTTAAAGGCAAATAAGGAGGTTCCTCTTGATTTACTTGAGCCAATTCAAGACCCAGAGAAATTAGCTCAAGAATCAGAGCTCCAAGAAGAAGCTACCTCCCAGCTAATTTCAACAATGGGCTATTCACACTCGCAAGTAGACGAAGATGAGGATACTGGTTTTATTAGATTCAGTGGGTTAGATGTGGAGGAGAGCGATAGCTTTTTTGTAGACCATGAGCTTGATCTTGAGGACAATTTAGATTCTGGTTTATTTTGACGTTAGGAATAGCTTATCATTTACAGTCAAAAGTCATGGTACATTTATTACGATGGTGGTTGTATTGGAATCTATATACCAATACTATCTGGCGGTGTGCAACTTGCTTCCGTGTGCAACTTGCTTTCGCCTTTCACCTGCAGGGTGGTCGGTGCGAACACCGACGATTACTTATCAAGTACGTTAACTTAACTAATCATAATCATGCTTACGTAATATTTGACTATGCGAATAGTCATGATTATTATGATTATCGAATTTGTGGCGTGAAGATAATTCCATCAATGATTAATTTATTTTCTCATTTTAGCGTTTTTTTAAAAAACGCTCGTATAATATTTTAATTCGTTTCGTGAACGGTGGATACGTGACCTTTAGAGTTTATTTCCTGCAATAAAGATAGATTCATTGCTTTGAACGGCTAGTACCAAGTCCTACTGTGGACAATCCCTCGTCTGACTTTCAAGTGGCATGACTACTCGAGTACTACGAGTGCCTGTTTTATAAAGAGGTCGTGATTGATACTCTATACTACCCCGTTTTAGGAATAGTCGACTTTCAAAACTTTATACCCCTCTCGACAGGGCCAATTTCACGTGACTGCCACGGATTTTTCGAACCACTTACCGCCTCTGCCTGGGGCTAGCACTGATTGGCAGATTCCTGCACCACACAAAAAGTGAACTTCCTCCCACCACGAATCTCGCTCTCGAGTCTCGCAAAACCCACCACGCCGCGCCCCCCCCCCCTTTGTCGGCCACGCACTGGATCAGCGAGCAACATGGACGTAGGCCTAGTCAGAAGTCGTATTATCGCGACGCTCGATGCGGACGCCGACGCGCGCCGCCGCGCTGAGCTAGATCTCAAGGCTGTCCGTACCATATCACCCCTCTTTCTCCCCACATCTCGCTGACACTTTTTGCACCAGGCCGAGGAACACGCCGGCTTCACAGATGCTCTACTCGATATTCTACAAGGCGAGCAGGAGGCCTCCGTCAGACTGTCGAGTACGTCTTTCTCCCCTTACGCCGCCATACACCAGTTTCATATCCGCGACAAAACTGCTGCAACAACCCGCTAACTCACATTAGCGGCCGTATACCTCAAAAACCGTGTGTCGCGTGCCTGGGCCGTTAGCGACGATGCGGCTGCCACTCATAAACCCATCCGCGATGAAGAGAAGGCCCGCTTCCGGGAACGCCTCCTGCCCGTGCTGTCGACATCGTCGGCCGCCGTGCGCGCACAGCTCGTGCCCGTCCTGCAGAAGATCCTGCACTGTGATTTCCCCGCGCGCTGGCCGGGGTTCATGGACGTGACGCTGCGGCTGCTGAATACAAATGAGGCGGCGAGCATCTTCGCGGGCCTGCAGTGCCTGTTGGCCATCTGCCGCGTGTTCAGGTTCAAGTCGGGCGAGAGCAGGGCTGATTTCGATAAGATTGTTGAGGCGACATTCCCGAGACTGCTGGTTATTGGGACAGGGCTGGTGAATGAGACAAGCGAGGAGGCCGGGGAGATGTTGCATTTGGCGCTGAAGGCCTATAAACATGCTACCTTTGTAGGTCTTTGTTATGTGGGGGGCTTGGCGGTGAGAAATGGCTAACACGGTGTAGTTCGACCTGGCTGCTTCCCTGAGGCAGGAGCAGACTACGATCGGCTGGTGTTCATTATTCATCCAGACCATCGGAAAGGAAGTCCCACAAAGCGCTCTATCGGAAGATCTCACCGAGCGTGAAGCGAACCACTGGTGGAAGGCAAAGAAGTGGGCATACTTCAACCTGAACAGACTATTTGTCCGGTATGTTTTGTGCGAGCCTACGACCTAACTTGTTCTAACTTCTATAGCTATGGAAACCCAGGTTCTCTCGTCTCTGGAAACGGGGATGATTACGTTGAGTTTGCGAAGCACTTCATCGCCACTATCGCACCTGAGATTCTCAAGGCCTACCTCGCGCAGATCGAGAAGTGGGTTGCCAAAACCACTTGGCTTAGCAGACGCTGCCTATCATATACCCTTGCTTTCCTCGACGAGTGTGTTAAGCCAAAGCAGATGTGGGCTCACCTGAAGCCGCATCTCGATACTTTGGTCACTCACTTCCTCTTCCCTGTGCTCTGCTTGTCGGAAGACGACATTGAGAAGTTCGACACTGACCCAGAGGACTACCTCCACCACAAGCTCAACTTTTACGAGGAGGTCTCCGCGCCTGATGTTGCCGCTACCAATTTCCTAGTTACCCTTACCAAGGTTCGCAGGAAGCAGACCTATACCATCCTGACCTTTGTCAACACCATCGTCAACGAGTACGAGGCTACAGAGGACAGCAAGAAGAACCACGTCGCCAAGGAGGGAGCCCTTCGCATGATCGGCACCCTATCCAGCGTCATCTTGGCTAAGAAAAGCCCTATCGCGACGCAAGTCGAATACTTCCTCGTCCGCTACGTCTTCCCAGATTTCAACAGCCCGCAAGGATACCTGCGCGCACGCGCGTGCGACACGGTTGAGAAGTTTGAGCAGCTCGACTTCAAGGATACGAACAACCTGCTCGTTATCTACCGCAAGATCCTCGAGTGCATGGGCGACCCAGAGCTGCCCGTGCGTGTCGAGGCCGCCCTGGCCCTGCAGCCGCTTATCAGACACGACATCATCCGCACCAGCATGCAGCAGAACATCCCGCAGATCATGCAGCAGCTCCTGAAGCTGGCCAACGAGGTCGATGTCGACGCCCTGTCGAACGTGATGGAGGACTTTGTCGAGGTGTTCGCCGCTGAGCTTACGCCGTTTGCAGTTGCCCTCAGCGAGCAGCTGCGCGACACATACCTGCGCATCGTCAACGGATTGCTGGACAAGAACGAGAGCCGCGGCGACGACGACTCGTACGGCGACTACCTGGACGACAAGTCCATCACGGCGCTGGGTGTCCTACAGACAATCGGCACTCTGATCCTTACTCTCGAGAGCACACCCGAGGTGCTGCTGCACATGGAGTCGATCCTGATGCCCGTCATCAGCATCACGCTTGAGAACAAGCTGTACGACCTGTATAACGAGGTCTTCGAGATCATCGACAGCTGCACCTTCGCCGCCAAGAGCATCTCGCCAACGATGTGGCAAGCCTTTGAGCTGATCCACCAGACGTTCAAGGCAGGCGCAGAGCTATACCTCGAGGACATGCTCCCCGCGCTCGACAACCTCGTGCAGTACGGCGCGGCACACCTGGTGCAGACGCCCGCATACCTCGACGCCATGTTCGGCATGGTACAGGACATGTTCCACGACGACAAGGTCGGCGGCGTCGACCGCATCTGCGCCTGCAAGCTGGCCGAGAGCATGATGCTCTCCCTCCGCGGCAGCATCGACCAATACGTCCTCGCCTTCGTGGAGATGGCCATGGCCACGCTGACCAATGCCGACGTCAAGGTCAAGTCCTACAAGATCCACCTCATGGAGATGGTTATCAACGCCATATACTACAACCCCGTGCTGGCGCTGCACGTCCTCGAAGCCAAGGGCTGGACCAACAAGTTCTTCAGCCTGTGGTTCGGCAGCATCGACGCCTTCAGCCGCGTCCACGACAAGATCCTCGCCATCGCCGCCATCGTCGCCCTGCTGACCCTCAACCCGGACCAGGTCCCCGCCAGCGTGCAACAGGGCTGGCCGCGCCTGCTGCAGGGTATCGTGCGCCTGTTCCAGACGCTGCCTGCGGCTGCGAAGAACCGCGAGGAGGCGCTCAAGGACGATTATCCACTTGCGGATGGTGTGTATAGCGATGATGAGGAGGAGGAGGGCGTTGAGTGGGGTGGTGAGGATACGGCGTGGGCTGAGGAGGCCGAGGAGGAGGAGGATGCCGAGGGGAAGGATGAGAGTAGTGCATACCTTGACTTTTTGAACGAGGAGGTGAGTTTGCGTCCCGTGTGCTGCGGTGTGTGGAGTGAGGTCTAACGGATATACAGGCGCAGAAATTCGGCAACCTGGATGATGGGTCCGACGACGAGCTCGGCGAGGAGAGTCTTCTCGAGACGCCGCTGGATAAGGTGGAGCCGTACGGATTGTTCCGCGATGCTCTCATGAGTATGTTCCCCCCGCCCCCAACAGAAACAAAACACGAACTAACCACGCCCACAGAACTCCAAACCGAACAACCCCAACTCTACACCTCCCTCACCAACTCCCTCTCCCCCGAGGAACGCACTGTCGTCGAGTCCGCCGTCGCGCAGGCCGACGTCATCGCCCGCAAGACGGCTGAGGAGGCTGCTGCGGCTGGCGCGAGCGCATAGAGATGCCATACCCCCCAATATAATGGGAGCAGACGAGATGAAGGGATGATTGGGTGAGGGTGAGACAGGGGACAGGAACGGGGATATTTTGGCGTTGAAAGAGGAGGAGGGCTTTTGTGGGCTGATTGACTGATTGATTGATGATGGGGATTGGATAGTGGGGTCGCCGCTACTGGAGATGGGATGGGGATTGGATAGGGGGGTCGCCGCTACTGGAGATGGGATGGGGATTGGATAGGGGGGTCGCCGCTACTGGAGATGGGATGGGGATTGGATAGGGGGGTCGCCGCTACTGGAGATGGGATGGGGATTATGGGGGCGGTTGGGGGGTGACACATGCGACACGAGGGATATGGATGGATACGGGCTCGGAGGAAGAGTGGTTTGAGTTCTGTATCGTTGTCGTAGAGGAGGTCAGCGATGGATTTATGCATGCACATACAAGACTTTTCTGGATGGGTTCTGTAGGGCTGATCTAGTCGCTGTCGTCGCCCCGTCCCGTCAAACTACGCTCCCTACGTATCTACCTACCCTACCTCGCATCGCCGAGCCTATCTCCCCCAATTTCCCAATTTCCCAATTTCCCCACGACTGATGAGTCAACCCTCAAACTCGCACTATAGGCAGGTCGATGGGCGGCATCGCCGCATTGGCATCCCATTAGGCAGTGCTGCGCTGTCTCGTGTCTGGATGCTGGATGACTCTTTTCCCTCTCCCGAAGGCTGTGGAAGCGTGGGCAGGTGCATGTAAGTGTGTGCAAGCTTCCTTTAGATCCTCTAGATGACCTCACACTGTGGCATGATGAAGTACCTCTAAGTATTATTAGCCAACTCTGACACCCCACCCCGCCCTGCAATCTCTCTAAAAATACATCCCACTACTTCCTCTAGTTGCAATTGACAGTGGCTTAGAGTACTCGAGTATCTCCTCCCTGCCTCGCCGATTCCTCTTTCGTCTTGCCGTAGCCCACGAATCAAACAGTCCAAACCTTGCTCTGCCCACCTCCCGCCCCAAACACATCGCGACCTCATAATGTGAGAGTTTCCCGCTGTCTGCCTGGTGGCCTCTTTTTTCTCTTTTCATCTTTTGCCACATTATACGACAATCGACGACTACGAGGGATATTCATCTACTCCAGCGACAACGTAAGCTCGATTACAGCTACGGTCTGCTTTCAGTTTTACAAGACCTCGTCTACGTACTATATTTTTACAACGTACCGTTAGACCTCAGGCAAACCAGCAACTACTTTCCAATTGCATGCTCCCCGCATTCCCCCCCCCACGCACAACGCTATTCTCTTCCCAATAAAACTCGAGAAATCACTTCCAATGCAACACCAGGCCCCCCTCCAAATCTTCACCATCACGCAGCTTGAGCTTGGCTCGCCGCTGATCTGGGAGCCCGCCGTCGGCACCGCCGAGCACGACCGCCTCGTGGACGCCTACATCCCAGGCCCCGCGAACCTCCAGCAGAAGCGCGCGACCATCGCCCTTGACTTCTTCGACACGGCCGCTGCCTCCACCATGCCCGCGCCCTTCTGCCGCACCTACCTCGTCGCGACCAGCACGCCCGAGTTCGCGGCAAAGCCATACTCCCCCGCATTCGCGCCTACCACCTCCTTCTCTCCATCCGCCTACACTACTTCCACGCTATCCTCATCCTTCTCCGCCTCCGCGTCTACCTCGTCCTTCTCCGCCTCCGCGTCTACCTCCTCCCATTCCTCCAAATCGAGCAAGCGCTCCATCTCCTCGCTCTCCTCCGCCGCCTCCGCTAGCCCAGCAAAGCGCCTCCCCGGCTTCTCCATCATGACCGCCGACGGCGTCGACATTACCAACAACCAGTCGCGCGGCCCCAAGACCAAGGCACAGCGTGAGCAGGCCGCCAAGATGCGCAAGCTCGGCGCCTGCCCAGCATGCAAGCGCAGCAAGCAAAAGTGTGAGCCCTCGCACCACCGCCCGGCGCCGAAGTCCGCCTCGTCGTCGCAGAACGCTAGCTCCGTCAGCTCGCCGTGGCAGAGCAGCGGATCCGCATCGACGTCCCCGCGATCGCGCGCGAGTATCTCCCCGCAGACCAGCTTCGGGCAGTCGTTCAGCCCGGCGTCGCAGGCTCCGATAGCCGCAGACAATTTGGCATGGAACTTCGCTGCTCCGGCGGGCGACTTGGTGCCTGGCGATTGGGGATTCACATCTGACCAGCTGCTGGCAGAGAACAGCAATGTCCCGCGACTCTTTCCGTCGGACCTTCTCGATTTCGATGCACTGGACGAGGACTTCTTCGCGTCTGCGCCGGCGTCAGCTGACAACTTCTTCCCACATGTTCAAGACAGGCCGAATGTTCAACCCCGTGTCTTCGAAGGCGGGGCGTGGTACGATAACTTCGTGCTGTCGTCGTACTTCAACGGCGGGGAAGCAGATGCGTCTCTGTCGTCCGCCCCGGCGTCGGTGGGCGAGTCGTCTGCCCGGACCCAGGCGTCGTCGTCATCGACGTCGCCATCTGGGCAGTCTGACTCCTCGCACGTCCCTAGCGGGCTGGAACGCGTTCGCGATCTAAGTCCGACATCATCTAGTGAGATAGGTGGTAGTAGTGAGAGTCCCGAGCTGGATCTCTTTAGGGATCGCAGCGTCCATGCCAGCGACCTCGTTATCGACGGTACGTTATGGGACAACTTACAATCCGACCCCGCTACCCCGACGCTCCAGCGCCAGAGTAGTGATGGCATAGTCGACGACCCATCCGGTATATATCTAGTTCCATGGGCCGAACCACCGAACACGACGTCCACGACGCCACGCCGCCGCCAGACACGCGTAACATCGAAACAGATCCGCGCGCCGACATCACGAGGCCATCCGATTGCGAACGCAGTTCCGTATACTAGAGACCTGCGCGCCTCCGATGAAGGTGACATGCCCCCGTCTCACGCCATGGCCACGGCCGTGGCTGCTAACCAACACCAACGTTTGGAGTACATCAAGGTGCTCCGGGACTCACGCAGGGACTTAGTTACGAGTAGTCACAGGCTTCCGTCTGCGTCCGCATCCTCGGTCCCATTGGAACGAAACACCCGACTTCACGCCGCCGTTGCGAACTACCTCGTCTCTTCCTCACCGACTGCGTCCGCATCGTCGGTCCCGTTGGAACGAAACACCCAGCTCCACGCCGCGGTTGCGCCCTACATCGCCTCCTCCTCACTCTCAACACCATATTCTCCTCACGCTGCCGCGTCTGGACTCAGAGAATCTAGGGATAGGCACAAGGCGCTCCGGAGGCCAGTGGCGCTGTGCTCATGCACCGTCCGTACAGCTGTACCTGCGACAGCGCTCTGTGCGTGCTCCACCCCAACAACAACCATACCCGCGAACCTGGTGGCATCACGGTCGCGACACAGTACAGGCGTGCTGGCTGGTATGTTAGATGGTATACGAAAGCGTGTGCTATCATTCTTTGGGGCGGGGGACGCTGGGGTTGAGGGGTTGGTACGGGGGATGGGGAGACTCGGGGTGGTATAGGTAGTGGGAATGCAAAGAGGGCTATTTTGTCGTCGTAGAGGACGGGATGGCAGTGTGCGCTGTGCCGCGGTGGGACTGTAGATACTATTACTCGTACCGAGAATGGACAGCCGTGAGCACGTTAGTTTTTTTACGCCGTGGCTTTTGTGAAAGCGGAAACTTCTTGTCAATCCATTTGGAGAATGTGTTGGGCATTTTGTTGAACTCTTTGAAACCCAAACTATGTTGTCGACGGGGTAAACATCGAGATGGGATGTTGGAATTGACGTTGCATGATAAGACGAGACAGGATTGGTCTCCCATTCGCACATCCCTTTTCCCCTTCCAACACACTCGCAACGATAAAGTTCTTTTATACTAACGTCACAACAACATCGCGACCACAACCACAAACCACCAAGACTGTTGCCCTTCCTGTCATACCCATCAAGCCTTTTCATCCCACCCTAACTTACCCTTTTCACGCCCTCAAACTCCCACGAAATGGTCCCCGCCCCGCCCATAGCCGCCCCGCTATAATGGGTGGAGTGTGCAGCGTCATGGTATCAGCGTCCCCACTATCCCCGGGGTAGTGGGGAGATATGGATTGGTGGGTGGGAGGAACGATGGAGTCGCTGGTGGAAGTGGAAGTGGATGGATCGGGGTCCTGTGGTGCCAGACACACGACACCGTTAAAAACGGGGTCTCTCTTGCTGTCGTAGCTGGCCGATCACCACGCCGCGTGCTCGAAGGGGGAAGACGGGGGCTTGGCTATGCTTGCGCTGGGGCGGCGGTGATGGTGGGGGGGGGGGAAGGGAGGGATTTGGGTTGATGAAGGGGGTATAAGGGGAGGTGGTTGCTAAGTATGTTTTGACTTCTCCGGTCGACATATTAGGCTTCTACGCGCACTGGCTTGGATCAGATATTGAAGCTTTGACGCACACTGGCTTGGACGACATATTGAAGCTTCGACGTGCGCCTGGCCTGCCACTTGGATCTTGGATTTGTGAACGGCAAGACGGCACATCCGGGAGAAGGAAGAAGGAAGGAAGCTACTGAGGCGGTTTCGTATCCGTCCACACGACACAAAGAGGGCCACCATCTCCCTTTCTCTAACAATAGCACACCGCAACGTAGGCCAAGCCCTTGTATCGCCCGGGAATATCCATTCTTCACCTCAATCTCCACCTCACAACACGCGAAGATCAAAACTGCAAGGAGAAAGGATTCTCAAAAACACCCTCGCTCGCACCACACACCACCAACAAACACCAGCAATTATCCAGCAAATTACCCAGCCATACCACCCCCTCCGACTCTCCCACGGCGCCGCGCACCTTCAGCGCCCTCCTCGCATCAAACGCATATATACCATGACACCCCGCCCTCGCATGCCCTCGCTCTCCCTACGCCCCAGTCTCCGTTCCCGCGCCTCCTCACATTCCAACATGCTTCACGCGCGCTCGCCCGCCTCCCGCCCTCCCTCTCCCGGCGGTATGGAGCGCTCATCATATTTCATGACCTCCGCGTCCGCATCATTGTCATCCGCGGAGATGGCGTGTTATGGGGCCTGTACCAGCAACCCATGGATGAATAGTGAGTCCCTTCCCTCCCTTTCTCCCCTTCAACAACCCAGCTTCGGTGGTTGGTGGCTCGCTTCCTCAATGGCGCTCTACGGCGCTGGCACGGGCCACGCGACGCGCGCGTTGGACCACTCCCTGGGCCCTGACCTCGCGGGCGTGTGCGCGTGCATGGTGGCTGACGACGTGATTGCGCAGGTCCCGGAAGCGGGTATTCACCGACATCTCAGTTACCACCAAAGGACCAGCACCAGCAGTCCACAGAGCAGCAACAGGGACAGACACAGAGCGACCCGCCCAACCGATCCCACCGCCCCGGCAGCCGCACGCCCACGCCGCTGTCTGCGCGCGGCGGCGCCGATATTGGGTACGTGCCTGTCTCTCCTGTGCTCTCTTGTAATCTCTACCTGCGTCACCCCCCCCCCCCCCTTTTCCCATCCTAGAATTTGTTTCGTGGGTACCCGATTGAGTCACACGACAACCACTGACATCAGTGAACTCCAGAAGCTACTTCTCCCCCTGGAGCTCCGAGTGCTCGCACACGCCGCCGCTCGGCTCTTGCGGAGCGGACGGCGAGGTTAAGACTCTCGAGCAGGACGGATTTTTCGCTCAGGGAACTACACATACTTCCTCCACTTCTACTTCTACCTCCACCGCCTCCACAGCAGCATCATCAGCGGTGCCGCAGATACACCTCCGACACCGACACACACACGCCCAGAACCAGACACGTCCGCACCTCCGCCCACCGCCACCGCAAAGCACAGTAACTTTCCCACTCACCATGGCTGTGGCGCAGGGGAAATACCACCCTTCTAACTACCGCCGCAACCCCTCGCCACCGTCTACTTCCTCCGAGCACCCCTCATCCACCGCCACAAGCTCACCCATCATCACCAGGTTGTCCCCACCCTCCGCATCCCCCCCAACGACAACACAATCCCCACTGTCCCCCCCAACACAAGCACCAGATACCCGCCGCCTCCTCCTCCAGTACCAGCGCGATATGGTAGAGGCGGCGGCGCGGGCGGCGCACTTGAGTATTTCGCGCTCGCCGGCGAGTCCGAGGCTGGGGCCGCTGGGGAGTCCGGGGCCGGTGACGCCGTTGGAGTTGGGGGAGGGGAGTTGGGGGGGGTGGTTGGAGCGGAGTTGCTCTGGAGACACTACGAGTCCTGCGGGAAGAGGTGGGAAGGGGGGGGAGGAAGAGAAGGGGGAGGCGTGAGTGGGGATGGGAATGCCTTGATGGGCCTTGAAGTATTGGGACTCAGACACGGAATGGCTCGGCTTGCCTGACTCAAGTCGTGGCTACGGCTATGACGCGGTGAGACGCGGTGATGACGGGTGATACGCGGTCGCGAGTCGCGCTCCACGGCACTGCACGGCGCATGTCCGCTCATCATGCATATCCGATGACGATACACTATGGAGGTAATGTTCAAAAGTTTTGTGAGTGGATCGAACCATCATCATATCATGTATCCATCACATATAAAATATGAGGCGAAATACACTATCGCGCTACAACTAGCCCTGCTAGTGGCTTTTTTAGGCCCCCCCACTCACAAAACTTATGAACATTACCTCCGTACACCGACGATCCATTACCCCCCATTTCTCGACCCGCGCGAACCGGGGGGAAGTTCGTTCGTTTCCTGGTTTGCTAGATGCGATGCGATGGGATAAGATGGGATGGGGTGGGGAAGCAACACCGCACTGCGCAAGGGATATCTACATCCAAGAGATAGTGGGCGAGATTTTGGTGTAAATACCTTGGCTTTTTTTTGCTGGTGTATTTTCTGGGCTGGGTATTGGATGGATGGGATATGATGCAGAATGATAGGGCACATCAGGACAGGACGGATGGACGGATGGGACAGAATAGATAGATAGATGGATGGACGTAGGTGATCATGCTGGGTTCTCTTCTTGATGACGGGTGTGGAATAGTAGTTAGTAGTTAGTTCTCCACCTCCTTACTCGCTCTCTCCGTCACTTCCTCACAATGACTCTCACCCACTCGCCGACCCCCATAACCTCACCCACCCATCACATCACCCACTCACCCCCACCCCACCCCACCCCACTCACTTCCAACCCCCCCACCCCCACCGTTGTCATAGCAAACCCCCCTCCCCCCACTACACGGCGTCTAAGACCTCTAACCCGAGATCTAAGACCTTTCCCATCCCATTCCACCTTCGTATGGACAACAGCGATCCCGAGATCGGAGATCTTAGTCCGATGAATGGGGCTGGCTGGGGTGAGACGCCGCCTTCCTTGGAGACTAGACTGAGGATACGTAGGGCTGAGCTGAGTGAGGGATGGGATGGGATGGGATGTGGAGATGCCGGCGCCGCGGACAACGAAAGGGCGGGGCTGGGTAGGTTGTGTGTGTGGATGGGAAAGGGGGGGGGTTCATGTGGGATACATGTCCCAACAAAGGATCAAATCACGTTACATCACAGCACAGCACATCACAAAACAGATACACGCTCAAGGTAAGGTAGAAATTGCTCTCGCATTTTTATTCCTTTCATCCTCATTATCATTCCTCAGAATGGTGCTACTACAGTACACATACCGATACGAGTACATCCTCTCCCCATCCACATCCACCCCCCCGTTAAGAAAATCCCAATAATCAAAGAAGGATGGCCTATCCGGCCATCCCCAACGCTCCATGACGCACCGTAATCCCGTCCCAATCCCACCCAAAAAAACCCTTTAGGAAACTCGTAATCGTTCTTTTATTTCACTCACACCCCTTGCTTGATAAAAAGAGGGCACGCCTATAACGCAACCCGACTCGACCCGCCCACACACGACTCAACATCACGTACCGACGACCTCCGCCTGCGCGGTCTAACCTTCCCGCCATCCCGCGCAGAACAGCGCGTGGCCCACAACAACCCCGCCAGCGCCTCCATCGACGGGCCCTCTTCAACTACACCATCAGTACTAACCTGGGGAGCCAGACGACGCTCAGACAGTGACCGCATTGCGCCCATCGTCGCATCCATCAGTGGACGCGCCAAATGGGGGCTGCAGGCCAGCAGTCGTCGCAGGTGCGCACTCCTCAGGGAAGAGCGAGGGCGAGTTGTCGAAGGCGTCGTGGTGGGCGACGAGGAAGTCGTCGAGGTGGAAGTCGGGGAAGATGTCGGCGTTGCCGTTGTTGTTGTTGATGTTGGCGAGCGAGGGGTGGGCGTGAGAAGGGTCGAGATGAGCGAGGTCCAGAGCGAAGCTGTCGGCGACGGGGAGGATGTCGTCGAAGAGCGAGGACTGCGAGGGCGAGGAGGGAGCATAAGAGTAGTAGTGAGAGAGATCAGGGTTGGTAAGAGCGCGAGGGGCGTCCAGGGCCGATGCGCCGCCGACGGACACTGCAGGTCCCACAACACCGCGGCAGAGTGTTGTGTCACGTCGGGGGCGCGGGCGTTAGACGACTCGGCTCCTGTGGAGGAGACGGGGCGGATGGAAGGCGAGAGGGAGGCGGGGTTGACGGTCTGGGGTCGTTGGTTGGTGAATGGCGCGGAGTCGCCGGAGGGGAAGAGTGGTTGCGAGAATGTGACCTGGGGTGGTGACGACACATCCACGGATTTTTGGGAGGGAGAAGAGAGGTAATGTGATGTCGAGGAGAGACGGAGGAGTTGCTGCTCAAGCGCCAGGTTCCGCGCCTCGGCTTCCGCTAGGCGGAGCTCGAGGTCGCGGTTTCGGCGCTCGATGGCCACCTTCTCCGACTCGAGAGCCTCGACTTCTTGACGCTTGCGCTCGCGTGATGATTGTGCGGCACGGCGGTTACGGAGGACGCGCTCGACGCGGCGTTGCTCCTTTTCGTCTTCTGTCTTGGCACGTTTCCTGGGGTTGTTAGATGAGTAGTTGGGGGTGGGAGTGGTGAGTGGTAGTACCTTGGAGGGAGGTTCGTCTTTGGCTCTGGGAGTTGTTGGCCCCACGACTTGCGCTTCTTGACGACCTTCTTCTCTGGCTGTGTCTGGTCGCCCCCGTTGGCGGCAGCTGTGACGCTGTCGTTGTCGGTCTGGGTCTCGAAGCGCTCATAGTCGGCGTAGTCGTACTCTGAGCCGTCAATCTCGGATGGGTTCATGCCATCGAAGAGGGAGGGGTAGGATTCATTCGGGGAGGAACCCTCGAACTGCTCCATCAGCGACTCCGCGGGGGAGAGCTCGAACTTGATGCTGGGAGACATGGTGGACTTTGGATGTAGGCCCGGCAGTATGTTATTGCAGCAGTCTCTTGATATGAAAGCGTGATGGTTTGGTAGTGTCGATATCTTCTATTGGGATGTCGATCAATTGTCGATGGTGATGATGATTTGATGATGTAGGAAGATGGTTCAATAGAAGTCAGCGCGCATTAACATACTGCCTGCCAGGCTCCCAACAAGTGTGTAATATCAGGTTCGTGAGTCAGTTCCGAGTTATTAGTGGATCGCCCAGAGGCAAGAGATGAATGATAGGGTGAGAGAGCACGAAGAGGGTTTGTTGTGTGTGAATTGTGATGGATTGGCAAGAGAGGACGACGACTTTTGGAGGGGAAACGGTGTCCTTTATGGACTTGAGGACAGATGTTGCAAAGTTGGTTTTTCGTCGAGTTGGGGTGGGAGGAGTAGGAATGAGTACGTACCTCGTGTCCGTACAGTAAGAAGCAAAAGGCCAAGGGGGCGGGTGTGGCTAGGTGGAGCCTAAGCGAGACTTGACAAGCCAATGAGAGGGCAAGATAGAATGAGGTGGTGGGGTAATGGTGGGGTGGTGGTGGTGGAGGTGTAGCCTAGTGTAGCCTGAGTGAGTGAAGCCCGTCTCGGCTTGCTTACCGTGCAGTTTCAGCGTATTCCCGCTAATTCATCAGTATACGACACCCCCCACTGACCAGCACCACTGACCACCACTGACCACCACTGACCTGTACCACCACCCACCACCACTGTGCAAGGTCTAGAGGGGCAATAGTGCGTGGGCAATCAATAATCCCCCACCACCTCTGGCTGGTCCGTCAATGGAGGGATGGCGGACTTCCATCCCCTCGTCCAGCAATATACAATACAGTAATCATCCCTCACAAACAGCGGGGGCGGGATGATCCCTCCTAATCTCCCCGATCGCCAGCCATGTGCGCGAGCCGCTTGGTGTGTGGTGGTGGAGAGGAAAGGGGGGCGTTATCCGGCGAAGGAATTATAGGGGCCTTGCATGGCGTGGATATGGATGCAGGGGAATGGGGGCCGTACATACCTCCCCTCTATGCTGAATCCTGTAGTTGCCGCCCCTTATAACCGTATAACCCGCCCACCCCAATAATGATATATCACGTGATACTGTAAATGACAATCCACGTGATATCGCCTAAAACCTCCCCCCGCCGCATTACCCCGCTGCGTCATCACGCGTATAAGCCACTACCAACCAACCACGAAACCCCGATACGCTGTGCTAGGCGCCAACCTCGACGTTTGATTCAGTTCAGCCTCATCGCATCTTCATCCCTTGTCTTTCTCTACTAGAACTGTTTCCTTATAACGAGATTATATCAGAAGAATCGCAACGCAACCTACCGGCCTTGCTACGGAAACGAACGGAAGAGAGAAAGAGAAATAGAGAGAGAAGGGGGCAAAGAAGACATCAAGAGATAAAGAGATAAACGGAGACAAAGATGTCAAAAGCAGCAGAGGCGGGGTTGATGAACGCGGAGATGGTGTTGAGGGTACGTCTGCCAAAGCGCCCGCCGAAGACGGATTCAACAATCCGACTCGACACACCCAGCTAACTTACTCGCCCCTCCAGTTCCGCGAAGGCGATCTCAAGAAGGCGATTGAGAAATTGACAAAAGAGCAAGCTAAAGAGACAAAGGAGCTGCTGAAGGTACCCATTCCCCCCTCCCCCTCCCCCTCCCCCCTCTCCCCACCCACCTCTCCCCACCCACCTCTCCCCACCCACCTCAAGAAACCCGCTAACCCACCAGCTCATGAAAACCGGCGACGAAGACCTCATCAACGGCCAAGCCTCCCTCGTCGCCTCCCTCCAAGGCACCATCCGCGACCTAACCCGCTCCAAACAACGCCTCCACATCTTCGCCGCCAAGATAAAATCCGCGCGCCTCAACCAATCCATCGGCACCTCCATGGTCGCCGTATCCCGCGCCTTGGGCCGCGTGACCAAGAACATCGAGCTCGAGCGCGTCGAGGCCGTCATGGCGGACCTGGGCAGGCAGTATGAGGATATCGATGTCATGACGCAGGTGCTGGATAGTGCGACGGCGACGGGGAGCGCGAGTACGGCCAGCCCGGAGGATGTGGAGAAGGTGAAGAGGCAGGTGGCGGATGCGGCGGGGGTGGAGATGGGGAGGGAGTTGGAGGGGGGGAGGGTGCCGACTACGAAGGTTGGACCGACGGCGGAGGAGGAGGAGGCGAGTAGCGAGAGGTTGAAGTCTTTGAGGCAGGGTGCGTAGATGGAGGTGGGGGGAGATAGAGGGCGTTCAGGGGTTTAGGTTTGGGAGCGACGATGCTTGCTTTAAGGTTGCTAGGGGGAGTGAAATGTATCCTATTCAACTCGTGAATCCCCTTCTCCATCTATCTACCGTACGAGTACCACCCCCCCTACATATACAAACTCGCCACGGCCGTAATATCCCTCTTAATCATCTCCTGACACTTCTGCATCTTCAAAAACAGCTCCGGATCCCCCACAATCCTCGCCGCATTCTTGACCTCCCGACACGTCTCATCCAGCCGCGTAATCACCCTCACGATCGTCCCCTCAAGCACATCAGTCAGGTCCGTGATATTCCTAAAGCTCATCCCGCGCGCCCACTCATACACGACCTCGACCAGCCCAAACCGTGGGCGCGACACGAAATCATTCGAGTCCTCCGTCGACAAAATCACCTGATGCAGCGTCTGCACCGCATTAACCTTCTCCGAGATCTCGATGATGGTGGCCATCCCGGCCTTGAGATTGGGGGTGAGCGTCGGCACAGTGTCGGTTTTCTCCTGGAAGACGAAGGCGGACAGCAGGGCGACGATCTCGGCGGGTTCGTAGGCCGCGAGGACGTTGTCGAGGATTAGCTCCGTCAGGACCAGTTCGTCGGCCGAGTGGATCTCGCAGGCTACTTTGCCCTTGAGCTCGACGCGGGAGGTGTCGTCGATGAAGGAGAGGTCGCGGAGGACTTGGATGCGCTGCTCGTAGTCGGGGAGGAGCTGGAGGTTTTGGTCGGACATGAGTTGGCGGAGTTGGTGGATGTTTTCTTTGATGACCCATTCGTCTTGTCGCATTGCGAACTGGAGTTTGTTAGCCATTGGTGTATTTCCTACGGGAAGGGGGGGTGTCTTACATGTTTGAGGAACTCGGGACACGAGATACAAACTCCCTGCTGTGCGGCCTCTGCAACCTGCCTTCGCTTCTCGAGCAGCTCGCGTGTGGTCATGTCCTTAATCTTGCTCCAGTCCAGCTCATCCCATTCAGGGAGCGTCCAGGACTGGCAGAGGCGCGACAGCTCCGCTACAGCGGCGAGGTATCCGTCACCGCCCTGGAAGATCTCAGGGACGATGCCCTTGAGCGTCGTTTTTGTGACACAGATGAGATCCGCGACAGGAACCCATAAGTTCTTGGTCGAGATGTGCTTCTTCGCTTGTGGGAGCTTGGTCATCATCTCCCTGTACTCAGGCAGGAAGGGTAGCAGATCCGTCGAATCTCGCACGTCTCTTCGCGTGCGGATCTCAAGGACGTGGATAGTCGGGTTAGGACCGCTCGTCGCACCCTCGCGCAGGAGGATACCAGGCGTTCTAACACCGTCTTTCATATACACAACCAGTTTCCTCGGCGCGAACATCCTGCGACCCACCGGCGTCCCAAGAACACCGAGATGCAAATCGAGGGTGAGTTGCATGTACTCCTGCCCTGCCTGGTGACAAGCCTCGAGATCCACATCGCAGACCTCACACGGCTCGCGCTTAATCTTGGCCAAGTCCGCCTCGGAGATCTTGACCTGTTTCTCGTGCTCAGGCAGCAGCTGCTGCGTCGCGTGCTCACTGAAACTTCGCTTGATCATCTCTTCAATCTTGAGCGCCTCCACGCGGAGTAAGTTCAGGATCATGTTATATGTGAGACGGAACTGGGAGCGCAGCTTCGACGGCTCGCCGAGGATCATCTGCCGTAGCTCGGTGACGGGCGGTGCCTCATCGCCGCCGGGGGCGACAATTATCACAGTCCCGATTGTGTCGAGACCGCGGCGGCCGGCGCGCCCAGCCATCTGGGTGTATTCTCCCGGAAGGAGGTTGCGGAAGGAATGTCCGTCATGCTTGCGGTATCCCGAGAACACGACTGTGCGAGTCGGCAGATTCAGACCCATGGCGAACGTCTCAGTGGCAAAGAGAACCTTGACGAGAGTCTGAGCAAACAGCATCTCCACGACCTCCTTGACAATAGGAAGCAGTCCACCATGATGCACCGCAATACCTCTTCCAAGCAAGTCGCGCAGCCGCACAATCTGTGGCAGCACACGGTCCTCCGGCTTAAGTCTCGCAATTGACTTCTCGATAGTCATATGGATGGCGCTCTTCTCAATCGCTGTACAGAAGTCCTGGTTGCTCAGCGCATCCGCATTCTCCTCGCAACGCTTCTTCGAGAAGACGAATATACATGCAGGAAGCAGAGACTCCTTCTTCAAGAATTGCACGAGGTGCACCCAGAGCGTCTTATCCTGCGCTGCTGACGTCCTTCCGCCGGGTCGTCCACCTCGCCCCATGTGTCCGGGGTTGTGGCTGGCGCGGGGAGGACCTCCTCTTCCTCGTTGCTGGGCACCTCCTCTTTGGGCACCACCGCGCTGGTTTCCGCCTCGGCCGCCCCTGTCGCCTCTACCTCCTCTCTGGTCGCCTCTGCCCCGACCTGACGTCTCAGCAGGAGGTAGCGCCTTAATCTTATCGCGTCCCGACATAGCATCGTTGGCCGCCTTCCAGCCCTTCTCTATAAACTTCTTATCCGAATCTACAATCTTGTGGATGTCTTTGTTCGCCCATAGATAATGCTCTAGTGGAATAGGTCGTTTTGCTGTTGAAATGACGTAGATGTCCTTCTTCTTCGTCCTCCCCACCCACGAGGCAAATTCGTAGGTGTTGGGGACTGTGGCGGACAACAAGATAAGAGTAACATGCTCCGGCAACATAATGATAACCTCCTCCCATACAACACCTCTCTCTAGATCGTTAACATAATGAACTTCGTCGAAAATGACAAACTCGACGTCGCGGATCAAGTCGGCTCCTCTGTACAGCATACTCCTGAGAATCTCAGTCGTCATGATGAGACAGCTAGCCTCTGGCGCAATCTGAACATCACCAGTGAGAATACCAACCTCGTCAAAGATCTGCCTGAAGTCGCGGAACTTCTGGTTACTCAGTGCTTTGATCGGTGATGTGTAGATAGCCTTCGTCATATGCTTTGCCGCGAGAGCAATAGCGTATTCGGCAACCACAGTCTTCCCCGCAGAGGTGTGCGCAGCAACGAAGACGGAATCTCCGCTCTCCAAATGGTAAACGGCCTCCTTCTGGAAAGTGTCGAGTTCGAACGGCCATTCCCTCGCCATATCAGGCACAAGCTCTCTGAAATTGGTGATCCCACGTTTGATATCCACCATATGTGCCCATTCCCTAGCTCCCCTCTTCGCCGCCGACGTAGCTAGAGCACTACGGGGCTCAAAAGCCGCAAACTCAACCGGCAATATCGAATCAATATCCTCCTCTTCCTCCTCCTCCTCCTCCTCATCCTCCTCCTCCTCTTCCAAAGCCTCCCTAGGGCTCTCCCCCTGTCCCCTCTCCAGACCCTCATCATCCACCGGCTCCTGATCAAGCACCTCCTCCACCTCCTCCGCCTCCACCTCCTCCCCCCTCCCCTTCTTCGGCTTAAAATTCACCCCCCTCGCAAACCCCGGCGCAATCTGCAACAGCCCATCCCCAGCCCCAAAATTAATGACCCTCTCCAGCTTCGCCGCCCCCGGCACTCCCTTCCCCTCAACCCGCATCATCTGCTCCTCCAGCGCCGCCGCCTGCTCAACCCCCTCCAGCCCGCCCGGCGCAAACGGGAAGAAGCCCGCGGCGCCGCGCACAAACTCGGCGCGGTTCCCCGGCTTGCGGAGCAGGGAGGTCGAGTTCTTGGCTGTTGCGCTGTTGGCGGGGACGGTCACTTCTTTGTAGCCTGTGACGCGGCCTTCAAGCCCTTCGCGCGTGAAGCGGGTTATGGTTCGTGTCTGTGTTGGCGCGATCTTGAAGAGGTCGGTGTAATCCGTGGGGCAGTCCCAGCGTCTGCTCCGTCAGTATTTGCCTGGGTGTGAGGGGAGTGGGGAAAGGCGGGCTTACTGCTGCAGCTTGTTCAGCCATTCTGTTGAGAAGGATGTAGATGGCGTCAGGAACTTGCGGGCCAGCTCCTTCTTCAGATCGTCGGGGTGCTGCTTGACCCGTTTGCGGGGTCCTTGTTGGTCGAGGATGCTGTCAATCCAGGCATCGTCTCTGGAGAGGTCGGTGCTGCCTATGTGCACTTTCTGCAGCGATTCGGCGAGGGCCTCCGCCATTGTGTTGAGTATGCGCGGTGAGCTTGGCCAAGGTGGTTGTGTTTGGGGGGTAGCTATGGCGGTGGGGGTTTTGGCGATGTCGTTGGGCGTCATCAAGGTGGGTAGGCAATGATACCCCACAATTTTTATTTACAGCCAAATTTTATAAAATGTTGGTTTTCCATGGCATATTTACAGTAGGTTATTTAATGGAGTAAATTATTCGTAGTTCTATATTCAAATCTGTTTTGGAATATTACCTTGACTGCGCAAACTGTAGCATATCCAATCGAAGAATATTTGAGTGCTAGGATATGAAATTCTAAGCGTAGTCATACTGTCTAAGCCTCCATAGCCTCCATTTCCAACATATCACCTGCATTTGCCCCTCAGAGAGAAGGTGGGAGGTAGGATCCTATCATTCCAACCTCCCAAGAAACATCACCAACACATTCAATAGCGAGCAAAATCATCGAATACAAGTCCATTCTACCCCCCACAATTTATATACACACATCTAACACTCCCCTCTCCACCCACTCCATCTCAACCCGCCTAATTCTGCGAGTAAATCTGTCGTTCCCTCAAATGCACCGGCACCTCCCCCTTCGGCGTATCCGGGATAACCTTCTCCAATTTCTGCCTCCCGTTAGCCAATGTCCATCACTCCCTCCCACGACACGCCTATCTAACATAGGAGGTAAATAAAAGATATAAGGAAACTCACCAGGGTCTCGAAGACACACTTGTTCAGCACGCGCTCAGCGGGGCGGCACTGCCACAGCTGCTGGTTGTTGGTATCGAGGCAGGACCAGTGGCGACGGAACTCCTTGAGGCAGTTCTTGTTGATATCGTCAATACTGCGTCTATTAGCCTTCACTCCCTACTTCCGCAGCCCATCCACCCCTTCCCTTCCCCCCCCCAATCACCACCCCAATCCCCCCCCAACCACCCCCAAGACCCAAAAGTAGCAGAGAACACTCACACACTAGCCGCACACCTCGTGACCCTCCTCCCCTCCTTCAAGCAATCCATCTCAGCCGTGCCATTACTCTCCGTCTTACACTGCATAAAATCATCATTATACTTCCCGCACCTCGCGCCGATAAAAAAACTCGCGCTCAGCAACGGCGCCGAGCTCGCCCCGACCTCCTGCACCGCCGGGATCGAGTCGGGGAGGGGGGTCGTATCGATGAGCGTCGATTGGGAGAATCTGCCAAGAAAGCTGTCAGCGGTCGGCTCCTGGGCGATGTTTCAATTGCGGCGTCCAATTGGCCGCGGCAGGTTGGGGGGAAGGGGAGGACAGACCTGGCCTGGCGTGCGGACATGGCGACGGTTTGTTGAGCGCGTCGGTGGTGGGATGGGGGGATGAGCTGGTGGGGTGTCTTTCGTCGTCGTGGTCTTCGAATCGTGCAAGCTGCGTTGCCGAATCTGCGCTAGTGGACTGGCGGAAAGGCGCGCGCACGGACCAGGCGTAAGGTGAAGAGCCGCCCCGGACGCGTCTCCCGCTTCTGAGAGTTACGCGTGAGGAGGAGCAAGCAACGTTGAAATTCAATTATTACGACGATTAGAACTGGAGAGATAGTCACGACGAGCGTTATCTGAGCTGGGAATGACTCGGATTTTTTCCGCTCGTGTTCGCGACTGAATCACACTCAAGTAGCCGCCGACTCGACACCTACCACCCACCATGCCACCCAACCCACCCCCCGCCGAAGCAGACGACCTCGAGGCCCTCTTCAACGACTACACCTCCGTCTTCGCCAAATCGCTCTCCCCCCCCCTTTACGCGCCTCCTCCCCCCCCCCTCCAGAAACTCCAAAACCAACAACGCCCTCGGCCTCGACGCCCCCCTCACCCTCCCCACCCGCGCCCCCCGCCCCAAGCTCGACGAAACCCGCCTCCTCTCCGCGCGCGGCATCCCGCGCCTGCGCGAGCGCGCCCGCACCCTGCGCCTCAAGGGAAAGGGTCACGAATACGGCGATGCGGAGCGGCTGCTGGGGTTGTACCAGATGTGGCTCGATGATTTGTACCCCAAGGCTAAGTTTGGGGATGCGCTGAGGATGGTGGAGGGGGTGGGGCATAAGAAGACTGTTGCGGTTGCGCGGAGGGGGTGGATTGAGGAGGGGAGGCCGGGACAAGGGGGGCAGGGAGAGGGGGATGGAGAGGGGGTGGGGAGACCGCAGGGGGAGATGCAGAGGCAGGGGACGGAGCGGATAGCGCCTATTTTCACGGACCTCGCGTCTCGTGCGGCGGAGCGGGGGGAGACGCCTGGCGCTGATGTACCGGATGATGACCCGGATGCAATAGCGGAGTTGTATGGCGCGTCGCCGCGGCGTGCAGCTGCTGTCGCTAAACCCGTCGCGCGGGGACAAGGGCAGACGAGTATTTTCGGACCGGGCGCAGTTGTTCCCCTCCCCGGCGCGGCGGCGGAGGAAGAGGAGGGGGATGACCTCGCTGCGCTGCTAGCGGAGGAGGGGGGGGTGGATGTCGATACGGTTACCAGCACAGCGGCCCTGGCGAACAAAACGACGCCGCTAGAGGAGGACGAGTTTGATGACGATATGGACGCTATGGCTGAGATGGGGTGGTGAGGAATGGTACCGTGTCATACACGATCTCCGCAGAGCACCGCTCCGAATCACATACTCGCGCACACATACATAAACCAAGCGGAAGATGAAGCCCCAAGTCAGAACTTTACCCAGCGACCATCCTCAGATCCGCGACCCGCAACCCCGTCTTCATCACAAACCACAATCCCACGCCCACCCATCCCTTCCCGACTCCATCCTCGCGTCTAGGGCAGAGCAGGGCCAGAGCGCCATGGCATGCGCGATGGAAGGAAGGAACGAGCGATGTAGCGAGAGAGGATGGGGAAGGAGCGATATGGGATGGGGAAAGGGGGAGGTTAAGAAGGAGCGAGGGAGACGAGCGAGTATGGGGACGAAGGATGGAGCGAGGGAAAGAGCTATGTAAAGAAGGAGCGATGGGTATGGGAGAGAGGGAAGGAGCGAGGGTAGGGAGGCGGCCCGAGGGGAAAAAAGAGAGGGAGGGAGCGGGAGTGACCCAGTCGAGCAATGGGGCGAAGGAAGGAGCGAGGGAAGGAGCGAGGGAAGGAGCGAGGGAAGGAGCGAGGGAAGGAGCGAGGGAAGGAGCGAGGGAAGGAGCGAGGGAAGGAGCGAGGGAAGGAGCGAGGGAAGGAGCGAGGGAAGGAGCGAGGGAAGGAGCGAGGGAAGGAGCGACTTGTATTGAAAAGAGGACGCGGAAGGAGCGAGGGAAGGAGCGACTTGTATTGAAAAGAGGACGCGGAAGGAGCGATGGGGACAAGAGATGGTATGATGGCAGGATAGATAGACGTACCTTCCATGGGAGTGCGGTCTTTTAACATCATTTCTCCTCGTTTCTCACACGGTTCATTGTGATAGTGCTTGTGATAGTACTTGTGCATCTGATTTGTATACGTATGCTACGTACGACGCTTGCGCCCGCAAGTACCTGCTGTGCTATACTGTGCGAGTAAACAAAACAAACGCATCGCTCGCGCTGGTGCCTGTATCTACCTCCACACCCCTCCATACCCATCACAATCTCCACACCATTCAGCGTATGTATGTACCCCGCTCAGCACCCTTGATGGGAAACTCTCTGCCCCTCGAGCGCGCGCTGTTCCCTTGATGAGAAACTGCTCCCCGCGCCGTATCTGTGTTCCCATGATGGCAACTATGCAAAAGACAATCTAATCGCCAAACCCCAAGCCAGTCCGACAACCCTCGTGCGACGTTGAGTGGCACCCGGCACCCCCCTTCCCCCCCTCCATCGGGGGGTGTAAAAAAGATAAAGAAAACTCCTCAATGCAAAACGACCACCCACAAAAAGCAACTGAATCAAGAAAGAAGTCCCAGAAGCTAGAGCCAAAAGCAAAAAGCAAAAAGGGCAAAAGCTCGTAGCGAACGGAATGATATGCCAGATGGCGAGGCAACGATAAAGTGTCCGAATTCAAAAAAATATATATATATAAAAAAAAAAGATAAAAATGCAGCTGCAAAAACAAGACCAGCCAACCAACCCCCATCCGGAGCTCGGTATTGTTCCCCCCCAGAGCTCGATCCAATGTATGCCTGCCTGCTCCGTCCAGCCAGTGTGATGGCTAAGGTATCTCCGTATCCCATCCCGTACTAATATGCAACCCCCGCCGTCATTCCCGGCGATAAAAAAGAAAACCAAAGACTAGAGTAGATGGATGAAAGACATCGAACAGGAGAAGATTGACAAATGAGAAATCTGAAGAGGGGTGTCGTGAGGTGATTGGAGTAGAGCTGTGTCGAGGGGAGATGGAGAAGGTTGTTGAGTAGTGAGTAGAGTTTGTGTGAAGTGTGTGAGTAGAGAGTCCATCTCATCAGCCGTCGCTGATTCTCCTCGATGACGAGCTCCGGGTATATGTGTTATCGTGGACATCAGTCATAGTCGTTAATGTATCGTGTATTGAGTGGTGTGTATGGTAGGTGTGTAATGTGTGGTACGGCGTGTACGTTTGTGGCGATATGGCATGTGTGTCGTGGCGAATATGTATATCGGCGTCGACCACCTCGTCAGCAACTATGTTGCGCGACAGCGACGTCGTCGCGATAATTCCGTCGCCGTCGCCGTCGTCGCCAACGAAATCGCTATCTTATCGCACCTCCACTACGTCATTCCCCCGCGTCCCCTGCCCCCCCATCATCCACCCGGGTACTCCCCCCGCCTCCCTAGACACACCACTTCTCATCCAGCCACCCCACCTTCTCAAACGCCATCCACAGCTTACTCGCCTTATTAACATCAATCTTGCAAGCCTGCTGCGCATCCGTCTTTCTAAACTCTTTCTTCCCCTTCCCTCCCCACGTACCGGCCCAACACTCGCGACGGGCGACGAAAATGCGTCTCTTACTCGTCAAGTACGTCGCGCAATCGAGCCTCAGATTAGCAGCCAGAAAAACCTCCTCCGGATCCAGCAGCGCCCGGTGCGGATCCGCAGACAAATCCAGCGGCGCGCCCTTCCATTCGACCTTCAAAGCATTAGGTCGCAAGCGCGACCCAATCACCGGGCACAGATCGGGGAGGAGATGAAACTCCTTATCCTCCCTCGTGCACGTCCCCGTATTGCGGCTCCGACTCGGCGCATCCGGCGTCGCCGTCCTATCTCTCCTCGGCTTCGCGCGGGGCTTCGGCGGCGCCCGCGGTCGCGAGGCCAATACGCCGGCGGGGCTGGGTGCGAGGGCCGGGTAGGCCCTGTTGTTGTTGTTGTTGCTGCGGGGTGAGGATTTGGCGGGCGACCGGGAGGAGGTGGCGGCAGCGCGGATGCGCGAGGCGTCGATGAGGTACTTGCGCTCGCGGGCGAGGTAGGCGTCCGGGTCACGGATGTAGTTGCGCATGACCTGGGAGCGGAACTCGATGGCGAGGATGTAGTCGGAGCGGTCGGGGGGCGAGGTGGCGCGGAAGAGGTGTTTGCGGTGGGCGTGGGAGATGTGTTGGTCCACGAGGCGGTTGGTGGGGGAGTCGTGGGTGTGCGTCGGGGTTTGGGGTTGCGGCGAGGGGGCGAAGAGGGGAGGTTGGGGGATGTGGTCGCTCTCTGTTGCGGTGGGGGGGTAGAGGATTGGGTCGCGGATTCGCGAGTCGAAGGTTGCGGGGGAGGAGGAGGGACCCGCTGTCGTGGGTGTGTCGGGCGACACGGGTGGCGAGAGGAATTGCAACTTCGCTCCGATTGACGATTTCTTGCGGGAGTCGCCCGCTGAGGGTGAGGAGGAGAGGAGTTCTGCGGTCGGGAAGCGGTCGTAGGGCGTCGCTTCAGGTGGCGACATGAGGGCGCTCATGGCGAGCTGCTTGTGGGGGTTGTTGGTCGCCATTGCGATGTGGCGATTGTGCGTTTGTAGGATTGTAGAAGGTTTTCGATGTGATTGATGGACTGGATTGATCGAAGAGAGATGACGACGATGTTAAGAGCGAAGGATTACTTCCTAAGCCCGTCCCGAGAAGGCAATGGAAGGCAGCCGTTGGGGTTTGTCATCCGCCGCGCCACGCAAGTGAGGTGGGCGGAGATGTGACCTTCAATCCAATCCGACAGCGGAAAGAAAATGGTCAGCCTGGAATCGTAGTCCTTGTCGCGTAAATGCAGGAGGACAAAATGTGCGATGATGATGTTGGAGCGAGGTTGTTGTGGCGGGTTCTGGGGGTTTATGGAAGCGGAGGGATGCGTTTGGGGTTTCTTTGTTCTGTTGGCGGGTCGGTGGGCAGTCTTGGGTGGCCGTAGTGGAGGTAGCAGCGGGATGCGTGGGTGCGTGGAAAGTGGCAAAGGTGGGATAGGCAGGCCGACGTCGTTAAGTAAGGAGGCAAGGCGGGCGGTCGTTTGAATTTTTGAGTTTTTGAATGGTCGAGTAATAAGTAGGTAGTGGGGGAGCGGAGGAGAAGGGGAAGGGGAAGGGGAAGGGTTGGAGGGAGAGGGAGGAGGCGGTGTCTTATAGTGGTGGTGGTGGTGTAAGATATTGTGGAATGGACTGGATGGATAGATGGTGGGTGGATGGATAGATGGATAGATGGATAGATGGATGGGTGGATGGGCCAGTTGAGTGGGCTGGCGATAGTTGGGTTGTGTGTGAATGTGGTCGTCTGGTCGGCGTGGGCGTGAGCAGCGTATTTGATTCTAGGCGGATGTGATTCATATGCTCGGCGGCGGTGGGTGAGTGGATTGGGAAGTGAGTAAACTTGGAGTGGCGGCCGTGTTGGGGCAAAGGAAGCCTAAAGCCTGGCGGATGTCAAGAAAGAGTCAATTACCATCCACTACCATATAGTAAGCCATACTCTGTCAGCAACAGCCAACAGACTGCTAGATACAGACTCTAGATACAGACTCTAGATACAGACTCTAGATACAGACTCTAGATACAGACTCTAGATACAGACTCTAGATACAGACTTAGATACAGACTCTACATACAGACTCTAGATACAGACTCTAGATACAGACTCTAGATACAGACTCTAGATACAGACTCTAGATACAGACTGATACATACAGACTGCCACATACAGACTGCTACATACAGACTGCCATGTCAATGGAACAGCGTTGATACATCATGCATACCATCCCTCTACTCCAATCCACCTCTATCCATCTCCATCCACCTCCAATCCACTCCCATCCACTCCAATCCAATCCACCCCAATCCAATCCAATCCACCCCAATCCACCCCAATCCACCTCAATCCACCCCAATCCACCCCCATCCACCTCCAACCCACCTCCCATCCACCTCCCAGCCCATCACTGGTTGGCTATGGGGATGTGGGGGTGGGGGTGGGGGTGGGTAAGTGGCATGTAGCATACATGTAGCATCTACCTTCCCTCCCCTGATGTTCGCCGAGAGACTTGAGCCCTCTACCCAGCAACTAGAGAGACATGCGCCGCGCGGACGGATCACCAGGCAGCCTTTTCGTTGGGAAGGCGAAGGTCTCCTGATGTGCAATAGGGGGTGAGATGGGATGGTGAGATGGGATGGTGAGATGGTGAGGTGAGATGGTGCTAAACTGTACCCTAAAATGTGACGCATCGCACCCGTATCCACTCAGCTGTGTGCCTCCCCAGCGATAAGCGCCTAGACGGCAATCACTGCAAGGTTATTGTTGGGTACTGACTTCCCCTCTCCATCATCGCCAGCCCCAGAGCGGGGAGTTGGGCACACACGTCGCCTTCACCACCGCCATTGCCGTCCGTCCTCAGGCCCCAACCCAACTCTCACTGCCTACCGAACTATAGTCGTATCTGGCGTCTGTCTCTCATGTACGGGATCAACAGGATCAACAGGATCAACAGGAAGGATCATGACGGGATCATGTACACGCCTCTGTACGGGATCAACAGGATCATGACGGGATCATGTACACGCCTCTGTACGGGATCAACAGGATCATGACGGGATCATGTACACGCCTCTAATGCCGGGCTACGGACGCGTTAGGCAGCAGGGCATGCATGGGGGATGGGTGTGGGTGATGGGTGTGTGTGGGGGGGGGGGTGTGGGTGGGGGGGGGATGGGTGTGGGTGATGGGTGTGGGTGGGGGATGGGTGTCGGTGATGGGTGTGGGTGATGGCTTGTTGGGTTGCTGGGATTGGCGAATCAGAGGGGGGGAGTGCCTGTGTCATTCGTCAATCGCTCAGCACTGTCTCCATCCGCTGATCCGCTTTCCAGGCAACCACCAACGGCGCCCGCCCTCACCGCCCGCGTCATGTGGTGGCTCCAATGGGATGGCCGCGTGGGGAGTGGGGTTGCATGTGTATGTGTATAGATGGAGGGGAGGAGGGAGGAGGAAGGTATGGGATAGTATCTCACTGTAGAGCCCTACAGTGATACTATCCCATACCTTCAGAGGGAGGGGATTCGGAGAATGGCATAGCTATGGGTGGTGTAGACTGTAGGAACAGCATACCATGCATTGGTGGTATAGTAGTAGTGAGGTGAGAACAATACCATCCCAACCATACCATACCTACCATACCTACCATACCTACCATACCTACCATACCTACCATCCCATCCCATAACTACCATCCCTACCATCCCTACCAACCATACCTACCATACCATACCTACCATACCTACCATACCTACCATACCTACCATACCTACCATACCTACCATACCTACCATACCTACCATTACCTACCATACCTACCATCCCTATCATCCCTACCATACCTACCATACCTACCATCCCTATCATCCCTACCATACCTACCATACCTACCATCCCTATCATCCCTACCATACCTACCATACCTACCATCCCTATCATCCCTACCATACCTACCATACCTACCATCCCTATCATCCCTACCATACCTACCATACCTACCATCCCTATCATCCCTACCATACCTACCATACCTACCATCCCTATCATCCCTACCATACCTACCATACCTACCATCCCTATCATCCCTACCATACCTACCATACCTACCCCACAACCCCTCCTCACTCCCCCAAAGACACCACAGGAGTACATACACCTCCCCCTCCTCTACAGCATCTCTCCTGCAATCACCCAATACACAATATACCCATACACAGTGGTACTTACTCTATCTATCTATCTATCTACAAACTATCCCTATACAATTTACTTCCATCTGCCCAGCCACCACCCACCACCACCCACCACCACCCACCACCACCCACCACCACCCCTCCATCTACCCCTCCATCTACCCCTCCATCACCACAACCACACACACACACTCACAACACCCACACGACGTCACCCCGCATCCCCCCCTCATCATCTTCACAGGGTCCTCCGGTCCTCCTCTCCCTCTCCCTCTCCCTCTCCTTCTCCCGTCCAAAGCCCAGTCCATCCATCCACCTACCAAGTCCTCTACCCACCACACCCACCCTGTCCGAGCCATCTCACATGCTAACCCTACCCGCCCACAACCCCCCCCTCAAAAAACAGACCGAAACCAAGGCAAGGCAAGCAGAACAGCGGGAGGGAGACTATAATCGCGCTACCCGCCCTTCCTCACCCTCCCCCCTCCATCCTCAGATGGATCACGAGACTGCAGAACTATACACACACACACACACACACTCTCTCTCTCTCTCTCTCTCTCTCTCGCGGCGGTACAGCCGGAGGCAAGGGGGCGGCTCGGCGGCGGTGTGCGCGTGCGCGCGCGATGACGCGGGTTGTCTCACCGCGTCGACCCTCGCGAGGACCTCGAGGCCGGGAGGACGGGACGGGGGGTGTGCCACGTGCCGTTCCCGAACGGCGGTCTGAGCTGGGCTGAGCTGGGACGAGACGAGACGAGATGGGGTCTGCGGGGACGACGTGGGAAGGGGGGGTAGATGGTAGGAGAGGGTGGTTGGGTGCGTAAGGGGGGAGGAGCGTAGGGGATTTGTAGGTAGTGGGAAAGGGGGTATGCCCTTATGGCCTTCTCTAAATAACTCCAAGCAGCGGCTTAACAAACTGTTTCCCAAAGGTATACATACCAAAACACATCTAAATCACAACAGCCGCATCTAAGCCCATCACCACACACACTCACTCCCCCTCCCCTAACACCCCCCCTCCCCATCCCCCTTCCCCCACACCCGCGCCACCCAGTCAACCAACATACTCGTAAACCCCCTCCCACCCATCCACTCCTCCACCTCCCCCTTCTCGTACCCCCTCCCCGCAAACCGCAGCGCAAGCAGCACCCACGGCTCCACGAAATCAACAAACACCACATCCACCGTCTCCGGCTCCGGCACGCTCACGTCCGTCGAGAACCCCATCCGCGCCTCCACCACGTTCGGGACGCGGTAGAACGACAGCGGCGCGTGCACTGTGTCGTCCCCGTCTTTCCCGCCGTCGTCGGTGGTCGTGTAGCCTGGGATTAGCGGCATCTCATCCTCCCTTCCGCTTCCGCCTCCTAACGGCATCTGCGCCCCGCCGCGCGACCAGTGCGACGCGCCTTCCTCGGCCACGATGTCAGCATGAACTCCCATCTGCTGAGGCGGCGCGAGTCTCCACTCCTCGAGCGACCCGGAGTCAGCAGCGAATACCTGCCCCCCCGCGTTGATGAGGGGGAGCACCTTCTTCGCCGCGTCCCAGGGCACGTCGCGGATGACGCGGAAGGAGTTGTCGAAGGGGGAGATGAGGTAGGTGGTGTCCTTCGCAAAGGTGCCTCTGAAGATATCAAAACGGAGACCGCCGGTGTTGAAGATGGCTATGCGGGGTTTCGCGGGGGAGTCGGCGGGGGTGAGGATCGAGGGCAGGATCGAGTCGACGAGGAGGCTGAAGATGCTGGTTGGGCTGGGGTAGGGCGCGCGGTTTACCCAGAAGTCCTCTGGTGCGCATCCGAAAACTTTATCTAATTTCATAGACTTCCGCGCTGAGGCGATGGCGAGGGAGGCGTTCATGCCGCGCTCGGTGGGGAAGGTGGACGCGTTCAGTCCGCTGTGGTGGTGGTATCCGAAGAGGTTATTATCGATATACCGTCTCTGGAACTTCATCCCCCTCTCCGCATCCACCTCCTTCCCCCCAATCTTAATCCCATCCACCGACATCCACCCCACCGTCTCCATATACCGCCCGCTCTGCAGCGCATACGCCTTATCACCCAGCTTCGCAAAATCACGCACATGGCTGTGCCCGCTGAAGAACTGAATCGGCGTGTCCCAATTCTGGCTCCGGATAGTGGAGAAGACGGCCTGGTACTCCGGGGAGTGAGGGGGGACGTGGCCGATCACCACAAAGATGTCGACGTGCTCGCGGATCGCCTGCTGGAACCAGTCTTCCTTCACCGTGTCCTCGACGCGCTGCACGAAGGTGTTGTGCGCGTTGCCGGTGAAGTCGAAGAGGAACCCGAAGGCGAGGACGTGGATCCCTTGGTTCTTGGTCTTGAATTGCCGGTACCGCCGGGAGAGGGGGACGCGCTGGCCGGTCGTGGGGTGCAGGATGTCGATGTTGGAGGCGATGTACTGCTCGGGGAAGTTGGCGACGGTCTGGTTGTACTCCCTCTCTGAGGTAGGCACTTTGTAGAGCTCGTGGTTGCCGGAGCAGAGGATGTCAATGTCTTGCTGTTGAAGTATGTCGTTTATATATAACCCCTTCGGGGCTGATCCGTCGTACAGCCCGTTGCCTTCTACTCTGTCGCCTGTGTCGACGACTAGTAAATCAACGCCCCGTCTGTCGGCATCTGCCCGCATGTGCTCAGTGAAAGATATGTAGTCTCCCCAGTCGGCCGAGTATTGGGATCTGGTAACCGGTTAGTCAAAGACCGTGAAAATCAACCAAGAGTCATACTCTTGTAAATGGCCTCCCAGCCACCCATGGGTATCCGTCGTAGCTAGGAAGTTCAGTTGTCCCCAGGGGAGCTCCCTCATGGGTGCCGCAACTGGCTTTGGCGCAGAAGGTTGTGAACCTTCTACCCCCAGGGCCAGAAGCCCTGCTATTAATATTAATGGTTGCATGGTCATCAGTGTGGAAGTTGTTTGTGACTGTTGGACGTCGGGAGCCCGAGGTCCTTATCGGATACCCACACCGGTTACAGTGATCGGCGTTCGGAGAATTGTTCGGGCGTGGCTTCACGACTGAGTCTTTCGCCCATGGCTGAAGCTCCAAGTAGGCTGTACCTTCTCGACAACCACCTCGTATGGGGTCACGGATATCCGAAAAGGTTGTGGCGGTGGCCAAAGCTGGATTGAAGAGAGGGCCCCGCAACTCCCCTTCCAATGCCTTCATCCGCCGCGAGAAATCCTTTCGGAAATGGAAGCTATGTAAGAGCCCCCCCCCAACACACATTCTCCGTCACTAACCAGCCCAGATCGCCCTACAATACTCCCCAATAGATTCAAGATACTTGCCGTGAAGGACAATATCTCCACAACATCCTTTGAAACTACCTGCGCCTCCAACTTTCTCAAAGACTATGAGCCCCCGTTCGATGCCGATGTCATCAAAAGTTTGTACCAGCGGGGCGGCGCCGTGGTCGCCAGCAAAACGAACATGGACGAATTCGGCATGGGGTCTCACTCAGTTAACTCTCACTACGGCGCCGTCACAAACTCTCCGCCATTCGAGGCGTATTCTGCCGGCGGCAGCTCCGGCGGTAGCGCACAAGCCGTAGCAAGCGGCTCCGTGCAGGCCGCTCTAGGAACAGACACCGGTGGCTCCGTCCGACTCCCCGCCGCATACAGCGGCGTTACCGGCCTCAAGCCCTCATACGGCCGCATCTCTCGTCACGGCGTAGTCCCTTACGCCCACAGCCTCGACACCGTAGGCCTCTTCTGCAAAAACCCAGAGGATATGACCGTATTCCTGCTGGCCGGGCAGGATCTACGATCCCGCGACCCCACAACCCCAATGGAGCCCGCCATCAAGCGCATGTCCGATGCCATCCGCCGTGAAGAAGCACGCCTCGGCCGCTGGCCCGTAACAGACACCAAGCCCCTCCGCATCGGCGTGCCTGCCGAATACAACATCGCCGAGCTCTCCCCCGCCGTCCGCCACACCTGGCAACGCACCCTCGACACCCTCCGCTCCCACGGCCACGCCATCGTCCCCGTCTCCCTACCCTCCACCAAGCATGCCCTGAGCGCCTACTACATCATCGCCGCCGCCGAGGCCTCCTCCAACCTCGCCAAGTTCGACGGCGTCCGCTACGGCTCCCGCGAAGACGCCTCCGACAACCCCACTGGCGTCCTCTACGCGTCCACCCGCGGCGCAGGCTTCGGCGACGAAGTCCGCCGCCGCATCCTCCTCGGCACTTACTCCCTCAGCGCCTCCGCCATGGACAACTTCTTCGTGCAAGCCCAGCGCGTCCGCCGCCTCGTCCAGCGCGACTTCGACCGCGTCTTCGCTGTGGCAAATCCCCTGCACCCAGAAAAGCAATTCGATCTCGCCGACATGCCCGAGATGACGGAAATGGACAGCAAGCTCGGCCCCGCGCAGGTCGACGTGCTAGTCGTCCCGACGGCGCCGACGCTGCCGCCGTTAATAAAAGACGTGAGGTCCCAGGGCTCGCTCGCGGGCTACACCAACGATGTGTTCACAGTCCCCGCGTCGCTGGCGGGCCTGCCGGCGATATCGGTGCCGGTGCCGATCGCGGAGGAGGCGAGGGAGAAGGGCAACGTGGGGTTCGTGGGCATGCAGGTTATTGGGCAATATTATGACGATTTTCATGTTATTAATGTGGGGTCCATGGTCGCGGCGGGGGTGGAGTGGCCGTCGAAGCTGGAAAAGCTGGAAGAGAGGTGGGCGAAAATGAGGGGAAATGCAGTGAGGAGGTATGGGTTTAAGAGACCAATAGGGTTTGGTGACAAGTAGGGAGGTACGGGCTGAGGATCTAAGGCGTGAAGATATTTGGAGTCTAGGTAGAAAGTCTAAGACCGGAGAAGGCGGAATATTTGTAAATAGATGTAAGACTAAGCAAAGCGGATAGACGAAAGATACCCACCCGTTCGCCTTTAACCAACCGTACGAGGGTCATCCACCGGGCTCTAATATAGACAAAAATATATAACTGAAGAGGCTCTATTGTTAGGAAATGTATACAGAAACATCCATCTACACAATCTAATCTAAAGTCATCCCCTCATCTGATATCGTATCATCTTCACAACGTGACCATTGTTTTATCCAGTAACTTCCGGCATTCGCTAAGCCAGTAAAACCAGTGCAAGCAGCAGCAGTGCAAGTACCAGAGCATTATGACCTCTAAGCAAGAGTCTTGGCCTCTCCATCCTTGAGCTTGCCAGCTGCAACGAGCCTCTTAACCTCCTCAGACCAGACGCTCTTGATCTCGTCAGCGACCTTAAGGCCGTTGAGCTTGCCAGCAAGAGCCGCAATCTCATCAGCATCGATCTTGCCCTGGATGAGGTCAACGTCGTTGAGCACACCGTCAATAGCAGAGGCCGGAGCATCGCCAGAGACGAAGTAGTTGGCATCCTTGACCGAGCCCTTGAGGACACGCTTGTTCTTCTTAACAGCGTTCTTCGCGGCCTCCTTAGCCTTCTTGCCCTGCTCGCGCTCGGCCTTGGCAGCCTCCTCAGCCTTCAGTGAAGCCGCGGCCTCAGCTTCCTTCTGTGCCTTGGCCTCCTCAGCGGCCTTCTTCTCGGCAGCCTCGCGCTCGATCTTCTTCTTGTTCTTGGTGGCGTTGGCCTCGTTGCGGAACTTCTTGATGCGCTCGTCCATCGCAGATGCCTCATCTAGCAGCTTGCGCAGGCGTGCGTTATCCTCGACCTTCTTCTTCTTGCGAGCGTTGTTGTTCTTGCGCTCCATGTGGCGCTTCTGGTCGCGGTTCTCGTTGTCATCAGGCACATCCTCGTCTTGGTACTCGAACGAGCGCCACGAGTCGAAGCTGTACCAGAAGTTGTAGAAGGTCTCGACCTCCTCCTTGGTGGAGTTCTCGTCGCCGAGCCTTGGGACGGGCTGGGTCTTGGAGAAGCGGCCCTCGGCCTTGAAGACGGGGCTCCAGAGCTTGTAGAAGTTGCCGGCTTGGGACTTCTTCTTGCTCGGGGGCTCGACATCGGCGCGCTCATCGACGGAGTCGAACTGGCGGCGCTTGGTGGGGTCGAGGAGGACCTCGGTGGCCTTCTGGATGCACTTGAAGAAGCTGTCATCCTCGGTGGAGCCAGCGGCAGCCTTCTTATCTGGGTGATGGCGGAGAACCTTCTTGCGGTGGGCGCGCTTGATCTGGTCCTCAGAAGCCTTGTAGCGGTACTTGGAAAGACCAAGAACAGCGTAGTGATCTTGTTGCTAGGTGGTTGTTAGCACGGCGATCAATGCAAGTTAGACACAAAGCTTACCTTCCAGTCCTTGGCATCACGGAGGAGCATGGATGGGTCCTCAGGCTCACTGATCTCACCAGCATCATCATCCTCAACCTTCTTCACAATGTTCTGGGCCTGGATGCGATCATCCTCAGAGAAGGTGCGCTTGTGACGGGCACGACGGGCGTGGGCCAGAAAGTGTGGGCCGACAGGCTCAATGCTGCGGTCGACAGCACGGGAGACAGTGCCGACAGCCTTGAAGTCCTTGTCCGCAGCCCATCCGGATGGAAGGATTGGGAGGGGGAGGGAAACTTGTGCAACACTCATTTTGATGTCGATTACTTGTTTTCTCAGATCGTTGCGTTTGATAGATAAAAATCTCCGGGGTTGGAGTAGCCCACCAGAAATAATTCGATTGTGGAGCCGGGTCGGAAAATCAGTAACGCCATGCGACCGACCCCTGTCATGGGGTGCCGCAACGTCGAAAGTCTAGGTCGATGGGCCCAACTCGAACTTCCTGGCTATAATCAAATTTACGGGGCAACTAAAGTATGGCGCTTCAAGCTTATAGGCATTTATTACGTTCGGCGCGGCTGGCATTTGAGGGTATGTAATCCTCTTCACCAGCTACTTACAATGTTTGCTTACAATTGACACAGGGGACACCCATCTAATCCACGCCGCCCAAGCTCAGGCACGCGGTGCATTCCGGGAGAACGCATCACTTGCTCCAGAAGATCCTCTTGCGGCAAAGGCTATTACACATGCAAAAGAGGTATCTGCGATCTTGAGAGAGAATATTGTGCAGGGAAAGAACGTTGGCGATAACAAGTACAGTAGGTGTCTCTGTCCATATACATCTGCGCCAATTATTGCGTCCCAGGCCTTCTTGAAAGCGTATCTCTACGGATTACAGAAGCTAACTATAGTCGCAGAGTTACGGATACACGCTGAGACGGAGAGGGGCGATAACGATTCGATAAAAATGCCAAACGGGCAGAAGGTCAAGATTGAGGGCAAGAAGTGCTGCTCATAACAGATGCGTCTGACTGTATGAATATGTATTATAGAAGGGAAAATATACTTCGGGAAGAAACTCAAATTTGTGCCTATCGACCGCCCTTATAGCTTTGCTGTGACCGGATTGTGCTCGCGGGTTATAATACCAGCGCTTCCTCGCGCCACGGCTTTGCCGTATCATTCGCACTTTTGTTCAAATTCTCTTCGGAGTCATTCGCGCAAACCTCGCCATGGAATCCCTCGCCAGGTTGTGTCCTGACATTACGCTTGTGCCTGGTTGCGATCTTGTTCCAAGACGCAGACCAGGTGCAAAACCTGCCGCATGGCCTATCTAATGAGTATCTCAGCCCATATCCCCCAGGCTTTTCGAGAGCTTTTAATGCACATCTCCGGCGTAGGTAGAACAGATGGACAAACATGAAATATAAGAAACTAAACGGGATTGAAGTGTAGAAATAATCAGGGTCAAAGAGACGTGTATCAAATGAAATGCTTCTATCTTCCATATTTTAAGTTCCTATGTGCACAAGATAAATTGCCAGGGCTATAAACAGGGTTAGAAAATCAATTAAATCATGATTATTTAGTCGTAATCATAATCATGATTATTGATAAAGCGTATAACGTACTTCATAAGCAAGTTGCGCATATATGCAAGTTGCGCACGCCCCCTCATTTTTTACGTGTCTACATTACTTTAATTCCACTTATCTCAACTAATGGACGCTCAATCGACCTACAAAGAGGGGTGAATTGCTCTTGCACTTCAGGCACACAAAGATGGCTATTTTACAAGTTTACGGGCGGCCGCAGACGCGTACGATATTCCAGCTTCAACCCTTCGATATCGCGTCAAGGGAGGACGCGCGCGGAGAGGTTTACGAGCTGCAAATACCAAACTTTCATCCACAGAGGAGGAAACTCTTATTAAGTGGATATTGTCTATGGATGAACGAGGCTTACCTGTTAGAAGTAGCTCTATCCAGCAAATGGCGAATCTTCTCCTTAAAAAACGATCGAATACGGACCGCGATAGTCTCCTTACGGTTGGCAAGTGCTGGGTTCATAACTTCGTACAGCGCCATGACTCCCTCCAATCAAAGTACAACCGTAAATACGATTACCAACAGGCTAAATGCGAAGATCCTACAATTATTCGAGACTGGTTTCGGCTTGTACAAAATACGGTTGCAAAATACGGGATCCAAGACGAGGATATCTATAACTTCGACAAGACAGGTTTCCAAATGGGCGTAATTTCGACCGCAAAGGTTATTACAGGTTCTGAAAGAGCTAGCCGTCCAGTATCTATTCAACCAGGGAACCGCGAATGGGTTACGGTTATTGAATCTGTGTCGTCGTCTGGCTGGAGCCTACCGCCAATGGTCATCTTTGAAGGAAAGGTTCATATCTCAACTTGGTACACAGATCTACTCCCACAAGATTGGACAATTGCGCTAAGTGATAAGGGGTGGACGGACGACTCTTTAGCTCTCGCGTGGCTTACAGACGTCTTCGAGAAACATACAAAGGACCGTACGAAGGGTGTTGTAATGGTGGGTGCACCAGATGTGAGAATCTAGCCACCCAAGGAATGGATGATTTTACTAAGACAACACACTGTCTTAGGAAGAAGAGCCAAAGGGTCGTAGCTTAGACTATTCCACAACGCAGCAATCAGGTGTATGATGTAGTGGAGTGGTTTAGACAAGTTGTAACAAAATGTTGAGTCTGAGAACTCAGGGATAAGTCAGAGGTCACTGACTTTTCAGAAACAAGGAGTAACAAGATCAATGCTTGGAAGCTTGGAAAAGACGTGGAAGTATGTGATAGTCGATTTACTGTATTGTCTGCTTGCCCTTAATTAAGGAAAGGGCAATCCTATTTATGCTAAAGGAGTATAGTTCTCTTATTTTCCAAGACTTTCCATGACTAACCAGGCTTGGTAGCTGTAGTCGACGTAAGAGAATCCCATAGAACCATCTCCTAGGTTCCTAGCCTATAGGAAGTGAAAGGAGGTCCAAGGTCAGAGTACCCCTATAGACAGATTATGTCATAACTTAACCAATCTTGTGGGTAACTAAGGAGTGATGACGTGTAATGAATCATAGATGGTTGTAGAAGCTTTTGGAGCTATCGTTCATGTTCCTAGGCCTCTAGTTGATAGAGATATGTCATGTGTAGTATTAGCCCAGTAACTAAGGAGTGATGTGTCATACTGACATTCGTTGCACTCAGTTTGCTATCAAACTCAAGAGCAAACTTGGAAATCTCCTCCTCAAACCTACAAGTCACTATACATATTTTGGCTTATCACACCAACAACAAGAGCAATACTACTCAACGATTGCTACAACCATCTATGATTCATTACACGTCATCGCTCCTTAGTTACTGGGCCGATATTACCACATAGCATATCTCTACAACCCTCTATGATTCATTACATGACATCACTCATACTACCACATGACATATCTCTACCAACTAGATGCCTAGGAGCATGAACGATAGCTCTAAAAGCTCCTACGAACCTCTATGATTCATTACATGTCATCGCTCTTTAGTTACCCACAAGATTGGTTAAGTTATGACATAATTTGTCTATGACATAATTTGTCTATGACATAATTTGTCTATGACATAATTTGTCTATGACATAATTTGTCTATGACATAATTTGTCTATGACATAATTTGTCTATGACATAATTTGTCTATAGGGGTACTCTGACCTTGGACCTCCTTTTACTTCCTATAGGCTATGAACCTAAGAGATGGTTCTATGGGATTCTCTTACGTCGACTACAGTTACCAAGCCTGGTAAGTCATGGAAAGTCTTGGAAAATGATAGAACTACACTCCTTTAGCATAAATAGGATTGCCCTTTCCTTAAGAAAGGGCAAGCAGACAATACAGTAAATCGACTATCACATACTTCCACGTCTTTTCCAAGCTTCCAAGCATTCATCTTGTTACTCCTTGTTTCTGAAAAGTCAGTGAGGTGTTGACCTCTGACTTACCCCTGAGTTCCCAGACTCAACATTTGTTGCAACTTGTCTGAACCACTTCACTACATCACACACCTGATTGCTGCGTTGTGGAATAGTCTAAGCTACGACCCTTTGGCTCTTTTTTCTAAGACAGTGTGTTGTCTTAGTAAAATCATCCCTTCCTTGGGTGGCTAGATTCTCACATCTGGTGCACCCACCATTACATGATGTCATGTAATGAATCATAGAGGGTTGTAGAGATATGCTATGTGGTCATATCGGCCCAGTAACTAAGGAGCAATGACGTGTAATGAATCCTAGAGGGTTATAGCAATTGTTGAGTAGTATTGGTGTGACAAGCCAAAATATGTATAGTGACTTGTGTCATACCGACATTCGTTGTACTCAGTTTGCTATCAAACTCAAGAGCAAACTTAGAAATCTCCCCCTCAAACCTACAAGTCACTATACATATTTTGGCTTGTCACACCAACAACAAGAGCAATACTACTCAACGATTGCTACAACCCTCTATGATTCATTACATGACATCACTCCTTAATTACTGGGCTAATCTACACATGACATATCTCTATCAACTAGAGGCCTAGGAACATGAACGATAGCTCCAAAAGCTTCTACAACCATCTATGATTCATTACACATCATCACTCCTTAGTTACCCACAAGATTGGTTAAGTTATGACATAATCTGTCTATAGGGGTACTCTGACTAGGAGATAGTTCTATGGGATTCTCTTACGTCGACTACAGTTACCAAGCCTGGTTAGTTATGGAAAGTCTTGGAAAATGAGAGAACTACACTCCTTTAGCATAAATAGGATTGCCCTTTCCTTAAGAAAGGGCAAGCAGACAATACAGTAAATCAACTATCACATACTTCCACGTCTTTTCCAAGCTTCCAAGCATTGATCTTGTTACTCCTTGTTTCTGAAAAGTCAGTGAGGTGCTAACCTCTGACTTATCCCTGAGTTCTCAGACTCAACATTTGTTACAACTTGTCTAAACCACTCCACTACATCATACACCTGATTGCTGCGTTGTGGAATAGTCTAAGCTACGACCCTTTGGCTCTATTCCCTAAGACAGTGTGTTGTCTTAGTAAAATTATCCCTTCCTTGGGTGGCTAGATTCTCACATCTGGTGCACCCACCATTACATTCAAGTCTGCCACTATTGACAGCTTAATTGAGCCATATCCATCGGGCTTGCCTTTCGAAGGCAAATATCTCTGGCTTCTCGCTCTTCGACACAATGGCCACCCTGGCTGGCATGCTCACCAAGCTGCCTGCAAACTCAAATATCTCTGACCTCCTCCTCGCCATCGAAACCCCTCCCCCCAAACATGAGCATGATACTCCGCCTGGCGCGGCCACTCCCAGGATATTTAAAGTCGGCCATGAATGGCTCCCAGCCATCACCTTGTATTGCCGAACGGTCCCCAATTGTCATAGGCATTATCCAAAGCTCCCCCACCCTCATCGCAATCCACCAACCAGCTCGACCATAGAGCGCTCCTCTTCGACATTGCTGGTCCCAGGTAAGTCCTCTATCCTCTCACCGAATTCCCTAAATTCTACTGACCCAAAACACAAAACTCTAGTCACCTTTCGACGCCGGGCATGAGCGCTCCCTGGGCGTTTTTGCTCTCGCCGTATGGGGTTTTCAGAGTCCAAAGGGGGGTTCTTTGGATTTTTGAAAAAACAAAACGTGCATTTCCCCAGCCTGATTTTGGCCCTGTTTTGGGCACTTTGCTATGAGCACTTCGTGGAGTGTCTTCGGGCGACTATCATAGGTGGCACATACTTATGTATCGCATTACCAGTAAGTTTGACTATGTTTCTATTCTACAAGCTTCAGTGTCCCTGGTCATGGCCACTTGTGGCCGACTACATACATCAGTAGGTTGAAACTTCATGTTTGGAATGCCTCAATTCTTTTCCTTTTTATTTCCTTTTTATTATTCGTTTAGTGGATTGATATGTTTAGAGTTATGTTGAAGCTGATTTCCTCCAGCTTGGGCATGCATTTCTACATGTCGATACTCAGTTAAGTCAGGTAAGTGTTTCAATTTTTATTTTCTCCATGTCCTTTCGGTTTTGGGTATATTCTAGCCCGGTAAGTGTCTATTTTCTCTATCTCTGTTCGTTTTTGGGTATATTACAGCCAGTAAGTATTTTTATTTCTCTCTGTCCTTTCACTTTACCTCTCTTCTTTCCTTTCCTTTTCTTTCGTTGATACTGTCTGGACAACCGCCGACTGAGCTAGCTCCAGCGAGCCAGTTTTTAAATCGACCAAGTCCAGCTCCTTTCTCTTTCTTTTTGCTTTGCTCAGTTCAACCGTTAAAGCGGATCTGCCCGCTCCAACCTGCACCAAACTGTGAGTCTCCCAACCCCCCCTCATCTATTACATGACTACCAGCTATCTAATTTGATATAGATACTCAAGAACCACATGTCGAAGTGGCAGAGCGCTACCACAAAGCCCGACATCGATCTACGAACTCGACACTTGGTAGCTGGCTACCCATTTCGACATATAAACGACACTTGGCGGCTGGCCGATGCACGGAAGGAAGGATAGGAAAGGATAAGACCTGGCGATGGTCTGAACGAACTTGAAATAAACAGCCTGGGGTAGGTGCGGGGTCTGGGGGTTGGTGCGCGAGAGCTATGATGCGAGCTTTCGGTGGCCGCTTGATGCCACAGCTCAAATGTGGCATCAGAACTTGGGTAAGGAGTGGCAGAAGGGTGGAGGATACTGGCTAGATATATCTATGTAGTAAATATAATGTTTCTGTGCTTATTAACTGTTTCCTGGCCGGTGAACAGTGATCTTGCTGTCGCCGATACCACCCAACTACCATTATGCCACCGCTATGGCCGGTTTTGCCGTACCTGGGCCAAATTAAGGTGGTGATACTGGCGAATCCTCATTCATGGCCATATATATCTACAGTAAATCACCAGTTTCACCAAATCCATATATTTACTGTATATGACTACGTAACCGCTATTATAACGTATCCGTACAAGGCGCATAAACCGTTCACTTTAAATACGGTTGGCTCTGGGCACCCGTAGCTCACCGATCGCCCACCCCTACTTTCGCCGTAACTGTTAAGTCCAAAAAGCGATGGGAAAACCGTTCTGCTACCCTTATTTAATTACGTGGATCCCCGGTAAGGTAGTTAGTGCTCTTCATAGTTAAATATTTCTCCACAGTCGTACGTCGCAGATCTCATGAGCGTCAAGAATATGAAACGTCTCGGGTTATTGCCCTCCATCGAGCTGGTATTCTTAATGTGTACTGTACAGTATAGTATAACCCTTATACTTTTGCTCTCAACGCCAGCAAGACGCCGCCCTTGTAATCCTCATTCCCATAGCTTGCATTCCCGCTCAGTTTCCTGCCAGACTAGCATAATTCACATCGTCAGCTCCCGGCGGCGCAGCCACGGCAGCCATGTTAGCCAAATCATCATTCTGCCGCCGCACTGCCTGCGCCTCCTGGCTCTGTTCCACAGCTTGCCGACCTGCGTTTACAAACACGCTCCTCCCCTCTCTCCTCGTAGCCGATCGTTCATCTCTATCCATCGTCCCAATCGGCCTCGGTCGTCCCCATTGAACACGTAACGGGCATCCTGCGATGACAGCTTTCCCCTGTAGCGCCAGGGCAGCTGCTTCTGCTCCCTGCCTTTCGGCGTAGTTGACAAACGCGCAGTGGCTCATGTGCGAGCATACTAAACTCCGTAGCTTTCCATAGGCAGTAAAAAAGTCCCGGATCTTGTGTTCTGGGAGGTCGTCTTCGATGCCCGTCACGAAGAGGGAGGTGATAGTGGTGTCGGAAGGCGGCGCGATATCGGCTTGTGTTGGAGGTAGTACCGCTGCAGAAGGAAAACGGCCGCCCCTCCCACCTCCTCTTCCTCCACGTACACCTCCACGAGCAGCAGCTCCCCCACGTTGTGTGCGTATCGGCCCAGGGCCAGAGCGTTGACTCTGTTCTCCCGCACCGCCACCAGAACCAGACGCCGCAGCGCTGCCCTCTCCTTCAACAGGTGCGATTCGTCTTTGCTTCTTGAAATACGGCTCGCTATTCGCCAGCCTCCTCAGTAGCTCCCTCGCCTTATCATCCGTCTTCTCGTATTCCTCCAGCGCCTCGCCCCTCCCCTCCTCAATATCCCTCTCGTGGTTCTGCGCGAAGAACTCTCTGTTGACGGCACTCTGTGGGCCGGGTGCAATCATCTTGAGCGCCGCATCGCGAACAACGATCGGTAGGCCGAAGGACAGATCGAGCATGCAGCACTGGCAGCAGTTCTTCAGTCGGGCGCATGTAAGGCAGATACCGGTGGACTTTGAGCGCGAGGTTCGATCGGTTTTCCAGGTGAAGACGGTGAATGGACGGGTGCATAGTTTGCATTCGGCTGAGTAGTCTTGTTTGAGCATCTGGACAAAAGGGTTATCTGGAAGACACTGTGGTGGCACTGTTAGCTTGTGGTTTCTTTCGCGGGCCGATATAGGGTATGGCATACATTTTCGCAAACTGACGGGAAGTCAGTTGTCTCCCATCCAGAGCGGTTCAGATCTTGTTTGATTTGGGGAGGCATCGTTATGTTTGTGGACTGTTCGTAGCGATGTTAAGGAGAGAGGTGGCAATGTTGGCACAATACTGGAAATCTATGTAAGGCCTCAGCCTCGAGCTACAACGATTTATGTCATTATAAATCTAATCACGTGATATCGCGTTTCTATCACATTTTTGATTGAAAATGGTGATAAATGAAATGGTATTTATTGGAGTAATACGCTTTCTAATAAATTAACTCACTTGGTATTCACCGATTTGCAACTCCTGTAATTTGCAGAGCTCAATTTATAACCAAGCCTACCTTAGTTTAGTATTATGATGACTTCAAAATAATTTTAAGGCACTTATAACGTGCATGTATAACGAAAGTGCCAAACAAGCGAAAGTGCCAAAATATCGCGACTACCCCATAAGAATTGCGATAAATCCACCACAACAATATAAATTAATTAAAACTACTCGGAGTCCTCTTCCTCAGACCTGTCTATTACAATCTGACAAGTGCGCGCATTGTGTCCAGTCTCACCACACTTGCCACAGCGATGTGCATGGGTTTCTTCCCTTGGCTTCCGACCACTACTTGCCCTTATTTCTTGCTCTACTTGCTGCACAACATCCCTCTCGTCCTGTAGCTCCTGTGCTACCTGTTGACTAAGTGATCCTCCTTGCTGTAGTCGTGTTTTTTTAGCTCTCCGGCGCTTGCTTAGCACTTCATTTGCCTGTCGCAGGTTTTGGTTCTCTGCTTTTAACAATGCTAATTGATGCATTATTTGCGATGCACCCTTTGTAAACTGGTCAACAGCTGCATAGATTGAGGTTGGAGAGCTATTTTGATGATGCGCAATTCAGTTTTTAATGAAAGTAGACTGTGATACAGCTTCAGTTGGGTTATTTGGTGTCTAAGAAACCCATGGTTGAGCGGTGTTTGGGTGAGAGGTTGGAGGTGTTGGCGTCTTAAACCTAAGGTCAAGTGTAGATATTACACTCTCAGGGCTAAATGGAAGAAGCCCAGCACCTCGGAACCCTCCCTGAATATTGCTTTCTGTCATTGCAATGTTAAATGCAGCGTGGAAGGCAGGAAAGAAGTCATCCTTAGTAATGTGAATAATATGAGCCCGCATCATATCTTCAATTTGCCGACCGTAAGCTCTCTTTAATGGGCCAAAACAGCCAACATCAAGTGGTTGAAGTATATGGGAAGAGTGAGCAGGCATACAAAGCGTAATAATGTTGTGTTCTTTGCAGTACTCCTTATGGATTGGATTTCATACCTCTCTCGTTTGTAGTCCAGCCATTTGCAGTAACAGCAATTACCCAATCTGCTGGAAATCCGCTATTCTCATACCAAGATGCAAGGTGGTTTTTACCTGCCACAATGACAAATGGCGGCACTGCCCAACCTTGAGAACTAACGCCTTGGATTACTGTAACCCATTCCCGATTGCCAGGCTGCACCTTTTTTGCCTTTGCCCGCCCATCTGAGCTCGTTACTACCGTTGCGCTTGAGATGACGCCCATCATAAACCCAGTCTCATCAAAGTTGTAGATATCTGCATTGTTGATGCCATACTTTAGAATTGTGTTCCATACAAGCTCAAACCAGCCACGAATGACTTCTGGATCTTCGCACTTAGCCCTCTGGTAGTCGTATTTTCGCTGGAAGCGTGTCCGGAGCTCTACATGGCGCTTAACAAAGTTTGAAGCCCAACGTGACCCGACGTGTGGCGCGTCGCGTGTTGCAAGTAGTCGATTTGCCATATCTTCAACAATAGACAACTGAGGAGGGAACCCTTTAGCAGCTAAGTCAAGTATATACTGAACAAGAACTGATTCCTCTAGGTTACTTAATTTCCGTAAGTTGGCTTGGATATCGCGTCGTGAAGGTATGCCTTGTAAACGGTGACATAGCTTGCGGTGGTCTACGGAATAGATCCTAGCTGCAACTCGAAGGCGCAAATTTGGGTCGCTTTGCATAGCTTGGATAGCTAGCACTAATTCGCTTTCATCATTTTTATGGCGCATGTTTTGTTGTGGAGGAATTTAACATTTAGTTGGGGGGGTTGGTCACCGCATGATTTTGGCACTTTCGCTTGTTTGGCACTTTCGTTATACATGCACGTTATTACTAAATTCGAAATAAATTCATAGAAATAGTTTATAGCTAGGGTTATTGTCATGATGTACAGTTACGCTTGCGCTACATCCCACTGAGCCAAAAAGACTACAGTATTCCGGCTCGCCCGGAATACGCTGTCATACTGACATTCGTTGCACTCAGTTTGCTATCTGTAATGGTGGGTGCACCAGATGTGAGAATCTAGCCACCCAAGGAAGGGATGATTTTACTAAGACAACACACTGTCTTAGGAAACAGAGCCAAAGGGTTGTAGCTTAGACTATTCCACAACGCAGCAATCAGGTGTGTCATATAGTGAAGTGGTTCAGACAAGTTGCAACAAATGTTGAGTCTGGGAACTCAGGGGTAAGTCAGAGGTTAACACCTCACTGACTTTTCAGAAACAAGGAGTAACAAGATGAATGCTTGGAAGCTTGGAAAAGACGTGGAAGTATGTGATAGTTGATTTTCTGTATTGTCTGCTTGCCCTTTCTTAAGGAAAGGGCAATCAAAGGAGTGTAGTTCTCTCATTTTCCATGACTTTCCATGACTAACCAGGCTTGGTAAATGTATTAGAAATCAAGTGCGACCCACAACTAGCTTGCTAATCATGTAGTGAACGTAAGAGAATCCCATAGAACCATCTCTTGGGTTCCTAGCCTATAGGAAGTGAAAAGGAGGTCCAAGGTCAGAGTACCTATAGACAAATTATGTCATAACTTAACCAATCTTGTGGGTAACTAAGGAGCGATGACGTGTAATGAATCATAGAGGGTTGTAGAAGCTTCTAGAGCTATCGTTCATGTTCCTAGGCCTCTAGTTGATAGAGACATGTCATGTGTAGTATTAGCCCAGTAACTAAGGAGTGATGTGTCATACTGACATTCGTTGCACTCAGTTTGCTATCAAACTCAAGAGCAAACTTGGAAATCTCCTCCTCAAACCTACAAGTCACTATACATATTTTGGCTTATCACACCAACAACAAGAGCAATACTACTCAACGATTGCTACAACCATCTATGATTCATTACACGTCATCGCTCCTTAGTTACTGGGCCGATATTACCACATAGCATATCTCTACAACCCTCTATGATTCATTACATGACATCACTCATACTACCACATGACATATCTCTACCAACTAGATGCCTAGGAGCATGAACGATAGCTCTAAAAGCTCCTACGAACCTCTATGATTCATTACATGTCATCGCTCTTTAGTTACCCACAAGATTGGTTAAGTTATGACATAATTTGTCTATGACATAATTTGTCTATGACATAATTTGTCTATGACATAATTTGTCTATAGGGGTACTCTGACCTTGGACCTCCTTTTACTTCCTATAGGCTATGAACCTAAGAGATGGTTCTATGGGATTCTCTTACGTCGACTACAGTTACCAAGCCTGGTAAGTCATGGAAAGTCTTGGAAAATGATAGAACTACACTCCTTTAGCATAAATAGGATTGCCCTTTCCTTAAGAAAGGGCAAGCAGACAATACAGTAAATCGACTATCACATACTTCCACGTCTTTTCCAAGCTTCCAAGCATTCATCTTGTTACTCCTTGTTTCTGAAAAGTCAGTGAGGTGTTGACCTCTGACTTACCCCTGAGTTCCCAGACTCAACATTTGTTGCAACTTGTCTGAACCACTTCACTACATCACACACCTGATTGCTGCGTTGTGGAATAGTCTAAGCTACGACCCTTTGGCTCTTTTTTCTAAGACAGTGTGTTGTCTTAGTAAAATCATCCCTTCCTTGGGTGGCTAGATTCTCACATCTGGTGCACCCACCATTACATGATGTCATGTAATGAATCATAGAGGGTTGTAGAGATATGCTATGTGGTCATATCGGCCCAGTAACTAAGGAGCAATGACGTGTAATGAATCCTAGAGGGTTATAGCAATTGTTGAGTAGTATTGGTGTGACAAGCCAAAATATGTATAGTGACTTGTGTCATACCGACATTCGTTGTACTCAGTTTGCTATCAAACTCAAGAGCAAACTTAGAAATCTCCCCCTCAAACCTACAAGTCACTATACATATTTTGGCTTGTCACACCAACAACAAGAGCAATACTACTCAACGATTGCTACAACCCTCTATGATTCATTACATGACATCACTCCTTAATTACTGGGCTAATACTACACATGACATATCTCTATCAACTAGAGGCCTAGGAACATGAACGATAGCTCCAAAAGCTTCTACAACCATCTATGATTCATTACACATCATCACTCCTTAGTTACCCACAAGATTGGTTAAGTTATGACATAATCTGTCTATAGGGGTACTCTGACTAGGAGATAGTTCTATGGGATTCTCTTACGTCAACTACAGTTACCAAGCCTGGTTAGTTATGGAAAGTCTTGGAAAATGATAGAACTACACTCCTTTAGCATAAATAGGATTGCCCTTTCCTTAAGAAAGGGCAAGCAGACAATACAGTAAATCAACTATCACATACTTCCACGTCTTTTCCAAGCTTCCAAGCATTGATCTTGTTACTCCTTGTTTCTGAAAAGTCAGTGAGGTGCTAACCTCTGACTTATCCCTGAGTTCTCAGACTCAACATTTGTTACAACTTGTCTAAACCACTCCACTACATCATACACCTGATTGCTGCGTTGTGGAATAGTCTAAGCTATGGCCATTTGGATCTTTTTCCTAAGACAGTGTGTTGTCTTAGTAAAATCATCCCTTCCTTGGGTGGCTACACATCTGGTGCACCCACCATTACAGGAAGGCACGTATCACCTATTTTCATAAAGCCGTATTCAAAGCATCGAAATCGACATCACATAGAGCAATATGAATATGTAGATAGATATAGAAATTGAGTTCATGTATTATATCTACGGCTTCACTTCTAACTTGTAAAAGCACTGCCATCCTCCCAGTTTCCCTTATGTTACTAGGAGGTCTCGAATGAACGCCGCTTGAGCCGGAGTGAAACTCGAAGTATGGATGGGGTATTTTAGGCAGCGGCACTTTGCTGCATGGATACTGGCTTGGCTTGGGAGTATGGGCTTACCTTGGTGCACATCTCCGCTGGACTTGGTGCAAATCTCAGCTGGACTTGGTGCTTTCGGCGTGTGGGCTTGGGCATTGCTGGACTTGCTGGTTTCGGAGTGATGGAATGGCTGGAATGTCATGGGCTGCTTGTCATGTCGCCGTTGGGCTGGGCGGAATAGATGATCACATTGAGGCAATTCGGGCTGGGATTTGCATGGATGATGGCTATATTATTGAAGTTATATAGAATATAAGATTGTTCCTGATGCCTCTTTTCCTTTGCTTCCCTGTGTCCATGCTCCTTCGCCGTAATCATCTTGGTGCCGCTAGCTGCCATATGTTCCACCTCTCCATCGTCACGATCAAAATCCACTGAAGTCGCCTTTGCCTCGGTGATAGCACCATTTTCGAGGCCGTAAACGGTGATGGCGCCATCTTCAAGGTATTACCGATGCCAGAAGTCAGCAGTATACTCGGAATGAACCATCGCCGGCGTGGCCAGCAGTTGAAAAAAGTGAGAATCGCACCCAAAAAGCAAAGCGCGGTGATAAAAGCAGTGCGGTGATAGGAAAACCATACGGCAGCAAGAAAAGCATACGGTAATAAGAAAAAACCTTATTCTAACGTAGCTTCAAAAGGCCGAACAGAAAACAAGTGAGGGAAGCAGAAAGTGAGACCTACCACGGCAGCCCGTATGCTGCAGTCGACAGGAAGTGTCAGTTCGTTCTAGTTGACAGGGTAAACAGACAAGCGGGCCTCAATATATACCCAAAAATCTGGGAAGAGGCTTTGGGAGTAGGGAAGCCGGGGCAAAAGCCGCCGTGATCAATATATCCTGGTTTTACGGGCAATTACAGCCCAATCCGGGCCACCGAAGAAGGATCGAAAACGGTGAGTCAATTTTACTATTCTACTACGGCTTCTTTTCTATTTACTGGTGCTTGGCGTCGACCGTTTGGGAGGAATCACCGTTGGCATGAGAAACGGGTGGTGCCACCGGAGCACGCACCAAAAACCGTGGGAACACCAGCCCATTTTGGTGACGGTCCCCGTTACCGTCGTGCTACCCTTATTCAATTACGTGAAATCCCGGTAAGGTTGTTGGATGCGAAGACGAACAAGAACATCGACATGGCGCATATCATGCCGAATACGAAGCCCTAATCCAGATAAACAAGATCTGGGAGATCTTAAAAAGGTACAACCACGTGACTAGTGAACCTGTGAGTCTTATTGGTGGGTGTTGGATTACAGGGATCAATCCGAAAACGAGCATGGCGGGAAACCCCCTATGATTTTCAATTTCGCCTGGCTCCCGCTATCAGATGTTAAAATATCCCCTTAAGAAGCGTCGCCCATCTCCCTGAAATTATTTTGACAACCGCTAATTTACGTCCTTCTTTTCACACGATACCCGACCGTTACCTTTCAATCGATCACTTATCTATCTTCTTCAATTGTCTAATACATTTTCGCTACAATGCCGTCCGCACTTGAGACCGAGAACCATGTTCGCGACCAGGAGTTCGCGAAGGCCATGCACGGCAAGTCTGCTGCTGAGCAGAACCACTTCATGGCGTGGATGAAGAAGGATAAGGGTGCCCAGAAGGAGGCTGTGGATGAATACTTCAAGCACTGGGACAACAAGGCTGCTAAGGACGAGACTGAGGAAGTCCGTGAGGTAGGTTGCTCTGTCGATCGGGGGAAGTGAGCAATACTGACAACGTCCATGAAGGCCAGAAGAGCAGAATACGCGACGTTGACCAAGCAGTAAGCACCTCTATCAGACGAAATTTGAACGAAGCCTAACATAATATAGCTACTACAACCTTGCTACCGACTTGTACGAGAACGGATGGGGACAGTCTTTCCACTTCTGCCGCTTCGCATACGGCGAGCCATTCAACCAAGCTATCGCTCGCCACGAGCACTACCTTGCGCACAGCATTGGTATCAAGCAGGGCATGAACGTCCTTGATGTTGGCTGTGGTGTTGGTGGACCAGCCAGGGAGATTGCCAAGTTCACCGGCGCCCACATCACCGGATTAAATAACAACGACTACCAGATTGAGCGCGCAACTGCATACGCAAAGAAGGAGGGCCTTTCGGACCAGTTGAAGTTTGTCAAGGGTGATTTCATGGTATGTACTTAACGAGCGTCTTAAAAGATCCGTACTAAGGTAAATTAGCAAATGGGTTTTCCAGAGGAGACTTTCGATGCCGTCTACGCTATCGAGGCTACCGTCCACGCACAATCGCTCGAGGGTGTATACCACGAGATCTTCAAGACCCTGAAGCCCGGCGGAGTCTTCGGTGTTTACGAGTGGCTCATGACCGATAACTATGATGCAACCAACGTCAAGCACCGTGAGATCCGTCTCGGTATTGAGCAAGGAAACGGCATCTCGAACATGGTCAAGATATCTGAGGGTCTCCGTGCTATCGAGGCTGCCGGATTTGTTCTGGAGATGCACGAGGATCTTGCAAAGCGCGACGACCCTTCCCCATGGTACTACCCCATTGCCGGTGACTTCAAGTACATGGGCAGCATCTGGGATTTCCCAACTATTGCACGTATGACAAAGCTTGGTCGTGGACTTGTCCACAAGTTCGTCTGGGGTCTCGAGTGCCTCAGGATCGCACCACCAGGAACCAACAAGTCCGCTGACAACCTCGCTTTGGCCGCAGACATGTTGGTCGAGGGTGCCAAGTTGGACCTGTTCACCCCGATGTACCTGATGGTCGCCAGGAAGCCATTGAACTAAAGAGGAGCTGTGAAGAATAGGAGTTTGGGTTTCAATTTAGCTGGGGGCATAGAATATTCATGTACAAAAATCAACTGCGGGGCCATTTCGGCATACACTGGCCGCCTGCTTGCACCTGCATGGTAGTAGTTAGTTTTCACTGTTTCGGGGATGATTTTCGGCGATGCTTTTCGCGGATCGATTGCCATGAGTTGAGTGCAGCGGCGCCAGATATTACAGTTAAAGTAGCATAAATACGCAATAATAATATATAATACGTGTCAATCCTAGAGACTAAAGTTTCTGATTACTACCTGCTTTGAAACGATAATGTTCATATACTCCTCGTTGCCCATTACTACATTTTTACTGTCGAGAAGTTGCTTTTTGTATCTCGGGCCTATTACTCCGTTACCCCAATTTAATCCTCGACAATATTCCTAATTTGGACTAGCGTTCTCCTCTTGTCCCAGCAATCTTTCCCAAAAATTTGGCCCGTATCGCCATTCAATCGCTCAACGACTCCAAATTGCGTGGGGAGGCAGATCTCGCAATTGCATTTCGACCCCACAACGATTAGTCCACCATCCTTGAGCTTTTCATCCCAAGCTTAAGGCCTCACATATATACAAGATGTCTCGACTGCTAAGGCCCGTTTCATCGCTGCTGTCGAGCAGGACAGCTCCAGTCGCGCGACGGGCATTCCGCCGCTCCGACCTGCCGCGTGTTGTGGCCGCACAATGGAGAGGCTATGCCAGCGGCGTCAAGGAGATGACGGTTAGAGAGGCGCTCAACGAGGCACTGGCGGAAGAATTGGAGCAGAACCCAAAGGTCTTCGTCCTTGGTGAGGAGGTTGCACAGTACAATGGCGCATACAAGGTCACCAAGGGCTTGTTGGACCGATTCGGAGACCAGAGAATTATCGACTCTCCTATTACTGAGTCGGGTTTCACTGGATTGACTGTTGGCGCTGCTCTTGCTGGACTGCACCCAGTTGTGAGTTCCCCCTGATCCCTGATGCCTCCTGTTTTATTCTGCTGTTTTGTTGGAGACGGATGCTGACGGAGTAATTGTAGTGCGAGTTCATGACCTTCAACTTCGCTATGCAAGCCATCGATCAAATCATCAACTCTGCTGCCAAGACGCACTACATGTCCGGCGGTATCCAGCCCTGCAACATCACCTTCCGTGGCCCCAACGGCTTCGCCGCTGGTGTTGCCGCACAGCACTCCCAGGATTACTCCGCTTGGTACGGCTCCATCCCCGGCCTCAAGGTCGTCACGCCATGGTCCGCCGAAGATGCCAAGGGACTTCTCAAGGCTGCCATCCGCGACCCCAACCCAGTCGTTGTCCTCGAGAACGAGCTCCTTTACGGACAATCCTTCCCGATGTCCGAGGAGGCTCAGAGGAGCGACTTCGTCATCCCATTCGGCAAGGCCAAGGTCGAGCGCCAAGGAAAGGACCTCACCATCATTACACTTTCCCGCTGCGTTGGCCAGTCTCTCGTCGCCGCCGAGAACCTGAAGAAGAAGTACGGCGTGGAGGTTGAGGTTGTCAACCTGCGCTCCATCAAGCCTCTCGACGTTGAGGCCATTGTCAAGTCTGTGAAGAAGACTGGCCGCCTCCTGGCTGTCGAGTCTGGCTTTCCCTCGTTTGGTGTTGGCTCTGAGATCCTCGCCCTGACGATGGAGTATGCATTCGACTACCTAGAGGCTCCAGCCCAGAGAATCACTGGTGCTGAGGTCCCAACACCTTATGCTAAAGAGTTGGAGGATATGAGCTTCCCTAACGAGGATTTGATTGAGGCGTTTGCCAAGAAGATGTTGAAGCTATAGAGGCGAGGAGATGAAAGGCGAAAAGAAGGAGCGATAGATATGTATTTGTAAAGGTAGCGTGGACAGGAACTGGGCTAATTAAATATGATTCATCGCAGTGCTCGTTTTAATGTCTTTAGTTTTTTGATTCTGTGTATATGATGTTGTGGACCTGGTTTGCTTTTCGTGACAGATAAATTGACCACATATCAGTGCTTGACTTGCTCCTTCATAATGCGAACCGAGAATGGGCTGCTACGAATCAGGGATCAATCATCTTTCCAACCACAGTGTGTTGCAACATCATCATAGAGCGGCCTCAAGCGGCCCTTATTTTTGATTCTCGTGCATAATTGTATTACACAGTTACTGTGACAGGGTTAGAAAATCAATTATAATCATGATTATTTAGTCGTAATCATAACGTGCATGTATAACGAAAGTGCCAAACAAGCGAAAGTGCCAAAATCATGCGGTGACCAACCCCCCCAACTAAATGTTAAATTCCTCCACAACAAAACATGCGCCATAAAAATGATGAAAGCGAATTAGTGCTAGCTATCCAAGCTATGCAAAGCGACCCAAATTTGTGCCTTCGAGTTGCAGCTAGGATCTATTCCGTAGACCACCGCAAGCTATGTCACCGTTTACAAGGCGTACCTTCACGACGCGATATCCAAGCCAACTTACGGAAATTAAGTAACCTAGAGGAATCAGTTCTTGTTCAGTATATACTTGACTTAGCTGCTAAAGGGTTCCCTCCTCAGTTGTCTATTGTTGAAGATATGGCAAATCGACTACTTGCAACACGCGACGCGCCACACGTCGGGTCACGTTGGGCTTCAAACTTTGTTAAGCGCCATGTAGAGCTCCGGACACGCTTCCAGCGAAAATACGACTACCAGAGGGCTAAGTGCGAAGATCCAGAAGTCATTCGTGGCTGGTTTGAGCTTGTATGGAACACAATTCTAAAGTATGGCATCAACAATGCAGATATCTACAACTTTGATGAGACTGGGTTTATGATGGGCGTCATCTCAAGCGCAACGGTAGTAACGAGCTCAGATGGGCGGGCAAAGGCAAAAAAGGTGCAGCCTGGCAATCGGGAATGGGTTACAGTAATCCAAGGCGTTAGTTCTCAAGGTTGGGCAGTGCCGCCATTTGTCATTGTGGCAGGTAAAAACCACCTTGCATCTTGGTATGAGAATAGCGGATTTCCAGCAGATTGGGTAATTGCTGTTACTGCAAATGGCTGGACTACAAACGAGAGAGGTATGAAATCCAATCCATAAGGAGTACTGCAAAGAACACAACATTATTACGCTTTGTATGCCTGCTCACTCTTCCCATATACTTCAACCACTTGATGTTGGCTGTTTTGGCCCATTAAAGAGAGCTTACGGTCGGCAAATTGAAGATATGATGCGGGCTCATATTATTCACATTACTAAGGATGACTTCTTTCCTGCCTTCCACGCTGCATTTAACATTGCAATGACAGAAAGCAATATTCAGGGAGGGTTCCGAGGTGCTGGGCTTCTTCCATTTAGCCCTGAGAGTGTAATATCTACACTTGACCTTAGGTTTAAGACGCCAACACCTCCAACCTCTCACCCAAACACCGCTCAACCATGGGTTTCTTAGACACCAAATAACCCAACTGAAGCTGTATCACAGTCTACTTTCATTAAAAACTGAATTGCGCATCATCAAAATAGCTCTCCAACCTCAATCTATGCAGCTGTTGACCAGTTTACAAAGGGTGCATCGCAAATAATGCATCAATTAGCATTGTTAAAAGCAGAGAACCAAAACCTGCGACAGGCAAATGAAGTGCTAAGCAAGCGCCGGAGAGCTAAAAAAACACGACTACAGCAAGGAGGATCACTTAGTCAACAGGTAGCACAAGAGCTACAGGACGAGAGGGATGTTGTGCAGCAAGTAGAGCAAGAAATAAGGGCAAGTAGTGGTCGGAAGCCAAGGGAAGAAACCCATGCACATCGCTGTGGCAAGTGTGGTGAGACTGGACACAATGCGCGCACTTGTCAGATTGTAATAGACAGGTCTGAGGAAGAGGACTCCGAGTAGTTTTAATTAATTTATATTGTTGTGGTGGATTTATTGCAATTCTTATGGGGTAGTCGCGATATTTTGGCACTTTCGCTTGTTTGGCACTTTCGTTATACATGCACGTTAATCATGATTATTTATAAAGCGTACGGAGTACAACGTACATGTATAACGAGTCGGCCACCCAAGCGAGTCGGCCACTTTCCACCGACCACCTATATATTATATAAATCAATTCAACTACAACGCCTTAAATCAATTCAACTACAACGCCTTAAATCAATTAAAACTACTCAGAATCTCCATCTTCAGACGTCTCCCAAACTACCTAACAAGTTCGCGAATTATGACCAGTTTGGCTGCAGTTGCCACAATGCCGAGTACGTAGCTGAGCCCGCTCTGTAGAACTACCCTCCCTACGTGTATTTTCTCTCCTAGCATCAACTATACCCTTTTCTAGCCATATCGCATTAGCTTCAGGTGCTGAAAGCGAACCTCCAAGCTGTAGGCGGCTCTTTTTAGCCCTCTGGCATTTGCTTAGTAGCTCATTTGCTGTACAAAGCTCCTGGTTCTCAGCTTTAAGAAGGACTAGTCTATGTGCTAGCATTAAGATACCTTTAGCCTAGGCATCAACTACGTTATATAAATGGGTTGGAAAGCTACCATGATGCTTAGCAATCCTAGATTTCAAGGTAGTAGAGCTTTGTACAGCCTCAATTGCTATAGTTAGCGTTTTTAGACCCTAGGAGGTAGCGGTTCCTAGCCTGTAAGGATGCCTTCTCGTCTCTCATTCTAAGGAGTAGACTCTGGGTAGCTGCGGGGTCACGTGTGATCATTTGGGTGGGCTAACCGAGTCGGAACCAAGTCGGATGGTTTTCGGGTACTTGAGGGAATCTACTCATGGGGTTCCCCCTTCATCTTTTTTGTATCCTTCGTAGTAGACCTATAGGATAGCATCTGTTTAGCCTCCGACTCACACTCTCATATGCTATTACTGTGAGCTGGGTGCCCTGTGTCCTTACATTATACAAAAAATATCACGCCTGCCGGGGACGGCCGTACTTCAATAATATCTCACACCGGAATGACTCAGGAGAACTACCATTACGACATCGACCGCGACTCGGTGACGTTTCGGAGGAGAGACCTGACGACTTCAAATAGCCGTGATTCCAGAGATCTCACGGACAGCCAGTGGATCAGGGTTTGATTCTTCAGAACAAGCTGACATCTTTTCCAAGCGTCCAAGCATTGATCTTGTTACTCCTTGTTTCTGAAAAGTCAGTGAGTATAATGGTGGGTGCACCAGATGTGAGAATCTAGCCATCCAAGGAAGGGATGAATTTACTAAGACAACACACTGTCTTAGGAAAAAGAGCCAAAGGGTTGTAGCTTAGACTATTCCACAATGTGGCAATCAAGTGTATGATGTAGTGGAGTGGTTTAGACAAGTTGAAATGTTGAGTCTGAGAACTCAGGGATAAGTCAGAGGTTAGCACCTCACTGACTTTTCAGAAACAAGGAGTAACAAGATCAATGCTTGGAAGCTTGGAAAAGACGTGGAAGTATGTGATAGTCGATTTACTGTATTGTCTGCTTGCCCTTTCTTAAGGAAAGGGCAATCCTATTTATGCTAAAGGAGTGTAGTTCTCTCATTTTCCAAGACTTTCCATGACTTACCAGGCTTGGTAACTGTAGTCGACATAAGAGAATCCCATAGAACCATCTCTTAGGTTCGTAGCCTATAGGAAGTAAAAGGAGGTCCAAGGTCAGAGTACCCCTATAGACAAATTATGTCATAGACAAATTATGTCATAACATAACCAATCTTGTGGGTAACTAAAGAGCGATGACATGTAATAAATCATAGAGGTTCGTAGGAACTTTTAGAGCTATCGTTCATGCTCCTAGGCATCTAGTTGGTAGAGATATGTCATGTGGTAGTATGAGTGATGTCATGTAATGAATCATAGAGGGTTGTAGAGATATGCTATGTGGTAATATCGGCCCAGTAACTAAGGAGCGATGATGTGTAATGAATCATAGATGGTTGTAGCAATCGTTGAGTAGTATTGCTCTTGTTGTTGGTGTGATAAGCCAAAATATGTATAGTGACTTGTAGGTTTGAGGAGGAGATTTCCAAGTTTGCTCTTGAGTTTGATAGCAAACTGAGTGCAACGAATGTCAGTATGACACAACGCTAGCCCTGATCCTTCCACCACAACAGGTCAGCATCGACCCTGAACCCTACACCCTTACCGTCCCCCACTATAGTGTAACTTGCTATGTGCTCCTCTACTGGTTCGAAACCACACCGAGTCAGATTTCATGCTTGTAGTGACCGTAACAGTTCTGAGACAGGTTCTTCGAGTATCTAGGTAAGGAGGCATCCTTACACCCACCATCTTCGTAAGTCGCACTGAAGTCACTTATCAGGAAGCAGATCTTAACGAGACATAAGAGCCGAATCGATTCTACCATATAACATAAGTCGTGTCGTAACTGGGAATAGGTACCTTTACATACAAATTTATATGTAAAGATACTTCCACTTCCAAAACTAAAACTCTAAATAGCTCTGTCAATAAAAATCGTATAGCTTAAATATTTGATATTAAAGTTCTATATATAGACCTTTATAATGTATGAAAAGGCTAGCATCGCTAGTTTTGTAGTTGCTGTTCTATTAATAGGATGAAATCACCCATACAAATATTTGTATGAGGAAAACTTTAATGTTAAATTAATCAGGTAAAACGACGCTAGGAGTGTTAGCATTTCTAAGTTAAGTAAAGGTCTATATATAGAACCCTAATATGGATCAGCTAAGCAGTACAATTTTTATTAATAGAGCTATTTAGGTTTTTAGTTTTGGAAGTGGAAGTATCTTTACATATAAATTTGTATGTAAAGGTACCTATTCCCGGTTACGCCATGTTCCCGGTTACGCCACGACTTACGTTAACTTGTCTTGAACACATCCTCAATCCCCAGAGCCTCCTCGACCTAAGCATATCGTTATGAAGGGAGGGACAACTATATGCAACACGCAGGGACCGCTGGTCTCAAGGTCGACTCGCTTCCATCCGATGGTTGAAGACTGGTTCACCTATAGTGGCTGCATCTTTGACATCAAAGAGTATAGCCATTGGAAAAAGGCATATGCGGCTTGGGAGCGGGAATACTCCAATCGAGAATTGAAACACCAGCTGAGCTGCAGGGATCGAGAATGCACCTGTGAACCTAGGACAGAAAGACCACACAGGAAGCCAACTATTTCTCACCAGAGCGTACGTCGCATTTGTTGAGCGAGGTGCTTGCGGCCGTAACCGGGGTGCACCAAATCGATCTGTTACCGGAATCTTTCCTGTCTACGGTCAGGGAGCAGACATCGAGGGAGCGCGAGCTCGGAGCCAATTAGCCATGTGGAATGATATTGCGGGTCACTTTTAGCTGCTGCACGGAGATAGATGAGGAAACTACTGCAAGGGCGTAGAGGTTACCAAAGCTGAGATTGTGAGCATACGTCGTGATCTGGACATGCTTCAAGTGATGACGTCTGATAATACTTTATCCTTCAATAAAGTGAACGACTCCTCTGACTTTCGGAGCTTTAAAGGTGACCAATGTACCGTTTCCAAACTTCCAAGCTGTAAAGTTTGTCCAAACTGCCACAGAAACAATTATAAATCTATTCGACATGCATTACTTGTACTTCATCCGACCAGTTCTTTTAAAGGATTGTGATGATAAGGCGGTCGGTCATTCTGACCTAACACTTGCATTCAGCCGGAGTACGGCGCCATAAGTATGCATACAGGTCTGTGCTTCTCCCATACAAAAAGACAGTCGTTTACTGCAATTTAAGCACAGACCTGTATTCATACTTATGGCGCCGTACTGTACTACCTTCATCTCTCATCCCACATATCATCACATTCCACCTCCCATCCCAGCCTCATCCCATCCCCCATCCCGTCCCCAACGACGCCCCGAACCCCCGCCAAGCTAAACCCCCATAGCGCTGATAGGGCGGTGAAAGTCGCTCGTACAGCGCCGACTCCTCACTGGCTAGCGTCAACCCGCAGTTGGAGGACCGCCGTAGCTATCAGGCTATGGTTACTTTGCCATGTGCTGGTTAGTGTTGGTGTAGTGTTGGTGCGCTACTACGGTGATTATGTACATACACTACCGTAGTGAATGGGGGTGGCATATGCGTACCCCGCGTGCTAACCACGCCTGAGCCTGATCGGCGGCGAGAAGTCCTTATCTTAGTGTGGCGAGGCCGGGATGGGGTGGTAGGGTGGAAGGATGAGGGTTGGGTTGGTATAAGTCCCTCAACCTTTCCTGTGCAGAGCAAAGATAGTAAATACTGTCAAGGCAGCGTTGAGGTGGTTCGCTGTGATTATTTCGCCGGCTTGAATTGATTCCTCTTTGTGCGGAACGACAGGCTTATCGGGTGCTGGTTTTATGGCCGGCTAGCCACCAAGGGAAATCCGGCGACAGACGACATACAGACGAGCAGAGGAGAGGCAGTGAGACGATATCAAGGCAGCAGACAGGCAACAGAGAGGCTGCAGAGAGGTAGCTAGAGATATACACAGCAAGTGCCAAAGCCATCCAGCTTGAGAAACAGATATACGACAACCACCCAGACAACCACCCAGACAACCACCCAGACAACCACCCAGACAACCACCCAGACAACCACCCAGACAACCACCCAGACAACCACCCAGACAACCACCCACTACAACACTCGCACCATGTCAAACACCATCTCCTCCGCCGTCTCGAAGACGGCGGCTGGGGCGGCGGCTGCCACCACGGGGCTACGTGCAACGCCGCAGGGCGGTATCCTCGAGGGCGCAAACCCGGCGACGTATGACCCGAAGAATCCGATTATTTTGTTCATTATACAGGTTAGTTGGTTTTACTACTGGCGAGGCGTGGGACGGGATGGGTTGAGTGGATGAGGAGGAGGGATACTCGAGAGGTCTTGGAAGATGTGTTTGCTATGAGGGGGTGTGGATTTCATCTCTGAGGAGGCCGTGGGCAAGGGACATTACGTTGTCGATTCTGCGTGCCATTCATTTCCTGCCATCAAGAAAAATGGCGGATTGCTCTATCCCATGCGGACTGCTAATACCCATCAGGTAATTATTATCATCATCTTCTGCCGCCTCCTCCACTACCCCCTCTCCCTCATCCGTCAACCCCGCGTCATCGCCGAAGTCATCGGCGGCATCATCCTAGGCCCCTCCGTCATGGCGCACATCCCCGGCTTCAAAGCGGCCATCTTCCCCGACGCGAGTCTACCCATCCTCAACCTCGTCGCCAACCTCGGCCTCATCCTCTTCCTCTTCCTCGTCGCCCTCGAGACAGACCTCCACATGTTCATGAGGAACTGGCGGGTCGCCCTCTCCGTCGGCCTCGCAGGCATGATTCTCCCCTTCGGCCTCGGGTGCGGTATTGCGTATGGACTATATCATCAGTTCCGTACCGACGAGGGCATCGTCCCCATCTCGTTCCCCGTGTACATGCTCTTCATCGGCACGGCGCTCAGCATCACCGCGTTCCCGGTCCTGTGCCGTATCCTCACCGAGCTGAATCTCCTCGGTACGCCAGTCGGTGTTACGGTTCTCGCGGCAGGCGTAGGAAACGATGTCGTGGGCTGGGTGCTCCTCGCTCTGTGCGTTGCGCTCGTGAATAACGGGTCTGGCATCACAGCGCTGTACGTCGTTCTCTGCACAGTCGGGTGGATCTTATTCCTCTTCTATGCCGTCCGGCCGTGTCTTGTCTGGCTGCTGCGACGGACGGGGAGCATCAAGAACGGGCCGACGCAGGGGATGATTACGCTGGTTTTGCTTCTGACGCTGTTTTCAGCGTGGTTCACGGGCGTCATTGGCGTGCATCCTATTTTCGGCGGCTTCTTGGTCGGGCTGATCTGTCCGCACGATGAAGGCTTTACGGTGAAGCTGACAGAGAAGATTGAAGATCTGGTGACTGTCTTGTTTCTCCCGCTCTACTTTGCGCTGTCGGGACTGAACACGAATCTGGGACTGCTGAACGATGGGACGGCGTGGGCGTATGTTGTTGGTATTATTGCGGTTGCTCTTATAGGGAAGATCGTGGGTGGAACGCTGGCGGCGAGATCTTGCAAGCTGGTGTGGAGGGAAAGTCTCACCATTGGTGTTCTGATGAGTTGTAAGGGATTGGTAGAACTGATTGTGCTGGTAAGTCTGATGGTCATTCAACCGCACCGACAACTACTAACAGCCACAGAACATCGGCCTCCAAGCCAAGATCCTCTCCACGCGAACCTTCACCATGTTCGTCATCATGGCTCTCGTCACAACCGTCATCACCTCCCCCGCAACCAGCGCCCTCTACCCACCCTGGTACCAGAAGAAGCTTGAAGCCTGGAAGCGCGGCGACATCGACTGGGAGGGCAACGAGCTCCGCGCCTCCGCCGACTCTCTCGGGAAGCTCGAGTCCACACAAATCCACAAACTCCTCGTCTACCTCCGCCTCGAATCCCTTCCCGCGCTATTCACATTCATCGACCTCCTCGGCGGCGAAAAGCCCGCCCCCATCACGCGGGTACACAAATCGCGCCTCCCCTCCGTCCCCGAAGACCCCTCCTCCGAAACCACCACCCCAGAACACGCGCTCGAAGTCCATGGCGCGCGTCTCCTCCCACTCACCGAGCGTACCTCGTCCGTAATGAAAGTCTCGGCGACAGAGGACTCCTCCTCCGATGCGATCCTCAATACCTTCCGCACCTTTGCGCGTCTCAACGCCCTACCTGTCTCTGGCACAATCAGCACCGTTCCCCTCACCTCCTTCGCCACTCAGCTGCTCTCCAAAACGTCTTCTCTTTCTCCCGACCTCCTTCTCGTCCCTTGGCCATCCTCCCTCCCAGCCGATAGTGAAGCCGACGCCCCGCCCCGCAGACCCGCGCCGTTCACGCCAGGGGCTCAATCGGCGTTCATATCTGAGCTCCTATCCGAAGCGCCATGCAACGCAGCGATCCTCATTGATCGCAGCTTCGGGGCCCCGGTCCCATCAGCCGACAGGGGACACCACATTTTCTTCCCCTTCATCGGCGGACCAGACGACCGCGTAGCTCTCCGTTTCGTCCTCCAGCTCGCGAAGAACCGACACGTCACCGCGACCGTGCTTCAGGTTATCCACACCGCCGCACCCGAGGTTAAGCCTCCCCGCCCAACCGCGCCAGGGATCGGCGCGGAGGCATTCGCGCCGCGGCTGGGGATGGGGAGTCGACGCGGGAGCCGGGCGAGTGTGGTTGCTGCGGCGGAGGAGGCGGTGAGGGGGATGGTGGAGAGGAGGGAGGCGGATGCGGCGTTTTTGTGTGCGTTGAGGGATTCGTTGCCGGCGGGGTTGGGGGAGCGGGTTGTATTTTTGGAGGGGGAGGGGGGAAGGCGGTGGTGGATGTTGCGAGGGTGGAGGTTGGGGGGGTGGGGGATTTGGTAGTTGTGGGGAGGGGGGTTGGGGGGAGGGAGAGGTGGGGAGGGTGTTGGGGGGGTTGGCGGCGGAGATGGTGGAGGGGGGGTGGGTGGGAGCTTGGTGGTTGTTAAGGCTGGGGGGAGGGGGTTGGAGATGTAAAGGGGGGGGTTGGAGTTGGTATCCGATGTTTATATGGCGCATGGCTGGCTGTTAGTGTTACATGCTGCATTCCATATCCCATGATTTACCAGTAGCATTCACGGAGATGAGCATTTGCAGTTGTGTTCAGGTGTGTGTGTGAACAGCCCAGATGTAATAAGTTATTAAGTCCAAAATAAAAACATTATACCCTTCACCCCTTAATATAGGTCTACAACCCACCTCATTCCTCTCCCTAAAACTCCATTTTCGATCAAAACTTCGCGGAAGTCAAATAACCCCCCATCATATTCCCCGCCTTCAGGATGCTATCATTGTCGTTGTCGATTCGTCCGTCTTCTCCTTAGTCTTTGGGATCGTCCTCCACTCCATCCCCAAGCTCGCGACAAAGCAAACACCAGCAGAAGCCACAGCAACAAGAAACGCCGACGTAATCGCAACATTATACGCATCCCTCACCCCTCCCAACAGAGGAGCCGGGACAACATCAACCATGCCAACTCCCCCCGCACCACACGCGTTCCACATCAATGCCCGGCATCTTATTAATATTCCCAACCAGCGAGCTCTGAAACACATTCTGCGCGATAGCCAGCCGCGCCAAGCGAGCCACCGAGGGACTGACAGAACCGCGCTGGCAACAGGAATATCAGCAGCGTCGAGGACTTGGATGGCGAAGAATGGAATCTGCACGCCGATTTCGAAGCCGATCCCGCTGATGAAGTGACTTGTAGGTTTGAGGAGGAGATTTCTAAGTTTGCTCCTCAAACCTACAAGTCACCATACATATCTTGGCTTATCACACCAACAACAAGAGCAATACTACTCAACGATTGCTACAACCCTCTATGATTCATTACACGTCATCGCTCCTTAGTTACTGGGCCAATACTACCACATAGCATATCTCTACAGCCCTCTATGATTCATTACACGTCATCACTCCTTAGTTACTGGGTTAATACTACCACATGACATATCTCTACCAACTAGAGGCCTAGGAACATGAACAATAGCTCCAAAAACTTCTACAACCCTCTATGATTCATTACATGTCATCGCTCCTTAGTTACCCACAAGATTGGTTAAGTTATGACATAATTTGTCTATAGGGGTACTCTGACCTTGGACCTCCTTTCACTTCCTATAGGCTAGGAACTAAGAGATGGTTCTATGGGATTCTCTTACGTTCACTACATGAATAGCAAGCTAGTTGTGGGTCGCACTTGATTTCTAATACAGTTACCAAGCCTATTCCTTCTCTTTATTCCCTGCTTGCTCTGGTCCTTCTGGATTGCGTTTCCATTGATATTTCGCATCAACATCATGTGGCAACATATTTATAGGAATTGGAAATGTACTCATCTTTTCACTATTCAGTAACATTCCATTAAAGTCAGGAGTGAACCTACGATTTCTAGCTTGGATGGTGGAAAATATGGGTTACCAGGAGATACATAAGTGTCACGAGGAGACCACCACGTGACCGAGCAGTGGTCCCTCATTTCGCTTCACTCGAGCTTACAAGCTCGCTTAGGAAAGCTCTTCTCTATAAAGAGGAGCTTTCCTACATTACGTAGAGACCAGAGTATTCAATTCATTACACATTCACGTGATCGCGAGCACAGTTATATGTGACAGTTATGAGCCCGGTATATCCGAAGAATTTTCAAAACCTACAAGCAGTTAAGCATCATTTATCTGCTCACCGATCATACAAATCAAACGAGTACTCTCCTTCAGAATCAGAAGTAGAGCCCAACAATGGAGTCGCTAAGCGCCACGTCACTCTATCGAGTTATCCTCAAAGATCGAAGCTCTTGGAACCTTTGGATAGGCAAGCTCCAAGATCAAGCCCAAGCCCAGGGTATCTGGTACCTTGTTGACCCCGACGCTCCAGACACAGCAAATCCTATGTCCGAAGCTCCTCGAGCACCGCCATCAGAGCTTCAGCTGCTCCAGCACGAAAACAACTCTCGGCAAGAACACTACAGCCAGAGTATACTGGCGTACGAGGCAGCCCCTGTGGATGCAAGACCACCTAAGCCGTACTACGCTCCTGCAAGCACAAAAGATATCATTGACGAGCTCGACAAGAGCTACAAGACGTATGCTGTGCAGCTCACTGTCTGGCAAACAGTATCGAAACCCTCCTCAGTGATCAATCAATGGATCATTGCGACAGTCGATACAAAGCTCCTCGATCCTCTTATGACCCGTCTTCATGCTGAACAGAGCTCCACTATCCAACAAATTGTCTGAGAGCTTCGTACGCTCCTTGCACCGAGCAAGTCAACCAACTTCCTACAAGCCCATCGGCAATACAAAGCTCTTATAGAGCAAGCTAGGAATGGTAGAGTCAACCCAGACAAGTGGTATAATGACTGGCTTCAAGCTTATAGCCAGGGTATCGAGTATAACATTGGCGAGATCATAGAACCGTCAGCAACGCTCGACTTCCTTGAAGCGATCTCAGCACGCATGGCTCCAGACTGGGGAAAGCAAACCTTAAACGAAGCGACGATCGCCTACGAGCTTAACAAACCAGTTGACTCGCTCTTTGAGATTGCTCGCACATTTTCAGTGATCTCGCGAGCCTCCGCCAACCCGTCGCCTGCTTCTTTCGCTGTCATCGATCCTCAGAAACCAGATGAAGCAGTAGTCTGTCCATGCAAGCGCAGCAAACACCCGTGGGAGACGATCGAATGCTACCAGCTGCTCGAAGCGATCACTGGAAAGACCAACAAGGGCTGCTATCCAATGATTCCCGAGCATCGGAATCGCATTCTCACTGAGGTTCACAAACCAGAGTTCAAGGAGCTTCGCAGGCTCTTAAGCTCAAAGGGCATGACACCACCTCAACCTAAGAAGAGCCAGAACCAAAGCTCTGAGCCCGCGCGTGGCAACAACGACTACCGTGCTACCTACAACGCCGCGATCATTGCACCGTGGCTCGATCAGAGCTTAGGGGTGTACACAGTGATCGGTCAGAAACACCTGCTCTCTGAGAGCACGCTCCTAGACAATTGTGGAGCAGTGCACATCGTCAATTGCAAAGATCTACTCGAGCCTGGCTCAATGATTTACCCGAGCACTCCAGAGTTTGTTGAATCTGGAACGACGAGTTTCGCGATCGTTGCACGAGGAACGCGCATTATACGCAAGATCTTACATGGACCGAGTGGCCCACAAACTGCAGACCTGATCCTCAACAACGTTCAGGTGATTGAAGGATTCCATGTGAACATTGTATCACAAGCCCTCTTGCACAACTCGGGTATATGGGTTGATGGGTATGATAATACGCTGTGGACAGGAGAGCGCAGAGCTCCTATGCTCTTAGGAAAGCTCGAAGTTAGATACAACCTGCTTATGCTCCAATACAAAGCTCTTCTATCTTGCTCTCTTGTTCCATCAAGCTTTGCCATCATACATTCTAGTGATCGCCATGGTAGACCTCCAGTGACTATGTATTACAGGTTATGAGCCCGGAAGCCTATTGTTAAGGTATTTACAAGATCAGAATTATCATTGAGTGTTGATTTGTGCAGTCCAATTCACCAATCCGTCAACAGACTCGCTGAAGTCAGTGTTTTCGTTACAGCACCACAACCTCAACCTCAAACAGTTTTGAAGTACGGTGAAGAGGATTGTGGCTCTCTTTCTTTGAGTTATATCCACACTGTTTATTTCACTTTATGTCCTCTGCGCTCGAGCCAGAAGGACTTTCCAAGATCTTTGAAGACACGACAGATCAACTTGCAACTTCATCTCAAACTGAATTTCGAACACGACTGCGACTACACCAATAGCCAATATGTCTTCTACAACTATGGTGAGTCTGAATACGACTTCGCTGCATCTTCCAGATCATTTGAAGCTCAAGGGTGAAGAGAATTACACCAACTGGAAGGAACTTATCGTCAACATCGCCCGAGGCACGGACTGGCGAAATACATCAACGATAGATGCAAGAGGCCAGAATACATCGATGAATTCCATGAGGACTACGATGAGGCCAAAGATGGAGACAAGCTCAGGAAGTATGAAGCTTGGGAGAAGGGCGACGCTCAGATGCAGCTCGCGATCCAATATAACTGCAAGACGATTCCAGGAAAAGTGGCATCTGCAAAGGACACAGCGCTTGAGATGTGGAGAGCCCTACAACAGCAATACGAAGGCTCAGGTTCAGTCCTGAAGTACAATGCAATTCAGGATTATGTTCACCTCAAGTACGAGAATTTTTCTTCACTTGACACGTTTATTATCGCTGTCCGTGAAGCTATCGACAAACTTGAGAGTCTACAATGCCCTCCTTATAATGATTAGCTTCCTGTTATGTTTATAGCTTCTTGTGCGAACAAGTGGCCAACTTGGGCAGAACGCCAAAGATCACTCCTTCAGTCTCCAGATCACCCCATCACTCTCGACTCTCTTATCGATGACCTCACAGATGAGGCGAGATCGAAATCGACTCCTACAGGCTCGAATGCCTTGTACGGAAACAAATCTCAAGGAACGGGTAAGGGCAAAAACCCAAGCAAGGACAAGAAGAATGGAGATCGACCATCTTGCCCACATTGCACAATGCCGAAACCTCGACACTCACCTCAAGACTGCCTCGAAAATAACAAGGAGAAGCGTGATGAGTGGGAGCGGAAGAATGGGAAGAAATGGACCCCATATCGGAAGCATATTGAGAAAAAGAAAAATGAAACCAAAGATGAGGGCAATGACTCTAAGAACTATTTCGACCTCGTAGCTTTCTCAATGCCTGCCAAATCAAACACTATAAGCAGAGATAGGTGGTTATTCGATACAGGAGCAGATGAGCACATTGCAAACAGTCTTGAGAAGTTTGACACTTACGAAGAGCGCATGGATTTACCATTCATGAATACAGCAAATGGACTTGTTCGTCCTCAAGGCTGTGGCTCAGTTCGACTTTTTGGAGTAAAGGGAAACAGAGAGAAGACCCAAATTACCCTCCATCATGTCATCTATATGCCTTCCTCGCCAGTTTGCCTGTTTAGCGGAAAGAAGCTTTATAGCAGCGGAGGTCATCTACAGAATGGCCAGCTTCTCGATAAGCATGGCAATGAGATGGGCATAGTTAACTCAGATCTGTTCCTTTACGAATTCAAAATGGAAGCAAAGGAATCACTTATCCCGCCCTTGATTTTACCTGCTGCGATTGAGCAGAAGAACACAGACATTGAACTTTGGCATCGACGCCTCTGTCATCTTGGACTCGATAACGTCCGCAAGACCAAAGACATGGTAAATGGGATCTCATATAGCAAAGAAGGCACTGCCATTGCGACGAGGTTGTGCCAGCCATGCAAAGAGGCAAAGCCAATCCGTCGAGTGAACAAAATTTCAGCTCGACTAAGACCGAAAACAGCTCCTGAAGAAGTTCATTGTGATGTTGTTACTAGACATTCTTGTGGTAATCCCTGCAGTAGGTTTGTGTAGATTCCTCTAAGCGTAGGGATCCTCCTCCGGCTGTTAGGTTCGTTTCTCGCGTTCCTAATCTTCTCATCGGCGTGTCTGGCCATGCGTTTTACTACATCCTTGCACCGAGGACTCATTGGACCTGTGGGTGCAAGTTCGTCGAAGGTCTCCTGTTCCGAGACGGTGAACGATTCCGCCTCCGACCCTTCGTCTGAGCTCTCATCTTCTGGGGTGCTTTCGCTGTTTATTCCCCAGTCCTGTTTGCTCACAAAC